TTAAAAAACGTTGGGCTATGTTGGGCTAAAGAATATTGATCAACACAATATATATCTGGGTAAATTATAATATGTTACTAACATGAATTCTTGGGCAATAAAAGGGGATGATTTCCTATATCTCAACCATGATTCCAGGGTTCGGGAGAACAGTGAGGTCGTTGTAATTTACCCAAATATATATATTATATATATATATATGTATAATATATATATTATATATATATTATATATATTATATATATATATATATTGCAAAAAAAACTGGATCTGATATCCCCAACATCGGGTATGGATTGAAATTGGGTCCCCAAAACTGGGATGTGTTTCTCGCTTGTCCGATATGAATCCCTGAAGATGGCAAAAGGTGCGTCAATTTTGAACCATACTCTTATGATGCTGAGTTAGACTTGAAGACTAGTCATAGTTGACCAACTGTTTTCTCAAACTCACTGGGGATGGGTCAAAACCTAATTGTTACATATACTATTCGCATATTAAGGGAATAACCATCCAGCTATACCAGCTATAACTTAGGTCACCTAGGGGACTAGGTTTTGATTCATAGCCACTTCAATATAGTTGGTTTATTTGTTCGCCATGAATAAACGCTTCGTGATATCCCCCCAATCAACAGATTCAACAAGTGAACTGTGCGTCAACATCTTGCTTTCCCCATGTTCCAGCTCTGTTGGTGCTCTAGATCGGTCACTTGCATGAGCCATGGAGTTGTTTTTTCTTACTGGTGAATCCCCTTGTGACTGGGCTATGGCTTATAAGCCACAAAATGACGCTACTTAAATCTACTTTTATATAATAAATATACTTAACTTCTTAGTATATGGATTATAAATTTATATAAATTTGGCTAGTTATGGTCGTGGATTATAAACCAATTATGCGGTCAAGTAAGTCATACTAAGTCTACCCTACAGTAAACGAACATAGCTTTGGAACACGGCCAACACAGTTCGACGATTTATGAAAAAGTGGTGATTTCTATACCAATCTCTTAGTTTACCAGAGGGCTAACCCCATATTTTCATCTACTTCCCCCATGGTTTTTTGGAACATAGATCATCGATCAATTGCTGGATCCATTTCACGAAATCCCCATATGAAATCCCGATGTTTTTCTGGTCAAATCACTTCATTCAGTCCCCATATGTCTGGATGAAAATCCATGGACATCCTCCATGTTTTCCCCATGTTTCTTGGAAAAAATTACGTCCATCCTCATACCCAGATGCTCCATGGTGCTGGAATATTTACGTACATTTACCCCAAAAATGGCCCAGTTCTGTAGGTAAATATTCCAGCACCATGGAGCATTTGGGATATATTTCTCGTTGAAATCCCCAGTGTTTCACAAAATTTGGTCATCCTTCGTGGCTGCGTCCAGCTATGTCCAGCTGCCTCTGCCACTTCTGTGTCTGACAGAGCAATGGCTTGGTCCGTCACTTCCAATTTGCTCCTGAGAAAGTCAGCTGTGGCTGTGGCTTTCTATGGGTTTCTAGGGGGTCTACTTATGTCTACTTGGTGGTTCATCCCAGTTAGTACTGTAAGTGATTTATAACTTATAAATATTAATAAATCACTAACTATCAATATAACTGGGATGAACCACCAAGTAGATTTATAACCTTGTTTTTTTCGGCGAAGTAGGGGCTCCTTGTTCACCTAAGTAATTGGCATGACTGGCAAGACACCGATCGGATTCCCGGGATGAAGCGCCAAGTATCCATGAACAGCTTTTTGATAGGGATAAAGGGAGAAAAATCCATAGAAAATCATCAAGGAAATCCAAAAAAAAAATCCTCTTCACAAGAATGGTTTTATTGGGGGTTTCCTAGTCGTCATTCGGCTACCCCAAGCAAGCGAGCATTGGACGCTTTATTTCGTGGAAAACTGGGGGTATCCCCATGAATTCGAAATCATCGAAAATCCAGTTCCCTTTTTTGGGATGATAAAGGGAGAAACAAATCATCTATTTGTTTATCAAGAAAAAGTGGGATGTATATATATATATATTATATACATATATATATATATATTATATCTTCATGAGCTTGTGAAAATCTATGAATCATTATGAATCTATATAAACATCTTGGGATCGTGGAAATTCACCAACATTGGTGTCCCGAATTGTTCAACGTTCTGTGCTGATGCTTGTTAAGGGATTTGAGATCCTGCTTCAAAATGACTTAGTTGCATCTGAACTCACAAATTGGGGATCTAAATATATGTAAATGAGTTGATGTGTAAATGAGTTCAGATGTGCTTTTATATCTAAATATATGTGTTTTGATGTAAATGAAATGAACCATCCAAACACATCAAAACTATACTTTTGTCGCAAGAAAACTTGGGATTTGACGAAGAACACTTGGGGTTTGACGTAGACGTACTGGTTGCTGATTGAGACACCACCCAACCTGAAAAAATCCTCTGGTTGAATTACCGTAAAATGACCATAAAGTTCCATGCCATCCGGTAGTTTTGACATGGCGAAAAAGGCCCAGTTAGCGTGATGATTTACCGCAATGAAGTAGCTGGTGGCTTTCCACAGTCAACTATTTACCAGTATATCCATATCATATATGTGTTGATGAATCCCAAAAAAAATGATCGGCAAATCATATCCCATGACGGATCCATGTATGGTATATATGCTAACATTTGGGGTATATTGCTGGTAAATGTTACCATATATAGCATACATGGATCCTATGGGTATTAATGTGCCATCTAAAAAAATACAACAACTACAGGATGGGGCCCCCAAGATAGCTAAGTTGCCTTATAAGTGGCTTTATGGTACATATAACTATAGTTAATAGGGCTTAAAATGGTTTATAAACCCACTTATAACTGGGGGGCCCCATCCTGTACAGTATCCATCAAACGTCCGAAGAAGTGCTGCGAAAACAATGTCCGAAACAACCAGTTCCGTTCCTGTCTTTCTTAGGTCCGCGTAAGGCCTGGCACCGGCGAGTCGCCCAAAAAACCATTCGAAGGATGGATGTGAAATGGTGGTTGAAGAGTGGTTGAAGCAACATATATAATTGGTGTGGTGGAATGTTTATGGTCCATTCTACTGATGGTGATAAAATACATATTATGGATTCGTGGAACATCATTAATTAGTAGATGGATATCTCGTACCATTTCTTTAAAAAAAAGATTACACATGGATTACCATTGTAGATTTACACCATATTTGTAGATGACACTGTGGGATACCACTAATATTTACCACGAATAAACACATGGATTACAAATGGATATGGGAAATTTACCATTTCATCCAGCCATCGGGGGTCATTTGACCCTGGTACCCGGACGGGTTTACTGGGCGTTAGAGCTGGTGCTGGATGGTTCTTCCCCCATTTATATCCATTTATATGGGAAATTCATGTAAATTCATAGGATTTGACCCATATATCACTTATAACTGACGATAATCATATGAAATTTCTGGCTGATGGGCATGCTCCCTATCGGATTCACATTGATTTCGTAACCGATGGCTTCTTAATTACCAAATGGTTGCGTATTCATTCATATGGCATTGGCACTCATTTTATCAGATGTTTCAAGCTTCAACTTCAATGCCCAACCTGTTGCTTATCAAGATATTCAAGTAGCACATAGTACGTGGTTCATCCCAGTTAGTAAGTGATGTAAGTGGCTTATAGCCCGTTTATAGGTTATAACATATTATAACAGGTTATAACCGACATATACTAACTGGGATGCGCCACCAAGTAGCACCTTCAGACTCGTGCCTTGCGTTTGGAGCCTGTAGGCTTCGAGTTCGAAGCTTTGCCCATTGGTGGAAAGCGGTCGGAGGTCGTGGTTTTTTTTGTCGTTCGTGTCGCGTGTCGCCCCCCCTTTTTCGAGCCAAGGTCCAACGTAGCGGGCTGCACTTGGAAAGGGATGGTTCCGGCCCTGGAAAAAATGAAGAAACTTGGGAAATCTGAGAGAAATCGAAAGAAATAGACTTGGTTGAAATCGATCAGTTCATCCTAATTTCTGAAAAATGAACTAACATGAACTAACCACCTAGGGAAATCGAAAGAAGAATTGAATAGACCTTACGGAAACTTGGTGGTTCATCCAAGTTGGAGATTCGTTCACCTCAGTTACAAATGGGCTAAGCGTATATACCGTATCCTATTTATAAAGGTGAACGAACTCCGGGGATCAGCGTGCAAGTTCGGCCCTAAGGGTAACCCCAAAGGGTAACGATCTTGTCCCCGATTCCTGGGAGCCATGGCTATGACCAGCGCCAGGAAAACCTGAGATTTTTGTGGAAAAACCTGAAGTTTTTAAGCAGATCCTCATCTTGACAGTTAACCTTGGTTGTGAAATATGCCAAACCTATATGGATTTCAATCTGTAGCTGCAAATTTCATTTGTTGGCCAAAGATCTATTAAAATCTATTAAATATTCCCAAAGATGGGTCGAGATTTGATGGCGCTGTTTCGCGACCAGAACTACATCTCGACAGAGAATTCCTTGCGCAAAAGAAGACGGTATTTTTTCATGAAGGAATATCTTGATGATTCTTGATGTATCTATCTTGATTAATTACCCTCTGGCAATGACTAACATAGCTATTGAAAATCACCATTTTCAATGGGTAAATCCACTATTTATATGGCCATTTTCAATAACTATTTTGACATAACCAGAGGGTACCCAAGATTTCTGGAAGCGTTCAAACCTCAAAGCCTTCAGGGAACGATCTTCACTGCCACAAAGCCAAAGCCTTATCCCTGACCCGACGCCGACCCGACACAGGATTCAACACGCCCCGTGTTTTTCGGCTTTGTGAAACTGCAAACTTCGCCCCCCACAGGGGCGTGAAAAGTGACTGACACTCGAACTGAGCCCACTGAAAGACATTATTGGCACAATTCGGCTGACATGACAAACACTGGATGAAGAACATCGACGATCCAACAGGCTACCAATCTTTTTTTTGAGAGAAACAAGACAGAACCGTTTTTCTTCCGTGGTTTCCTTCACAGCAGACTCAGGCATTTACCGTTGGACCGTAGCCAAGACGTCTAATCTCCACCGTGTTTTCGCTTCTTTCCTCCTCACGGAGTTGACACAGACCTTCACCTCTGTTTCTCATAGTATGTCATAGTCGTCATGTCACTCTTGTCCAGTCCGAAAAACGTGAAAAGTCATCGCTGTGATACCCTCTGGCAAACGTTTAATATAACTATATGGAAAGATCCACCATAATTTCAAGAACGGTAAATCAACTATTTCAATGGGCCATTTTCATCCATTTTCCAGTTCGCTTTTTGTATGTAAAAACCAGGCCGGGTCGCTGGTTTTTGTTGCGGGATTGGTTGAAGCTGGGCCCTGGCCCGCGAAAATCCAACAGCATCATCTCAGGTCCTCCTGGCTTGCCACCTTTGTCGCCTTTACCACGCCTGGAATCGGATCGATCTGACCCGAGACTTCAGCGTGGTTTCGGACAAGGCGGTACGTCGATGATCAAATTGCCAGTAATCTTAGTCAATCTCAGTAATGTCCATTCATCTGATTTTCACAAGTTGGTAAATCAAATCTTCACGACATCCCCCCATCACAGTATCCATGCATGTTTGTGAGATCTTCATCTTCTCTAGTTCTGTCATCAAATCTTCCCTTCCCCAAGTGTTCGTTGACCGGTCTTGCTGGTTTGCGACCCGCCTTTTGCCCTTGTTGATCTTTTGCTGCGTCTTGCGCTGCTGCATCTGGCATGCCGATCATTCGATCATCAGCAACAAAAATATATGGACTTAAGTGACTATCCAAATATATCCAAATTAGGATCTCTGATGGTTTCTTGATAGTCCTCCAAAGATGAAGTTCATTCAATGGGGTTCCAGGATCCTGAAATGGAGGTACTGTACCATATAAGGGCATATTTTGTGGGGATTCCCTTACATAGGCCTAAAAAATAGGCCTTATATATGGTAGGTACCTCCAATTTAGGTTCCTGAAATGGCCATTGATTCATTACTTAACTGATATTTGCTTAAGGTCTTAAGATGATGCAACAAAAATAGCCAACACATTCCCTGCCATTTCCCCACTTCCCAGGTGGATTTCCCATTTGTCCACCACTGTCGTCGAATTTTCCAATAAAACCTACGATGTTGACCCACCCAGTGATGTTAGTTGGTTTATATACCCCATGAAGTATAGTTATAAGTACCATATACCATAGTTATTGGAGTTATAAACCAACTTAGATATCTTGGGGGCCTCACATTGTAAATGTCACCCACATGGCTTTTTAAGGTATCATAAACCATAGTGGAGGGATGTTCACGAGCTTAGCAATCGTAAACGGCGGGGCCCCCATTGTACATATTCATAATTCAAGTGGCAATCTCCAGGGCCTACAGCTTCCCAGGTAGTGATTTCTCCCCATTTTTGGTGGTTTTATTAAGTCATGGGGGATCCCCGGTGGATCTCCAAGTCACCATGGTGCTTTGAATACGACTTGTCATGGTCATCTTTGATTTGGATGATGCAAGGGGGTAGGCCCACATGACTTACAATGTGAGGCCACTCAGCTATAAGATGGTTTATAAACCCCATTAACTACAGTTATAAGTATCAGAAACCATAGATGCCATGATTTGGGGTATCCCCATTGAAGCCACTTTTGGGCGGTGAAATCCCAATGATGCGTCAATGCCCCACTGCTGCAGCAGTGCCCACGTGCAGTGTCTCTGAAGGCACTGATTCCAGTTCGTTTAAAAAACAAATGCCATGTCTTCGGAATACCCTCTGGTAAACTAACATAACTATGGAAAATCACTATTTTTCATGGGAAAATCAACTATTTCAATGGTGATTTTCCATAGTTTTTTGTATGTTTACCAGGCCGGGTACCTACGAACACAATTTGATGGATGTGACTTTTCTAGGGGACATCCCCTCGCAAAAATATCTATATCTTTTATGTTTGGATATGCATACAATCATCGAACTATGAGCTTTGCTACAGTCAGCTTGGATTACCAATTACCACATATTGGGATGAGTCAAAACCTTGTAGCCCTTTTGAGTTCACACCAAAATAGCTGGGATTTTATGGATGTTCATCCCCCTAAGAATGCTGTTTATATATTTACCAATGTGCTCCATGGTGCTGGAATATGCACACCAACATTTGCACAAAATCACCCAGTCATGTAGGTTTTTATATACCAGCACCATGGTTCGCATATGGGTTATAGGCTATTGATTCATAGCTCTCTTAAGATCATCCCACCCGCAAGTCCCGCCTTGAATCTGCCAGGGTTTCGTTTCCGGGCCTCAATTGACTCAGCCCGGCGTCGCCGAACTCGCCGGCTTCGTGTTGGAAGTTGCTGCCAAATCATATCCAAATCATATCTAGTAACCATGATGTTAATATGGGTGTAACTAAGGTGTAACAGTGTAACTATTGCTATTTTCAAATCACCATGATAACATATGATAAACAAATTACCCTCTGGTAAAGTAACAGTTCGACCCTGAAAATCACCAATTTTTAATGGAAATCAATCTGAACCAACCCCGATGACTGCCAGGGTCGTCATGTTAATTTTACTGGAGGATAACTAGTTCGAATCCCCAAGAAATGGAGTCTTCGGGTCATGGGAAAATCATCTAGGGTCATGGGCCATGGGTTTTCATTTTCCATTAACCCGGGTAAATTAGAATATTTCACTAACCTGAATTGTTGGGCCATAAAAGGGGATGATTTCCCTTACTAACTATGATTCCAGTGAGGGAGAACAGTGAGGTCGTGATGACATTTACCGAGATTAACGTATTTGATGGAAGGTATCTTCTCCCATCTACCTAGTTAACAGAAAATCCAGAAATTCTTGACGGTACAATCCAAAGTTTGCTACGAATCTGTCATTTCAGTTGGTGAGGTTCAATCCACTTTTCTGTTGGTCAAGTCACCATTTTTTCATGGTTTACCCTCCAGTAAACTGACATAACTATGGAAAATCAGCATTGTTAAGAACGGTAAATCATCTATTTCTATGGGCAATTTGTCATAGCTATGTAACAAATTACCAGAGGGTAGATATCATAAAACAACTCCAAAAAATCCCAATGTGTTTGTCAAATGCCAACTTTTGGTGCCTTAACGGCCGGCCACTATGAGACAAACCAGCCTAAAAATGCCATGTCCCAATGGTCCCCAATGGTCCCGCTGGGGTTGTTGATTCCCATTGGACCCAATTGAGCCTTCTTCTCCCCGCGCAAATCAGCCTTCATCCTACGGTGCTGAACGTTGGGCTTCAGGGACTTCGAGAGGAATCCAATGGCAATTCGGGTTGGGGGTGATGAAACAGGGTGCGGCTACACTTAGTAAGTAGATTCTGTATATGTTCATAATTAACATCTGGCTATTTAAGATAGCCATGGAAAATCTCCATTTTTCATAGGTAAACCATCTATAAATGGGCCATTTTCCATGGCTATGTTGAATAACCAGAGGGTATTTCACAGTAAAGTCATCTACCGTGACAAACCAATGGCATGGTGATTTCCACTTTGAGTTGCACAACTCATCAAGGAAAAACCCGCCAACTGGTAGGGTCAGTACCGCCGTTATCTCCACTATTTTCACCCCAACTGCAACCCCGAACGATGATTTACGAGTGGAATGGGGTAGCCATTTTTTCAGACCAAACGATATGGATGTTGGCAATTCTTAGTATCAACTATCAACCATCGGTTTTTTTGCGCACCCAATCTGAATCCATACCTGTCTAGGCTCCGCCTAGACAGGTAAATTGGTTTAGACATGGAGAAACTTTGGACCGCCAAAACTTTGACATCTTGTGAAACAGGTTGGGAGCAGATTGACGAAGCAACAATCCTTTGATGACATGTTCGAAAAGCCCAAGAATCATCTTCGCCCAGTAGGCCTCCTGATTTCTCTCCAATCGAATAACTTCAAGGAGAAACGCCAATCGCAACTTCAGACCTCAGACCTTCTTGATATAACGCCAACCCTGGATTAATAAACCCCAAACGGCTGTTTAATTGGGAGGGTACCATAAAAAAGTATCAGACTATGACTATTGGAGGAGTACCATGGTTTAGTCTCATCCTTCGTTGACATTACCCCCCATGGTCACCATGAGACTAAAAATCGCCGACGTTCGGTCGTGGGCCTTCTATCCACAGTCTTCACTTTGGCGCCCTTGGGCACCTTTTGACACAGCGGCCAGCGGGAGAACACCGGAGGGGTCATGGACCAATCCAGGCTGGAAATGAAAAAAAGCGGTGACTTTGGGATTCCCCATGTTACTATATATATATATACACATGTATTATATATATATATATATCAATTAATATATATATATATAGATTATATTATACTGCTGTTTTGATCTACTGTTTAACATCCAGGCTGACATCATTCTTGTTGTTTCTCCCTCCTGTTCCAATGATTCCAATGCCCAGTTTCTCACCGCGAGGTCTTCTTCAGATGACCAGCTGTCAGTTGATTTCTCCCTACTTTTTGGGCGAAAAATACCCAGTGATTCTTGGTGAAACTTTCCCAAATTGCACCAAAAACATGAATGGACTTCCATTTTTCACCAGAAGGTCTAGGAGTCAAGGGTTTCATTTTTTGTAGTAAACCATAGTAAACCCCCCAAGATAGAAAAAGCAATTTACCACTGTTTCAGGATTGGACGTTACACTGTGAACAGCATCTTTTGGGGAGTTGCGATATACGGTCAATGGATTGGCTTGGAACATCTTCACCGTAAATCATTGGACGTTACACTGATCTATGAGATGAAATCTGCTGCATATGTTCTCTTCAAGCCATTTGGAAAATCATAGAAAAACAGGATGTCAACATATGTCAACTACCAAGTTGTTTTCCGAAGTTTCCCTAAGTTGTCCAGAAGTTTCCATCTGTTTTCCTAAGTTTTCCCGAAGTTTCTCTAATTTTCCCGAAGTTTTCACAAGGTCCCACCTTCTTCTTGTCCAACTTGTGTCCACCACCGCCCTTCTTGATCGCCACCGTGGTCACAGGTCGCTGGTCTTGTTTGGCCTCAGGCACCCAGGTTTTCAGGGGACAGGGAGGAGGTTGTGGATAGCAGGCTTTGGTAGATGATAGTACCATCAAACCCTATGAGATATCCCAGTAGTTTTATGGTTTTCTATAGTTTAATATAATTTTATAGGTCTTTATATGGATAATAATGGGATATTTCCATAGGATAACTTGATGGAATATGGGTTAATACCCTCTGGTGTCATCAAACGCGGGCCGCGTTTAGAAAAATCTCCGAACTGGCCATGGAGGTTTATGGCCAACAACATCGAGCTAAGTGGTGGGAATTTCCAGAGCGAGCATATCAAATTGATATATACACTGTTTGGTGGTTGACCAACCCCTCTGAAAAATGATGGAGTGAGTGAGTAACAGTTGGGATGGATGGAAATTCCAATATATGAAATGGAAAAATAAAAATGTTCCAAACCACCAACCATTGATATATACAAGAAAGGCCCTCCCCCAGTTCATTGATGAAATGTTTGTTGCTTGATGTTACCCCATTTTTTTGTATACCTGTAGAGCCTCCAAATACCCCAAAAATGCAACAAACGGAGGGTCAAACGGTAGATTCTGTAGATGTATGAGTAATGTTTCATGATAGATCATGTTAGCAAAGCAATAATCAACCACCCATATTTGCTGGATTATACCTTCCACAAAAATGGTAAATTTGGGGATAGTGGATCCTACCTATATAACGTTACCTTAGATATATCTACCATAAATCCGACGCCTACTCATCAACCAGCAGTTAGGGCCTCCCTCGAGAGCCGAGAAGAATCGACCAAACACCTCCCAGCCCTCGCCTTCGTGATGGGGACAGATGGTGATCTGAAAATTCAAGCAACAACCCAAAAAGGATAGAAAAGTGTACAGAATCTTATGGTAAATCCATATAAATCCCACTGAAATAGTGGTGGTCGCATGCTCATCTAGATTCTTCAGTAGATGTAAATGGCTCAAAAGCGGATAAATCGATAAATCATGATTTTTCTCGATTTTTGTGAAATCAATGCCCCACTCAACGCCCAAAGAACAGAGTACTTAGATGGGCCATGGAGTGAGTTAACTAGTTAGTAACTGGGCTTTGTTTACCCCCAACAAATCCCAATTAGGAATAAGCCATGGCTACTAACTAGTTTTCCCTAACTCCATGGCCCATCTAAGTAGTTATAATCCAATCAACTCAACAGAGTTGATGATGTTGACCCATAGGATCCATGGTGCTGGTATATATGCTAACATTGGGGGTATATTGATGGAAAATGTTACCATAAATACCATACATGGATCCTATGGGTGATGGAAACGTTCCCATCTCTCCGAAAAATTGGTTCCCTTAGGACTCGACCAGCTTGCTGACGGCCTTCCGCATTTGCCGCGCCTACGAGGATGAAAAACATGGGGGAACGTGTTGAAGGAACCAAAACTTGGGGAAATTAAGCTTCCTATATTCCTTCAGCTATAGTTCTTAACCACCAATATTGGGTACCTTCCTAACCATCAAAATCCCAGAAGTAGTTCCTGAAAAATATTTAGGGAATTGACTCGACTTAACCATCAAATATTGGGTGTTCACGGTGAGTGTATCGTTATTTTAAAACTGCCCCTAAAATGGGATCACAGCAGTCATGTTATGAGATGCACTTGTCCAAAAAAGGGGGGTATATACCACATAAACTTGCCATGTTCATGGAAGAACATGATCACAAACCGTTGGATTACCCACAGTTTAGAATACGTTTCCAGTGTCCGGACCATCCAAGCAATAAACAAATTACTTTACTTCGTGTGATCCCCACCATGACATTTATACATTTTCTTACTGGCAAATCTTCTGGCATTCTATCTGACATATCTTCTGACATTCTATTTGGCATTCTATCTGGCATATCTTCTGGCTTCTGGCATATCTATCTGGCAAATCTTCTGGCATTCTATCTGGCATATCTTCTGGCATTCTATCTGACATATCTTCTGGCATTCTAATCTGGCATTCTATCTGGCATATCTTCTGGCATATATTCTGACATATCTTCTGGCATTCTATCTGACATATCTTCTGGCATTATTCTGACATATCTTCTGGCATATCTTCTGGCATATCTTCTGGCATATCTTCTGACATATCTATCTGGCATATCTTCTGGCATATTTTCTGGCATTCTATTCTGGCATATCTTCTTCTGGCATATCTATCTGGCATATCTATCTGGCATGGGCATATCTATCTGGCATTCTGGCATTCTATCTGGCATTCTATCTTCTGGCATATCTTCTGGCATATCTTCTGGCATATCTTCTCATTCTTTCTGACATTCTTTCTAACTTTCTTCTGCACATTCTTTGTCCCATATCTTCCTACATGAGGTCCGGCAGGGAACACTTGGCGTGGATACTCGCGGTTGAGGTCCGGCAGGGAACACTGGGCGTGGATGGTCGTGGTTGAGGTCCGGCAGGGAACACTGGGCGTGGATGGTCGTGGTTGAGGTCCGGCAGGGAACACTGGGCGTGGATGGTCGTGGTTGAGGTCCGGCAGGGAACACTGGTGGATGGTCGTGGTTGAGGTCCGGCAGGGCACACTGACATGGATCGCAGTGGAGCAGGAGGAGGATGAGGAGGACGAGGAGGACGAGGAGGACGAGGAGGAGAGGAGGAGGAGGAGAGGAGGACGAGGCAGGAGGAGGAGGCAACTGACATAAAATCTAACAACCCTCACCTGGCAGGTGGGGAACAATGGCGCGTCACGTTTCACGGAGTTTCCAAAGTGGCCAAACTGAAAATATCCTGCACATCTGGGTATGGATCAATACCTATTAATTAATACCATTTTTAGGGGAATGAACATCCATAAATCCCAGCTATTTTGATGTGAACTACAGGGGTACAAGGTTTTGACACACTGCCATCTGTGTATGGCGCAAAAAAATGCAAAGCTTTGATGTTTTTAGAACGATGCAGAGGGCATTCCACTGGTGCAACAGGGTACCACCATCTCAACTGGCAACCTTGGCATGCTCGCTCATGTCGCTGGTTTCAGTGAGCGACCTCAGTGCCATCGTGGCGATAATCGGTGGACTGGGATGTTATGGGGGTTGGTTAACAAAACCATTACTAACTATATATAGATATAGATCCACTAACTATATATATATATATCACCCATAAACCATTACTTGGTGGATCATCCCACTTAGTAGGTTTAGTTCACCCTAGTTTTTTCAGTGGGATGAGTAGGGTGATCATCCACTGACAAAACTGTTGGGTGAACTAACCATAACTAACACGATCCCTGGGATGATCCAGCAAGCATAAACCCCAGCTATATCATGCTACCCTTTGGTAAACTAACATAGCTATGGAAAATCGCCATTTTTGATGGGTAAATCCACTATAAATGGCCATTTTCAATAGCTATGTTAGTTTACCAGAGGGTATATACAAGTTCTACATCAACTACGCTATCCTTTGGGGCCCATCGACCCAGGAATTTCAAAAGGGCCTATATCGAAATCGGAAATGTTCTAGTTGAACGTCGCCCAACTATTGATTATTCAGAATAGAATCTCCAACAGATACAAATTTAAGAAAGTGATGTAGAAAAACATGGTTTAAAAAAAACTCCGCAAACCGATCCAAACAGGACAAAGACACCCCGGGACAAAAACTACCAGTAACTACCCCGTCACATTTTTCTGGTTGACCCAGACAGCTTCCCCCAACACTTTGACCTCAGACCTGGAATGAAATATCCCAACTGATCGTAATTCACATGTTCTATACAGGGTGGTGGCCCCACAGTTAGCTAAGTTGGTGCACATAACTCCAATTTCACTATTATGGTTTATAGGTGATATGGTTTAATTATAGGTGATATATCGAACTAGTTTTCATGGGATTACAAGCCATGTACAAAATTTTACAACCACCTTGTAGATCTATATGACGTAATATCTACCCTCTGGTAAACGTTTACATAACGAACTGGAAAGATCCACCTAATTTTCTAGCTGGCTAAATCCACGAACTAAATCACCATGTTCAATAGCTATTTTGACATAACCAGAGGCTATTTTTCAGTAATTACAGTAGTTTACCATGATTTACCCATGATTTACCCATCATTTACCCATCATTTTGGCATAACCAGAGGCTAATGTGGACCCTGATCACGCCATCGATTCCGGATTCCGATTCCGCTCCGAAACTGAGTGATCAGCATAGCAGTCGACCGCAACCTGGGCGAAGGCGCGTTGGCGCATTCCATGGAAAAGATGAATGCAACAAGATCTGGGCCTTAAGGTGGAAACTAATGAAACTATAGAGATATAGTCACTTTTTTGTATAATCCGAAACTGGAGATATGGTCTTTTTCTAGTAAGTCTATAGTCAGACTCCGGAGAATCCACCCGGATCCGAAGAATTCCGAAGTAACCCGGCACCAAAAATGGCGATGTCATCTGTAAATATCCAATGTACCCGGCCTGGTAAACATACAAAAAGCTATTGAAAATTGCCATGTATAGTGGATTTACCCAGTAAAAATGGTGATTTTCCATAGTTATGTTTGTTTACCAAAGGGTAAGTCACCACCTCATGCAAAAATCGCAGAGGTTCTGAATTATCTTGATTATACTCTGTATGTCTAGAATGATTTGCGAGGAACATTTAGGTAAGAATGACCCATACTTGCAACTGCTTCCCAGATGTTAAAAAACGGACTGGTCAATTTGCAAGCGCGTTTGCCGGTCTGTTTTTGTTATCCTGTACATAAAGATACCTCCCAAACGCAAAGCCATTTCAAGTCTTGGACCTCTTCATTTTGGGCTAAAAATCTTGGGGTCCCTTTTTGGAAGTACTTCATATGTGGAATGCGGATGACACCAGACACCATTTCGTATCTCAACATCCCCAGTGCGGTGCCAGCCTAGCATTCTGAAAGCAGAAAAAAACCAGGAGAATTTAGGCCATGTTGATGAAGTTCAACCCATCCTGTTAAGACCTTGTTCATCTGGGTATGGGTCAAAATTACGTACCCCAATTAAATTGGATGGTGAATACTAAACTAGACATTCACATCTGTGGTCCCATGAATGGTCTTCCATTTTGACCCACATCCATCTGAGTGGTGCTTGATGTGTGTTTTAAGCCAGATCCACTGGAATCCATGACCCTAACATAAAAATAGTGGGGTCGTTATTGTCAAGCGAGCAATAAGCAGCAATAATCTTGGAACGCAGACATATCCATATATGTAATATCCCCAAATCTAGCTTATTGAATAAGCCCAATCTACATATTATATTCAGAGATAATTAGTGGTGTTAATTGCTTTAATGCCTATGAAGAAATATGATACAGTAAATTGGATTCAATTGGGACTATCATCGGAGCATGTTTTAGATATTCCAAAGACAGAACCAACCTGACTTGGAAGTGTACTTCCAGTGAAGTGTTCGTGGATATTCATCTAACCACAGTTACAGGGGGCCCATATCCCAACTAACATGCGGGTTTATTTCACCATAGTTATAGCCCAAAGATGCCCAAAGTATGGTTGAAGTGGATCTATACTTATCCCATTCACCTTCATTAAAATCCATACAAAACTCCAAGAAAATCACCGTGGTTTCATGGCTTGCAGCCGGTCAAACCCCAGGTTTTCACCAGCTGGTTACTGGTTGCTGGTCACCTGGTCACACCTGGTCATCCCGAAATCCAGGCGACTTCTCGAGTTTCTTGGCCATTCGCTTCTTCTTTCGAGCCCTTGCCTGGATTCCGGCGCCATTTTCGGAAATGTCGTGGTTTTCTGAGATGGAAACTCCAATGGAATATCGGAATTGGGGAGTTGGGGATAGTCTTAGCCTATCGACAAACCCACTTTTTGATCGTGAAGAGGTGTGAATGCAAGTACACGCGAATATAACTAGCGAATACAAGGTGAATACAAGTGACTATAGGGATTGCCCTCTTTTAAATGTTCCAATCAATTTCTGTCGTAGATACCCTTCAAACGCTACTGTTGGATTTATACTGGAAATTAATGGAACTATAGTTAGAAGTTAATGGACCAATCAACAAACATTTCACTGGGGGGTCCTTCCTGTATGAATCCATCTAATTCAAATTGTCAAATTTTAAGTCATCCCGAATATCCTTATTATATAATCTCCATTAAATTGGCAGGTTAACATATTGATGGTATATTCATATTACGCTCTCACTTTCAAACAAACTCATATTCCATATTGGTGGATGTGTATATATATATATATATGTATATATCATTCTGCCCCCACTTTACCCCCCATTCAGATATATTCAACAATTAATTCAGAGGGATTTAAGATGATTTAAGCCTATTTGACTAATCAATACTAATGGGGATATACCTGGAGATTTTATGGGTTCTCAATGATTCTCAACATTTTCTCATATATTGCCATCATGGCTGAATGTTAACCTCAGATTCTCATCATGTTCTCATCATATTATATTATCCATTCTCAAATGTCAACCTTAGATTTCCTCTACAAGATACCATCTGGCTATTTAACATAGCCATGGAAAATCACCATTTGTAATAGGTAAACCATCTATTTCTATGGGTCATCTATACCATGGCTATGTTAGTCAGAACCAGAGGGTAATTCATCCAGATTGGCACTGGGCCAAGTAGGGGCAATGTCCAGGTATGATTGGGGTCAATTATAACCTACTACCCTCTGGTAAACAAACAGTTTGCTATTGAAAATGGCCATTTATAGTGGATTTACCCATTGAAAATGGTGGATCTTTCCATAGTTATGTAACAGTCTACCAGAGTGTAAGTGGGATGAGCCACCAAATACTCTGAGATGCATATGACAAAAATAACCATCAGCAATGGCCCTTAACACTTACAAATGGGACTAACAAAAACCCAGTGGTCCCTTCTTTTTGCTTAAGTTGTTTGACTCATCCCCATATATATATATATATCATGTATGTATATATAATATATATACAATATATATAATATATAATATATATATATATAATATAATATATAATATAATATTATATATATAACCTTAGTTTCATCCCCATACATATATCATATATATATACTTCAGGTATATAATAACGTTAGTTATAGGAGTTATTGTCCCATCCATAACTGAAAAAAAGGCCCCTCGCATCACCGCGCCTCCACAACCTTCCGGATGGGCCTGCAGAGCCCGGGGGGTTCTGCAACATCTGAGACATGATATATACCCATAGGATCCATGTATGGTATATATGGTAACATTTACCATCAATATACCCCCAATGTTAGGATATATATATATACCATACATGGATCCTATGGGATATATATATATAGTGATTATCCATCATTCATATATCAACTTGATATTCATATATCAAGTTCATCTAAGTTCATGTATCATTATATATACTATATATATATCTGGGTAAATTATAATATTTCACTAACCTGAATTAAGGCCATAAAAGGGGATGATTTCCAATACTAACCAGGATTTCCAGTGAGGGAGAACAGTGAGGTCGTTATAATTTACCCAGATATATGTTGGTTTTGATATATACAATGAACATGGCTCAAACTTGGAGCCACAAAAATACCTCAGCTGTTTAGTTGTTACATGTTGTTACTTTCATGAACCAACAGATGACAAGTCACTGGACCGCCTAAAAAAAACGATGTTATCTGCTTGGTGGTATACCTACCCCTCTGAAAAATGTGAGTTCGTCAGTTGGGATTATCATTCCCAAAATATTAATATATGGAAAAATAAAAAATGTTCCAAACCACTAACCATAATGAGTGTGTCTTACCCTCTGGTACACTAACATGGCGATGGAAAATCACCATTTGGAATAGGTAAATCAACTGTTAATGAGCCATGTTCAATAGTTAAATTCCTAGAACTCTGATGATCACTTCATTTCTTCAAAGTATGTTTCTCCATGTCCTCTTGGATACTGAGGCCTGAAATTCAACATGGAACCCTCAGCAAATGGTGTCATAACTCATGTCCCCAAAACAACCATATATGTATCTATCCATATCTTTAGAGTCAAAATGATGTTTCGTCAGTGGATTTTTAGTATCCTACTTTCACACAAACCTAAACAGCCGTAGATAGCCACGATTGGGATCAGTAGCGTAAATCAATAGGCTGACTCTACAGGATAGTCATTTCTAGTAATATATCAACCTGAATCCACAGCTATCACATAATCAAACGCTTCTACTTACAGTCGAGCACGGTTGGTTTATCATTCTGATTCATGTTTTCGTTCAAAGGATCATTAAATTGGTGAACTTGGAACTTGAAAGCCTTCTGAGTCATTGCTTTCATCTCAAACCAAAATGTGAGTTCTTTCATCCACCTCCGTATTTGATAAAATCCACTCACCATCACCTGGTTGGCATATGGGTCTGTCTGAAAATGGTGTATACCCCCCAAATTGGCACCGTTACTTTTGATAGGGAAAATGATATATATATATAGTCAATGGATTTAGAGGTAATTACCCTATTTTCAGACAAACCCATATCTCCACATTTATAGCAAACGATTAAAGCAGTCGAGTATCCATCACCAGTGGGTCTGGCCTTATTTTTGATAAGTTTGATGGGCAAATCACCATCCTTGATGTGAAATCTGTATCCTGTCCGTTGACCCACTCGCAAACTAACATAGCGAAGCCATAGCCCAGTGCGATGGCTTACCTATTGAACATGGTGATGTTCGCGACGTGGTGGATTACCAGCTCTGGCGATCAAATTTGTCCCCCGTTTCGAGGCTTCGTCATTTTAAAAAATGGATGTGAACTATAACTGTTACTCACCAGTTGCGATTCGAAACTGGATTGTAACCAGAATCTATATACAGATTGTAATCATGGCTACATGGCTACTATATTAGTGTAGAAATCTGGACTGAGAATAATTCACCTGTTTTTATAGCTGAAACAAGACCTTTTGGGGATGATTTATACTCTAAACCATCCAGAATTCCGTGAGGTCAAATTCAAAAATTCATTCACCACGTCCGATTACTCACTACATCCCCATTACTCACAAATAACTCACCATTTGTTGGTCGCTGAAATCATCATTTCCCATCAACAAATGATAGGTCCAATGGTTCTCATTCTATCATGTTTATTCATTTTTCGTAGCCATAGATTGCTTTTCCCAGCCAAAAAAAACTGCATTTCTGGTTGGTGGTTGACCTACCCCTCTAAAAAAAAATGTGTCAGTTGGGAAGGATGACATCCCATATCTGAACTGGAAAATAAAAGTCATGTTCCAAACCACCAACCAGATTTTTTCGTGGAAACTTTCACGCTATCGCCACCAACGAGCGATTGGGTCATTCCCATCCGACCTTCTGCTGATCTCCGCGAGTCGCTGACGGAACCTTCGATCCGTAGTGAACGTGGCCGGGGAATATTTTTATGATCACTGGGTCAGTGGGAAAATTTAAAAATATGATACCCTCTGGTTATGACTAATATAGCCATGGAAAATCATCTATTTCTATGGACCATGGCTTCCATGGCTATGTTAAATAACCAGAGGCTAGTTCTGAATGATCCACAGTAAATATCATCCAAAAGGTGACATGTCCACCTGAAGAAGGTGACACCTCATTTTTTACCCTCTGGTTATGACTAACATAGCCATGGAAAATCCCCAAAATAAATGGAGGTTTTGATGGGACATGATGGGACAATCATCTATTTCTATGGACCATTTTCCATGGCTATGTTAAATAACCAGAGGCTAGTTCTCTTCATGATCTACAAATGGTCCTAGAGACTGAAGTATATTTCACAGAGAGTCCCAAACAGTTAGAGGCCCTTAAAAACCACCATGTCACCATGTCTCCCATATGCGAACCATGGTGCTGGAATATGCACACCAACATTTGCCCCATAAATGACCCAGTTCTGTAGGTAAATACACCAGCTGTGGCTGACGACTTTCACCACTAAAAAAGCTAATGCTTAGGCCGTTCCTCATCTACAACTGGTTGGTGTTGACCTACCCATCTTGAAAAATATGGTTTTATATGGCTTTAATATGGTTTTATATGGTTTCATATGGATAATAATGGGATAACTGGGATAACATGTTAAGCAAATTACGTGAAGGATGAGGAGGACAGCCCCATGTTGGTTTTCGACAACAGGAGTATGTCGCAATCAGGAGTAATTGTTAAGTTTGCGACATGTGTGCGACAACTCAAATTGGTAATGTTGAGTCTGGCTTGGGAGCACAGTTGAGGTGGAACACAAAAATTGCTATAACGATGGTGAAATAAACCCCATTTTTGTGATGTGGCCCCTATAAGATCCTATAACTATGCGATTATGGTGACATCCATCCGCGAACGCTTCACTGGTTCACTGCCCAAGTAGATAGCTAAGTTTTAACAAAAAGAAGGTGAATTCTCTGGGTTTATTCTAGTTGGTCTACTATATTCATATCTGGTTGGTGGTTGCCCTACCCCTCTGAAAAATATGAAAGTCAATGGGAAGGATGGCATCCCATATATGAAATGGACAATAAAAAATGTTCCAAACCACCAACCAGTCATATATGGTCCTTATATGGTTGCTGAGTGCATTGGGACTTCCAGATCTACCGCCCCTGTGGATCTGACAAGGCAAAAATGGGCCCCCAGGCTGATTCATCTGCTCCTTGCTGATCGGCAGCTCAGGCCTTGACAAAAATATAGAAAAAAAACCAGGGATATCGTGGGGATATCCTCTGGTAAACTAGCATAGCTATTGAAAATGGCCCAGTCGAAATAGTTGATTTACCCATTAAAAATCGTGATTTTCGATAGTTGCCATAGTTCTGTTAGTTTACCAGAGGGTATCCATCAAAAATCATCTAAAACCCGCTAGGATGGTGACCAGGTGGGTTTTATGGGGGCACCACTGAAATGATCACAATCATTATTTTTGCGACAAAATATGTCAACCCCACGTGCTTGGTTCAATACCTACAAAACATATGAAGAAAATCTGTGGCCACTGGTGGCCTTCCAAGTTTTCACGATCAGAGGATGAACCAACAGGGCTCGAAATGATTTACTCCCAAAGTTTTGAGCCCCCCAGAAGTGCTAGATGCTTATGTTAAAAGAAAATAGGCATCTAGATTTTGAAGCATTTGTTTATAGTATATAAATCTATCAGCTAGATGCTTACAATGTGATGCCCCCCAAGTTATGTTTCTTGGTGAATAAAAAACAATATATATCTACCATAACATGAACAATACACTGCAAATAAAATGTTGAGATGTTAGATAGGCCGACTCGAAATCGAGGAATCAAGGAATGATGGTCATTGATGGTTGCAACTCATAAATATAGATAAATATGGTAACCTGGTAAACATGTTCAAAAACAAACTCTTTGTGGGTTAGTTCACACCATTGATAAGTAGTAGAGTAGAAATAGCCTTAGCTAAATTTATCACTGGGGTGAACTACACATAACTAAACTACCCTCTGGTAATTTAACATAGCTATTGAAAATGACCATTTATAGTGGATTTACCCATTGAAAATGGTGGATCTTCCATAGTTATGTAACAGTTTACCAGAGGGTAAACGAACTCCGGGTTTTCGTTAACAGAGATCTGGCAAAGCCATGGTGGATTTGCCAAATCGATAGTTGGTTGGAAGGCCACTGGGAACCATCACTATCCACATCCTTCGTTGGCCAAGCGGCTTATTGTACTTATCCTCATCTTCAAGGAACCACACGGGCAAGGCTTCATTGGGCTCGAAGGTGTACCCTGAGTTCCATGGAAAAAAACGATCGCATACTTCGTGGAAGAAGATTCAATGGAAGAATTTTTGAATACAGTTCCTGTACTCTGAGTTTCTGGGAATCCAGTTAGCCACATGGTTTTGGATGCAACTACTTTTCCCATTGAAAAACGAAAAAAAAAAGTCGCTTGGATTCAGATGATGTTCCCATTGAAAAAAAATAGATCACGCCATACTTGGTGGGTCATCCCACTTAGTAAGTGTGTTATAACCCCAGTTATAAGTGGATTAACCCTACTTATCCCATTTATAACAGGGGTTATAACCCACTTACTAAGTGGGATGAGCCACCAAGTAGTCACCATAAAAGCAATGGTCAGCAACTAGGATGCGGGCTATTGTAACCCGAGTCCAACAAATCCATCCTGCACGGCTAACAGCGGCTGACATGACTTGACAGTGCTGGAGATGGAGTTTTCGTCTGGAGATCGATGGTCTCAGAATCTCAATGGTTTTTTCCTATGGTTTTCCTATGGTTTTTTCTATGATTATCCTATGAGTATCCATATTCCAACATATAAAACCATATAAAATCATATAAAATCATATTCAACCATAGAATCAATAACTGGTTGGTGGGGGCTACCTACCCCTTCTGAAAAATGATGGAGTGAAAGTCAGTTGGGATGATGACATTCCCAACATATGGAAAGTCATAAAATTCATGTGCCAAACCACAAACCATGCCCGATGTTTAGAGAATTGAGTACACCCCTAATTGGGATGTAGAATGACTTGGTGAATGGGATGGCTTATGGCAGTTTACCACAGTTGTCCTCGGGTCCATTTGGGAGACAATTTTCACATGAGAATTCAACCACCGGTTCAACCCTCCCAGGTTCAATTTCAACTTAGAATTGGAATATAAAGGTTGGATACAAGCTGAATATCTGGATAACATATCAGAACATATTAATCAGTAGCTGATTGTTAGGTGCACTTGCAATTTCATACTCCTTTGTTCATCCTGTCCTGGTTTAACATTAAGTTCGACCCACCTGGCTGTTGAATGCCATTTCACCCCTTTCTTTGGGGTTTCACCCACCAAAAACAACAGAAAAAAACCAACCCCTCCTGTCGTCAGATGAATTCGGCGATGAAACATCAACCAACCACGTTTCTTAACGGTGCTGCCGCGTTGCGGGCGTGAAAAATGGGGAGTATCCCATGCTTCATGATCATCCCATGCCATGGAAATTCTAACATCATGGGATGGAGGATTCCCATCTCTAGATAAACCCAAGCCCGATAACTGCCTGCCAGGGCCAGGGTCGTCATGTGAGACATACAGGGTATATGATGATGATACCAAATTTTTGATGATTCACAGTGATGTATCAAAAAATCATGATGATGATAGGGATTAAAGCAACTCCAATAAGTGATGTGCGTATCAAAAACCATATATTTATTGGAGTTGTTTTCATCCCTAATGAATCTAGCACCAAACCTACATAAAACCATGTACCCTCTGCTAATTTAACATAGCGAACTGGAAAATCACCTTATTTTCATAGCTAATTCATTCATAAATGCTCCATTTTCCATAGCTTTTTGTATGTTTACTGGAGGGTAATCTTTCCCATTTTTTTTGACTTTCTTTCCGGCAAGGACTGAATGGGAAAGATCCACCATGCTATTAATGGGAAAATCCACTATTTCGACTGGGCCATTGCCATTTTCAATAGCAAACTGTTAGTTTACCAGAGGGTATACCATCATATATCCCATTAAATCCCATTAAATCCCATTGAATCACCATTGAATCACCATTGAATCCCATTAAAACACCATTAATGGATAATCACCATATGTTAAGTTTACCAGGCCGGGTAATCCCATGTAACTTGAGCAACCAACCCATGGACTACTCACAGAATCCTGGACTTCTTGGAGTCCACCAAGAGAGCTCCGATCGCCAACGTCTCAGCCTCGAGGCGTGTCAACGTCGTGATGTTTTGATTTTCTGTATCCGAGACATCTTCTCTTATGTAAATTTATTGAGCATGATTTTGTATGTGTGATATCTACATACTATACAATATAACATACATATATCAATACATATATCAATACATATATCTATACATATTATATCAATACATATATCAATACATATATCAATACATAGTTCAATACATATTATACATATACATCTATGAATACATATATTATATATTATACATCTATCAATGTATTAATACATATACTAGTAACATCTATTAAGAGATACTTACGCAAGGACCAGTTGGAAGATCGCCAACTGGTGATTCATCAAGGCTACCTATAAAAATGCCGATGGAGAAAAAAAAAAAACATTTTTTTCACAGGGAAATCTATGGTTTATCATTGCTTTAACCACATTATATGGAATATAAGCGGAATATATAGAATATGGTGATCTTCCCATGAAAAATAGTGATTTTCATGGGGGTTCTGTATGGATTTTAATGAATGTGAATGGGATAACTATGATTCTGGGTATGTTTTTTTCACTCACCTGAATTGTTGGGCCATCAAAGGGGATGATTTCCCCAAAAAAAAAAACATGACTCCAGGCTTCGGGGGAACAGGCTTCGGGGGAACAGGCGAAGCGGTCGTGATCAAGTTTACCCAGATTAACCATTACCATCAATAACCATGATTATGAACTATTACTAACCATTAATAACCATTCACCATTAATAACCACTATTGTGGACCATAGCTTGAGATTCACTACCAGTCCGGGGGAGATTGCCTCGACCGACCTGGATGCAGGCTGAGTCGATGATTGTCAATCCACTAGAAACGGGGCATCGATTACCCGGCCTGGTAAACATTAACAAAAAACGAACTGGAAAGATCCACCATGCTATCAATGGGAAAATCCATATGATTTCGACTGGGTCATTTTCAAGTTCGCAAACTGTTAGTCATAACCAGAGGGTAAGGGAATCCTAGTGTCATTTTTTGGAGGATTCCTGAGAAGCAAATCCAAGAGAATGAAAGGATCACTTTCGCAAGGCCAAAGCTTAGCGGCTTAGCCATATATTATTTCGCCTTTCTTTCTGAAGTTTCAAGTTTCCAGTAACCAGTTTGTTTTTCCATATCGAAGAGCATAATGTATAATGATTTTACTTTGCCATATCCACTAGCCTATGATGTTCCTATGGTTTTTTCTATGATTATCCTATGAGTATCCATATTCAAACATATCAAACCATATAAAAACCATATAAAACCATATAAAAACCATGTTACACCATATAAAAACCATATAAAACCATATAAAAACCATGTTACACCATATAAAAACCATATAAAACCATATAAAAACCATGTTACACCATATAAAAACCATATAAAACCATATTTCAACCAAAGGTTGCAACCCACAGCGGTTGCCATAGCTCAGTTCTCAGTGTCCTGAGCCATCGAACCAGTTCCCTTGGATCCGTGGGTTTCTGGATGCGAGCAGGGACCAGCCTTAGCATCTGGAGCTGTTAAGCCGCTGAAAAATCCCATGATTCTTACTGGTTTTATATGTCTTGAGGGGTAGGTAGCCCCCACCAACCAGTTATTGATTCTATGGTTGAATATGATTTTATATAATTTTTATATGGTTTGATATGTTTGAATATGGATAATCATAGGATAAACATAGGAAAACTATTGGAAAATCATAGGAAAATCATAGGATGATAGGATAATCCACTAGCCAGGGGAATGAGGAGTCCTGGTGAAATACACCCATAAAATGCTAGGTTCATCATCATTTTACCAGTTCATACCTCTGGGTAAATTATAATATTTCACTAACCTGAATTAAGGCCATTTGGGGATGATTTCCCTTATTAACCATGATTCCAGTGAGGTCACAGTGAGGTCGTTATAATTTACCCAGATACCTGGTTGGTGGTATACCAAAACCCCTCTGAAAGATGATGGAGTGAGTTCGTCAGTTGGGATTATATTATTCTTCACAATATGATGGGAAAAATAAAACATGTTCCAAACCACCAACCAGTATGCATGAAAATCCCATGATCTTCTTAGCACATCTCCAAAATGTCCTTTTTTAGATCCGTAAAATCGCATCATAGTTCATACATCATCACTGGAATCTTAAGCCGTATTCCCCCGATCATCTATCATCAATCATTGTCTTTTGGTTTAGAAACATGATCAACTATCAACCCATATCAAGCCTGTTGCAGCCCCAAATCCCAAACACCATTTCCAGTGCATTATCCCAGTGGAAATGATGAGGTAGGTACTTACCCTAAACCCGTATCAACCCGTATCCAAGACTTCCAAGACTTCCGCTCAAGATAATCCCTATGATGTACCATAGGACCTATGATATTGCTGGATTTTCCCATTAAACATATCCCCAGAAAGTACCATCATCGGATCATTGTTGGTTAAATCTACAGATTGCTCAAGGCCACTTGAAGTGATGGATGGAGGGCTACCCCATCCATACACAAATGAGCAGTGTTCAAAAGCCTGTTGGTTGGTTAAAAAAAAAACGGTTGGTTATCCTACAGGATGGGGCCCCCAAGATAGCTAAGTTGCCTTATAAGTGGCTTTATGGTAGATATAACTATAGTTAATAGGGCTTATAATGGTTTATAAACCCACTTATAACTGGGGGGGCCCATCCTGTATCCTTTATGTATTTGGGATTATCACAGTCGCTGAAGTGGGAAATCCGTTCTTAACCAGCTCAGGGAACTATGGAAGATGGGGATAACTGGCCTCAGAATTTTTCGAAATCTATGGATTTATCTATGCTTTATGAGAATCAATATATTTAGGAATATATTGGTAGAATTGTAATAGCTAAACATCTATGTATGCTATCCATGTATATATATATATATATACTTAGAATTACTAGATTAATATATTACCAAACAAGTTCCAGGGTAATCATCTATATCTTGTTACCATTTATCTGGGTAAATTATAATATTTCACTCACCTGAATTGTTGGGCCATAAAAGGGGATGATTTCCCTATATCTAAACCATGATTCCAGGCTTCGGGAGAACAGGGTTCGGTCGTGATCAAATCTACCAAGATTGATAATTAGTCCTTCAACCAGATGGGGATGATTCTATAGGTAAAATAAAGCCATAAAACAAGATTTAGAATATTCCCTATCCCATAGGATCCATGTATGCTATATATGGTAACATGGATCCCATCAATGTAACATTTACCATCAATATATCCCAAATGTTAGCATATATACCAGCACCATGGATCCTATGGGGAATGGCGATCCATCAATACAAGGTGGTGCCCCCCCAGTGATAAATGGATTATAATCCCATTAACTATAGATATATCACCTACAATGTGAGGCCCCCGGCCACGATATCTAAGTTGGTGAACATAACTCCAATGTCACGAACTGGTTTATGGTACGCAAATAACGAACTAGTATTCCTATGGTTTATGGTACTTATAACATACATGGATCCTATGGGTAATATGAACATCAATGAACATCCCCAGAAAATCCCAACGACTCATTTTACCCCTTTGTTAATGGTGAATTATCACTAACAACATGGATCCTATGGGTATATATAAGAAGGTCTTAAGAAGGTCTTCAGGAGCACCAGATCTCTCCATCTGAGCACATCCCACGGCTTCGGTGGCTCCATGGGAGCCACTTCCATGGCGCCTTTCTCCTCCTCCTGGCTAGACATAGGAATTAACCATCCAAAAAATTGAGATTTAACTGATTTAACCTTCCAAAAAATTGAGATTTAACTGATTTAAACATCCGAAAAATAAGATTTAACCAACAAAAATGGAAAATGTTGCCATCGAAACAATGGGGATTTAAAACATAAAACATCCAGATTTCACCATCTTTGTAATAAACAAGAAGGATTTACCTATCCCGAATCATTAGGAATCTCGCTTTCTGATGGCCCACGGAGTTCCCCCCACAAGGCCCTCAGAAAACATAGGTTTCCCTATGTTTCCCTCTGGTATGTTTTTACAGTTTGCGAACTTGAAAATGGTGATTTAGTTCGTGGATTTACCCATTGAACATGGTGGATCTTTCCATAGTTTTTTGTATGTTTACCAGAGGGTTGTTTTTTGGTTCAGATGGTTTAACAATAAAAAACTGGTTGGTGGTGCTGGCTGTGCCCATCTTAAAAAATGATGGAGTTCGTCAATGGGTTTCGGATTACATCCCATATATGAAATGGAGAAATAAAAGTCATGTTTGAAACCACCAGTCCCAGATTTTGTCAAACATCTATACCATCCATTAACCATCCATTATCCCATATATGAAATGGAAAAATAAGACTCATGTTCCAAACCACCAACCAGTTATAGTTGTTCATCATGATGTTCATGGTTTTTCCCATTTTTCTATGGATTTCCATAGATTTCCCATGGATTTCTGTGGATTTTCCTTTATTTATTGGGAAATTGAAGATGAAAATCCCCAGCGACCCAAATGATCCTCATCAGATCTCCAGGGACTCGGTCCCTCGGTCCCCGCCTCCGGTTTGCTTTTCGGCTTGATACCCAGCCTGACCAAAAAAGTGCCCAGAGCTCCCTATGGTCAATTTTTTGGGGGTTTTCACCATAGCTGTAGCATTTTTGTTCCACTTAACTGCACCAAGATGATTCTCATCATTGATCATCAGGAATTGAAAACTGAAATTCCATCGCTGAAAGTCAAGTGGCGCTTAGGACTACCACGTTCTTGGGTCTTTACTACCGTGGCTACCAAGCAGTTGCTGGATGTACAATGATGATTTGGGTATGTACCATCTGGTTATTTAACATAGCCATGCAAAAACACCATTTTTTATAGGTAAACCATCTATAAATGGGCCATTTTGCATGGCTATGTTAAATAACCAGAGGGTACCTCAAAATAATCACGGTTGTTCCATTGTCCAAACAGACATAGTCCCCTAAAGGGCTCCAAGAGATTCCCCCAACGTGGTGCTAAAGACCCAAGAACCAACAGCCATCCCATTTTTCAGGTTGAACATAATTCATCTGTTCATGAACAATTTTATAATATATATATATACATAATACATATAGCCTATAGTAACCCCGAAAAGATAGGAACTACATCATCACTATTTCCGTAGAATTTGACGTGTCTCTCCTTTAGTTCGTGGATTTACCGTTAAAGATGGTGGATCTTTCCAGTTCGCAAGTTGTAACAGTTTAGAAGGTAAAACCCATTGAAATTATGGGGATCTCCTAGAATTACTATAGTTGACATACCCTGTAGTTGATAAATTATATCTATATAACATATATAACTTGGGCTCTGCCTCGTGACACTAACAGTGACCACAATTCATACCACAAAAAAAAGCACAAAAAAAATCAGGTTGTAGTCCCCAATATGACTTTCATTTCCCCTTATTAAGGCTAGATGACCAGGCATGTTCCCTGCAAGTTGGCTCCACGGTCGGCACATTTTCTTGCCGTGCCCAGAAGTCCTTGCTGTCAAAATTCGACATTGGCATTTCCAATGGGGTGCCTCATGCATCCAGCTTGTCAGCACCTTGTGGGTAGTGATGCTGCTGATTGCAAAGCAATATTGTTTAGGGTTTTGGATGCTGCCCATGGCAGCGATGATGGCAAAGCAATACTGTTTAGGGTTTCGGATGCTGCCCATGGCAGCGCTGATGGCAAAGCAACGCTGGTTCGGGTTTAGGATGCTGCCCACCACAATGCCGATGGCAAAGTAATGCTGTTAGGGTTTAGAATGTTGCCCATCGCAGCGCCGATAGCAAAACAATAGAATGTGTGTGTGTACAATACATATAAAGGCCGGGGCTGCTGGACTGACCCTGGGCAAGGGTTGGGGGCTGAGCCTGGGGGCTGGAGCCTGGGAGCTGGGGAATGCTGGGGGACTAGAGGCCTGGCGGGCTGGCTGGCTGAGGTGGGGGCTGGAGCTGGGCCGGGCTGGCCAATTGAAAATGCTTTAAAAGCAGCGACTTTCCAAAAGCAGAAAAAAAGCAGAAAAAAGCAGAAAAAAGCACAAAACAAGCACAAAAAAAAGCAGAAACTGGCGCAGGAAAAAAAGGAAAATGACTTTGTTTTTTTTGTGCGTTTTTTTTGTGGTATGAATTGTGCTTTTTTTTGTGCTTTTTTTTGTGGTATGAATTGTGCTTTTTTTTGTGCTTTTTTTTGTGGTATGAATTGTGCTTTTTTTTGTGCTTTTTTTGTGGTATGAATTGTGCTTTTTTTTGTGCTTTTTTTTGTGGTATGAATTGTGTTTTTTTTTGTACTTTTTTTTGTGGTATGAATTGTGCTTTTTTTTGTGCTTTTTTTTGTGGTATGAATTGTGCTTTTTTTTGTGCTTTTTTTTGTGGTATGAATTGTGCTTTTTTTTGTACTTTTTTTTGTGGTATGAATTGTGCTTTTTTTTGTGCTTTTTTTTGTGGTATGAATTGTGCTTTTTTTTGTGCTTTTTTTTGTGGTATGAATTGTGCTTTTTTTTGTGCTTTTTTTGTGGTATGAATTGTGCTTTTTTTTTGTGCTTTTTTTTGTGGTATGAATTGTGCTTTTTTTTGTGCTTTTTTTTGTGGTATGAATTGTGCTTTTTTTGTGCTTTTTTTTGTGGTGTGAATTGTGCTTTTTTATGCTTTTTTTTGTGCTTTTTTTTGTGCTTTCTGGCAATTGAAAACAAATTAGATAATAGTTTCCCTTCACAATTTCACATGCGAACGGGCTGGAAACGCGCATGAATTGTGGTTTTTTTTGTGCTTTTTTTTGTGGTATGAATTGTGCTTTTTTTTGTGCTTCTTTTTGTGGTATGAATTGTGTTTTTTTTTGTGCTTTTTTTTGTGGTATGAATTGTGCTTTTTTTTGTGCTTTTTTTTGTGGTATGAATTGTGCTTTTTTTTGTGCTTTTTTTTGTGGTATGAATTGTGCTTTTTTTTGTGCTTTTTTTTGTGCTCGGGAGCGCCGGAAAAGCACAAAAAAAAGCACAAAAAAGCACAAAAAAAGCACGAAAAAAGCACAATTTCTTTGGAAAAAATGAATCTCAGGCCACCTGGCCTCGACAGCCTTCGGACCAGCGGCCCAGCAAATGTCTCACACCATTTCCTTTTTTCCAACCTCCTTTCCAAAAAAAACTCTCAAGAGTGAGCCCATGCCAGGAGCGGGAATGTGAAAAAAATGTAATTATCATATGATGTTTATTAAGAACCTCAACAACTATTGTTGGAGGCACGCCTTTGTAACGCTTTTCATTTATAACTTACAATGGTTGGACCGTTTGATTGCAGTGTCTCGGTATCTCAGGTATGCTGCATTCAATATTGTAAAGAATGTCATGAGTCATAATATCGTATCATCATATCGATGCAACACCTTGCATCATCATACCAAATCATTGCCATTGCTATTTGACACACAAATATTCAGATAAACAAAATGATGTCAGCTGTCAGACTTCCCAGAACCATTCCAACGTTCCAACCATCAAAGGATATCAACAGCAACATCGATACTTTGATTTTTTGGCTAGTTGATGACAAGTTCAGCAAACATGTCCTGATGGCTCCAACAATATGGCGCAATACAAAAGGATGTTCGTTAAAATGATTTAAATGGTTTAACCACAAACAATGCCACCTCAAAGGTAGTGATGTTGTTGCATTCACTACTCCACCCTTTGTTACTTGTACGGCCCACCTAGATCACATCTTCTCCTAAGCAGACCCTAAGGATCCCCTAAAATGGCCTGAGTTACCACCAATATGATTGTGCTTTTTTGGTATGTGGTTTATGAAGGGGGGGCAGTTTTGAACTGTTAGTGGGCGGGGGCAGACCTCAATATATAACATATATAACATATATAACACATATATATATATACATATATATATATATCAAAACCAAGAAATTCGATCAAATTCGCGCTTTGCTTAGCAAATTCTAGGGAACTGACCTCAGCAAACCAACAAACCCATCCTTTCTGGTTGGTGGGGGCTACCAAAACCCCTCTGAAAAATGATGGACAACTCGTCAGTTGGGATGATTCCATTCCATTATTCCATTCCATTCCCAAGTGTTTCTGGAAAGTCATAAAAAAAATCTTCCAGTCACCAACCAGAACTCAATCTTGGGAATGGAATGGAATCATCATCCCAACTGACCATTCATTCAAAATTCCATGGTTCCAGTCACCAACAAAGCCATCCTTTCTGAATGGTAAATCCCCATGTTGACTCCACAACGATCTCCACAACGATCTCCACGGGCCGGGCCCCCCGTCTTCTCCAAGCGCTGCGTCTTCTTCGTGCGCTCCAACTTGCGCTTGGCCTTGTCCGTCAGCGGCAGCTTGGGCAGTTGCGAGTCTGGCAACTCGTGCATCTGGCGCCGTGGAAGCCACGGTGACAGGGACCACCTTGGTAAAAAATTGTGGTTTGACCATGAAAAATGGTGATTTTCCCATGAACAATGGTGATTTTTATGGGGGTTAATGGATTTGAATGAATGAGAATGGGATAACTATGGTTATATAATATATATATATATTATATCCACTTCAACCATAATTGGAGGATCTTGGTGCAGTTGAGGCTACTTCTCTGGGTATTGCTATGGTGGAAATGGTGAAATAGATGCACTTAGGTCACTGGAACTGCACTTCCAAGTACATTCAATATTGATAGAATAATTTGATAGAATGGGATAGTACCATGTTATAAGTACTAAAGGTGATAGTACCAGAATAATTTGATAGTACAACAGCACTTCCAAAATATAATAATTAGTAAGTTATAAGTTGTTTTGATTAGGATATAAAGGGGGAACCATCTATGTTTGGAGATAAGTGGAGTGTTTACCCTCTGATAATCTAACATACCTATGGTATGGATTGCCGAATTACCGATTGTTTACCAGGTTTTCGCATGTTTGACGGTCAGATCCTCATGTGCCTTGGCTTCTTGGCTAATCCATCGAAAATCACCCTTTTTGGTGAGTTAAATCACTTCAATCCCCCTACTTAGGTGGGCCATGGAGTTAGTTAACCAGTTAGTAACTGGGGTTATAACCCCCAAAAAATCCCAATTATAAGCCATTTACTAACTAGTTAACTAACTCCATGGCCCATCTAATTACCCTCTGGCAAACTAACAGTTTGCTACGGTGTAGATGAACCATTTAGTTATATTTCGTTCGATGACTGACCCATTACAAAAAGGTGTTTTCCACAGCAAACTCTTAGTGTACCAGAGGGTATCTAATGAATTGCTGGATTAAATTCATAAAATCCCCCAAATTTTCGCCAATGTTTTTCTGATTATAGTCACTTCAAACCCCTTTTTTTTCTGGATGAAAATCTGGAAATCCCAACTTTTTCCCAATTTTTCTTGAAAAAAAACGTCAATCTCCATGTTTCTGGATGAACATCCACATTTTTTGCCAGCTCAGCGGCTACAACAAAATCGCAAAATCGCCTCGCCCTCTTCGCCGTCAGACTCATCCGAACCCAGTTCCTGCAACGAGGTGCCTGGCAGGATGAAAAATGGTGATTCATCCTGTGGAAAAATGGAAAACATCATGCAATTTTGGATATGATAGCTGATTTTCGATAGGTGATTTAATGATGATTTATGAGATTTAATGGGATTTAGATAGCAAAGTTGGAATTTTGACAGTAGTTCTATCTTGTGGATCCAGATACATCTGAGGAAGCTATCTAAACAGATATTTCTACTAGATACAAACATCAGCATTTAGCGGGCTGAGAGATTTGTTTCAACATGCTATCCAGTCGCTATCCCATGAAAATGCTGGGTATGCTGGGCATTGGAAACATCCATGAAAACGGTATATCATATCAAATACTTGGATTTGCTTAAGGGGTCCTCAAAAAAAAACAATATTCACTATAGATTCCCCAAATGGTGATTTTCCTATTGGGATAATAAGAAATCACCTTAAACAAAACCCAGAATACTCTATAAGTGAAAGAAATGAATATCAAAATCATTCAAGATCAACATACGACTGTATCAATTATTGTGTGATATTCCCATGTGTGATGGCGATAATATGTAACAATGGGAGACGCCCTTCTTACATAATCATACATGTATGATATGATATTCCCATGTATTACCGACTGGTAATTTAACATAGCTATTGAACATGGCCATAGAAATAGTTGATTTATAGTACCTATTAAACATGGTGATTGTTGATTTCCCTATTAAAAATTGTGATTTTATGATTTTCCAGTTCGCAAAGCGTAAACGTTTACCAGGCCGGGTGCTTACCCGCTTGGCACCCCACACCCCTTGGCACCACGGCCTCGTCCCTTGGAGAGACCCGAAAAGATGTCTTGACCTTGACTGAGTCAGGTCGAGAGGCTACGGTGGTGGTTGTGGCTTGTTGTTGTGGTTGATGATTTGTATTGATTGTTAATGATTGTTATATCATGATGATTACTGATTATTACTTCTATTGATGATGATGATGATGATGATGATGTTGTTGATGTTGTTGATGATAATCATGATTATCATGTTGAACAGGATTATCCATGATTATCCATATCCTTGTTTGAAAAAGCATACTCAGCATGGAAATTGTCACAACTTGCGGTATCCTCGATTTGAGACAAACCCTGATCTCTTCAGGGCTTCATCTTTTCGCCTCCACCCCATCTTACCCTCCACACTGCGTTTTCTGCTGCTGCCACTCACTTTGCAAAAAACTTAAGTCTTAAGTTATACTAAAGTATTCCATCCAGTCGTTTTCCCAAGTATAGCTTCATATGATCCCCAATGATCTGATTTTCCCAAATAAAAAACAACATCATACCGCTGTTTTTGGTTGGGAGAAAAACATCAGTTCTATCGGTTCCATCACCATTTTCTATAGTTCAAACATGTTAAAACCATATTGATTCTCAGTAAAAAACAAAAACTCGGTAAATCCCTTCAGTTTCTCGGAAAAAAACATGTTAAAAGCCCATATGTGTTTGGATTTTGGAGGGTTTGAACATGGTTTCCCATGGTTTCCCCCTTCACTTCCCATGCCATTTTGGATGGATTTGCACTTCCCATGACCCAAAAACAACCCACGGGATTCCGGCTGAACCAGCGCTTGGCCCTCTGTTCACCTCTCAGCTCTTCCTCGTGAGGCACCTCAGGGGGGTTCGTTTCACTCTTTGTGGGATCAAAAATGAAGGGAAACCGGGGGAAAATCATGGAAATTGATGGACATATCATGGAAAATGATGGAAATTGAAGGACATATCATGGAAAATGATGGAATTTGATGAACATATCATGGAAAGTGATGGAAATTGAGGGAAATATCATGGAAAATGATGGAAATTTTAGGGAAGTATCATGTAAAATATGATGCAAAATGAAGGGAAACCTGGAAATGATAAGGGACATATCATAGTTCACTTATTGGATTCTCGGCATCGTCTGTGGGCTTTACGATATGTTTTTCGCTTTACGTTAATAGGAAAGTAATATATACAACAAAACTATTCGAATTGGATGATTTTTATCATTTGAATTCGGACTAACACGTCGGACGGACCTTGTGATCTTTTTATTTTTCTCACGGATAGCATCGTAACTGGTGTCATAACCCTACAGGATGGTGCCCCCCAGTTATAAGTTGGTTTATAAACCCCATTAACTATAGTTATATCTACCATAAACCAGGTTAATAGTTAAACATAAACATAATATTATGTTCTATCAACATTATTATATTATATTTAACATTATGCTTAACTTATGAATAAACATATAATATATATATATTAAGTTATGTCCAACAGATTTCCTTCAGAGATTTCGTCCAGTTCGACCAAGGGACCATGGCCGTCTCTACGGCATCTTCCAGGGCTGGGAACTTTTCTTCCTTCGCCGAGGCGGGCGCCGAGGCGGGCTCTTCGTTCTCTTCGTCCTAAGAAAACGAAGCCGCGGCGCAAACTTCGTCCGTGGAACACAGGAGGGAAGCTGCCTTTGAGCATCAATAAATTGGATTCAACTTACCATCTGGTTATGACATTCACAGCTTGCCATGGAAAGATCCACCATGCTATTAATAGATAAACCATCTATAAATGGACCGTTTTCCATGGCTATGTTAAATAACCAGAGGGTAAAAAATGAGGTTTCACCTTCTTCAGGTGGACATGTCACCTTTTGGATGATATATGATGATATTTACTGTGGATCTGTAAGTCATTTTCCAGAAATGGGACGAAAGTTGATTCCAGCATGAAATTTTTGAGGAGTTGAGTTGAGCCACTTTTGGTAACGCCGGATCAGATGCTGGGACGTAACCATCAAAAAACAGCATGGAGAGTCAAGATGGGTGTGAGCCATACCACTTGGCATACCCTCTGGTTATGTCAAAATAGCTATTGAACATGGCTATAGAAATAGTGAGTTTTCCCATTAAAAATGGTGATTTTCCATAGTTATGTTAGTTTACCAGAGGGTATCCATAAAAATGGGAGGGGGATGGAGGAGGAGTGATCCTGAAACAGGAGGAACAAACATCAAACAAACATCAAACACGAGAATCAATGGTCAATCTTTCTGCAAAAAAAACACAAAGGATGGGGATGTTGTTGGACCAATCTCAAATCAACAATTGGTACCCTCTGGTTATTTAACATAACTATGGAAAGATCCACCATGTTTAAGTTCGGTAAACCATCTATATAAATGGACCATCTATACCATGGCAAACTGTTAGTCATAACCAGAGGGTATCAACCCAGCTGAAACCCAAAAAACACATACCCTCTGGTAAACTAACATAGCTATGGAAAATCACCATTTTTTTTATGGGAAAACTCGCTATTTCTATGGCCATGTTCAATAGCTTTTTGTATGTTTACCAGGCCGGGTATCAACAAAAAACCGATCTCTTTCCGCGGCGGAATCCAGAGGTGTAACTCAACCTATCCCCAGAAACGAGTCGTCCTCATCACCGGCTTCAATGGCCTGGATTTTGTTTCCTGTCCAAAGATGTCTGGATCACGTCTGTATCTCCAAAAACTTCCCCCAAAACAAACACCAAAACAATTTCCATGAATCGACCAGAAAATGTGAAATCAGTGTCCAAAACAAAATGTCTCTACTCTTTCAATTGAAAAATGCGAAACGTGTCTGACTCGGATTGAAATTGCTCACAAATCTCACACCATTCGAATCATTAGAATCATTGATTTCTTCATATTTGACACAATGTGAGGCCCCCAAGATAGCTAAGTTGGTTTATAACTCCAAAAACTATGGTTTATGGTACTTATAACGAACTAGTTACTGGGGCTTTTGTTAACCAACTAACATCACTGGGGGGCCTCACATTGCATGATCCATGTTACATAAATCACATATCGAGCTGACATCAATACCTAAGAGATCTGCTTCCACGCCTGTAGCATCCCCTGCACCTAACGACAGGTGGGTTACCAACACCAAGGACACAGCAGCTGATTGGTTCTGAATTCTGGAAAGTTTGGTCCATTTTCTGTTCCATGAAAAGATAAAAGAAGGATTCTTCAACATGGGCGACCTCCAAAAATATTCGTTAACCAGACATTTTGCGAGGAGTGAATCACAGTTTAAGCACTGCTCAAACAAACAAAGGAACTGTACTTGGTGGTTCATCCCAGCGCGAGTGGGTAAGTTCACCCCAGTTACACTTGTCAACATTGCCCCTGCGTAGCCATTTTTTCAAAAAACAAGCTTATAACACGTCAAAAAACATGTCAAAAAACACCACCACTTACGATTCCTGGGATGAACCACCAAGAAATAATGATGATGATGATGATGATATATATATATATATCATATATTATGTATATGTATAGATATGTAACAATTGTATATAATCACTATGTATAGTCACCAATTATATGTATATTATATACCTGGTTGGTGGTTGACCTACCCGTCTGAAGAATATGAGTTCGTCCGTTGGGATTATGAAATTCCCAATCTATGGAAAGTCATAAAATTCCATGGTTCCAAACCACCAACCAGATATATATCTGATACCCTTTGGTAAACTAGCATAGCTATTGAAAATGGCCATAGAAATAGTGAGTTTTCCCATGAAAAATGTTCCAGTCACCACCAATCAGATACCAATTTGCTCATGATTTCATCGTCACAGAAGGGTAACCCGCTCCAGTTTCGAAGCACTTTCCTTCATCCCATGAGTTCACTATTGCTGAAAACTTCCTTGAAACTTCGAGGATTTTCCCATATATCATTGGTATATACATAGTGATTATATTAACATATCTATAGATATATAATAAATGATTAGATATATATAATCAACCATTACTATATTATAAATTATTATAATATGTTTTTTATCATTAACATCATAATAGTTATCTGTTCATTATTAGTAGTCGAAGGAAGTTTAGAAGTCAAACTTCCGACAATATGGACAGATGAAAAGCAGAGGAGGGCAGAGGCAGAGAGAAGAGGAAGATTAGAAGAGAGAAGATCAGAAGAGAAAGAGTAAGAGGACAGAAGATACAGATGCGCGAAAAGGTAAGAAAGTCGCGAAACACTGTGTTTTTGCACGCCGTTGTGGCGCGAAGCACATTTCCAAGTCAAAATGTACAAAACACCTCAGGTCCGGACCACTTTTGGAAGTTGAGATGTTGAAAAAGTGCACGCCGTTGTGGCGCGAAGCACATTTCCAAGTCAAAATGTACAAAACACACCAGCGTCGGACCACTTTTGGAAGTTGAGATGTCGAAAAAGTGCACACCGTTGTGGCGCGAAGCACATTTCGAAGTCAAAAGTGTAAAAAACTGAGGGTTTTGAGCCTTTTTTGACGTTAAGATGTCGAAAAAGTAGACACTGATTAACTTAACTAACTTGACTAACTTAACTAACTTCACTACCCCAACTTCGACGACAACAGCAGGAACAACAACAACAACAACAGCAACAACAACAACCACAACAACAACCACAACAACTACAACTACAACAACAACAACTACTACACAACAACTACAACTAGAACTACAACTACAACTACAACAACTACAACTACAGCTACAACTACAACAACTACAACAACAGCAACAACAACTACTACTACTACAACAACAACTACAACTACAACTACACAACAACTACAACTAGAACTACAACTACAACTACAACTACAACAACTACAGCTACAACAACAACAACTACAACTACAACAACAACAACTACTACAACAACTACAACTACAACTACACTACACAACAACTACAACTACACAACAACTACAACTACAACTACAACTACTACTACAACTACTACAACTACTACAACTACAACTACACAACAACTACAACTACACAGCAACTACAACTACAACTATATGACTGCAACTACACTACAGTAATTACATTACACCACAAGTACAACTCCACTACGCTACAACTACAACTACAGTTGCAGTACATCACACTACATCCAGCAGTTGTGGGTAAGGTGACCACTGCAACCATTGCAACCACTCCAGCAAACACAACTCCAACCACCTTTCGGTCAATCAGTGGCTTCGCTCTGCCATCCCTGATTCACAACAACCAACGTCTCCTATAGGTTTCCTATTTTTGAAACTTCCGCCACCGCCTTGTGCGGTACTACTGGTACTAGACTACTAGCATTACTTGGTGGCTCATCCCACTTAATAACTGGGTTATAACCTTGGTTTTTTCAATGGGCTAAGTAGGGGCAATTGGTTCACTTGTAACTGGCGTGAACAAACCTACTTACTCACTGGGATGAACCACCAAGTAATATTCATCGTTACTATTAATAATATGCATTTCTTTATCATTAACAGCATAGTTAATAATAATAATCAATAATCACGAGCTAACTATTAATAATAATCATTATATATATCTATAATCCGTTGGTTACATCATGATAATCACTATTAATACTATTCGCATGAATATTAGCCATCATCCCAGTGAGGGAGAACAGTGAGGTCGTTATAATTTACTCAGATATATATATATATATACATATATATATATATATCTTCTCACCCATCAATCAGGGTATCATTGATAGTACACCCAGTATTATATATGGTTTAACAATGGTTTATGGTAGATATAACTATAGTTAATGGATGTTAATGGGGTTTATAAACTAACTCATAACTGGTTTTCCTGATCCTGTCCTCGCATTATACATATATATATATAGCCAAGTGAGCTAACAAGATAGTATCTATAGCTAACTACTTAGTATATAACCTATCTAGTTATGGCCCACATGAGCCTTCAAGTATAATAACTATCAATAATAATCATTATACATAATCCGTTGGTTACATCATAATAATGACTATATTAATATAATCACTATATATTTATAATCACTATATAATCACTATATAATCACTATATAATCACTATATAATCACTATATAATCACTATACAATCACTATATAATCACTATATAATCACTATATAATCACTATATAATGACTATATAATCACTCTTAATACTGATGATTATATAATATATATATATATAGATAGATGTCATTTATTCCCATTCATTTCGGGATATATCTCGACCATTTCCAAAAAAAAACGCTGCTCCACCTTCGACCAAGGCTTCAAGAGCCGCACCATCTACACCTTTTTTCACCATTTTGGCAAGACCAATTTGTGGGAAAATGGTGGGAAAATGCTGGGAATATTGTTAAAATTGTGGCTCGAACATGGCAATAAACTAGTGCAAACATGACGAGTTTAAACATTTTTCAACCACCAAAATTTGGTGTGTTGGCAAGACAAAAAAAATCACTTGGTGGACACATCATTTACAGAGATGACCAACTAAGAAAAACTCACCCATATGAAATCACTAAGATATACAAATCACTAAGATATACAAATCACGAAAGTCGGGTCTGAAAATCTATGGCAGTTCCCCGACTTTCGTGATTTGGTGCCAGTGATGCCAGTTCACGTTCACCGAAATGGATGGGAAAATCATGATTTTCATCGGGGCAAAAGATCTGGCTTTCATGGGTTTCCTATATTATATGGTTTCCCGTTGTCGATTTCAAGAAATCCATGACAAGGCCGGCCGACACTCAGAAGTCGGTGGTTCATAATTCGTACCCCATGGGGGAAAACCAGTTATGAGTTAGTTTATAAACCCCATTAACATCCATTAACTATAGTTATATATAATATATATAGTTATATCTACCATAAACCATTGTTAAACTATATATAATACTGCGTGTACTATAGAAGACATTTGAGACCGTTATTATGGTTTATTATGGTAGACAATTCCCAAGAATACCATCGTTACAATTGTCTACCATAAAAATACCATTAACTAGTTCGTTATATCTACCATGTGAGGCCCCCAAGATATCTAAGTTGGTTTATAACTCCAATAACTATGGTTTATGGTACTTATAACTATAGTTATTGGGGCCTCTAAACCAACTTATAACTGGGGGGCCTCACATTGTACCATAATAAACCCAAGGTTTTTTTCCCACCTTTTGAGACAGCCCGTCCATCGAGGAAAAATTCCCACGGATGGAAAACATGTCGGGATGACCATCACTGCCACCGCTGTCCATCAAGTCCTGGTTGACGCACTGTCTGTCGTCCGAAGCGCCAGAAATGTTCGATACCTTGAAATGACCTGATACCGATATAAAACCATAAAATCTATCATATAATGCTGAAGTGGCATGATCACTTATATATCTAGTTTCAAGATGTATCAAGATGTATCAAGATGCATCAAGCATCTCTACCTAGAATTTCCCAGTGATTTTTTTTTGCAAAGCTCACCACAAGTTCCCCCAACAAAAAGCTCTTCGTCGTCCTGGAACTTTCGCAGGGCCTGCAGGTCATCTTCACTCTCATCCTGGAGTCGGGTGAAGAAAAACCGTTGTTGACCCTGTGGTAAACTGACCCTCTGGTAAACTGACATTCATCTACCAAGAAAAATCACATGTGTTTAGGTACCATCTGGTTATTTAACATAGCCATGGAAAATCACCATCTTTCTATGGGCCATGTTCCATGGCTATGTTAAATAACCAGAGGGTAAATGAAATTAGATGAATGTAAATGATCTATACACGGTCGATTTTCCGCCCTTGAAAGTTATAAGTGGGATGAAATAACTCCTGCTAAGGTGAGAACTATATAGACAGATCACTTAAATGAGGCTAAGAGCCAGTTATAAGGCCTATAACTCTAACGCTTCATAAAAAAATCGAACATTTCGTGCAAATAAAAAAATTGAATCAACCATCAACATAGGATTCGAGAATCTCAAGCAGATGTCTTTCCTGGCCATCCAGACCTCAAGTTACATGGCTGATCTTCCCATGTGAAAAATCCCCCAAATTCGGTTCGGGGGGCTGGAACGATTCGTCTTTCCGGGGCGTGGACCTGAAAATGGGGAAATCCGAAACATGGCATTTATATGGGTTTTATATGGCTTTTATATGGTTTTATATGGTTGAATATGGTTTAATATGGTTTATGGTCAGTGCCGGAATTATAGAACGGAAGTTGAGGAGGACGAAGGTACGGTTATTTACCGTACCCTGTTGTTCTATAATTCTGTTTTCCTCGGAAGGTATGAAAAAAAAAATGTATCCGATCTTCCTCCTATTTTTTTTCGTCGTTCTATAATTCTTGTCGGAGCGCTGTTGTTCTATAATTCTGTTTTCCCCCATCTTTCTCACATTTCCCATTTTCGTTCTATAATTAATTTTCCCTGGGCCCCGTTCTATAATTAATTTTTCCGTCGAACGGAAAAATTAATTATAGAACGGAAAAATTAATTATAGAATTATAGAACCTCTTCCGGGGTCACAGAAATCCTATAAAATCATCATGAAATCTAAGAAAATCACCGTGAAATCCCATAAAATTACCATGAAATCCCATAAAATCACCATGAAATCTTTTAAAATCACCATGAAATCTAAGAAAATCACCTGGTAAATGTGGGAAAAATGGGGGAAAACAGAATTATAGAACGGAAGTTGAGGAGTACGAAGGTACGGTTATTTACTGTACCCTGTTGTTCTATAATTCTGTTTTCCTCGGAAGGTAGAAAAAAAACGTATCTGAATTTACTCCTAACTTTTTTCGTCGTTCTATAATTCTTGTCGGAGCGCTGTTGTTCTATAATTCTGTTTTCCACCATTTTTCCCACATTTCCCATTATCCTCATGTTATCCTCATTTTATCCTCGTTATCTCATCAAATCCTCATTTTATCATCATTTTATTTTCATTTCCTTATCAAATCCTCATTAAATCCTCATTAAATCTTCATTTTATCTGTATTTTATCTTCATTTCCTCATCAAATCCTCATTAAATCCTCATTAAATCTTCATTTTATAGATTGTATATGTACAAATATGCAGTAAATATCATGTCAGTGCCAGAAATTATAGAACGGAGCCAGGAGGACAAAAGTACGATAAAATACCGTACCTTTGTCCTCCTCCCCGTTCTATAATTAAATTTCCCGACTCCGCTCCGAATCGGAACCCGGAGGAGGACACAGGTACGGTATTTTACCGTACTTTTGTCCTCCTGGCTCCGTTCTATAATTCTGGCACTGACTGTAATATGGTTTAATATATGGATAATAATGGGATAACTGGGAGAACAAAATCTGGTTGGTGGTGCTGGCTGTGCCCATCTTGAAAAATATGAGTTCGTCAATGGGAAGGATGACATCCCATATATGAAATGGAAAATAACAGTCATGTTTGAAACCACCAACCAGATGATGTTCTCATTCAAACACTCGGAAAATTGCCCATTTATAGATGGTTTACCTATTAAACATGGTGATTTTCCATGGCAAACTGCTAGTCATAACCAGATGGTATATTTCTCAACAATGTGATTTTGTGGTTGTCCATGGTTGTGAATGGTTGGCCCCCAAGAATCAAACAAACCAATCTTGACACTGCTTCTCCAATCCTACAATGTGAGGCCCCCCAGTGATGTGAACGTTGGTTAACAAAAGCCCTAGTAACTATAGTTATAAGTACCATAAACCATAGTGACATTGGAGTTATGTGGCCCCCAACTTAGATATCGAACGGGGGCCTCACATTGTAGACTCCAAAAAACTCTCGCAACCGTTGGATTTCTACAGCCGCAAAAATGCAGAAAGGATTCCGACCATCAAATGAGCCACGGATTTAATACCATCCCAAGCATTTGTTTCAAAAAAGAAAGTTGTGAGGAAACCGCCCTTCAGAAATGGATGAAAGAAACTTGACTCCAAATAACATTTGGGATAATTGGAACGTCAAAAATCTTTGGATTTCCAATGATTTCCAATCATAAAACATATAAAAAGGATGAAATCTCTTTACACATACGGTACCGGCTGGTTATGACTCACAGTTCGCCATGGAAAGATCCACCATGCTATAAGAACGGTAAACCATCGAACTTTCGATTGGGGCCATGGCTTCCATGGCAAGGTAACAGTCATAACCAGAGGGACACCGATCCTCATCTTCCAACGCTTCCTGTTCATCTCCCAGCGCCTGAAACAAAGCGAAGGTTTAAAAAACCATGGCTGCATAGGTCAAGGAGGAGAACGATAGGTCCATGGGAATATCATGGGAATCCATTGAAAACCATGGGTTAAAAAACATGGTGATAGGCCCATGAGAATCCACCATTCTACCCTTTGGTAATTTGACACACTTTGCTATTGAATAGATGGCCCATTTAGTTCGATTATTTTTAGCTATTCAAAATGGTGATTTTCAATATGTTAAATTAGCAAGGTGTAAATTGTAACCTGGCCTTTTGTCATGGGGATGTATTATAGATTATAATATATATATATATATATCCTTAATCAGAAGTAAACTGATCAGTGAACAACCAACAAAACCGGTTCAACTGATCAGAAAAACTCCCCAAAATCAAGCAGTATCCCCATTCATGAAATGTTATGCAATATCATGGGGACTTTATGGGATATCATGGGCACTTTGTAGGATATCATGGGGATATAATTTGCTTTATAACTGCAAATATCCTCCAATAGCTGTTGAGTATATGGAGGATATGACTAGATACAGTCATGTAGTTATGTATATTATATATTATTATTATATTATATATATGTACACGGATCAAGCTAAACCAACTTACATTTCACTAGGGGCACCTCCTTGACAGTGATATATGGAATATCCCCAGTGATACTATGGGCACTCTGGATCCAATCAAATGACGGATAGTCGTAAGACTTGGTCACTTCAATGTGAGGCCCCCAAGATATCTAAGTTGGTGAACATAACTCCAATGTCACTATGGTTTATGGTACGCAAATAACTATAGTTACTGGGGCTTATAAACCAACTTATAGCTGGGGGGCCTCACATTGTTGGAAACCCGAATCATGTCACAATGTGGTCGGATCCCTGGGGCGCTGAATAGCATGTTGTTCATGCTGTGTGTGTATCTAAGCTTTTTGTGGCCCTTGCCGAAACTTCAGCAGATTTCGACAAGAATTCAGAGGTTTAACCAAAAAAACGTAGGGATGAAACTAAACCCACCGGAACTCACCGGTGAGTGGGTAAGTTCATGTTTCAACCCATCTTCCGTTCTCCTAGCAGGACTCGCCTTCAACTTGTGCGCATCGCCCTGCTGTTGGTCGCAGAAATCTGCAAGTTCTGATGCCCAGCCCTGCGCTGGTTCGGTCAGCTTTACTTGGGGAATGGGCTTGAAGATGGAGGTTTCCTGAAATGGGGGTACCCCAACAAATCATCCATTTTTTCATAGGATGTCTCATGATAAACCATCCAATGCTATGGAACCCCTTAGGATGGGTCTCAAGGTTCATCCGCGCTCTTTCTGTCGTATATCATTCTGGTTTTGTAACTCATTTGGGAATGGACATACGCTATATATTCGGATTGGTTTATGATCCTCAAATGGTAACATTGGAGCTACTAGACACCAATGTTCAGGTGGATAGGTCGTGAAAATGACCTGTGAAAAGCTGAGAGTTTCTTGGGTCCGAGCCCCACTTTGCTGGTTGTACTATGTTGTCCTGTCGATGTCCACATATGTCCCCATCTTTGTTGGTAAAAATTCAATGGTTCATTATTCATTGGCTCTAAATCTCCACCCTGATTGGTTCAAATATGTTCAAATTTCCCATAGACTCCCCATATTGCCAGATATCCACCATAGTTGATAATGTTGATAATCATGTTGGTTGTAAAAATGTAGGAATCCGCACATTCTCTGGTGAAAACACCTATGATCAATCATTGGCTTCTTGAGTCTCCTGAATATGTTGCCAAAAATGTTCCCATGTTTGGCTGCCAATCAACCAATTTGTTGCCTTGAGAGGCCACTTCTTGGTATGATTAAAACATTTCCAAGTTTGAGTTTTTCACTTTCGAAATTCCAGTTTTGACCCACAATTCCTCCCCAAATCCCTTAAGGATTCCCTTGGTTTATCCTCAGTTTTCCCCCAAATTCCCCCAAAAACTGAGCAGTATTCAAAACCCCTCTATCATTCCATTTAATCCTGGTTGGTTTATAGCGATTTTCCCTATTGGATTATTAGAACCCCCAATATATATAAATATATTGGGTAGTATAATCAGTATAATCCCCGAACTAATCATCAAACAATAGGGGTAGAACGCAGCCACTGCTCAACTGGGAAACCAAAACCCAAAACTGGCGCCGTTTCGCGCGCCGTTTCGCGCGCCTGCGCCACGCGCTGGCGCCGGGTCTCCTTCTTTGCCTTCTCCGTTCGCTGTGTGGCATTGCGGTTCCTTGGAGTTACTTCTGGTGAGTTCCTTCCCTCAATATATTGATGTTACTCAAAAAACTAATAGTTAAGATTCTGGTGAGTAACTATCACTTAAATTTAAAAACCGATCAGTATACCTCAATAAATCCAGAATCTTCACTTTTCGTGACTCACCAGAAAGTATTGATAGTTACAATACTCATATTATCATCAATAGACCTGGTACGTTATTCATCGAACAAACAAATAAACTGATCAATATTACTTCTAATAAAAAAAAAATACCATCTGGTTATTTAACATAGCCATGGAAAATCACCATTTTTAATAGGTAAACCATCTATAAATGGGCCATTTTCCATGGCTATGTCCAGAGGGCATATCAATATATACCTGGTAACCACAATCACCTGAGTGGTGGACAAATTTACTTACTACTCGCAATTTACAAACTAGTCGTCAATAGTCTTCTTTGGCTAATGTTGTCGGTTACTCATATAGTAACTGGATGTAACTGGTTAGTAAGTATAGTGAATCCAGGAATTATGGGGGTATAATGACCGATTTATCAGCCATTTATAAACCAGTCAATTACTTATGGTAATCAACTGGTTTAACCAGTAACTTTTGGTACCTGGTTAAACCAGTTGAACCAGTATAACTACCGTAGATAAACCAGTTACTTATGGTAATCACCCGTAGAAACCAGAGTTCAACCAGTAATCATACTCCCACGATCCGCATGTAACTGGGATACGGATCGTCAGCCACGAAACTGTGGACATACTGTGGATGTACCGTGTTTTTTTTGAATATCCAGGAAGCTACGGGAGATCTCTTACTTTACTAAGTGAACAACAACAACAAAACTGTGGACGACCATGTGATCCGTCCACTGGTAACTCTTAGGTGACTCTTAGATTGACTATGAAAACATGGTAAATAATAGGATTATCATGGGATGTTTACCAGTTTACCATCTCTACCGCCGGATCTCGCAAAAAAATCCCAGGCCCAAGTGGGGTGAACCACGGATGGTGGGGATCATTGGAGCAACATTTTTCGGATTTTTCCATCAGCATTTTGAACATAGAAAAAAACATCGGACGTCGCAAGTTTAAGGTGATTTTTGCAAAGCCATATGCTCCATGGTGCTGGTATATTTACGGCCAAACACCTTGATTTGCCCGCGCTTTTCGGCGGCCATCTTCCGACGTGCTGAAAACGTGGTAAAAATGGGAGTTTTTTGCATGACCGGTAACTTGAAGTTGTTTATCTCAACGCACAGGTCCCTGACCTGTGCGCGGCTTTTACACAGCAACATCATCATCATCAACATTAACATCATCATCATCATCATCATCAACAACATTAACATTAACATCAACATCAACATCAGTTTAATATTCCCCAAATACCGTTGTTGATCTTCCCAATTTAATGTAAAGTTTAACGGGGGTGGGAGTTTAATATTCCCTAAATGCCCTTGTTGATCTTCCCAATTGAATGTAAAGTTTAACGGGGGTGGGAGTTTAATATTCTCTAAAACCCTTGTTGATCTTCCCAATTGAATGTAAAAGTCTAACGGGGGTGGGAGTTTAATACTCCCTACAATCTTTGTTGATCTTCCCCATTGAATGTAAAGTTTAACGGGGGTGGGAGTTTAATATTCCCTAAATACCCTTGTTGATCTTCCCAATTGAATGTAAGTTTAACGGGGGTGGGAGTTTAATATTCCCCAAATACCCTTGTTGATCTTCCCAATTGAATGTAAAGTTTAACGGGGGTGGGAGTTTAATATTCCCCAAATACCCTTGTTGATCTTCCCAATTGAATGTAAAGTTTAACGGGGGTGGGAGTTTAATATTCCCCAAATACCCTTGTTGATCTTCCCAATTGAATGTAAAGTTTAACGGGGGTGGGAGTTTAATATTCCCTAAATACCCTTGTTGATCTTCCCCATTGAATGTAGAAGTTTAACGGGGGTGGGACATTATCTTCCTAGTTGCATGTAAAGTCAACCCAATGGTAGGGTATAAAACGGGTGTGGGCGAATCAGGGTGTTTGCGCGTATATTTACCTACATTTGCCCGAACAAAATCACCCAGTCATGTAAGTAAATATACCAGCACCATGGTTCGCATCTGGGTTTGCCAAGACGACTGGAGATCCATTCGTTGCATTCGCTGTCAGTGTTGGTGCTGTCCCATGCGAAGTCGGTCCCTTTGCTCCATCGCGTGGGTAAAAAAAAAAAAAAGAAACTGCCGTGGCATATCGCAGGGGCACCGCTTTGCACGGTTTCTTGGGATCGTTTTCGTGATTCCAGTGCCGTAGCTCTCCCGTTGGGAAAATGGACTGGCATCTTTTATATCCCATAGGATCCATGTATGGTATATATGCTAACATTGGAGGTATATTGATGGGATCCATGTTACCATATATAGCATACATGGATCCTATGGGTATGTGGCATGTTTCAAGTGTATGTTTGATAGTAAACGCCCAAACATCATGCTAATATAGACATTAAGTAACCAATAAATTGAGCAATAAAAGGTAACAAAAGATAATTGCAGGTGAAGATGGTGAAGTTGGTTGTGTTTCCCATTCCATTGATTCAATATATCATATATCCCAAATTAATTTCCATAGAATCCCTTTTAAAAAAAACAATGTGTATATATATATATAAACAACACAAAATCATCATGGTTGTATTTCCCATTAATTCCCATTATAAATACACCGTGATATCCTATTGACAATTCCAGAAAATCATGAAATCAACAAATTTTGTGGCATATATATATATATATATATGTGCTCAGCCCCCCCCACCACGACCATAATATGCATTACTGGTTGGTAGTTTCAACCCCTCTGAAAAATATGAGTTCGTCAGTTGGGATGATGACATTCCCAATCTATGGAAAGTCATAAATTTCCACGGTTCCAAACCACCAACCAGTAAGAGTAATTCACTAACCTGAAATAAGGCTATCCCATTTAATATCCCATTTAATATCCCTGATTACTGTATCCCATTTATGATTATCCCATGCATCATTATCTATTATACCATTTATGGTAAACTAATGTAACTATGGAAAGATCCACCATGTTCAATGGGTAAATCCACGAACTACCCTCTGGTAAAGTAACATAGCTATTGAAAATAACCATTTTTTAATGGGAAAATTCACGACATAAATGACCATTTTCAATAGCTATTTTGACATAACCAGAGGGTAAACCACCATTTTCAATCGCTATTTACCATAAGATATAGCATCATCCACCTGGGTTTCTCGACTTGTGCACCAGTTGAGCTTTCCGGAGCTCATGGTCCAGGGCCTTGCCGCTGAGGAAAACCCCGGGCCGTTGAGGAAAACGTTGAGGAAAACCCCCGTTTCAAACAAGCGCAACGGATCGAAATTCAGGGGCGACCCGGGCAGAGTTGTTTCTTGGTTTAGCTTTTATCATGTTAAACATCTACCATATTTATCCATGATGTATCCATATTTATCCATATTTCTGGTGAAGTGCCCCAATGAACTAGTTTGATATATCATGAATTTTAAATCATGATACATCTATCATCTACCATAAGTTCTAGTACTGCTGGAGTCAGATAGAATGATGGATCTTCGGAGCAAACAGGGACAGGGAAATTGTCTATAGGAAATGATGGATCGTTTAAGCCATAAATGGGAAAATCTATGAAAATCATTGAACATCTACAAATCTACAGGAAAATGATAGTAAAACAAAGGATGAAAATGGAAATCGTATCACTTGGAGAGGGCAGGAAAATCGAATGCAGATGCAAAGCTGGAACATGGGGGCCCCCAACAATGAATTGATCCAATACTGGACAAGGGATTCTTCTGAGTTGCGTTGAATATTAAGAGGAAGGGATTATAAAATTCATATCATAGGAACAACTACAGCAACCAGAGTACATCACCGATGGCATGTCAAATGTTGGAGAAACAGACCAGCCAAAAAATAACAACAAAGCATTAAAAAAAACATAAAAACACAAAAAAAAAACTACCATCTGGTTATTTGACATAGCCATGGAAAGATCCACCATGCTTTTAAGAACGGTAAACCATCTATTTCGATTAGGAACAACTACAACCAGAGTACATCACGAAGTCAGATTAAGTGGGTATTCAACATGGCAATCTGTGTTTTGATCATGGACACTTGTCCGAATGGAGGTTTCCTAAATGGGGTACCCATATCATCCAAAATTACGCCATTTTAGTACCCATAGGATCCATGTATGGTATATATGCTAACATTGGGGGTATATTGATGGGATCCATGTTACCATATATAGCATACATGGATCCTATGGGGTATTGAAACTTGAAAGCCTCCAAATCATGGCAAGATCGACACTTCTGGTGGCTTTTGTTGACCTCCTGGTGTGTTGACCTCCTGGTGACTTGTCATGATAGTTCACAATGAATTGTTACAACCAATGGTTACTAATAACAGCTAATGTCACAACAATAAACGGTTTAAGATTTTTATAGGTTTAATCAGTTTAATCTGCTTAGTAACTTAATGGTTAATGGTAATCAGAAAAAAAATAGTGGATACCCCTTAAATTTACGGACATCTTTTCGGGAAACCATGATTTTCTGAACGACTTGATATACCAATCCTTACCCCAAACACCAACCTTCCCAGGATTCCCCTCGGTCTGTGCATCACCTCCCATCACCCCAGGTTCCAAATTGGTTGCCCCAATGAATTTAAGGTGCCAGAAATTCAGATGGACAACCACTTGAAGTCATCCATGATTCACGCTGCCTTCAAATTTACGCATATATCATGGATGACTTCAAAATCATATCATGGATTAATTCATTAAAAATTATGAACTCCTCAAGACATGTTGGGTGTCTCATTTCCAGATTTAACCTTTCAGACTTAGCAGTTGCTTTGTCAAAAGGCCCTCTTCCACGTCCAAAAAAAAATCCGGTCGAAATCTGGGGAGCCGAACCAAGTCTACTTCCATCCGAGCCAAGCGGTCCATCCTCAGTTTCAACATCAAGGGATGGATATTGTAGCATAGAAACACTGGTTGGTGGTTAAAAAACCATCTTGAAAAATATGAGTTCGTCAATGGAAAGGATGCCATCCCATATATGAAATGGAAAATAAAAAATGTTTGAAACCACCAACCAGAACATATAGAAACCATTGGTAGAAACATATAGAAACCATGAAAGTTCACTTTGACTTTGCCCATTTTTTGTCACTTGAGGATACTTTACCATCAAGGGAATCTCAATCGAAAAAAAAACATCCAAACATCCAACATGTGGAGTGAAAACGGATCTAGCCCACCAGCTGGGCGCCATTCAACCGGCCAAGTTGGGCGGTGAACGCAACTGGTATCACCATCTGCCAACAGAAGAAAAACCTCGACCTATCAAAATCATTCTCGAAATGGGCCACACATTCTCCGCCAAAAATTATAACGATTTTCCCAAAAACAGATAGATTATGATAGATTTGACCTTGAAAACTTGCCGAACATCCGCCAACCAATTCTCAGCCCCTCCGTGCCCGGCCCGTCTTCACCGCGGCGCTCATCGTCATCCTCCGATTCGCTGCCCTCGTCTTCACCGCTCCGGCGGTTCCGGCCGAAGACGAACTCCTCATCGGTCGCTGGCTCCTGGCGATGAACGCCCAGAAATGTGGAATTCGAATCATATTTTCATCAAATTTATAATGATTTATAGGGATTTTATTGGTATTTAATCCTGATTTATACAATGTGAGGCCCCCCAGTGATGTGAATGTTGGTTAACAATTAAGCCCCAGTAACTAGTTCGTTATTTGCGTACCATAAACCATAAACCAGTTCGTGACATTGGAGTTATGTGAACCCCAACTGAACGCTATCGTAAACGGGGGCCCCACTTTGTAGGGATTCATCTACTAGGATTATTAAGATAGGACATGTTCATCAATGATTTTACTCTAGGATGTTCATCACAATGTCAAGTTAGGATTCTTCAGGGATTAATCCACCACCACAGAGGAAAAATGATATGGCAATACTAAAATGACCTGGTTGGTGGTTGACCCACCCCTCTGAAAAATATGAGTCAGTTGGGATGATGATTCCCAATATGATGGGAAAAATAATCGAAATGTTCCAAACCACCAACCAGTGACTTATTTTGATCATCAAACTTCTTCAAACTACATAAGGATTGTTTGAGCAAATTGAGATGAAGCATCCAAAACTTAGAAGTTGAAAATTGATCAAAACAATGAACATGTTGAACATGTTACATTAAAAAAAAACTATAACAACATCTTCAATATGAAAAAACAATTCATCTACAGGTTTATGGTAATCAATCCATAGTTACAATTGAAAATTGACTATCAAACTGTTACATAACTATGGAACATCACCATTTTTCATGGGTAAATCAACGAACTTTCGACTGGGCCATTTTCCAGTTCGCTTTTTGTATGTTTACCAGGCCGGGTATCCAGTTTCTATCCCATTGATTGTCCCTTCTGAACCTTCGAAGTCCCATTTCTAGAGGACGAAGGATTGACCATCATACCATCATCCAAGGGATTTTCACATACTCTCCAAGGAATCCACACATTTTCCAAGGCTTCTTGGAGGACAAAGAAAACCATGGACCTGGATGATTCACAAAGATATCACACCTTGGAGAGTTTTTCGAAGGGAAATTTCCTGAGTTTTTTCGAAGATATTTGGATTTGCTGATCCAGTCCTGGTGAATTTCCTCTTGGGAAAATAAACAATGTGAACAAAACAACCTGGTTGGTGGTATACCTACCTACCCCTCTGAAAAATGATGGACAACTAAAGTCAGTTGGGATGGATGGAAATTCCCAAGATGATGGGAAAGTCATTCAAAATTCCATGGTTCCAAACCACCAACCAGAAGATATTTGATCATAGGGAAATACCAAATCTAGAGCAAACAAATACCTAAGATTCTGGAAACAAGTTGGTGTTTGCCTCACATCCAGATATGTCAGATTTCCCCGTGATTTTTCCTGCCGCTTCACCAGCTACCCCAAAACAACCATTCCTGTGATACTATCTGAATAATGTACAGAAAGCCCTAAGCCAGATTGACTTGGGCAATGAAATTGGGATTTTTGCCAATTCATCTTCAATATGAAAAATTCAATTCATCTACAGGTTTATGGTAATCAATCCATAGTAATCAATTTTTGCCGAGATTCAAAAAGCCGCTTTGTAGATATCATGTTCTTAGCCGCTAGCCAAGATGCAACGGAACTAAACCATCCAAGCGAGGTCTAAGCAAGAAACAAGTGGCTTTGAGTCAACCACTTGGTCTTTAGCTGCTTACGATATGTATATATAATATACAACAATATAAACAGTATATATATACATACAGTACATGTTACATATATATATACATATATATATATGATCCTGTATGTATCTCAATTTTTGGCAACACAAAATGACTCAAAATGACCCATGTGAAACAGGTTTTTTATTTTTGTTCGCCTCTTCGCTCATCAGCTCTTGAGGAATCGCAGATGCATCTTCCAGAGCCTGAATGAACCGCTGCAGTCAATGGAGATTTTTATGGTCATTGCGTGGGGATGTTGTGGAGTTGTGGTGAGTTTATGATATGAAAAATGGGGGGGGTTGTGGAATTTTATAGTGATTCATAGGGAATTCTTAATGGTGTTGTTAATAGGATTTATTTCGGGGATATGAAGGAATAGTAATAGAAGAGGATCATATGTAGCCAACTGGGATAATTTTTTAACAGGAAAACTTCAAAGCTGAACATACCCTCTGGTAATTTAACATAGCGAACTGGAAAATCCCAACCATAAATGGAGGTTTCTAGCTGGGAAAATCATCTGTTTCTATGGTCCATTTTCCATACTTGGTGGATCATCCCACTTAGTAAGTGGGTTATAACCCCAGTTATAAATGGGATAAGTAGGGTTAATCCACTTATAACTGGGGTTATAACCCACTTACTAAGTGGGATGAACCACCAAGTAGCTATGTTAAATTACCATAGGGATCTGTTGAACATCTGTTGAACCATCAAAAAGAACACGGGTCTCCTGCAGGCACCTCCAGTAGCGACATGTTTTTTACAAATCGCGGTGAAATATCTGAATGCGTTGAAGGGGAAATATATAGAATGTGATCAGAATGATAGTGGATATCTATATATATATGTCAAACAGATAATTATTATAGAGAGATGGATGGATATATATATATATATGATATCAATTGAGATATGTATATATACCAGGGGTGAAAAGTCAACATCTGACCATGTCGGTGGTGGTAAAAAAAACAGACATGTGAATTCTGGTGAACATCCCAAAGAATAGAGGCGACTCTGGATGTGCCTAGCGACCCCTAGGCTCATACTTTTCGGCATCCTTGGCCCAGGGTGGATGACTGGTTCGTTCTTTCAACACAGGCATAAACTGTAGTCTAACTTGGCAGTGGACCCCCCCTGCGATTGGTTTAACATAAAATTTCACCCACAAATAAAAAGTTAGGTGACCTAGGTGTTCCAAACCTGACTCTGCAAAGGCATATCTACATATCTTCCATAGAACCATGGTTGACCTTAACCTTGGAGAACCAAAACAACTCAGAAAACCAACGGGGAAAAACCAAAAAAACAAGTAAACCAACCAAAAAAAGCAACCATCAACTTCCGAAAAACCAGAAAAAAAACGGGAAACCTCCCAAGAACTTCCATAAAAATCGGAGAATTTCACGTCCCGCCTTCACCGCTTTGTCGGTGACCCGAAAGAGCTCCTGTTGGTCGCCTGTGACCTCAGATGAAGGTGCCGAATGTAAATTGGACAATGGAATGGTTTTTGTCATATTAATTGGCTTCAATATATTGCTTTGAATTTATTGCTTTGAATATTAATTGGTTTGAATATTGGCTTGAATATTAATTGGTTTGAATGTTTCTATATTAATTGGCTTGAATATTAATATCTGTTTCATGACAGGTGCCGTCGAATATTGGCGATCTTCTGACGGTGCCAGACTGGGATGGCCAAAGCAGCAGCAGATCTGTAAATTTTCGTGACAAATTTTTATGAATCACCACATCTGGGCACATTACTAGAATATACTATATTGATATTATAATATATATAATATATATATATCATCATAATTATAGACTATACTGAAAATTCACAAGGCAGAAAATAGTCTAATGTACCGTATATATATATATACTATATATCTATATATTCACAATATAGATCAATATAGTATGTTATAGTCTATAGTAACTATAGTAGTATACCCACTATATCCCACAACTGGTGCCAGGTCGCTCCTTAGGATCCCCAACTCCCTTTCCGGTGACCAAACTCATCTTCTTGCGCCATTCCTGCGCGAAATTTTCGCCGTTCGTTTTAACAGTTTCCTATGGGAAAAATCACCATTGTTAATAGACAAATTGTCTGAACATGGAGCATGTTCCATGCCATTTTCCATGTAGCTATATGAAACTGATCAAATTCCATGGTTCCGTCATCAACTTGGTGAAATTCCAATCAACTGAGGTCGGGCTTGAACCTGCTCTGAGAAATGGACACTCCCCCTGTTCTTCCCATTCCCAAAAAATGACCAATTTGAGCATCATGGCTATCCTTGCGCACCCAGAGATCAACATGTCGACAGGCTGGGGCCCCCAGTCGATAGCGTTCAGTTGGTTTATAAGTGGTTGAATTCAATGGTTTATGGTAGATATAACGAACTAGTATTCATGGGGGTTATAATGGTCTATAAACCAACTTAGAACTGGTGGTTTATGGTAGATATAACTATAGTTAATGGGGCTTATTTAATGGTTTATAAACCAACGTTCACATCACTGGGGGGCCCGATCTGTCGGTGACGTGTCCTGCTTCTTTTGCCGATCCATCAACTTCTTGGCATCTCGCCCTCGAAATTCGCAGGTGTTTTTTTGTCCAAAGAACTTGTCACAACTTGTGATGGAAGCATAACATCACCCATAGGATCCATGTATGCTATATATGGTAACATTTACCATCAATATACCCCCAATGTTAGCATATATACCATACAGGGATCCTATGGGTACATGAGATTCACTTGCGAATGTATCTGGTCCATGTTGTTAGTGATAATTCACCATTAACAAAGGGGTAAAATGAGACATTGGGATTTTCTGGGGATGTTCATTGATGTTCATATACCCATGACGGATCCATGGTGCTGGTATATATGCTAACATAAAGGGGGTATATTGATGGGATCCATGGCACACCATATATAGCAGCACCATGGATCCTATGGGTCATGGATGTGTGCATCAACACCTTAGCCTTCTTAGCAGTTCACATCAGTTGCTACTCAAAATGGAGGTCATCCCAAAACCACTGGAAAACGGAAAACCTGTGAGGAAACATGGTGACTCCCACTCTACTCAAGTCGTGATGGAAACATCCACGGAAAATCTCAGGCGCCCGCGATCTTCTCTTCTTCTCTTGTCAATCTGGTCTTTCAGTTCCTGTGGGATACAAAAAGTGCTGTTAGATAACTGGGATTTTTCGTCACATCTCTTTGTTAAAAGATTGGACTCCCAAGGCGAAATCGAAAGGTTTATTTCAACATGTAGACTCTTAGACTCAACACTAACTCTGGGCTTTATGGCTTATATAAAATGGATCTATTTCTGGATCTTTATGGTAGATATCTCTCTTTCTATGAAGCCATTTTAAACCAACGTTCGCTAATACCATAACCGATGTGTCAACGGCAGCAATCCACGTGGCGCAACGGAATGGTATTTCGACTGGGCCATTTTCGTTGACCAGAGGGTACCCAGAGGGTACTTAGCGAAAGACTTAGCCCATTGAAAAACCAAGGAGTTATAATATATATAGTATTATAGCTACTAAGTCTTACTAACTGGGATGAGCAGGATGAGCCCCCCAAGTGATTAGGGGATTTCCCATTCCCATGGTACCACCCTCTCTGGAGCAACCGGCCTGCTCCAATCGATCGTCCGCAGCCTCGCGGGAATCACCAAGGAACATCAGGTAGGGTGAAATCAGCTGGGGAAACCTGAAATTAATCAGGTGGTTTATAACCATGGGAAATTTATTATCATAACTATTAATATGAATAATAATGGGTTTATCTATTATAATATATTATAATGGTTTATAACAATGGTAATTTTATTATTTTTACCATGGAAATAAAATCATAAGTTTATTGAAATATTAAACTATAATAATCTACCTGGGAAATTATAACCATGGGATTTTTTTGTCTACCTGAAATTATAACCAACTGTTCGTTTACCAGAGGGTATCTCCATTATTTTCGATACATCCAAGCCCTACTCAATGAGTAATAGTTAGTGAATATCATCACAATATTACCCCAGTTATATATTCCCAATATATATATATATATATCACCCTCTGGTTATTTAACATAGCTATTGAAAATGACTAGATGGTTTACCTATTAATAGCATGGTGATTTTCCATGGCAAACTGTTAGTTTACCAGAGGGTAAATTATAACAATTCACTGACCTGAAATGTTCGGCCATTTTGGGAATTTATCCCCTTACTATGGCCATCACATCCCTCCCATGGGATGGAAGCGAAATCAGATTTTTCGAAGCGAATGATGGGGAGATTTCACCAATAAAGTCAAGAAATTAGCCATGAAAAATTGGATTGTTGGATACTACAATGTGGGGCCCCCCAGTGATGTAACGATGGTTTATAAACCCCATGAATACTAGTTCGTTATAGGTACCATAAACCAGTTCGTGACATTGGAGTTATGTGAACACCAACTTAGCTATCGTTTGGGGGCCCCACTTTGTATGGGGTTTGAAGCCTGAACCATAGGGGTAAAGCCAAAGTATTCTTGGGATATGACGGGAATATATTGTAACAAGATGTAATAAGATGTGATAACCAACTCAACAACATGCCAAATGCATTTAGTGTCCAATAACTTAACCAGCCAAGGTCTGGCAAACCCGTGGTGATTTCCCATGGTGTTCCATATCTGCTAGTTTTTAGCAGAGAATCCACCAAATATTCCAGAGAGGACACGAAAGCCTGGTGGAATACATGTTGTTCGATGTCTTCAGGGGCCAGGGGCCCAGCCATGGACATGGTTGCTCTCCCAGATACATTTGGCTCACTATATGAGGAGGTGAAATCATCAATGCTGCCCCCCCTTCTGGCAATGCTTCTTTTCCCTGAAATTCGCTCAAGAGGAAGAAAGTAGTCATCCACCCGAGTCAGAAATGAATCATTGGAGATCTCACTTAATGAAACGCTGTTTTCTCTTCATTTTCTACCCAACAAAAAAAAAGATCACTCCGAGAATGAGTGAAGGGTAGGCATCAATCACAGGAATGCTCACATCACAGGCGTGTTTCTGTGGCTGCCCTCAGGCGATTTCAAGAGCTCAAATCCCCATCGGCTGGGCGTTTCTCAAGCATTGAGCACCCCAAAACCATCGATTTCCCCAATTGACAATGACGAATTTTGATCGAAAAAATCATCAGAAGCCTGGTCATTTTTGTGTTCTAGCTGGGAAATGGATATTCATTCAAAATATGGAGGTTTCCCCCCAAATCATCCATTTTAATTGGATTTTCCATGAAATAAACCATCCATTCGGGGGTACCACCATTTATGGAAACCCCCATATGCTACTAGGTTTTGACATGCCAATTTCCCATACCAAGATTGAAAGGACCAATCGGATAACCCCCACCTCATCCTCAGAATCACTCGGTGCTTCTTCAGCGAGATCTGTGCAAGGCGGCACTGGATTGGAACACCCATCTGATTCATAGTTTCAACCTCGAAACAACACTTCAATGGAGTGGTTTAAGATGGTTTAAGGGTAAATCTATAGGAAACCATGGTCTTTACAACCAAGAATTATAGGTGTTTCCTGATGATTTTCCCCTTCACCAATCCACGACTCCAAATCCTTGAAACATGTGGACCGCCACATGGAAGTCATTGTGAAACCACCAAGTAGACGTGGTTTTGCCAAAAATCCCTTGAATCATGTCTTAGATGCCGTGTCTTAGATACCAGCCGCAAAAACCCTCGGTCATTTGGTGCTGAGTCTTGTCTAATTTGTCCAAGCAAAATGGACCAAAAAAATCTCACTTGGACCCCCCAATTCTGTTGGTGAAATTCCTTTTAAACAAATTGGGGTTGAACATGAAAATTGTATAAACATGTGGATGACACCACCAACTAATACGTTTACTTGGATTTGATTAAGGAACCCCGCCAAACATATTCCCTTCATCGATTCCCCCCATTTCATCAGGGACTTCCCATTGGGAAAATGAGAAAATCATCGACTGCAAATCCAGGATTCTTAGGGTTTACCATCTATAAATGATCTTCCCATTGAAACCTCTATTTCTAGGAATTCTATGGAATCCTTCCCATATGATTTTCCAAGGATTTTACCCAAAAAATCGTTGCTGATGACATCTGAACTCCTCCAATTTTTCCTGCGTCCCCACCCGAGCTGTGACAACGGCAGCAACTGGGAGACCTGCGGCTTCCTTGACGTCGCCATCCAGAAACTCTGCGATGGCACTATCCAAATCCGGAGCCAAGCCGCCTCAGATGAGGATCATGGCCTTCTCATTATGCACTATAGAGGGATTTATAGGGGGAAACTAAAACTGGTTGGTGGTTTGAACCCCTCTGAAAAATATGAAAGTCAAATGGGATTATGATTCCCAATATGATGGGAAAAATAATCCAAATGTTCCAAACCACCAACCAGATAGGATATATAGTGATTTATAACGAGGCGATAAACATACAGTGATTTTTATAGTGAATCATGGCCTTCTCATGATTCACTATAGGGATTTATAGGGGGAAACAACATCCAATATCATTTTCTAATCATCATCAATCTATTTTTCTAGGGATTTATGATGATTCTTATACCCACTTGTAAGAATTCCCACTGTGGGATAAATGATCCCCTGTGTACCATGTACCATGACCCACGTTTCTTGTGGGGGCGATGAGCATCGCCAGTGGCTGAAAAACCTCTGCTTAGTTCCATGTCAATCTGATACACCTAAAATGGTCCAAAATCAGAAATCAAACGCCAACCGATTCCCATTTCCAGTGGATGAAAAATCACATGTTTCCCACATCTTCCCTACAGGATGGGGCCCCTGTTCGAGCCATAGCGTTCAGTTGCCGAACAAAAGAGTGGCTTAACAATTCTATAGTTTATGCTAGATATAACTATAGTTAATGGATGTTAATGGGGTTTATGGCTTAACTATAGTTTATGCTAGATACAACGAACTAGTTAGTGGGGGGTTTTCTTATGGTTTATAAACCAACAAACTATGTAATGGGCTTTATAAACCATCAAGCATAACTGGTTTATAACTCCAATAACTATGGTTTATGATAGTTAAACCTACAATTTAATGGGGTTTATAAACCAACATTCACATCACTGGTTTTCCCCATCCACACCTGGGGAAATTCTAAAACCACCGAGCCTTCAGAGGAATGGTCGACCCATGTCAAGAAACCCGTGCCCTGCGACAGCCTGCGACAGCCTGGGACAGCCTGCCATGTCAAAAACCCGTAACTTGAGTTAGGTCACAGTTAAACCAACCAATAGATGATGATGATGATAATAGCAACAATAATATGTCATTATTATTATTAATTATTATCATTAATCATAGATGATTATTCTTATCAAAATGTATAAAGATAATATTGTTCATAGTAGATATTGATAACAGACCATTAATAATACTTAAACTATACCCGAAGCCATGGATATTCAATCCACTTCAATGATCTTTTCAGATGAACAATAGAATTTCTCGAACTGTGGCTTTGTCTGGAAAAATACCACAAAATCCCATATGGTTGATATTAGTTATTGGAGTTATAAACCAACTTAGCTATCGAACGGGGGCCTCACATTGTATAGATGGTGATAATATGTTATAATCATCATTTGTTTATCAGATATATCAGTGTCCCCATGGAAAATTTAGCCATGCGAAACGCTTCGGACTCGCATGACTGTGCTTCCCCACGGTCCACAGCCTTTTTGGCCGCCGCCTCCCGATTCGCAAAAAAAAGCGGGAAGGGGATCCCAAAAAAAAGCTGGTTTATAATTTGGTCAAGGGGGGTTGATAACTAGGCGAAATTTCACAGTTTGAAGGCTCGTTGGAAGTTATAAACCACCCTTATGAAACTTTTATACCCGGCAGGGTCGACGTCGACGTGCAATGTGGTACTCGGGAAGGGGTTCCATGTGGAATTGATGCCATGACTTTGGGGAAACCTGGCGAAGCTTAGTAAACCTGGTGTTCCTTCCCGATTCCTGCGATATGGCAGTGTGTCAAAACCTTGTACCCCTGGTGAACATCAAAATAGCTGGTAAATGGATGTTCATCCCACTAAAATGTATCTATAGGTATTGACCCATACCCATATTTCCACACGTTTCTGGATGAACCCCGGAAACACTCACCAGCTATACAAACTCTTCATATGCTTCAGATGCCAACGTCCACTTCCAGGAAAAAAACCGCCAGGTAGATTTCGACCAACATTTCTGCGGCTGTGGATGAACCCAAACTACCTCTGGGAGTTTCTAATCCCTAATATGTTCCTAATTGGTATTTCAGAAATATGGCATTACCAATCCATAAACAAAATTACTAATTACAGTTGTAAATCCCGAAATTACCACTATTGTAATTACTAAGCACTTAAAGTTTCCAAGCACATCCAAGCACTATTATTGTAAATTACCATTGTTGTATTACTAAGCACTTTAAAAAAAATGTAGATTACTAAGCACTTGGTATATTATCATTGTCAAATTGTAAATTACCATTGTCAAATTGGGCTTGCCATGGATTCCCATGCCATTCGCCCATTCCCGGTGACGACGTGCGCGATGTCCACCTGAGCTGCTTGCACCTTCGCTTTGGCTCGAAGGGCCTCAACGAAACCAGGGGATGTATATCAATGATCCGTCCAAAAAAACATCTTAGATCATCAAAAAAACATCATCAGATAATTTTGGAAACCTCCAAGATGGCGAAAGAAGCCATGTTTTGACTCCACCGTTTCTCTCGACCCAGCGATTTCTACCAGCCACTGGTGGTATTTCCCAAGTGAGGCGGTGACGAGGGTGCTTGGGTCTTCCTTCGACTTTTTCTCAGCCTCTCTCTGCTTTTTTTCTTGCCTCAGTCTTGTGGGATTCAGAATGATTCAGAACCCGAAAATATAGCCAGCCCTTAAATCTACAGTAATAATATATACCCGTGATAAGGGCAGTTTTTAACCGGAAAGCCCCATGATCTTACTGGGAAAATCAATGGTTTCCGGTTACGATTTTTCCCAACAAAACCAATCCATTGGTAGTAGCAATAGGAAACAGCAAGAAATGAATAGGTTCAAATTGAAAGGATTCTACTCTTGAACGCGGCCAACATTAAGTTTCCATGCTGAACTTTGGAGGCTCATTGTCAAATCTCGCTGCATCTGGCCTTGCTTTGCCAAAGGTCGAGTTCGGGTCCAGTTGTGGTCCAGTGGGGTTTTCGCACCCTCTGGTAAACATACAAAAAGCTATGGAAAATGGCCATAGAAATAGTTGATTTACCTAATAAACATGGTGATTTTCCATCGTTTTTTTGTATGTTTACTGGAGGGTAAATCATCATACTTTACCAGCCTGAATGAAAGCCAGTGGACTTTTTCTTCTCCCAAACTCCTCCTAAAGTCCTAGCCTCTGGTTATTTAACATAGGCATGGTATAGATGGCCCATAGAAATAGATGGTTTACCTATTAATAGCATGGTGGATCTTTCCATGGCAAACTGTTAGTCATAACCAGATGGTATCACTAATTCTTGGTGGCCACAAGTTAACGAGTTAGTCACTGGTGTTTGTTTACCCCAAAAAAATCCCAATGAAATAAGCCATTTACTAACTAGTTTTCCCTAACTCCATGGCCCATCTATATATAAGTAGTTTATTCACCAAGTGAGTTCGTAACCAGATGGTAACTATAGATAATCATTAACTTACCTATAAACCATAGGTGCCCAAAGAACTCCCCAGGTGCTCTTTCCGTTCAACAAACCAGGTGCTCTCGGAGGATCTTCATGCGCCACTTCAGAAGTTGCGACAGGTCGGCTTTACCCAGCACCTGGACATCCACGACTGGGACACGGGGCCAAAGATGGCCCCAATTTCCACAGGTCTTTGTTGGTTTATTTCACTTGGTTAACTGTTGGGTTTGTGATATTTTCCGTGACACTGATATTTTTGTTGACTTAGGAAGTTGAGAGTAGCCGCATAATCCATACCCCATAGGATCCATGTATGCTATATATGGTAACATTTACCATCAATATATCCCCAATGTTAGCATATATAGCATACAGGGATCCTATGGGTACATGAGATTCACTTGCGAATGTACGTATCTGGTCCAAGTGGGGATTCATGCGGTACAATGGAACGGATTTTTTTGGGAATAATGGGAATATAAGGACTGAATGTAAGGAGGGAATTTTCATGGGATATAGTGGGGAAGATCAAGAGGAGGGGCCAACCCACAACAGAGTGATGGGATTGACATGGTTATGTGCTTAGAAAAAACCCTAAAATGGTGATATAAATACTGGTTGGTGGTTTCAACCCCTCTGAAAAATATGAAAGTCAGTTGGGATTATTCCCAATTATGGAACAATGAAATGCATGTTCCAAACCACCAACCAGTATACTGGTACATCACTCTCAAACATTAAATAAGATACCTGCGCTCGCAAGGAATTGCTGGAATTCAGATTGCAAACCTGAGACTAAAAGGACGCGCCATTGTGGGTCGCCGTTTCTTCCAAAATCTGTTGGGTGTGAAGAATGGTTCTAGTACATTGTCCATATCATGGTTATTAGCATGTATTATCCATAAATCTGGAAAGATTGGGAATATTTGGCAAATATATGGCTAGATATTGGCGATTCATGCGGCATACGATGGACACATGTCTGCAGCAAATTCGTTTTGCACCCACGGGTGGCTGTCTGAGAATATGGTGTCCCATTCCATTCACCTTTTGAAATTGCCATAGATTGACGGGATACCCCGTTTTTAGATACACCCAAATGTGATGATTGTTTGTACCCTTTGGTAAACTAACATAGCTATGGAAAATAACCATCTTTAAGAGGTAAATCAACTATAAATGGGCCATGTTCAACAGCGATGTTGAATTACCATAGGGTATATCCATGTTCTATCACCAGTGTTTTTTTTCAATATATTGCAAACTACCATGTATTGTTGTTTTTTTCCCCAATAGATTGTAAATACCATGTATGACATCATTGTCCCAGGGAAACCATACCTTTTCCACATCTATGTTGGTAAAACACCTACGTCTCGGGGATGAACCACCAAGTAGGCTGCAAGGTGGTGGCATACCAAACGTTATAAACCATAGTCATTCACTATCCATAAGATAATCATAGATAATCTATTATTGTTTTTAACATGTTTAACCATATAAATATAAACAATCTATAAATGGATCATAATCCCATGAAAACTAGTTCGGTATATCACCAAGAAAAACCGTAGTGACATTGGACTTATTTGCACCAACATAGCTATTGGACAATATTGGACGTATTAATAGTCATCATAACTATCACGATATTAATGATAAAGACATGATTATATAATAGTAATGACTGATAATATGTCATGTGTATATATATATACTTGGTGGCTCATCCCACTTAGTAAGTGGGTTATAACCCCAGTTATAAATGGGATAAGTAGGGTTAATCCACTTATAACTGGGGTTATAACACACTTACTAAGTGGGATGAGCCACCAAGTATAATAGTGTGTATTTACCATGTTAAATGACCCACATCTTCGGGACGTTGCCCGGGAAAGTCGCCGGCACCTTCAAATCGCTGCACAGCTCCACGATGTCTTTGGTGGTCAACCTCGAGCGGCGCCAGCGGATGGCGTTGTTTCGGGAGCAAACAAAAATCCAAACGAACAACTGCCATCATCATCATCATCATCAATAATAATAATAGTAGTTAAAAAAAACAGTGATCATCATGATATACAGTAACAATCAATACAAATAGTTGGCAAACTAAATCAAAATAATCACTTCCATCATCCATGATCTGGAGAAAACGTGCATTCCCACATCAGAAATATTAGCTGAAGTACTTGGATTATCTTGGATTGGGCCAAAGATGGCCCAATAGTTTCACCATTGGCGGATTTACCATTGGGAAAATGCCCAATATCCAGGTTTAGGGGATGATATCCCGAAAAACGAAGTCGTTAATCATCAAGAATACCACCTCCAATATGGGACCCAAAAAAATGAATAGAATCCAATACTAAGCCTGGAGTGGTATTAACATCAATTACATTCAGCATACTTTGGACATTCCCTCTATGTATCCATTATTCCCATTAAATCCCTCCAAAAACAAACATATTCACAGTAAATCCTCATTTGGTGTGGGTTTTGTCTGAAAATAGGGTACTCCAGAAACCATCAAATTCTGCATTAAATTGGCATGTCTTTTGCGGTATCCCCTATTTTCAGACTGGCCGACTGGCCCAAGAAATCATGGCAAGAGATGACTGGTTCATCCCCGATCTCAACTGGTCTTCCCCCGTTGAAGCCATGGCCATTTTCATGGGGGATGGGAGATGATGCGAGTGTCCCGCTCTTGGATGAACTAAGCCCAGGAACACTAACCAGTTACTGTACTTGTGGGGTGAAGTACCAATCCACACATCAGATCTCATTTATTTTTAACTACCCGGCCTGGTAAACTGTTACATAACGAACTGGAAAGATCCACCATTTTCAATGGGTAAATCCACTATTTCGACTGGGCCATGTTCAATAGCTATACTGAGTATATGTTAAATTACCAGAGGGTAAAATGCAAAAACCATGGCCATTTTCAGCATCCCGGTCTCTACATAACAAGTTCTCAGAGTCCTACAAACCCCCGTAAAGACGAAATCGCGATTTTGGAAAAAAAACAAATAAAACTGTCATATCCTAAATCCTAAGCATCACGCAGCTGACCAGCGGGTTGCTCGCAATGGGTTCCGGGCGGGTTGCTCGCAATGGGTTCGCATCCCGGTGCCTTCAAGGGACGATTCCCTTCGGCCACGAAGAGCTAAGAACAAAAAAAATCGCGTTTTAATGAGGTTTTTTGTGTGAATTCCATGGGAAAAAATATGGGGAAAATGTCTGATAAATCCGTGACATTGAGATTTGTCACATCATTTTCAGAGAAAAACCAGTCATGGGTTTGATCAGTTGGTCATTGGTAAATCATCCATGGTGCTTGACATACCCGGCCTGGTAAACATACAAAAAGCTATTGCCAATGGCCATAGAAATAGTAGATTTACCCATTAAAAATGGTGGATCTTTCCATAGTTATGTTAGTTTACCAGATGGTATGTCCAAGAATCTGATACCGGGTACATAAAAAATCATAAAAACAATGATCTGCCAGATTTTGTGGGTTCTCAATCTGAAGACAATGCAGCAACAAATTGGACTTCACTCGGGGGTATCCAAAACATTCCAAGACAAACAGTATCGTGAAATTCCTTGAACCAACAAAAGTACAATGGATTGCATTGTTTTGATTGCATCGAACAAAAGAGGAATGTAGGTATTGACCACACAGGAGAATTCTTTCGTGTCAAAAATTGGACTGCTTGGTGGTTTCAACCCCTCTGAAAAATATGAGTTCGTCAGATTGGATCATCATCCCCAATCTGGTTGGGGAAAATAAAATTCATGTTCCAAACAACCAAAGAGTGGAGTATGCTGTGTTTGCAAAATACCTTTAAAAACTTCAGTTGAATGCTGAAAATTGGCTGGGGACCTTTCCTAAATGCAGCACAAAATCCCAATAGATTCCACCCGTTTCAACTGGATTTCCCATTGGTGAATTCACTACAGTTGACTATAGATCTTAGGGGAAAGATTAGGGGAAAGATGAGGATCAATATATTGAAAATTATGGACATATATTGAACTATACCCTCTGGTAAATTAACAGTTCGACCCTGGCAAATAGGACTTGAAAGATTAGTGAAACCATTAAAACTTGGTTATTTTCAGGGTCAACAAGTTTATTTACCAGGGGGTAATATTCATGAGGTGAATCTAAACAAAAAAAACACCTTACCTCAACGGGGTCTTCAACTCTACGTGCGCCTCCAGATTGAGTCTATGTGCTTTGATCAGGATCTCCGCCTGACAACCGGTGATGTGCAGAATCTCCCATGGGTTGCCCTAGAAAAATGGATAAAAATGGTGCATAATAGATGAAACATCACACATGTTAATAGATAAATTTTAAATGCCTTCAAACATCTTCAAACCTATTTTTTTTGGAGGTGTTTCTTCAAGTGTTGATCTGTTTCGACCGGGAAATGACACACAGGGAAATACGGTAGCAAAACGTAAGCTGCATTCTGGTTCAGGCAGCACCTGCACAAAGTAGAAGAAAGTGACGTAAAACCACGATTTTTTTCAGGGAACTCAACAGCAATTCTTGATTGATTTTTTGTTCAACCCAATGTTGGATGCTTCAAAATCTGGAAAAAAAACGGAGTTTTGCTCATGACCCTCTGGTAAACTCTTACATCACTATATGGAAAGATCCACCATTTTTAATGGGAAAACTCACTATTTCGACTGGGCCATGGCTTCCAGTTCGCTTTTTGTATGTAAAAACCAGGCCGGGTATTTATCACATGGAAACAGATGGAAAAAACCAACAACGGATGAGACTCCGACGGGATTGTCGGAGGCGATGAAGTCATGCGCGGGAACGATTCGATTGTCGTCCCCCTGTCGCTGGCTGGGATTAGGATTGAACCTGGAACTTGGACACCAAAGATGGCAGAAAAACGTGGAAAAATGTCCACAAGGTGGTGCCCCATAGTTAGCTAAGTTGGTGAACATAACTCCCATTAAATCTATGGTTTATGGTAGATATAACGAACTAGTTAATGGGGCTTATAAACCAACTTATAACTGGGGGGCACCATCCTGCAATGATTCTCGTTGTTTTCTGGTTGATGTTGATTGACGCTTAAAATCACTTGGAAGACGAAAATGATCAGCGAATCCAAGATGGTTGAAAGTTTGCATCAGACAAATGAGTCAAGTGGGATTGAACAGCCCAAGAACAACAGCTCCATTCTGAGTCACTTGGTGAGTCGTCGCCCTGTCCGACGCTTCTTTGTTTGTCCCTAACATGTTGTACCGTTTCTGTTGCGGAAAAAATGGAAAACGATGGAAAAAAGGATAATTCACCAACATCAGGCATCATTCAATTTTCATAAATGTTCAATGGCCATTTCAGGAATATGGCCTTTCCTTTGGTACTAACGTAGCTCCATGTTCGGATCCGTAAATTGATTCCCAAATCTTCGAGCTGTAGCCATCTATAGCCATCCGGCAGGTCCTCTTCATAGCCATCTCGATTCTTCCTGGCACAGGATCATCCCTTCCAGTAACTGCTGTGGTGAACATCATGGCGATCCGATTCCTTCGCAACTGGTACGTGGGATGATTTTGTGGGTGAACTATGGAAAAAGGATGGGAACCCCCCAGTGAAATGTGAATGTTAGTTTGTAAACCCCATGAACATCCATTAACTAGTTCGTTATATCTACCATTAAAACCGTTGAATTCAACCACTTATATATAAGGCAACTGAACGCTATCTTGGGGGGCCCCATCCTGTATGGTTACTCACCACGATCCATGGATCCTCGGAGTATCATAGTTGTGACGATGGCATTTTTCATGGGATCGTGGTTTTGGTTCTGGTCATCCCACCATTCGAAACCATGGGTTTTGCCAACAACAAGGGACCAGCAAAAAATCTTGGTCCCATATTCCCTATATATCGATTCCCCAGTCGTATGAAGGATTTCCCATGGAGAAAAGGAAAGCCAAATCACCGATTCAACAAATCCAAGAAAAGGAAAGCCTTGGTCATTACAAAGCCCCGATTCATAGGGATATGACCATCCAGCAATACTGACTTTTTATACCATGACACATACGACCTCATGGAGAATATTAGGCTTGAGTTGCTCAGGAAAAATAAATGCCAGCGATTGTTGGTATATTATCCCTATTTTGGCTAGTTAAACGACCCAGTTGTTGATGGTACCAGTGATTGTTGTTGGCTAAACAAAATGGTTATAAAGCCTGTTTCGGTTGTTGACAACCCCAATTCTTCTGGGCAAAACCACCAGTGCGGATGCAATTCGGAATCCCTGTGTTTACTACGTTGATCCTCAGGTGAAGTGCTTCGATGTTAACTGCGCCAGTGGTTGTTGGCTAAGTCGTTGGTTTCTACCCCTCTGGTTGAGCCTCCAAACATCCCCAAAAAACCGCCAAAAAACACCCGGCTTGCTGCTTGGTCAAAGCAACTTTTCAACTTCAACATTCAGTTCTCCTATCAACCATTGCGAATCTTTTTGATTCCTTGCTCCCCCAAAAAAAAAGTTGCTACCCTCTGGTAAACTAACATAGCTATTGAAAATGGCCATAGAAATAGTGGATTTTCCCATTAAAAATAGTGGATTTTCCATAGCTATGTTAGTTTACCAGAGGGGTTTCCGATCTTTCAGTGTTTCTCCATGTCCAGTCCCGGGATTCCCCGGGATCCCCTGAGACCCGGCACTTCTTCAGCTTTTTGAAGTGCTCCGTCAGCGTGGCACCGGGCTTCTTGGGGTCGTCTCCCCCGGGTTCCTCTAAGGTTTCCATGAAGACCCACCTGTCGCGACAGCGGAAACAGCGTGAGATGGCCAGATCAAACATCATTCTATGACCCATGACGGATCCATGGTGCTGCTATATATGGTGCTCCATGGATCCCATCAATATACCCCATTTACGTTAGCATATATACCAGCACCATGGATCCGTCATGGGTGAGGATTTAACATGATTTAACCCCTCAGTGACTTGGAAGATGGCTGTGTCTAGTGGAGTTAATCATCCAAGTTGAACAAGTTTAATGAGTTAAACCCATCTAAACTTAACCAAGCTTCAATGGGAGGTAACCCATTTTATTAATAGGCTTAATCATTTAATGAGTTAAACCCATCTAAACTTAACCATCATTTTTTTTGGACAGCCTATTTTGAGAACAAATCATATGAAGATTTGAGAAACTTGATGAAGGATTTCAATGGAAACCATGAAGGCCCAATGTTGCAGAGGATTTTTGACGGGGATAAGTGGATAAAGACCAACCATCAGTGAGATTTGCGCAAAAAATGCAACGAAAAGCAAACCAAAAAAAAAGTTCCCAATTAAGATTCCCCAAATAGTGGATTTACCGCTGCAAGAAAATAGAAAACCACCTGCAGCAAGTGAAGAAAGGAAACCAGGATGTGAATTAGATGATGTTTCCTCCATGTCCAGCATTCCTAGAAACTGTTTGTCATTTATGACTTGAAGGTGCTGCCGGATATGGGTAGGTTGACTTTTTTGAACCGTTGCGATTTATGGACGTTTATTGAATCCCATAGATAATGCTTTGATGTTCATAGATGTTCATGGCTAAATACCAACCAAAAAGATGTTTATAGATGTTTAATACCGGTTGGTAAATAAATGCCAGCTCGCCAGCTCACCTTTTAGCTGGATTTCCGGCAGAAAAAAAAAGGGGAAACTGCTGGAAAATCGGCATTGAACTGCTGAAAAAATTGAAGCTGCCATCATGATCAGAATGTCACATCATTGAACATCAAGATTTGGAATGTCCTTAACGCTTCGGTGTTTTTTTCGCAGCGGCAGGTCTTACTGTTCTTCTGAATGATGTTTTTCAAAACGAAGACTCTGACGCTCTGAACTTCACCCAAAAAAATTAGGACCGAAATGCTCCACAGTTCAGGTTGAATTCTAATAATTCACTAACCTCATTATACCCTCTGGTAAACTAACATAGCTATTGAAAATGGCCATTTATATTGGATTTAGCCATTAAAAATAGTGATTTTCCATAGCTATGTTAGTTTACCAGAGGGTAGCTGAAATAAATCACCAATTGGGATTGCTTCCCCTTCCTCCAGACCAAATGGTGACGGAAGTCATGACGGGTCAGTCACGTCGCAGTGCCGGTGATCTGAGGTGCCACACTTGGGATCAAAGAATTTGGAGTCGATCTTGTTCCTGGTTTCCTTCAAACCTCAAAAAACTCCAGGTGGATTTTCGTTTTTTTTCCGGAAAAAAAAACACCCAAAAGGGTGGAAACTCGCAAGTGTCGGATGGAACTGTTTTTAGGGAAAACAGTAAGATCAGCTGGTCATTTTGTAGGAATACCCTCTGGTAAACATTTACAAAAAACGATGGAAAGATCCACCATGCTATGTCGACTGGGCCATTTGTCAATAGCTATTTTGACATAACCAGAGGGTAATGTGGACCGTTTTTTTGCCATCAATCATCCCATGAACCTGTTTCAGTGGTCATTTTGCATCCCAAAGAATCCCCTTTTTGGGGGCCAAGAGGGGTATACAATAGTTCAATAAACCGAAATTGGAGGATGCTTTATTGGCTTTACCACATTTCTTATTGAATTAAACATTTTTTGAACTGTCTGATCTGTCTGGTTGTCTACAATCACAGCTACCCTGGCAGCCCAATCGCATTCTCATCCCCACAAACCCGCCAAAGAAAAATGAAGAACCTCAGCTGTCAACCTCTAAGACCTACCCATCCTCACCCAAGCAAAACTGAACACGTGAAAACCCAACAAAAAAACTGAAGATTTCATGTCTGACAGAAAATGACACATTTTTGTGACTCCTCAGAATTCTCATCATGGCTCGACGCCCATCGACGCCCCGGACCGATGCACATCACGAAGATCTCCGCAGAGACATTGCGCGAGGCAGTGGGCTTTGTGGCCTCAACCTGGGCGGCTGCGGAAACAGTGTGGGAAAATCTGGAAATGGGGCTACCATGTGGGGCCCCCAAGATAGCTAAGTTGGTTTATAACTCCAATAACTATGGTTTATGGTACCTATAACTATAGTTAATGGGGTTTATAAACCATCTTATAACTGGGGGGGCCCACCTTGTACCATGGTATATCCCAAAAAATAACAAAAAAATAACAAAAAATTGCATTCAAAGTGCGAAAATGAGGATAAACCAGAGGATAAAAAATGGGGATAGCTTTGCTGTTGAAACCAAATATTGTGCCTGAAAGCTCGATGAGTCAACAAAACATGAGGAGTTCGCCCACCATGGAACCTGGGCTGTTGGTCCTTTTTGTTCAAAGATGGATCAACTACAGGATGGAGCCCCCGTTCGAGCGAGCTCGCGTTCAGTTGCCGAAAAAAAGTGGTTGAATTCAATGGTTTATGGTAGATATAACGAACTAGTTAATGGATGTTAATGGGGTTTATAAACTAACAAACATAACTTGTTTTCCCCATCCGGTAACTAAGAAGGACCACCAGCAACAGTGAGATGCACAAACCATGGCATCGGGCGAGTAGCCAGCAACCAGTGGGATGTGGCGGGGACATGGGCCACTTTTTGTTTCATCAAACAAAGACAGCAAAAGATGTGTTTGACCAAGAGGAAGTGAGCACCAAGAGCACGCAATAGTTGACAGAATTGACTGTTTAACAGTAAACATAACATAATATATGTACGTAACATAAAATTATTGATGTCATGATATTTGTGTTGTATAATATATATATATATATATTATTAATACATATATATATACATATATATATAATTATATATATAATAATAGTACATAACATCATATCATAACATCATTTTTGGCGATGCTCACAGCTAGGCTCCGCCTAGCCGGCCATCGGGATTCACCGCGCGCCTTGTTGAAGAGCTGATTGAAGACCCAGAGCAGGGAGTTGTAGTCCTTCGATCTGAAGACCTCAGGGCACTTCATGGCACTTCATGGCACTAGAAAGGTGGAAAATCATCATTTACTAGTACAATGGGTAAATCAACTAAAAACAGGATGGAACTATGGTGAAACTATGGAAAACCATCATTTACAATGGGTAAATCAACTATAAACAGCCATTTTCAATAGCCATATGTTGGGATAATAGCAAAATATACATCTGGATACTGCAAAAATAAGACCTTGAAATATGGAATCTGGATGGAATAATATTACCCAGATGCGAACCATGGTGCTGGTATATTTACCGACGAAACTGGATGATTTTTAGGATAGATGTTGATACATATTCCAGCACCATGGAGCATATGGGCTATAAAGCCTCAATAAGTTGGGATATAACATCATATAACCATCTATATATATATATATCACCTCTATGGTAAAAAAAAATGTGTGTATCCACGAACACTGGAATCCTGGAACTGCACTGGAATCAGTCGTAGTTAGTCAACTTGAAGCATTCGGATGATCCTCTTCTGTGATGTCCATGTCGCTCTCGGGTCACTCTGAAAAACACAGCCATTGCAACTTTTGTCACCAACGAAGCCGTTTCAACACTGAGAAAACTGCATTGTGTGGGTTTCATCCGAAAAATGTTTTTCTAAGTGAAGAAGTGAAGCGTTTTCCACGTCCAAACAGCGATTTTTCAACGCTTCGTGTTTCCGTTCACGCACCTTACTGACGAAGACTCCTCCGGTTCGAAGGAAATCGCCTGCGGCAAACGCCCTCCCATGAAAAATATCATGATGGAGAGGCAACCAACAATACTGCCCATATGCTCCATGGTGCTGGTACATTTACCGACATGACTGGATGATTTTTGGGGTAAATGTTGATGCATATTGCACCATGGAGCATATGAGATGGTGATGCAATGTAACTCTAGAAACTTAAGCATAGATAAAGCTGATTTCATAGTTGTATGAAGTGAAGACTGTGAAGGGCAAAGGCGAAGAAGAAGGGTTGATTTGTGGATGAGTTTTGCTCTATTTGCCCAGGAAAAGGCTCCCATAGGATCGCTTTCAGTTGCTTCAAGGCTAACCATTGGATTTCGATTCAACGAACTAGTCATAACTGGGTTTTTGATAAACCAAGAAACATGTCACTGGGGGCCTCCTTCCCCGTTGGAAACGTGGGATTTACTCAAACATTGACCATTATTTCGTTGGAAATCATCCATTCGGACGTCGCATTTCCACTTGGGAAACTCAACCTATGGATCCAAACACTGTCTGAGCAGGTACTTAACCCTCCAAATTATAGTCTCACAACACAGGGCACGCTTTACCCTTCTTTTGACAAACAAATGCCTTCGGGAGATCCAATGTCTCATGATCCTCACAGACTCCCCCAATTGCCCTCTGGCAATTCAAGAGGAAAAATGAAATTTCCAAAATAGAGCACTTCTTCAGTGCAGAGGCTCAAGGCATTCTAAGTTGAATTTGGCCCTCTTTGTTCCACCTTTTTCTTGCGGTACATCTTTGACATCATGGTGGAATTTAGGCCCTTTCCTTTGTGATCATGTTGAAACATGTTCCAGGGATTTGATGATGATGCGACCTCTTTGAATCGTTCCGTGGAACTTTCACCTACAACCCTGTCTACGCTACAACGTTCAAAAACTTCTTCAGCAGCTGCAGCACTGCGAGGATCAGCAGCAGGTTTGCCCGCCGCTCCGCTGGAGCCCGATCGTCGCCTTATACTCGAAGACAAATCCAGCTCACCATCGCTCAAGCCCGATTGTCTCTCGAAAGACCTTGATGAAGTCGCCCCAGCGCCTTCCGATTCGTTTGCTCCAGATCTTGTTGATGATCCTTTTGAAACTTGTGCTGCAGCTCGTTTGGTAGCGGAGCCTCTTGTCATACTTTGTGATGTAGGGCGTCCGCTGCAAGAGCCCGACTGTCGCTTCAAAGTCAAGGATGAAGTACCCCTCTTTTGACGCCTTTCTGACGCCACACATTCATCTCCTGATGTCAACAGGATGCTCTCCTCCTCGCTGCAGTCTTCACGACGACCACGTTGACCCGGTCTACGACCACTGCTATCATCCAGTGCTCTCAATCTTCGCAAGCAGCAACTCGTTGCGCTATGAATCACTTGGCCCGCATAGATTGCACCCAGCACCATCAAAACTGCACCAGTCATCCAGATTGCAGAATCGCCATCGTCTTCTGCTTCGTAGTCTCCGTCGGCTCCAGAAAGTAGGATGCTTCCTGCTGTCAAGGCCAAAATGGCCGCACTTCTTTGACCTCCATCTATGTTGGTTTCTTCCTCCAAAAGTTCCAAATTTCTCACTTCAGGAGTTTCTTCTTGTTTTTCACGTGTGATGCCCAGGTCATCCAGAAACTTGTAGAAGGCCTGACCACTCAAAGGTTTGGTAAGCCCATCGGCTACCAATTCGGTACCCCTCAGGTGCAAAAGTTTCCAGATACCGCCCGGGGCTTCTCCATCCAGCGCCTCTTTCAAAAAGGCTGCACGGACTCGGAGATGTCTTGTCCTCCAAGTTGATGCTGCCGTGCCATGTGCCATTCCAATGGCAGCCAAGTTGTCGCCATAGATGACTCGCTCCAGCCCATTGCTATGCATAGTCTCACCCACCATCGAAGAGATCAGGGCTTCCATTGACCTGCCAGCATTCAGTGCTTCTCCATAGGAGACGAGTTCAGCTTCAGCCGTACTGTATGTGACAAACGGCTGTTGTGACGCCAACCACGCCACTGGGGCACCTCCAAAGCACACCACCAGTCCTTGAAGACTTCGATGTCGGCTTCCCACTCCAAAAGCAATGTCAGAGAAGACCTCCAAAAGATTCTCATGCCTTTCGATTTTCAGCTGGCCACGTTTCCCCCAACGGTCTCGGGGAACTCCTTTTGGGTAATGTAAGCCACCTGGAACTCCACGGACGTACTGCATCACCGCCTTGGAGATCTCGATCGATCGGCACGGATTCTTTGTGCACAGCCTGCATGCTGTGGCCACACTCATGGCAATGTCAGGACGTGTTCTCGTTGAAAGCCAGAGCAATGCGCCAGCCATAGACTGTGCCGTCCTGATGTCCTCCAACTGGATGTCACTAGTTGGCATTTCATCATCTTCTGACAATCGCACATGTGGGTAGTCCGTAGACTTTTCAACACCAAATCGTTGGATCATTTCCTTCTCATATTTTTTCTGGCTCACCACAAAACCATCTTCATCACCTTGAGCATCAACTGAGCTTTCGATTTCGAAACCACAGTATTTGACCACTCGTCCCTCCCCCGTTTTCTCCACCTCTGAAATGGCCCACACCTTCTCGAGAGAGCTCACTGCAGCGTCAAGAGCACCTTCTTCAGCTGTGAACAGCAAATCGTCCACATAGACGGACAGCAACCCTGTCCAAAAGGTTTCACCCGACACATCATCAACCTCCTCCAATCTCCACACATTTTCGTCAGGTGTCCTTTTGAAGGCTCCTTGAACTTCTCGACCTTGACGGTGTCGTCGCCATCTGATCTTGGGGATTGTTTCGTCCCTGTGTAGAGACCAGTCCCGTGGTGAGGTGGTTAAACCATACAAAGCCTTGTCGATCAACCATATGTGCTGCTGTGTCGCCAGACCAAGCTTTCTGAACACTACCGGGATCTCCATCGCGACCAACTTCTGACTGTCTCGTCGAGGCGCATTCAAAAAGGCAGTGGGAATATCAGTGCTTCCAGCCACCCATCGCTTCGTTGCTGCCAGCCGTAGTTGCGTCCTCACTTGTTGGCCATCTACGCCCCCAGCATAATGTTCACTTTGATCTGGAGCAGCGTAATTGCCGCATACCACAGCACGGCTTCTGTAAGCTCCGCTCCCCGATTTGCGGGTATGGACCATTTTTCCTGGCAAGATCTCTATGGGGAGCTTGCTTTCACTCGCCATTTGCTGAAGCTGCTGTTTTGTAACTTGCCTCACAGCGCACTTTTTGTTGACAAGTTGATCATATTCTTGTTGTATGGATGGGGCCCATGCTTCAAGGTCTGCCCAAACTTCAGCATTGCCAATCGTCTTGGTCACCAGGAACTCCATCTCCATACCCTTTCGGGTTTCATCAGCATCAATTGCCTGGGCATCTATGAGTTGGTCCTCTATCATGACCTTCATGTTGATCGCATCTGTCAACGTGCCCAGCCATAGAGATTGGTCAATGGAAGTTCCCTCCAGCAACTGAAGTTCTTCTCCCACATATGATGCCAGGTTTGCCTGTAGAGTTCTCAGCGACGCTGGATATGCTTGTGAGGCCACCGGGTATGAGCCACCAGCCCGGTTGTTTGGCGCCTCCTCCATATCCCCAACTCCAATCCACCAGTCCTCCTCCATACATTGAAACACCTTTGGAGAACTTTGTGTTGAAGCTTGAGTTTCCAAAGACCAGCTGTCGCTTGAATCTCCATCCTGTGGGTCAATTGCATCTTCAAAGAAAGTTGGATGCCGTGCCACTATCTTCTCCTCCCCCTCAATGTCCAGCATTGACACCAGTGGTTGCGGAGCTTTGTGACGTAGGCGTCGTTCTGGTCTGACATTTTCTCGTTCAGGCAGATAAAGAACTTGATCTTCAGGGGCTGGTTGCTGCGTGTCTGGGATGATGATATCATCCGTGAAGAAGCATCTTTTGGTGGCCACCGACTGGACATAGTATCCCGTGTTGGTCAAAGATGAGTACACATCCGGGCCCAAGATGACCACTTCTTCACGGACTTCACGCCAGGGAGCATATCTTGATTGCCACGACTTTCTCAAAGCGAAAGCCTTTGCACCAAAACGCAAGAGACGGCCAACCGGCCAGCCCAAAAGGTTCAGCTGGTTTCTCAGGCGTCTTTCGCCAATGTGGCGTGCCGCTAATGGCCATTGTTGCAGCGTACAAGTTCCAGCCGTGATCAAAGTTCGAATGGATTTTTTGATGACACCCATTTCTGCCTCCACCCGCCCGTTGGCCTTGAACGAGGAACCTGATGTCATTGTTGTTAAAATGTTGCGCTCCAAAGCCCATGTTTGCATTTCAGATGATGAAAATTCTCTGGCCCTGTCGGAGTGCAAGCGGTACAATGGAAGACCAAGTGCTCTCAAGCGGGCATATACCCGAGAAAGTGCTGGTAGTAGATGTTTGACTGACCTGCTCTTCACCGGGCAGACAAAGGTCAGCTGACGCACCGTCACATTCTTGGCTTCCTGCACCAACTTCACCCAGGTCTCATTCATAGATCTTGATCTCCTGACCGCTGGAGAATCTTCCCCATCATCTTCTTCCACATCCTCCTCCGCCAGCACATCCACATCTGGGACTCCTTGTCCTTCTTCACCATTTTCTCCCACGTCCGACATCTCAACATCATCAAGTCCTGGGAGTGGCTGGTCTTGGTCAGGAAGTGGTTGATCTTGATCAGGGTCAGGCTGTCCAAGTATCGGGACAAGAGATCGTCCGTTGAAAAGAACAGGATAGGTATAGCACCCAACCATGATGTATTGACATCCCGTTGCTTTCTGATCCACACCTGGTGTCATCTTTCCAGATAGGTCCACACTCAAGGTGTAAGCATCAGGATGTTGGATTTTCCGATGAGGTTTGCTTCTGGCCTGAGCACGTACGCATTGAGCACAGTCTCTTCTGGCCGGCATGTGGTCATTGAGGAAGTGCCGTTTCCATTGCTCCAACGCTACAGTGCTCAAAGCCTTCAGCTTCATTGGTCGTTGAGGTTGATCTTCATCATCTTTGGAAGTTGTGCCCATTATGGCATCAGAGCTTGATCCAAGCACTTGTTGTGAATGAGGTCCCAGGGATTGCACTGAAAAGTGTTCCTTTGGTAGTCCTGGGCCCTTTTTTAGAGGTTGTGCTGAAACAGGTCTGGCCCTTTCTTCTTGATCAATCATTTGAATGTTTTGGTTCACTGCCGTGGCTATTGCAAGTTTAAGCCCCGGAGCCCATGCTGACCAAGTTTTGGAAGTTGTGCACCTTTGCTCCATCGACATCTGTCGAAACTGGTTGGAGAGCTCTGCTTCATTTGGAGGGGCCCCTCTGATCTCGTCAAGCTGCTTCATCTCAGCCACATTCGTTGCCATAGAGGTAGGTTTTCTTTTGGCATGCCCCATAGGAAACTGGTCAAAGCTCAGCACCGACAAATTGTAGGTCTCAGCCAGCAACTTCCACTCCGCTGTTCGAAAAATGGAAAAGTACTTGTGCTTCTGGACGTCTTGTTGATCTCGGTATTGAGCTGGATCTTCAGGTTGTTCCATGTAGAACTGAGTTGGCGGCAAATTCAAATCACGAACCTCCTCAGCTATCATGAACAAAGACCAGAACCGGAACATCAAGATTGTGTCGCCCTGCACAAGTTCCAGATCACCAGGTGAAAGTGTTGGCAGCCCATAGGGATGCTGGTCATCTCGCAACACGCCTGGACCACTGTCTCCTTGGTAACGAAGGGCTGATAGAGTGCGGCAAGGAGGTCCTCCCCAAATTGCACGAACTCTGCCAGTAGCACACAACATCAGCAAAAATCCAAACACACTTCGATCATGAAGATTTGCAGCCGTTGACAAAGTGGTGTCCACGCACAAAATCTCTGTAGTCGCACTTGAGCACTGTTTGTCCCAGAAAGCTTGATCAGGTCCAGAAAACAAGTGCAACACAATGTGCTTGGCCTTCATCAACCTTCTTCGCTTTGCCCTGTTCCAAGGTAGGCGACTTCCAAAGTCTTCCGTTTGGAGTACATCCAAGTGTGGGATCAGGCGCATCATGATTTCATCTGGAAGTTGAGGAAACTGCTGCCGCATCTTTGCTGTCAGCGCCAGGTCAAGGTTGACACGAGTCTTGTCAATCTGGTCCTCATCCGTCAACAACGTCTTGACCATCATCAGTTTGCGACGCTGATAGATGTGATAGGCTTCCACCACTCCAAAATTCGTTCAGCATCTTCCAGCGACACCATTGGACAGCCATGTTGAACTTGTACATCGATGCGACGTCCCTCATCGTCTTTCATCAAACATTGATCGCCTGTCCACTGCAGTGTGAAGTCCAGCTCTGCAAGGCCACCCATCGGGACGATCCAAGCTTGACGTTGTCCCGGCTCCGAAAGCAACAACTTTGTGCCATGCTTGAGACGAAATCTTGTAGTTGAACCTTCCGCCAACATCACTGTTGTGGTTTCGGCCTTGTTCCATTCGTCCCAGTCCCTGGCTGGTCGTAGTGCATGAGTTGCTCCAGAGTCTACCAAAGCCAGTTCTTGTTGACCTTGACCAAGTTCGCTGATCCTCATCACACTGATTTTTGGTTGTACCCGTAGAGATTTCAGCAACTGAGTTGCTTCTTTCACCAACTCATCCGTCTTGGTGCTCTTTTGAACTTCACCCCCAGTTCCACCATCACCTGAACCTCTAACCGGTTCTTCGCCACTCGCACTACCATTCTTGGTGTCTCCAAATGGTGTCGATGTAGAGGATGTTGGCTCCGTGCTCTGCAAGACTTTTGCCGCTGCCGCTCCAGCTTTGCCACCCACATTTGAGGAAGTTGCCATAGGTGAAGAAGTGGATGTAGAGCCATCAGTTCCGCTCCCCCCTCTTCCTTGTCCAGTTCCTCCCCCTGAGCCCGTAGGCTCACCAAGTCGTTTGGTTGTAGATGACTTCAAGCGGCAGTCGTTTTTCCGATGCTCCTTGCTGCCACAAATCCAGCACCGCTCCGACTTGTCCGGCAGAGACTCCCAAGCATGCATCCACTTGCAACTTTTGCCAGCTTTGCATCCCTTGTCCGACATGAAGTAACGACAAGGTTTGGACTCCAACGGAGGCTGCTTCAATTTTCCATCTCCATTGTTGAAGTTGCTGGACTTGTTGGGTGACTTCAGATCACCATCCAACTGCTTGAGCTTGATGGGCGTTGTAGATGAGGTGGAAGTGGTCGATGTCAAACATAGTGTCTCTGCTTCTGCTAGCAAGCACTGTGAGAACACCCAAAGATTGTGATGTGTTGGATTTTGATCCAACTCCAATTGCATTCGGCTCTGACTCAACCGAAATGCTGTCTGAGGATCCAAAGTACCCAGATGCTGCAACGGCGCGTCCAAGGACTTGAGAAGGAGCACCCCGTCGGGCAGCGATACTTCGACCTCTTGTGCCCTCCCGTAATGCCTCCTCCAGTTCCTGATGCCAGCAGCCACCTCTTGCACGTCCTTGCACTTTGGAAACGTAGTCAATTGAGTCAGCAACAGCTGCTTTTCGCCAGGGCCACCCGGTTGAAATCGAATCAGAAGCTTGAAGATGATCCCAGTAGAGGTGAGGATTCGGTCAGTCACCAGCGCTTGTTGCTCTGCCGCTGGGATTGCCTTGAGGAGCATCTGGATTCCTCTCTGCTCCGTCCTCAAAAACTGAGCCTCTTGGAGATCATCTGGAAGTCGAGGCTGGATTTGAATCCTCTGCAATGGAGAACTCCGTCGCCAGTCCTCATAGTATCCTTTCGCTTCTCTCAATGTCAACTGGCTACAGAGCTGATGTCCTTCATGATGGGCGAAATCAAATGAAGCCAGTCTCCAAATTGAAGAGGTGATGATTCTGAAGGAAGATCCGGTAGCTCTCCTTTCGTGGAGTTGCCACCCTCATTCCACTGGCCCATAACACGGCCAGGAAAAGTTCCATCTCCTGCTCCACCTCCCCCCACACCATGCCGTGGAAGGTCGCAAGAGCGTGCAGGCCTACAGTCATGTAGATTCGAACCCAGCTCCTCTGCACCATGCTGAGCCCGACCTTGTCCATATACTTCTCCAAGCACTGCCTGCGAAGCCCGAGCGTGGCAAAGATGATCGCCATGCAACGCAGAAGATGCCCGAGCTTGGCAAAGGTGTCCACCATGCAATGCAGCTGGAGCCCGAGCTTGGCAAAGGTGTCCACCATGCAATGCAGCTGGAGCCCGAGCTTGGCAAAGATGTTCACCGTGCAATGCAGCTGGAGCCCGAGCTTGGCATAGATGTTCACCATGCAATGCCTTCGAAGCCCGATCGCGTTCAAAATGTTCTCCATGCTCATACACAGCCCGAACGCCGCTGGGAGCTTGATAAGCACTTGCAAAAACCCGATGCCGTTGATCATGCGCCAAACCAGCAGTGTCAGGGAATGACCCAGACGGAGGAGATACATCCCTATTTTCATACCCAGGATTCCAGTAGTCAGATGTTTGGATTGCCTTTGGAACTGAAACCCGATCCAAAGCATGTCGCAATGATTGAACTTCACGTTCCAACCAAATCTGCTTTGCTTCACTGGGTGAAAGAACATCGATCTCCCCCCTCTTCTCACTTCTTGGTTTCCAAGCTAGATCCCCACTTTTGGCCTTGGGTTTTGACTCGCATGTGTCATAGAGGTCGCTATGGAAACTCCCATGCATGCCATCCCCACATTGAGCATTTTCAACCATCATTGGAAAAGGTGGTACTGGTGGTAATGGCTCACAATTTTCTGGTGGTGGACCATCAGGGACCTTTGTTCCGTTCGGTGTGAACCTTTTGTGGTCTTTTCTCCCAGGGCTAACCGCAGCTTCTCTGATCTTTGATCGAGGAGTTCTACTTCCATGTCTACCAGGTCTTCCAGGTTGTATGGACCCCACAAAAGCACGAAAGCTATCTGCAGACCCATCTACCTCCGACCATGGTGATGTTTCCATACCAGAAGTAGCTTTTCCATTCGATCCCCCATCCAGTTTGCTCCTGAGATACGCTAATTCATCCATTAGCTTCGAATTCTGCTGTCGTAGGAATCCCACTAGTTCCCCTTCAAGTGCACGTTGAAGTTCTTCTGAATCCCTTTGTGGCTCAAGTCTCCCAGTAGGCCCATTCACCGGCCCCATAGTTTTCACCCCAGCATCATCCTCAGGCAACTTTCCCTCGGTTCTCCTGTCCTCCAGACCTCGTGTAGATCCAGGCAGCTCAGCGTCCATCATTCCTGCAGACATGCTACCTCGACCCTTCCCAGTTGGTCCTTGCGACACCTGGCCAAGTGGTTCAGTTGCACCTAGATTGCGAAGGGGCTCTGCTAGAAGGCTATCATCAGGGCTCATAGGAAGGTCCATTGGCCTAGCAGCATCTAGCAAGTATCCATCTTGAGCTCGTTGGGAATGGAAAGGGTTCAACGCAACACCAGAAGTCCCTTGAACAGGCATAGATCGGGACCTTTCCATGTCCTATCACCGCGAATGCCAGTGGGTTAAGCTCTTGGGCTCATAACCCTCACAACACAGGGCACGCTTTACCCTTCTTTTGACAAACAAATGCCTTCGGGAGATCCAATGTCTCATGATCCTCACAGAATAGTAAATTATACCCCAAACACATCCTAAGAAGGTACGACTGGATCCATAGGGTCAATGAGTCGCTGGTCCATTCTGTGTCGGCACCCGATTTTTTTCTCGAAATTTCCGAAGGCACCCGAAAGCACATCACTAAGGCCCTCACAGGCAAGTCTCAGGGCGTGCAGAGTTAGCCTCGCTCAACGACTCAACGACGGAGGGATGCCCCAATCTTCGGCGAAAATCTTGGGGACTACTGGGTCCCAAATTTTCTGGATTTGGGGGTTTTATCGTGTGAAAAAATGGAAGGTTGCCATAAGTTGGGGGGAAATTCCCCCCATTGACAAAGCCTATAGATATCAAACGTGGCGCTGGGAACTCCCCGAACCAAATGGTGGTTTCAATGGGAAAATCACCTGTAAATGGTGGATGTTCCATTGTCATGTTAGAGTACCAGAGGGTATCCCTCATATTGTTGGTTGTATGAAAAAGCGAATTGCGGGGTACCAGTATCCGCTGTGTTGATCAGGGGCCCTTGTATTGATTTGTTCTAAAGTTCTAGTGTCATTCATGTATGAAATGGCGATTTGCGGAGTATACTCTAGTGTTAAAGTTATAGTCATAGTTGCATTATTTGTCAAACCCAGATTTAAGGCCAGTTGGGGAAGATTTCCCCAATCCCAACCATCTATGGCGAGGTCAGTCCTGAGGTCGCCACAAAATTTACCGAGTATTATGCTGCAAGGTGAGGCCCCCCCAACTGTGTTTGTTGGTTTATAAAACCCATTGAACAGTTCGTTATGCGCCCAAAAAGAACCATAGGATTCACCAAGTAAAAAGTGCGTCAACTTGGCGATTTCGTAAGTGAGGAAATCATCATCCTCATCATCATCCTCGTGTCATAATCATCATATACCCACTAACAATATTGTATGATCTATGGGTCTCTATTTATCTACGGGTCAAATTCATTCAAAATTAGGTACCTAATAATACCTACAATGTGAGGCGCCCCAGTTATAAGTTGGTTTATAAGCCCCAGTAACTATAGTTATAAGTACCATAAACCATAGTTATTGGAGTTGTAAACCAACTTAGATATCTTGATGGTAAATTGATGGTAAATGATAAATGTCACCATATATATAGCATACATGGATCCTATGGGTATAGGTATACCTAATAATACCTAGATGGATAATACGAACACTAGACAAGGCCAACTTTTTCTTCTGGGTCTTCATTTGTTGACCATCCAGTTGCTCTTCTCCCATTCTCCCATTGAAAATCATGAAAATATCACATTCTGAAAATGCCCTTTTTTATTGGTTAATTGCATATATTCAATGGGAGATCTTCTAGATCCTAAAATGGAGAAAATCTGTACCAGTACCATATAAGACCATATTTTCAGGGGATATTCCCTGAAACTAAGGCCTGAAAAATAGGCCTTATATATAGTAGGTACCTCCAATTTAGGTTCCTGAAATGGCCACTGATATATTGCTTACATCTTCCACCAACAAAACCACACACCATCTACCGAGCACAGGAGCGCTTAACGTCGGAGCCGAGACACTCTGCTTGGTTGAAGGCATCTTTGCTCCATGAGGTGCCTATTGGAGGAATTTCCGTCGGTGAAACAAGGATTTAAGTCATGTATCATGGATATTTCGGGAAGATAATTGTATTTATAGGATTTTATGACGGGTATGATGGCTATTGATGGGATATGGTGGAGAGAAATGGATCCAATTGGGGTAATGGACTGGATAAATCACATCCGACTCTACCAATGCATGGTGTTCCAATGCAGTTTCAGGGTGGCCAATAAGCAGGCCCTGACTGGAGATGTTGGCTTCTCTCATTGGTCCCATGAAAAACCCATGAAACGCCAACAGCTTTGGATCATGATGCTCCTGTTGAGCTTCAACGATCAACCAGCCACTAAAATCGGGTATTGCCTTCGGAAATCCTGTACAAAAAGAATACACAATTATTCCTGGCATCGGATTTGTTTAGTGACGTTCCATCATCTTCCTCCAAACAAAACAATTTCCAGCTGGAAAACATCGTGGAAGCCTCAGTGTTATCATTGTTCAGATGATGTTCCCATGATTTTCTTTCTTTTTAACGAGGTGTTCCATCCTTGTTCCATGTTTTTTGTCCCAGTATTGTTGTTTTTTTCCATACTGTTTCCATGGTTTCCGCGTGATTTCTCAATGATTTACCTCCTTGATTCTCCATGATTTGCCACCGAAAAGAACCAAAAAACTGGTCGACAGACCACAAAAAAAGAGAAAGAAAGTCCCCATGACGGATCCTAACGGTGCTGCTATATATGGTGCTCCATGGATCCCATCAATATATCCCCTTTATGTTAGCATATATACCAGCACCATGGATCCTATGATTTCCATGATATCTCTTTGTCAAAACATTGCGTCTACGAGTCTACCTCCCCCTGTTCCGCCTACATTGGGTGCTCCATCGTGTAGCACCACATCGGCGCTGGCGCCGTGCAACTCCTTTCGAATCAGCTGACGACACCTGCGGTGGCACGCGAAACGGTCGAAAAATGCCACGGATTTATTCTCCGTGACTTGGTGTTTCTCTTGGGAAGTTGATGGGTCAAGTGACCTATGATTACAATGTGGTAAACGAACAGTTTGCTATTGAAAATGGCCCAGTCGAAATAGTGGATTTACCCATTAAGAATGGTGGATCTTCCCATAGTTATGTAACAGTTTACCAGGCCGGGTACCCTATGAATGGGGGAATCAACAAGGGGAATAAGCATCCAGTAGCCTCTGGTAAACCAACATAACTCTGGAAAATTACTCTGTTTCATGGGTAGGTCAACTATTTCTATGACCATTTTCAGGAGCTTTTTGTATGTTTACCAGAGGGTACCCTCTGTTGCTATGGAAAATGGCACGTTTATGGAGATTCTTTGAATGAGGATTTAAAGATATTTAAAGATCTCCCCAATGATCTATCTGGGTAAATGAAATTACTTCACTAACCTGAATTGTTGGGCCATAAAAGGGGATCATGTCCTATATCTAAACCAGATCTATACCCTGGTGTTGTTGTTGTTGTTGCTGTTGTTTTTGTAGTTGTAGTTGTAGTTGTAGCTTTAGTTGTAGTTGTAGCTGTAGTTGTAGTTGTTGTAGTTGTGGTTGTAGTTGTTGTTGTCGTTGTCGTTGTCGTTGTTGTTGTTGTTGTTGTCGTTGTTGTTTTTGTTGTTTTTGCAATCTCTTACCCTCTGGGTATATACATCTATATAATTGTGCACCTTTGATTACCGGAGGGTATACTTTCGCCATTTTAAACTTTAGATATGTCACTATAGACACGTAGATCTGGGGCCCCTCCAATCCAACTTCTGTGCATCGGGGTTGTCAGGAAAGCAGATGCGGGGAATCCCTCAAAAATCCCTCATGAAGGATCATCTTGATCAGCAAACTTTCCCGTTCAGTGTTATAAAAATCCTCCATTGATCATCATTTATCATCATTTATAATCATTTATCATCATTTATAATCATTTATCATCATTTATCATCATCGTCATCATCATCATCATCGTTTATCATCATCATCATCATTATCATCATCATTTATCATCATCATCATCATCATTATCATCATCATTTATCATCATCATTATCATCATCATTTATCATCATCATCATCATCATTTATCATCATCATCATCACCATCATCATCATCATCATCATCATTATCATCATCGTTTATCATCATTTATCATCGTTCATTTTTGCAAGCCCTCAAGCCCTCACCACATCATCGGGTCATCCAGAAATCCCGATTCCGTTTCCGTCCCAGGCTTCTCAGTGGTGATGTCCGATTGGATGCACGTGACGCCAGGGATGGGCTTGATGGGAGCCTCAGTTTCTCAGTTTTCGTGATCGCGGAATTTTGCAGCTCTGGTAAACATAGAAAAAAACATGGGAAATCACCATGTTAATCAACTATTTCGACTGGGTCATCTTCAATAGCTTTTTGTATGTTTACAAGATGGTATGAGATCTTGGAGGATTCCATTTGAAAATAAGCCTGCTGAACTAACCAGTTGTAATCTATGGGATTATCATCTGCATAGATGTCTGGCTGGATATTTTTTTGCCACGGGCCCACGAGAGTCTACATGATGGACAACTGGACCCGTCAGATCTTATCTCAGGTCCAAGGGAGGTCGAAACCGCCAGACGTTTCTAGAAAATCTTATTGGAAATGACCATATATTTAATATCTTATCAAACCACCAGATCTTGGAAATCTGATCTTATCAAACCACGTGAGATATTTCTAGATCTTGAATTGAATTATTTTCCAGAGGTGCGTAGAATCGTAGAAATGCACCCTTCACATCCATCTGTTCCGTTCATCCTCCACTCTTCAACGCGATGATCCCAAGATATGTCTCGATCCCAAGATACCCTCTGGTAAACTAACGTAGCTATAGAAACTCACCATTTTTTATATGGGTAAATCCACTATTTCTATGGTCATTTTCAATAGCTATGTTAGTCATAACCAGAGGGTATACCATCATATATCCCATTAAATCCCATTAAATGCTATTGAATCACCATTGAATCCCATTAAAACACCATTAATGGATCCTTATAGATCCTTATAGCCACATAACCAGAGGGCATCCCAAGTTCCAAGCCAAATCAATCGCCACAATCTTGGAGCCGGCCTTGGAAATCGGCGCTTAAAACAGACCTAGCCCCCAGGGGAGCCACGATCACTGGCCTGGAGCTAGAGAAACTTTACCACGAAATGGGTGGGGGCTTGGGATGTGGATTCTGAAGATTCTGATCTATCAGATCTTACCCTCTGGTAAACATAGAAAAAACTATGGAAAATCACCATTTTTAATAGGAAAACTCACTATTTCTATGGCCATTTTAATAGCTATGTTAGTTTACCAGAGGGTAGATAAAAAAATTGGGCACAATTTCTGTCAATGGCCATTTCAGGAACCGATTGATCGGAGGTACCTCCATTTTAGGATCCTGAAATTCCCATTGATTCTGGGTGAACATCTTAGAAAATTGTAATTCAAGATTGGCCATAGGCCATAGGGATAGAATGGGATATAATCTGGTTGGTGGGGGCTACCAAAACCCCTCTGAAAAATGATGGAGTGAGTTCGTCAGTTGGGATGATGATTATTCCCCACTGAATGGAAAGTCATAAAATTCCATGGTTCCAAACCACCAACCAGTTAATATTTTTGGACAGATCCTAAGTTCTATGACGTTTGAAGATGCTGCAGCTTGCCGCTGGATCTCTGTCGGCATCACATGTTCGACCATTTCAGGTGCTGTTGATTTATCCCTTCCCCCTAATCTAAAATACCCCGACGAAACCATGGTGGATGTAGGGAAGTTCCACATAATTGGAACAAATTAAGGGGGTGTTTAATTTTGGGGGAAGGGATTAAATTCATACTGTTATTATTGTTCCTGTTCCTGCTGATGAAATTATCCTTGTTGATGAAATTCCCGCTGTTATTCTGGTTGGTGGTTTTAACCATCTTGAAAAATATGAAAGTCAATGGGAAGGATTACCCAAAATTCATGTTTGAAACCACCAATCAGCATTGTTCCTGCCTTTTGTTGGCTGAAATCCACTCAAAAAGTGACATATCTTCTGCGAATTGAACATGGCTGGAACATCCCAACTTGTAACAGAAAAAATACTTTTTCTCAGCCAACCAGGCCAGCCATTTTAAAGTATGTCAAAGTTTATTTAAAGTGAGATCACCATAAATTTAGTTCTTATTTTTGCCAGAAAATCAAGACGTGAGATAACCATAAAATCATAAATTCAGATCTTCAAAAAATAGATCACCCTAAATTCAAATGTTAAAAAAAATAGGTAACTTAGATACGTTTCATCTCACTGACACCCCCACCTTGCCTTTGGCCCCCAGACAGGCATATTCCTCTGTGCCACTTGGGACCAACCCCCTGGAGCTGCACAGAGATCCAAACATACCTGGCGCGGTTGCGGGCGCGGCTTGGGACATGTCACTACTAACGTTGGGCTTATGGTAGATACCCGGCCTGGTAAACATACAAACAACTTTGGGAAATCACCTTTTTTAATAGGAACACTCACTATTTCTATATGGCCATTTTCAATAGCGATGTTAGTTTACCAGAGGGTATATCTGGTTGGTGGTTGACCCACCCCTCTGAAAAATGATGGAGTTCGTCAGTTGGGACCGATGATTTTTCCCAATATGATGGGAAAAATAAAAAATGTTCCAAACCACCAACCAGTATCTGGGTACTGTAAATGGAAAAATAGTTCACTCACCTGAATTATCTGAATTATCATATGAATGAGTACAGTATCAAAAAAAATCAATGGATAATATATATATATATACATCATTTTCATTTGATCATACTTTGATCAGATATATCAAACTTAATTAGTACTGAATAATCAGGGTTCCTAGTTTGATATTACATTCACATTAAACGGAGGGTTCATGGCCTGGATATGATGATAATCAGTCAGAATTGGGCTCCAGTTTCTTCAATGGTTAAATCCTCATTTTTGATAGTTACCCTCGGAAAGATCCACCATTTTTGTTAACTCATCGAACTATGTTTTCATGGCTGCGAACCCCATAGCTGTATGAAATTGGCAGAATCCAACACAAAAGATTGGCAATTTTGGGATGGATAACTGGTTGGTGGTATACCAAAACCCCTCTGAAAAATGATGGAAAACTCGTCCGTTGGGATCATTATTCCATTCCCAATATGATGGGAAAGTCATAAAATTCCATGGTTCCAAACCACCAACCAGATAACTACATTTTGAAACCGTCATTTTTACCATAAATGGCTCGTGATTGATTCCCAAAGAAATCGCCCGCAAAAAAAAAGTGACGAAACATTGGATTTGATGCTTTTTCTACTTGAAACAAACACAATTCTTGGTCATTTTCACCAATCCAAACACACAAACGTGGTTTAGTGTTGGATTTCTTCATTTTGTGAGGGCATTTCTTCATTTTTCTGCGGGGATTTCTGCATTGATGTCCTGTACCACACATTTTCTCACTTCGATCCGAACAAAAATCGGAGGTTCACCACCCAATCGACAAAGCTTTCACCTTAGATCTGGAAAAGAAGTTGTTCTTCTTCGCCTCATCCGAACGACCGAGCGCCGGAGCCCTGAAGTAATTCGGGGGACCAGCCATAAAGAGTAGGGGAAATTCAACAACTCGAAATGAGTGATTGAAGTTATTTGATTTAGCTTCAACTTGATTGGTATAATTTGATTAACTTGATCTAACTTGATTTAATGTGGTTTGAACGCTCAAATATGCGGGGATCATGAGTCCATGGTGGATTTACTTCAATTTTTAGGGGAATGAAACAAACCATTCTATGGGGCTTGAACAAGAGAAACAAGCGATAAAAACATCACATCAGTTGGGTTCCAGAAATGGATGGTGCCCGAATCATACCAGGGAAACTCATGGGCTTTTCCCAAGCGTTTTAACAGCCATCCTCATGACAGTCTCACCAAAAGGAATCAACCATCCCGGAACACAGTCTACACCTGGCTGGTGGTTGACCTACCTACCCCCTCTGAAAAATGATGGAAAACCGATCGAACTATAGTTTTCATCACTATAAACCCAAGAATATCTACAAAAAGAAACACTGGTTGGTGGTTGACCTACCCAACGGTATACCAAAACCCCTCTGAAAAATGATGGAAAACTCGTCAGTTGGGATTATTCCATTCCCAACTGTTTCTGGAAAGTCATTCAATCCATTCCATGGTTCCAGTCACCAACCAGAACAATCTTCAGGCCACCAGTCGCGCTGAGTGCTGTGACCAACTGGATCAGTTTGAAGGCTGAACGAGCACGATATCCCTGATCCTTTGCCAGGTGGTAAAACCTCAGAGTTCCGTGAGTCGGTTGTTTTTTTTGCTGTGAAAAAACTTCGCAAGGCATTTCGTTGGTGTATAAATTGACCTAACTTTGGGCCTAAACTTTGGACATGTGTCATGACATGTATCAACCTCATGATTCGGGAAGTTCTCAAAAAAAGGCGGACTTTTTTTGATGTCAGCAAAAAAAACGCGGAATTTGAAATTCATGGAATCCCTATGGAGAGTTGTGCACAATAAATGATAGCATGAGCCCTACATTTAAGGTTCTGTGCACATATATATATATATATATGTATATATATATATATATCATCCCAAAGTTTAGATACGAGATGGAATTGGCACTGTTATATATCAGAGCATTTTGGTGAAAACTTCTTCGATTTTTCCATATTCTATCTACTCCAGGATGATTTTCTATCTATATCATGTGCATATTCAACTTATATTCATTCTTCGGACATAGATTGAAAAGATCCCTCCAGCATGGCCAAGCTCAGATTCCCAACTTGTCCAACCGGTCTTTGCCTTTTTTCCTGTCACAAAGCCCCTCGGCAATGGATAGGCCACAGATGGATAGGCCGTCTTTTCAGTCAGCCATGGAATCCCTTTCTGTTCATCCCGAAATAACTGGGATTTGGGGATCCGAATAAGGTCCTAACGTCGAGCTTGCCCTTGATATGCTGATCCCCTGCTCAAGTGGTTCTAGTGCGATTCATATACATGATACATGAACAGCAAGAATCATTCACCTAAAAAAAACTCTATGGCAACCCATAGATGTATATATATATATATTTCTCTCTCTCTCTCACTGAAACATTTACCAAAATTGTGTATATATATACATATATATATAGATCTAAATCTTTACCTAGCCAAAAATGAAGCCAAAGATCTAGATCTGTCACATCCCCAAACATGCCGCGGACGGACGATTTCTTGTTGGGCATGGCGTCTCTGCGCGACTTATGCACAAGCTCCAGACCTGACTTCATCCCGGATTCTGACCAACAGTGGGATTTTCAATGATTTTTAGTTTATTTATAGGTGAAAATCCATCTATTTATAGTTGATATAGTTGATTTATAGTTGAATTTTTTATATAATTGATATTTATCAGTGATGATATCTAAATATCAGAGGCGTTGTCTGAAAATTGGCTATCCCAAATTTATGAAATCCATTGGTTAACCAAATGAAATTTCCCATTCAATGGCCATTTTGGAGGTACATCCCGTTTTCAGACAGCCCCTTATCTAAGTTGGTTGAACCAGGCTAACAGTGCGATGTTTCACCCACAAACCTACAGGTGGTTTGAGCCACCCCAACATACCCAGAGGCTTTATCTTAGAAGTTGCGTGTCCCCAAAACAGTTCTAACAGTTCACCAGTGGCTTTTCCCAGTATTTTTCAGCCAGTTGAGCCGGTTAAAATTCTAAAAAAACATTATTGTTACCCTCTGGTAAACTAACATAACTATGGAATTTCACCATGTTTAATGGGAAAATCCACTATAAATGGGCCATGTTCAATAGCTATTTTGACATAACCAGAGGGTACATCTTAAACCACCATCAAAAAGATGGTTATCCCAGGTTTTCCCTACTCAACTACTCAATGAAGACACAGAAAATCCCTACTCAATGGGTTGATGGAAGGCTTTCCCACGGCTTGTCCATCTCAGTGACTCAGCAAAGGCCGAGTGAAGTTCCCGTGCTGCCTCAGTGGTGAAGGGCCGAGTTGGTCGTTGGTTTCCAAATGGAGTTAATTCATCCAAGTAATTCTCGAAGAATTCATGGGGACTCTACATAGGTATCTAAAAATGAGGTATACCCCCACAAATTGTCATTTTAATGTAGTATGTAGAACATTAATGATGATTACCATCTGGTTATTTAACATAGCCATGGAAAATCCCTCATAAATGGAGGTTTATAGCTGGGAAAATCATCTATTTAAATGGGCCATCTATACCATGGCAAACTGTTAGTCATAACCAGAGGGTAATTCATCCAAGTACAAAGTGGGGCCCCCAAACAATATCTAAGTTGGTGAACATAACTCCAATGTCACTATGGTTTATGGTACTTGTAACTATAGTTATTGGGGCTTATAAACCAACTTATAACTAGGGGGCCCCACATTGTAATTATTTAACATCTTGCAAGTGGATACAACTATAATTGGTGAGTTCACCCTAGCTGGATCGGCCTCACAATTCCCAAACTGTTTACGGATGAGGTTTGGCAAATATTCAGTTAGAGAACTTACGATCACTTATTAGTGATATAGGATATAAGATATATATCCTCCCGTTATATCATATTAAATCATATCACTATCCAGTTTGTTAATATATTTATACATATCTCATTAGTAATGGATATATATCCCCTTAGATAAGTTTTGACATATAGATTCTAGATTCTATACTATTAGATAGATATATATTTTATATTATTTACATTTAGATTATTTATACTATTTTTATATTATTTACATTATATTCTCTTTTCTATACTATTATAATCAACCTATTAGTATTTCGTAACTAGTTTAGATTTCCTATTTTGACATATAAATTTAGATATTTATACATATCCCCTATTAGATTTATTAGATTATAGATCACCAATCCAGTAAGTTAATATCCATGCATATCCCATTAATTAGTAAATAGTTATATAATGTTATATACATCCCTTCAATAATTTTGACACATAGATTCTATACAATTTCAACCAATAAAGTGGTGAAAATATCTAATGATTCTATGTGAAATATCTCCCACGGCAAGGAGCCCCTTAGCTCCCGTGGCAGAAGAATATAGGATCTATTAGATTATATGGCAGTGTGTCAAAACCTTGTACCCCCTCTGTTCACATCAAAATAGCTGGGATTTATGGATGTTCATCCTATAAAAAATGTATCTATAGGTATTGACCCATACCCATATAGATTCACCACGCCTCCCCAGCGATCAACCTTGAGCCACCACCAAAAACTGCCAGGCCAAACCCGCCAGGCGTCGGACACGTCGAGTCGTCGCCGAGCGCCTGTGGAGGTATCGCTCTTCCGATGGGATCGCAACCCTCAAACGATGAGAAGCTTATATGTTGTGTGGCTTATAGTTTATAATTAACCCCTTTCAAAAATATGAAAGTCAATGGGAAGGATGACATCCCATATATTATGGAGAATAAAACATGTTTGAAACCACCAACCAGATACATATATATGTTTATAATGGAAAATCCTATTAAAGTAGATGATTTAGGGACTTAGGGATACAGTACCCCTATTTTCATCATACATCATCATACCAATATGGGGGTGTCCAAAAAATGGGGATACCCCAAAAACGCTGGTTTATTTCATGGAGAAGCCATCTATAAATGGATGAGAACTGGGGGTACCCCTATGACTTAGGAAACCTCCATTTCTGAATGATGTTTCAATCAAAAGGCATTGATTTACCATGACATTTTACCCCCAAAACAATGCAGAACATGTTATGATTGACAGTGATGTACCATAAAATTTCAGTCGGACTGTTTATTGTTACGATATGTTGCGATTGGTGACGCATCTTCTTGGTTATTGCTATATCGCAAGACCTCCATGATTTCAGATGGGCACAGCAAGACCATCAGCAAATCGCTGAGAGAAAAACCTCGTCAGATCCAAAAAATGTGTCTCTTTTCAAGGAAAGTGATCTACAAAGTGAAACGAAAAAAAAATACTTTACTTCGTGTGATCCCCACCATGACATTTATACATTTTCTTACTGGCAAATCTTCTGGCATTCTATCTGACATATCTTCTGGGCATTCTATCTGGCATAATATGATCTTATCTGGCATTCTATCTGGCATATCTTCTGGCATATCTGATTCTGGCATTCTATCTGGCATTCTGGCATATCTTATCTGGCATTCTATCTGGCATTCTATCTGGCATATCTTCTGGCATATATCTGGCATATCTTCTGGCATATCTTCTGGCATTTTTCTGGCATTCTTTCTTTCTTCTGCACTTCTTCTGCACATTCTTATCTTCCTACATGAGGTCCGGCAGGGAACACTTGGCATGGATACCCGCGGTTGAGGTCCGGCAGGGAACACTTGGCATGGATACTCGCGGTTGAGGTCCGGCAGGGAACACTGGGCGTGGCTGGTCGTGGTTGAGGTCCGGCAGGGAACACTGGGCGTGGCTGGTCGTGGTTGAGGTCCAGCAGGGAACACTGGGCGTGGATGGTCGTGGTTGAGGTCCGTGGACGAGGACGACGAGGACGACGAGGATGACGAGGACGACGAGGACGACGAGGACGACGAGGACGACGAGGACGACGAGGACGACGAGGACGACGAGGACGACAAGGACGACAAGGACGACAAGGAGGACGAGGAGGAGGCAGGCGGCAGGACGAGGCAGGAGGCGGCAGGAGGCGGCAGGAGGCGGCAGGAGGAGGAGGAGGCAACTGACATAAAATCTAACAACCCTCACCTGGCAGGTGGGGAAAAAACACATCCATCAAGAGTTATCCAGAATTATCAAGAATTATCAAGAATTATCCAGAATTATCCAGAATTATCCAGAATCATCCAGAATTAAAGTATCCAGAATTATCCAGAATCATCCAGAATCATCCGGAATTATCAAGAATTATCGAGAATTATCGAGAATTGTCAAGAATTTTCAAGAATTATCAAGAATTCACGTTCTCTCTCCTTGATGAACCGGGGGTCACCTAAAATTTCGCCAGAGGAGCTATGGCACTTGTGCGTCTTTCCCACTTCCAACCGCCCTGAAAAAACCGGTTGTAAGTCCCCAACTTCGAAGCGCCGGCAGATCTATAGATACTGGGACTTTGGCAGCAATGGACTATCTGTCATCAGTATCATTAGAAACTATATGATCTATAGAAAAATCATCATATCATAAATCATCTAATATCATAAATCATAAATCATCATATCTATAGAAACACTGATCTATATCTATCATTATGATATCTAAAGAAAAATCATCATATCATAAATCATCATAGTATGATATATCATAAATCTATCACTATATAGTCCCCAAAATTGTATCAAAAATCCTTCAAAGTGTTTCTTTACATATCTGTCATGAGCCCATTTTTCGTGTTGCCCATTTCTGTATAGCCATGCGACTTTGTAGCTACTGCTAGTGTTTCATTATATGATACACACCTACAAAAAGATGGGCCATGGAGTCAGGGAAAACTAGTTAGTAACTGGGCTTTGTTTACCCCCTATATCTATCACAATGATATAAGCCATTTACCAACTAGTTATATAACTAACTCCATGGCCCATCTATGTTTCACTTGGCGCACCTGGAAAAATCTCCCTGAGTTGGTCAAGTCCACTTGGAACTCCAAGCCGAAGCCGGAAATTTGGTGGTTGACCTACTTGGTTAATGATGGTTAATGGATTTTAATGATGGTTAATGATGGTTGATGATGGTTGATGATGGTTAATGATGGTTAATGATGGGTAATGATGGGTACTGATGGTTGATGATGGTTCTCTGGTTGGTGGGGGCTACCAGGCTACCCCTCTGAAAAATATGATGGAAAACTCGTCAGTTGAATCGTTGGGATGATGAAATTCCCAAAAAAAATATGGGAAAGTCATATAAAACATGTTCCAGTCACCACCAAGCAGTTTTTCTGTTCTGATGGTATACTGAGTATACTGGACACTTTGTTCGGCTCGACCTATGCCCCCTTCAACTTGGCATGATCCCAACGAATCTCATCCGCCCGGAATTGGGAACCTCAGCTCAAACCACACGGGGCCAGGCTCGAGCCAGATCGCCGGCACGGCACCAGAGGATCAGGCCACTTGGTACCGGCTAATCTCTGGAGAATCTAAGATCATCTATATAGTATAATCTAGGAGATAATCTAGGAGAATCTAGAGTTCATCTAAGATCATCTATGGTTAATAATGGTTTATAATCTATGGCTATGGTTAATCTATGGTCAATCTACAGTTAATCCAAGAATATCTATGGTTAATAATGATTAAATGTTGAAACATTGTTAACAGACTGCAAGGACCACTTCACAGATCGCAAGTGGTGACGTTTTCGATTCATGGAAAGATCCTCCAGAGCCGATAATCTTAGATGATTTTCCGTCAAAACTGGTGGTGCTTCAACCATCAAAATTGGGGCTTAAGCATGCGAAAAATTGCAAAAACATGGGATCAAACAATGTTTTATGGAAACATTTGAAGGAATTTGCACCCCCGTTTTTTGTACCAGGTTCATGGCTGAGTTATTTTCCGAGATGTCTACCCTTGTTTCATCCACATCCCAAGGGTCCCAACGCACCATTGCTACTTAGGCCATGGGTTTTTGTTGTGGTTCACAACTGGGTTGAATCCTCTTCCAACTGGTTTGTAGTATGGTAACCCGTCGCAGAATTTTGAGGACTCGTTTTTGATCGCAGCGAATTCACTGGACATGGGGCCCCTACGGCAGCTCCTACGGTTTATGGAGCGAACTAACCAGAACTAAACCCACTGATTCCGAAAAACGCCAGCGGTCTGGGGAAGGTCTGACTTTTACAAACCAGAACTGGTTGGTGGGGGCTACCAAAACCCCTCTGAAAAATGATGGAGTGAAAGTCAGTTGGGATGATTATTCTTCCCAACATATGGAAAGTCATTCAAAATTCCATGGTTCCAGTCACCACCAAGCAGAGAAATGTTCATCTTTCGGTTGGCTTATTAGGTTGGAACTTGCCCAAAGAGGCTGTTCAGTGCATGAATTACTGGACTTTCAATGGCATCCCGATGCCACAAAAACCTACCATTTAAGGGGATGTTTTTGTGGCCCATGGTGATTTTAGGGATGGTTTGATGGTTTGTTTATTCTTGGGTTTACCGTTTTACCACATAAATTGTTTGTTTCAATCCAATTCAGCATGCTTAACAAGCAGTCAAACAATCATGCCACTCCGGTCGGAAATTCGTGGAGTTTTCAGCAGCCAAAATGGTCATCCTTGAGCCAAATTTTAACCAATCCACAGCTCATCGTCCAAAACGCAAAAAAAATGTTTGTTGCAAATTAGACTTTTCATCGACTTTTCAGAAAATCAGAGCTCCCTTAGTCTAACATCCTTTCACCCTCTTGTGAAATCGTCCTTCCACCACCAGTTTTTCGTTTTTTTTCCAGGGGCGACTTGCGGCGCGAATGGTACGTTGACAGCACGACGAATTTCTTCGGTCACGCAGCGATGAGGTCGTCTTCATCCTGCCAGGATCATGGAAAGCCGCCAGGTTCCGAGAAAAGTGTCCTTCAGGGGTTCCAATATCTCCCAGAAAAAATATTTCATAAACAAGGCTTTCCAGATAGCCTATAGAATCCGTGTATTTGTTATCCTATGAGAATTTTATTGCAAGAGGAATTAATCTGGGTCAATTAGAAATTTCACTAACCTGAATTAAGGCCATAAAAGGGGATGATTTCCCTTATTAATCATGATTCCAGGCTTAGGTCGCAGTGAGGTCGTTATAATTTACCCAGAATTATATATGTTCTATCCTCGGGTAACCGGGTAATCAAAGCTGGCAACGTTGGGAAAATCCCCCGATGATCCCAACGAACCCCAAGATGAATTTGGATATGTTTGGGACAAACTTACAATCCAGATCTTCCCAAATCTATCCAAAAATCCTGTTTAAGATACTTGAGAGTCGACTCAGAGAAGTTTTCGAACATCAAATTCCAGATTTGTCCCCCAGATCTCCTCTGAAACTCCTCCTCATCCTGGCCATATGAATTGGGGGTATATCCCCTGAAATTTGGGCCTGAAAAATAGGCCTTATATATGGTAGGTACCTCCAATCAATCGGTGCTTGAAGTGGCCAGTGAATTGTTAGTAGGAATAAACAGTAATCATCATGATATAACACATTGGCAAAATAAATCAAAATAATCACTTCCATCATTCCATGAAATCCGAATTTTCTTGGGTATATCGCATGATTCTAGCCCCATTATATCCCATTACAACCCATTATATATATATATATATATATACACATAATGTCAACCCTGGATTAATAAACCCCTAGGCTGTTTAATTGGGAGGGTACCATTTAAGTATCAGATTGAGACTATTGGAGGAGTACTCCCTAATTATATAAACCATAGTTTAGTCTCATCCGGGGTTGACATTATATATATATATATATCTGGTTGGTGGTTTCAACCCCTCTGAAAAATATTAGTCAATTGGAAGGATGACATCCCATATATGAAATGGAAAATAAAATTCATGTTCTAAACCACCAACCAGATATAGTTATCATATCTGTCAATATTGTAAATGGCCCATGTTCAATATAGTTATAATTATAGCTATTAACATATCAACCATATATATATCATACATCATCAAACCTGTGTTATATATGGTTATATGGCTTTATATCTCCATAACCCATTATATCCCATACAGTATATAATGATTATATATATATATTATATTATATATATACACACATACATCATTATTATACCCTCTGGTTATTTAACATAGCCATGGAACATCACCATGTTTAATAGGTAAACCATCTATTTCTATGGACCATCTATACCATGGCTACGTTAGTCATAACCAGAGGGTATATATCACATACATCAATCATACATCATCAACATTATCAAGTATAGTTAATTATAGTTAATAATGTTGATATAGTTAATTATAGCTATGATATGTTAATTATAGTTAATTATAGCCCATATATAATGATTATATATATACACACATCAACATTACTATTTAGTATTAGTTACTAACCAGTATTAAATATTACTAATTACTAACTATTATTAACATATTATTATATCAACATTATATCATACATCATCAACATGTTATTCTCCCACTCCCCTCACTCGAAAAACGGGCGCGACCGCGCCTCTGTGGACTCCTCAGGAGTTCCCAGAGTCGCAAGGACATCATCCTGTCGGACCGTGCACGCGAACTGAACGGTGAGCGAACTAAAAGGGAATCTCAGAGGTAGAATCTATATTGTTAGATATAACTAACCAGACATACACATCTACTTCATCTCAGAGGAAATTTAGATATATCTATTAAATGGTATAATCTTAGAGATAAGTGTTTATCTATGGCTTATGTGAACTTATATGGTATAACAATCTGAGATTATCATCTTAGGTAATAACTTTAATAGAATCATTTTGGCTTTATAGAACTATATTAAGTTAGATATGGCTGATATGGTGAAAAAACATTTTATAACTATATATAATCGTTTATAGTTATTTATGGTCCTATGGTTGTAATTTAGAATTCTGGTTTATAAATGTTTATGACTAAATAATGATTGATACATGTTGATACACATTTCTATAGATATTTCTATACTTCTGGTTGATATGTCTGTGCTTCAGGTAGATAGAGGTAGAAGCCATGAAATGCCCATGAATTCCATTTTGATTGTCCCATGTATTAGGGGTAAGTAAGTGGTTAGGTAATGGAGGATCATCTCACGGATCGTAAGTGTTAAGTAACTGGGATTGGTTCAGCCACTATAAATGCTATACTCCACTGAACGGGGACTTACTCACCGTTTCAAAGAGGTATCACTATGATTTATCATTATGCTTTATGACTACAATTATGGTTGGAACACTATAGAACTGTAATTACGGTTTCTAGTTGTGGTTTATAAAATGTTATAACTATAAAACTATGATACAATGTAAGTTAATTATGGTTATAACTATAATTATGGTTTGCAACCTAGTTTGTTATCTATAATCAGTTACAAGTAGGAGTGCAAAAACAGCCCTGGATCAGCAGGGTTTAGATAAGCATGATTTTGTTTCTACCCAGTTATGCCATAAAAATAACACGTTAACCTCAACATACCCCAACAACCCTCACCGTTTTCACTGATCCTTATCCACTGCTGATGGCTCAATCATCATTTTTCCTTGAGCAATCTGCATATTTGATTGCTTAATCCACCAGCTCGTCTCGAAGGTCTAATGTCAAACCCAGATAAAGAGACCCTGACCATCAATTGGGGGTTACCCCAAGATAATTATAACATATAATAAATGACTCATTAAACACTATCAAAATTAGTACCACGCCTGGTAATAAGCTGGGGAGTTTGCTAAATCCTCGGTGAACATTACTAAATATCCATCATAATCACCATTCTCCCATGTTTATATCCCTAGTTTTGATACTTAAATCATGTGAAAAATCACTTCAATACCATAGTTTTTAACATAGTATCACTTCAATTTAAGTATTCATTAACAATCACTTTGATACTTAAATTACCTATGGATAGTTTTTGATGGTTAATCATATCCAGTTCGTCAATCTTTCCCACTGAGAAAATGCAGAAAAAAAAACAAACTTACGATCGACTCGAAAAATCCAAGATTACTTTAGGTAGGATGCACCACCAGGTAGATACCCGGCCTGGTAATTTGTTACATAGCGAACTGGAAAGATCCACCATGTTATAGCTGGGTAAATCCACGATTTCGACTGGGCCGTTTTCCAGTTCGCTTTTTGTATGTTTACCAGGCCGGGTAGCTCACAACTGGTTTCTACATAACTCCACTGGTGGCTATGGTAGATACTGTGGATGGGGAAGCGAAATCCGAATCACCAGTTCACAGGTGCAACAGTACACATCCCATGATTTTCTTCGGGTTTCAACATGTTCCAACCATCCTAACTTGGTGATGCATGATTTCGCTGGCCCATCCACCGTATCAGCCACGAGTTGCGGCACAGCCGCCCCAAACGCCTGCGAAGACAGACTGTGCCGCGCGCGACTCACCGTGACGTCGGAGGACATGGTGCGACCATCGGTGCCTTGACGGGAAGGCGGCCCAAAGGTAGCGAAGTTGGTTTTTTTTCACTCATATTTTGCTTGGGTTTATGATAGATGTAGATATATGATATATCATGAATTATCATGATATGATTGGTTTATAACTGGTATCAGTAGGGTTTGTGGTAGATATATCGAACTATTTCATGGGAAACTCAACCGACAAACGTTTCACGGGGACCCTTCCTGCAGTGGCCACTGCAAGATTTTGGGGCTCTCCCAATTTTCAGAGGAACCCCACGGGGTCCCTCCTGGACGCTAACATCGAACCTCCAAGATGGCCTCTATTGGATTTGCTGATTCGGGGTCCCCCAAAAATAATTACTCTACTTCGTGTGATCCCCACCATGACATGTCAGGACGTATATTTGGACATATATTTAGTATATTCTGACATCCTATCTGACATATATTCTGGCATTCTATCTGGCATATATCCTGACATTCCACCTGGCATTCTATCTGGCAGTCTATCTGGCATTCTATCTGACATATTTTCTGACATTTCATCTGACATATATTCTGGCATTCTACCTGTCATTTATTCTGACATATATTCTGGCATTCTATCTGACATATATTCTGGCATATATATCTGGCATATATTCTGGCATGGCATTATATCTGACATATATTCTGGCATTATCTGGCATTCTGACATATATTTTGGCATTCTATCTGACATATATTCTGGCATATATGTTGGCATTCTATCTGGCATTATATCTGACATATATTCTGATTCTATCTGACATTCTATCTGGCAGTCTATCTGGCATTCTATCTGGCATTCTTTCTGGCATTCTTTCTGGCATTCTATCTGGCATTCTACCTGGCATCCTATCTGACATTCTATCTGGCATTCTATCTGGCATTCTTTCTGGCATTCTTTCTGGCAATCTATCTGGCATTCTATCTGGCATCCTATCTGACATTCTATCTGGCATTCTATCTGGCAGTCTATCTGACATTCCTACATGAGGTCCGGCAGGGAACACTTGGCGTGGATACTCGCAGTTGAGGTCCGGCAGGGAACACTGGGCGTGGATGGTCGTGGTTGAGGTCCGGCAGGGAACACTGGGCGTGGATGGTCGTGGTTGAGGTCCGGCAGGGAACACTAGGCGTGGATGGTCGTGGTTGAGGTCCGGCAGGGAACACTGGGCGTGGTTGGTCGTGGTTGAGGTCCGGCAGAGAACACTGTGGATCGCGGGTCGCACTTGAGCAAGGACGACGAGGACGACGAGGACGACGAGGACGACGAGGACGACAAGGACGACAAGGATGACAAGGAGGACGAGGAGGACGAGGAGGAGAGGAGGAGGAGGAGGAGAGGAGGACGAGGCAGGAGGAGGAGGAGGAGGCAACTGACATAAAATCTAACAACCCTCACCTGGCAGGTGGGGAACAAATATCCACTTCATCGATTCCCCAGTCCTGGTGGATTTCCTATTGGGAAAATCAACAATCACCGACAAAACAAAAGCCAGATAATTCACTGGATTGTTATTGACCAACCAGTATAGTCGTTGAGGGACTGTCCCATATTATGGGCCATATGAATTGTGGGTATATCTCCTTACACTTTACATAGACCTTACATATGGTAGGTACAAAACCTGGTGTTTGAAATCCCATGGAATAAGGGGCTGTTGATTTTCTCAAGAAGGGCTTGGTTCACCACCAGGCTTCACCCGTTTCGCTGCGCTCTGGTGGATGGCAGTGTTTCACAAAACCCCCTGAAGTCCCTTGAAGTCTCTTAAGTTTGGACTAAAGGAAGGCCTCCCCCCCGCAAAACGTTTGCAACTGGTTTATCTTACCCCATATATTATATAACTTGATAACTATGATATACATATCCAAACTTGTAAACCGACTTGCCTGCTGGAAGTCCGAAGAAGATTGGAAAAAGTTCAATTTACCGCTACGTCAGGATTGGAATGTATTTTCAATGGATTGGTTTAAGGGAAATTTTAGAGGAAACCCCCATATTTAATGGGAAAATCTATGGTTTCCTGTAGATTTTCCCTTAAAACAATCCATTGATATTTTCTCTATCTTCTTTGAGGGCAGCCCCTGTGCAATTTTGCAGGTCCTTTTTCATCTCATCGCTCCGCACGTTCCCTTTCTTGCTGAAGTAAGGGATCGCGCTGCAGATTTTTCCTGCACAGATCGAAATTATGTTTTGGTGAATCGATTCCTAATTTCTCTGGGCAAATAAAAATTTAATCCATGGACCTGAATTGTTGGGCCATAAAAGGGGATGATTTCCCTTATAATTTACCCAGATTTATGTATACAAGGTGGTGTCCCCCCAGTTATAAATTGATATATCACCTATAAACCATAGTTATTGGACTTATAAACCAACTTAGCTAACTATGGGGCACCATCCTATAGGTATGTCTGAAAATAGGCTGGGGATTCCCATGGATTACCATGGATTAACCATCAAATTTGATACCGATGGATAGCGTATTTTCAGACAAATCCATACAGTCCTACAGGTATCATTTTTTGTTGCATTCTGAATGGAAGAAAAATTTCTCAAATGAACATATAAAAGTGCGTTCAAAGTGTTTGGAATCATTTCTCACCAGGGCTTTAACACCTACAAAGTGGGGCCCCCAAACGATAGCTAAGTTGGTGAACATAACTCCAATGTCACGAACTGGGTTTATGGTACGCAGATAACGAACTAGTTATTGGGGCTAACTTGTTAACCAACTAACATCACTAGGGGGCCCCACATTGCACCTATTAGTCAATATTAACCATTATTATTAACACTATTAACACTATTATAAACCAACTTATAACTAGGGGGCCCCACATTGTATAACAGTTTGCCAGAATTGCTGTTCGATTCGGGTTCCCTAGATCTTCCGAAAAGTTGAAAGAAAGGCTTCGCTTGCGCTTAAGCGTTCTCCTTAAATCTCCCAGGTCCCATGTACCTCAGTGGATCATGATTTACCCTCTGGTTATGTCAAAATAGCTATTGAAAATGGTGATTTAGTTCGTGGATTTTCCCATTGAAAATGGTGATTTTCCATAGCTATGTTAGTTTACCAGAGGGTATCAACCATTACGCTCTGATTAACTAACATGGTAACATGGCTATGGAAAGTCATCATTTTTAATAGATAAATCAACTATGAAATGGCAATTTTCAATAGCAAACTGTAACAAATTACCAGGCCGGGTACTGCCGTTTCTGTTCTCAATCTCCCAGCAATTTGAGAAATTCTGGCGAGACAATCATCCCATCTTGAGCGGTGAAGAAAGACATCCTGATACGTCTTGAAACCACCCTTTGCAGGTTTCCATCATGCCTTATTCTTTGCAGAAATCATACCTGTAGTAATTAACTCATTCAGCAACCTAAAATAAAGGCATTTGGGGATGATTCACCATAACAACCGCCAGAAAAAGCCATTGATCCAGAATATTCATCATTCTACTCCATTGATACCCCCATCCCACCATTTGTAATCACCAGCTTTCCCCAGTTGAAGGGTTGGTTTGTCTGAAAATATGGTACCTGGTAACCCATTCCATCCCCTTCTTCATCATCATTTCCCCCTTAAAAACTGGCTGCCTATGTTTTGAATTGGAGGTATACCATCCAGTGACCCAACTTGCATATCAGGCTGGTTCTCCCATATTCAATCCCATCTGGGTAGATTATCATATTTCACTCACCTGAATTCTTAGAGGCCATAAAAGCGGAATGATTTCCCCATATCTAAACCATGATTTCCCCAGGCTTCGGTCGAACAGGCGAAACGCTCGTGAAAAAAAAATGCCCCTGATCAGTTCCCAGGAGATCATCATCCCCGAAATCAGGGCTTGGTAAATGTCCTAATTTTATCACATCAAATAAAAAAGGGGATCGATTTTCTCCAACAGATACTTAAGTTTTAGTGATGTGAAACAAATCAGCCATGGGACATTTACAAAACCCTGGAAATCCCCTCAAAAACCAGCGCTTTTTTTCCGTTAAAACCTCTCCGGTCGAGTCTCTGGATGTCCGCCAAAGGATCCGAGCGGCGAAAGACGTCCGTGGCAATGGCCTGACTTTGAAAAGCTGGGGAGATTTCACCGAAAACAGTTTTTTGATGGGGATTTCAATGGTGATTTCAATGGATTTAACCAACAAAAATGGAGGATTTGAATGGAGATTGCACAGAAAACACTGGGGATTTGTCTGGTAATTAACACATCTTAACACTTCTAACTGGGGATTTCACATCTTTACACTTTTCTGGGGAGGATTTCAATTGGGGATCCAAATGAAAATAGTACATAGATGTACATAGATATCGGACGGTAACATGTTGAAAGACATCAGAGACGTAATTCAAGATCAAACAAGAATTTATAACACATCCATTTTTGGTGGTTTGATACTTGGGACTGTCCAAAAAAGGAAACGGATTGGGTGTCCCCCAATATATGGCAGAGGCTGCAGAGCAGAAGGCACATAAGTTTTATCATGTTTTATCCATATACATCCAGACCCACACGAAGAACCTCCACTCTATGGAGGTTTAGTTACCCTCTGGTAATGACTAACAGTTTGCTATTGAAAATGGCCATAGAAATAGTTGATTTTCCCATAAAAGATGGGTGGATCTTTCCATCGTTTTCTGTTAACGTTTACCAGGCCAGGTACCCCCAAATCATCCATCATTCGACCATGACGCCAGGGGATCACCCTGGAGACTGCAGAAACGAAGTTTTTCTCAATCTCCACCAGAAATCCACGGTATAGTTGGCTGAAGTTCAACCAATATTTACCCGGCCTGGTAAACGTTTACATCTATGTCATAGATGTGGAAAACCTATCATTTGAACATCGTTTTCCCAGGTAAACCATGCAGTTTTCCAAATAACGATGGAAAATCACCATTTTTTTAGAACGGGAAATCAACTATTTCGACTGGGCCATGTTCAAGTTCGCAAACTGTAACAAATTGCCAGAGGGTAGATATCATTAAAAGACACTCCAAAAATCCCAATTTTCTTGTTTGTCAAATGCCAACTTTTGGTGCTTTAACGGCCGGCCACTATGAGACAAACCAGCCACTTTTTCGAAAAACTCCAACTTATCAAACCATAAAGCCATCATACAACCACCCAATTCAGACATTAAAAAAAAAAAACAGGTTGGTGGTTGACCTACCTCTCTGAAAAATAGGGATGATTATTCCATTCCCAACTGTAAAGTCATAATCCATTCATGTTCCATAAACCACCAACCAGATTGAGTATTGTTCATCATGATTTTCCATGGCTTCTCCCATGGATTTCTATGGGCTTTTCTCATGGTTCCAGTACCAGAAAAAAGACTGAGGAGCCAAGTCCATGAGCGTACTCCCCTCTCCAGGTCTCTTGCCAGCCATCAAATCCTGCGCCAAAACCCGAGACAACAAAAAAACCCAAGGAATTCCATGGTTTTTTTTCATGAATCATCTGCGGTGGGAAATGCTAAGATATTTAAAGTCCAAGGATCCAGAAAATCTGAACATCTTCAGGTTGAAAATGAGAACTATCTGCAACCACCGATGGTCAACAGGCCAATCATAGAATGCGAATAAACCATTCTTGCAATGACCCCCCTTACTATAACAATAGTTTGAGGTTAGGATGTTTTGAGCACCAAAATTCCAATGCCATAAATCATCATAAATCTCTACTTAGGGCATGATTGAAGAATGTACAACCCACTGGCAAAATCAGAGATGATATTTGCAGGTCTTGGGTTCACCCCATTACTGAAAATCATCGTTCAGCCCCAAAAGGTGAGATTTTTTAACGCCCCGAAAACATCTCATCTGGGGAGCTATCCTCAGTAGATATTCCCCACTTTATGGGTGGTTTTTAATCACAAACCTGAAATAACGCCAGGAAAACGCAAAATCCTGTCAAACCCCCCTGATACCCTTCTGTTGACACCAAAGATAGGTGGTTTGCATGGACTGCCCCAGTCCATACACAATTTCGTAGGTTTTGACTCATCAACATTTCAGGAGATGTTCAAATGATAAATTTTGCTGTCTGGTAAACGTTGTGCATTTATAGTCTGGGTTATATGTTCATCAGCAAATTTCAGGATACGCTCAAATGACATAGATGTAAACGTCTTAATGAATCCCAAGTCACCCTGCGGTAAACGTTTACATCTATGTCATAGATGTGGAAAACCTACCATTTGAACATCGTTTTCCCAGGTAAACCATGCAGTTTTCCACATAACTATGGAAAGATCCACCATTTTGAATGGGAAAACTCACTATAAATGGCCATTTTCCTAGCTTTTTGTAGCATAAAACCATGCTAAAAACCTCGTTTGGGTCCCATTTTTTTTTTCCACCTGCGACGAGACTCGACGTAACCCTGATCTCCTGAACATATGATTCCCGCGGCGCGGCGCTGGGATCCCGATTCCGCAGGAAATCTTCAAACCATCCGATCGCCTCGACGCAGCCCGGAAATGGCCCCGAAGGAAAATCCTGATTTATAACCCATGACGGATCCATGGTGCTGCTATATATGGTAACATGGATCCCATCAATATATCCCCTTTATGTTAGCATATATACCAGCACCATGGATCCTATGGGTAATGATTTATAGGGATTTGATTGGGATTTAATCCTGATTTATAGGGATTTATAAACAATGATGAGTTTATATAGGGATTTTAATGAAACGGATTCATTAATGTCCTTATTTCCTTCTATCCAGGACCATGAATGGGATTTCATGAGGTTTTTCGAGGGATTTTGATACCCAAGCTGGTGATTTGATCGTGTTTCAAGGGGATTTAAACCAACAACAATAGGGATCTAAGCAATGAATATAGTCATGTAGTTTTCATGGCCTGGAGTGGGACTTGACTTTGTTTCCCATGGGAACTGGCTCTGAACTCGACCGAAACGACCTGAGTCCCTGAAAAAAAAACATGGGGTGTGTGGGGTGATCTGAAAATAGTGCACCCAAAACTCACTGCATGGTAACCCTCTCGTTATGACTAACATAGCCATCGAAAATCCCTTATAAATGGAGGTTTATAGCTGGGAAAATCATCTATTTTTATGGGCCATTTTCCATGGCTATGTTAAATAACCAGAGGTAATCATACACTAATTCTATGTAATTCTATAATTGTCATTCATTCTCCCTCGAAAAAATGGCCATGAATTGGCTTCCAAAAACATAAAAGACACACATGTCAGACTTGTATTGTCGCTTATATATCCATATATATATCCAATTATCATCCCCATTTTTAACATTTACATCCACATTTTGAACCGTTAAACATCGTTTAAAGCACTATTTTTGGTGATCATTCACCCAATATTCCACAGGGCAACCCGTTGATTCCCGGAAAGGTGTGGTCCTGTTGGGGCCAGCCGCGCACTTCTCGAATCCAGGTAGAATCAGACGCGTATCTGACAACGGGAACTCAGGCAGAGGTGATTTAAGAATACAACTTGGTAGTTTAGATACATGTCTCTAGATATATATATATATATATGTGTAGTTACTAAGTGGGATCATCCTCCAAGTATAAATATACACATATATATATATACTATATATGTGTATATTTATACTTGGATGATCCCACTTAGTAACTGCTTGGTAGCCATAGTTCACCCTTTAGATATGGGATAACCCTCAAAATCGGCTGGTGATCAAATGATAGGAAGAATGGATTTTTGGATGATTGATAAAGGATGAATGAATTGAAAGGGGCCCAGAAATAACGAATACAATAGATGTCTCTTCGCCTATTTCACCACCCGAAAGGATGTGAACGGAACACGAATCTATGGGGGTCCCTTCTCGTGCCTGGTATCCATAAAAATGTGGGGTGACTCAATTGAGGGAAATCATCATTTTGCCACAAGGTGAGGTCAACGTTAGGTGTGTTCGTTTATAAGCCTATCTGGTTGGTGGTTTTAACCATCTTGAAAAATATTAGTCAGTGGGAAGGATTATCCCATATATTATGGAAAATAAAAAATGTTTGCAACCACCAACCAGCTATGAATTAGTTGGTGATATCCCCCCATAAACTCATATTTTAACCAAGTTATGTGCGTCAACTTAGCTATCATAAGCGCGTGCCTCACCTTGTACTAGAGTCATATTTACCAACCAGTTCTCACCATGAAAATAGGCATGAAAAATTTCTCCAATAAGTATCATAACTTATAACTTATTGGAGTTGCTTTAATCCCTATCATTATCATAACAGTAAATCATCAAAAGTTTGGTGTATAATGATAGGTTATGATATAATCCATGTTATGTATCATAAATGTATGATTTTAATCCCTATCATTAATGTATCTATGAATTTATGATACATTACATAACAGGAAATCATCAAAAGTTTGGTGTACTTATACCCTCCAGTAAATCAACATAGACCCTGGCAGTCATCGAAGTTGCTTCAGATCAGTTTCCACTAGAAAATTGTGATTTTCAGGGTCGAACTGTGAATTTACCAGAGGGTAACTGTCAGCAACGTGGAAACAACCTAGTGACTGGGCCTCACCCTTCCATCCCCTCTGCTGACACAATAGCGAACTGGAACCATAGTTACATTAAAAACTCTTCGAACTAACCCATTTTCATAACCTTAGTTAAATCACCATGGGTTTATAGAACTCACGAAAAGCTACATCCATTTTCCGAATTTTCCAGTCCGCAAACTGTAAGAGTTTACCATCTGGTTATGACTAACATAGCCATGGAAAATCACCATTGTGAAGAACGGTAAACCATCTATTTCAATGGGCCATCTATATCATGGCTATGTTAGTCATAACCAGATGCTAGATGAACAATCTGGGTACATTTTCCTGACCTCACCGCTCACTGGAATCATGGTTAGGTATGTTGAATAGTACCCCCTGGAATCTATGTTACCCTCTGGTAAACTAACATAACTATGGAAAATCACCATTTTTAATGGGTAAATCCACTATAAATGGGCCATTTTCAATAGCTATGTTAAATTACCAGAGGGTATGTTGAATAGTACCCCCTGGTTATTCCCTATACATTCACCATGATTACCCTCTGGTTATTTAACATAGCCATGGAAAATGGCCCATAGAAATAGATGGTGTACCTGGGTTTTCCCATTAAAAATGGTGATTTTCCATGGCTCTGTTAGTCATAACCAGATGGTAATGACTAACATAGCTATATAGAAAATCACCATTTTTAATAGGTAAACCATCTATAAATAGGTCATTTTCCATAGCTTTTTGTATGTTTACCAGAGGGTAACCAGATGGTACCAGCGCCACTCCACCTGGTGCAGTTGTAGACATCGCCATCCGCGAAGCCCAACGCCAGGTTCTTCCCTGTGGCTTCATCCGCCAAGATCGTCAAGCGATCCTTGGAGAAGAATCCAGGGCCCTATCTTAGATCCAAAAAAAGGACCGGAGACTATACCTACAATGTGGGGCCCCCAAACGATAGCTAAGTTGGTTTATAACTCCAATGTCACTATGGTTTATGGTAGATATAACTATAGTTATTGGGGCTTATAAACCAACTTAGCTATCTAGGGGGCCCCACTTTGTAGGTATCCAAAATGACACTTAAATATGATTGTATGTGGTTTAATATGGATGATCATGGGATGATCATGGGATGTTTAGAATGGCTTTACGTGGGTAGAAACTGCTTCATGGTGTTTTTTCATGGGGACATAGTGATGATACAATGGGAAATTCATGGGAAATTCATGGGATGCCACAATGGAATGCTGGTTAATACCCTGCTGTCATATCAAACATGGCTAGCTCGGAAATCTCCTATAAATGAGTTTTTATATGAAGTTTTTATGGGAAAATTAGAAAAATTATGGATTTTCCAACCATGTTTGATGATTTCCCAAAAGGGTATTTCAGGTTCACATAGATTCGATCCTTCTAATCTCTGGAGAACAAAAATTACAAAGTACGAATCTACGACCCATCTAAGGTTGCAGATTAAAAAAAGAAAAGAGTCTAAGAAAAATCAGCCATAATTTCTTGGGAAACAGATTCAAACATATCAAAATATGTCAAACACCATCAGATTTTGCTGGAAAACACATGGTATCCTGCAGATATTGGACCAAAAATCAGCTCGTCTCCCAAGGAATCCAGTGCTACGAAGGGTTCTTCCTTGATCCATTGCTTCATCCATCAGCTGACGGATGTTCCAGGCCATGTCTAGGGAACAGCTACGTTTGATTCGTGCAACTCATATGTCTACCATATCATGTCCAGCCAACTTTTTGTTGCCCCCATATCTAGCCTAGAAAAAGTCCAGCAACATATGTTCTAGATATGGAAAAGTCATAAATCCACTTCGAATATCTTCGACTTGTCGATCTTTTTGGCTGCGGTACTCTAAAAAAAGGGGCTGCCGAGGGTCACAACCATCCCGCCAATACCTCAGTTTTTCTGAATCACAACTGAAGGAACACCGTCTATCGGTAGATTCAGCGATGATTGAAGCATCCAAAATATATATATATATGGTTTTTATCATCCAAAAATTGAGTTTATCTATACCAAAACGGATCTAAGCATCAAAACGATCGACTGCAACTTGACTTTACCCACTATCCACTAACGTGTTGCTTGATAAATTTAATCTATCTCAAACAGATTGCGTCATCATTCCAAAATAATCCAAAATACTGACATTTAGAATCCCTCCAACTTCAGTGGGGATCTGACGGAAAAGCACTGAAAAGGATCGTATAGCGAATTCTAGGCAGGAACGGTTTATTCTGGTATGGCCAATTGAAACCACTAAAATTGTGGCTAGACTGCTCAAGGTGGTATCTCTGAAAATAGTGCTCTGAACCATCAAACTTGATGAATGTACCAACATTTTCAGACAAACCCATATAATCCCATATATGACCCTCTATACTATAATAACAGTGATTTTTTGGATGATTAAACGTATACTTAAACAATTAATAATTGGGCATGAAGCATTTTACGCACCAAGCTTTTCACCACATTCAGGGTTGCTCCGTCAATGTCCACCAAGAGTGGCGTTCTCAAACAGGTAACAAGCCATTTTCCCATCATTTTCCCCATGAAAGTTTTGAACACCTGGAATGTACCCACCCAAATCTCACCCAAATCTCATCCATTTCCAAAAATTCACCCGAAAAAATCCCTTTTTAAAAAAAATAGGACATTGTCCCAGGATTTTCCCATCTTTCCCCCATGAACTTCTGCAAATCCTCAGCACTGACCGTTGCGCCATGCTACGCCTCAGCGATCTCCGGCTGCTTCTTGTGCCAACTGATGGCCGTCATCGCCATGCGCGCATCGCTATCCGCCAGAACCACCTCGTAGCGGCTTGGCTTCAGAAATCCCAACGTTGGAAAAATATCACTACATGGGGGTGGGTCAAAACCTATTATTATCAATTCTAATGGGATGAACATCCATAAATCCCAGCTATTTTGGGGTTCACTAGGTGCCAGGGTTTTGACCAATAGCCACATTGCTGGAACCTGAGATTCATGATTCATGGTAGATTTATATTATAGATGAATATGTGGGGATAGTTGGGAAAAGATTACTTTAAGATCATTTACTCTATCATTCTATGGGGATAATAATGGGAGAAATTATTCATCACCATTTGGATCCATCTGTGGCCTGCTATTTCCTTGAGCCCACGTTGAACCCTAAACCTAGGTCCTTCTGATTTCAATCCTTCCTTTCTATCATTTTCTATCCATGTTCTCAGATTTCTAAGATTTCAATCCTTTCATTTCTATCATTTTCTATCCATGTTCCCTAAAGATTTCCCTAAAGGTTCCCCTAAAGACCAGTGGATTTCCCCATTTTCCCAGTTCCAGTTCCAGTTCTCCTTGCAGCGAGCGGCACGCTGAAGCAGCCCCATGTCTTTGCTCAGCAGCCCCACCGAGCGACGAATGACTCCGGCGAAGGCTTCTTCGGCGGGCAAGAGGTCCTCGGTGCTGTGGAGCCGGTGGTGCCCCTTGCGTTTCCCCAAAAAGACTCCCTACTTGGTGGATCATCCCACTTCAGTGGGTTCTAAAGCCAGGTTTTTTCAATGGGCCAAGAAATGGGGCTCCTTGGAAAAACTAAGAAAACTGGGGTCAATTTCGGAAAGCTGCGATTCGTGGGATGATCCACCTACAGTAAATTCGTTGATTTACCCATGGAAAATCGAAAAAAACATCAGCAACTTCAGGCTCTTTCCCCCTACAAGTTGAGCAAATCAGAGCGTCCAATCCCCATCAGCATCTGGATAGATCATAGCAATTCACCGACCTTTTCCATTTATACCCATACATCACTTGACTCATTTGTAGCAAGTCGCAGATTTGTCTCTAGGCCCATTGGCAGAGACATTCTTCTACCATCCCATTGCAATGATTCAAACTATGTAATGAACCATCCCCAATAGAAGCTTGACTATATATTCCCATACTGCCTTTGTTCCGGTTGATTCAATACGTCTTTTGTAACCTCAACTAGACCTCCAAGTACCCATGTTACCATATTGTCCCATGCTTATATCATGTATATTACATCATATGGTTTCATGATAACATAGGATCATGATTCTTGAACCTATTCTCATTAGCCTTTGGTTCACAGTTCGGCCCTGAAAATAACCCATCTTTACTGGAAACCAATGCTATCTTAATTTCCTGGAAACCTATGAAATTACATCCATATTACATCATCTTACATCATATTACATCATCTTACGTCATATTACATCATATTACATCATCCCATCATCTACTAGTCATTAGTCATTCATAACTATACCTAATGTGAGGCCCCCGTTCGATATCTAAGTTGGTGAACATAACTCCAATGTCACGAACTGGTCTATGGTACGCAAATAACGAACTAGTTACTGGGGCTTTTGTTAGCCAACGTTCACATCACAACGGGGGGCCTCACATTGTAGGATTGGAGAAGCAGTGTCAAAATTGATCATAACTAGTAAATACCTAGAAATGATGCATTAGATGTCATTACTACACCATAATTACTAGTGTCATCTTACATCATATTCATAACATTACCTAGATGTTCATAGATGCCACGGTCATCCATTCATCCCATTCATTGGTCCATCCATCCCCACTAGTAATCATCCCATGAGGTTTTTTCACCATGAAGTCATCATCATCCCCACTAGGCTATCCCATCATGAAAACCATGAAAATTACCATTAACTTCTCATATATTTCATATACTCATTAATTATAGTTAATGGTATAGTATACTTATGAATCATTTACCATTAATTACCATTATAGTTCATATATACCATGAATCATTACCATTAAGTATATGATGCTAATTATTCATATATTTCATAGTGCTTATCATTAATTTTATTTAAAAAACATTACCAGCGTAATTAGTGCTATAAATAACCATCATATACTTATTATAAAGATTAAATAAACCATTACCAGCGCAAGTATTACACTAGAATAGTTCATGGTGAAATTAGTGACTTAATATTTTCATTGACATTAGTGACCTATGAAAATAATTCATTTTCCATTGACCAATGACCATCCTATGAACATTATATACTATAATAATTAAACCATGTTATAAACTAATATAGAATTATTACTACTCATGGCTTATAAATATATTAGTTTATGGGATAACCATTACTATTAGTATTACCCTCTGGTAAACTATTACATAACTATGGAAGACCACCATGTTCAATGGGTAAATCAACTATAAATGACCATTTTCAATAGCTATGTAACAAATTGCCAGAGAGTAATGGTAATATCCTAGTTTTATGACATTGGTAATATACACTATGGTGAGATAAACCATTACTATTAGACCACTAATCATTTATAAACCATTCATCAAACCACTATTAATATAGTATAAACCGGGTAAATTATAATAATTCACTAACCTGAAATAAGGCCATTTGGGGATGATTTCCCTTACTAACCATGATTCCAGGCTTAGGTCGCAGTGAGGTCGTTATAATTTACCCAGATTAATATATGTTCTATCCTCGGGTAACCCATTAAAAAATGGTGGATCTTTCCATAGTTATACATAGTTATGTAACAGTTTACCTGAGGGTAACTGTGGAAAGATCCATCATTTTCAATTGCTAAATCCATTCTAAATCACTCAATTACTCTATTAATATACTAAAAAACCTTATAAATGTACTAAATTCATGGTGCTACATAGTGCTACGAAACCACCAACGAAAAAACATCCACCATCCCCATCCCCCAGCGCCTCCGCCGCCATCCGCTGCACCGCGCCGCGCTCCGCCTCGATCTCCGCCTCCGGGCGCCGCCCAGCCAGGCGCAGCAGCTCCGCCGCCGCGTCGAAGTCCTCGGCCGCCGCCGCCGGCCTCGGTAGAAACCGGAACCGGAACGGAACGGAAGGACGACGTGGTCGAGGTGCCGAAAAAATGGGGGGGGATCACCTCTGGAAATGATGAGTTTACCTGGAAAAACCTATGAAATTGAAGTACATTGATAAGTGATTTAATTCGAAAAATGTGGATTGAAGCACTAAACAGACGTGCGGATTTGGGAAAATGTCGGAGTTGAGCAGTAAAGACTGACATGGATTTAATTGATTTTCAGCAGGAAAACTTGGGATTTGGAATTGATTTGAATAGATTTTTTGTTGACTTAAACTTAGGTAGGGTTTATTAGATGTATCGAACTAGTTAATGGATGTTAATGGGGTGAAACTAAACCAACGAACATATATATTGTAAGGGGGGCGGGGCCGAAACTTAACAAAATCATTTTTAATGGATGCAACCTGGCTTTCGATGGGGTATAAGTATAGGGTAACAATAATGGAATAAGTGGGGAAGGGACTGGGTATAAACCAACCCGATGTGTGATGTCTCACCAGAAAAGATTGGTTCAATGGAAATGGATTGCCAAAAATTGATGGCTATATATCTGCAGCTATACTTTCGATGTGATAATATACATCTACACTACTACATACAGGTTACGTATATAGTATTTCTACAATTTCTTGGGTTGTTCATCTACATCTATATGTGTAAAAATGTACCATTGATATTGATATTGGCTTGGACACTGGAATTTTAACAGGATCATTTATGGGAAATGTCCATAAATGTCTGATGAAACCAAAGGCTATAAGCAGCCTTTAAGCCTCTAATGTTTTGCTCAGATCCCTGCGTTTGCCAAAACAAATCTAAAATCAATCAGCAAAACATCAAACCAAAGTTGCTATCTATATGTTGCTATTTTTTCAGAAACGCCATGTTTTTGTTTCCCTGTAGATTTACAAACAACACGAGGAATGATCCATCCGCCCATGAGTTTCTACCCCACCATGAATGTGTATCATGTTCATAGGGAAGCCATGGGAAGCCATGCCTTGTCCACATCGAAAAATGGTTACCCCAGGGTTTTATGTACACATATCGTATTCAGTATCGCAACATATCATAACTATATCAAGGTACTTATCAAGGTATAGTTATATATCAGTATAGTTATGATATGATGGGGATATACCTTGATATACTATATATATATTAGTTGGTTAATAAGGTATATCCCCATTATATCATCGAATTTGATATCTTCATTACTAGACTAATCTGTGCGATCCATCCCGATGGCAACTCCGCTAAAACGCCGAGAGAAGTGGCTCTTGAAGGCCCACTTTGGCCTGAGCATCCCCCATGGAACTGTGGATCGATTTTTTGGATTTTCAGCATCTAATCATCGTGAAATGATGGTTCTCTGGTTGGTGGTTAACCTACTTGGTTAATGGTGGTTAATGGTGATTAATGATGGGAAATGATGATTAATTATCTGGTTGGTGGTATACCAAAACCCCTCTGAAAAAATGATGGAGTGAAAGTCAGTTGGGGCTTCTATTCCCAACTGAATGGAAAAATATAAGTCATGTTCCAAACCACCAACCAGTGTAAAAACGGATCGTTTCATCAGTTTTCATCAGTTTGTTTGACCTGATAGAAATCCACCAAGCAATCGTCTTTCATCTCCAATGGCTACGCCATTCCATCCCATCGTCTCCCCATGAATGTTCCCACTGTTGAATGTGGTCAATGTCCACCAAAAACGATGAAAAAAAAAACGGTTCCCATTCAACGTCCAGCATTTTTTGGTGAAATCCCACTCCAGAGTCACTCATCAATGGCCTCCAGATCCAGATCTCTGAGTTTTCACACAAAAATCCGCCCGAAACTTCGTCCCATGTCGTTTCTTGGCGGGTTTCCTGCGCGCGGCCAGACAGCATCTCCAGATCTGGCTCTCCAAAGAGGTCTCCGGCCAGGTCATAGTCCTTCAGAAATCATTTCCTTTTGGTCAAAATCGCTAGAGGGGCCGGTTTTTTTTATACCATCTATCAGAATCTATCATCAAACAAAGCTGCTGTTATATCGGGGTTTTTTCTGGGTAAACCTTCAAACGCCCTCGTTTTGAATCAACCAACCAATGGGGAATTTGACACATCAGTCCTTCACCGCCTCGGAATATCTCCTCAAAGCCCTGCTTTGAAAGGACCGATGGGATCAAGATGCGGGGGATCAATTTATGGTGGGAAAATGCTGGAAATCAGAGAGACCTACCTGAAAAACGTTGTTAAAATGGGGATATTCATTGAAATACCGGGGAAAATGTGATAAAATTTGTGTACTTCGGAAGTACTTCGAGAAACGCTTAAGGTCCCAAAAAACAAGTTCGAATGGATACTTACAGTGGAGTTTCAAAAACGACGTCACTACTCGAAGAAATACGATTGCGCACAAAAGCGGTGTTTAAGCTGATTGGTGGCCTCCAAGCCACTTTTTACGAAAAAAAAATGAAGGTGTCAGCAGGGGGTCATCATCCTGGCTCTTGGGTTTGTGCAGTTCGAGTAAACTGTTTGTGGATATATGTCACCTAATACAGAGACTCCATAGACTCCATATATCCCAACAAACAAAAACGGCTTTGGGGGTCGAAATCTCGACTGGTTCTACTCAAGGGTTTTTCACCTTTGGCCTGCACCCCACAGTATAACTATGAATGGGATGTTAGTTCATGATGATATATATATATATAACATATTTATATATATCTTATATATAATATATATCTTATATATATATATCTTATATATAATATATATCTTATATATAATATATATCTTATATATAATATATATCTTATATATAATATATATCTTATATATAATATATATCTTATATATAATATATATCTTATATATAATATATATCTTATATATAATATATATCTTATATATAATATAACTTTTATATATTATATATATTACCTTTATATATATATAACATTATAATACCATTATATAACTATCATTGACTATCACTACTATTGATTTTTGTTTGATCAGCAATATGATTCACCCCCTTGGGCTGGTTGTTTCAATTCTTGAGCTCCACATCTCCATTTTAGATTCAATGCTTCATCATGTTCAATGCCCCCATTTTTAGTGTAATACATTGTAACACATAAAAAAAAATCACCCTTAAATCATCATTCATCTTAATGAAGGTTTTTTCATTGAACATCATGATTTAGATGGTACAGGAAAAAAAAAACACCGAATTTCTCCTGATCAAATCCTCGTGCCTCAGCGCACCACCACGCGCAATCAAGACCTTGGGCATCTCGTCGTATTGGACCAACTGATCAGACTTGGCCTGCCGGACGTCGAGTTTTGAGGCGATTTCTGGTGATTTTTTTTAGATGGAAAACCATGGAAAACCGCTGGCACTGAAGTCAGAGGGATTTAAGCATCAAAAAGTTGGATTTGTTTCATGAAAAAAATATTACCCTCTGGTTATTTGTTACATAGCCATGGTATAGATGGCCCATAGAAATAGATGGTTTACCTATTAATAGCATGGTGATGTTCCATGGCTATGTCAGTCATAACCAGAGGCTACTCAGATAAAAATATCAAAAACACCTGGAGTCTTCTCGAAATTCTCATTGTTTTTCTTCATGGTTTTCCAGCATTTTCATCCCATGTTCCACCATTTTCCACACTAAAACTGCTCGTGTTTCATGGCCTTTTTGCAGAGCTCCAAGGCTTCGTCCAAGTCAGCCAAGGCTTCCTGAAGCAGCCAGGTGGGATGAAAAACTCCGGAAAAAAATAGGACTTACCCTCTGGTTTTGTCAAAATAGCTATTGAAAATGGCCATTTATAGTGGATTTTCCCATTAAAAATGGTGATTTTCCATAGCTATGTTAAATCACCAGAGGGTAACCAAGGAGGTTTTTCGGATTCCATCAAGAAATTACAATTAGTGAGGCCCCCGAAACGTGATGTGAACGTTGGTGAACAAGTTAGCCCCAGGAATACTAGTTCGTTAGTTGTAAGTACCATAAACCAGTTCGTGACATGGGAGTTATGTTCAGCAACTTAGATATCTTGTGGGCCTCACATTGTAGGATATAATCAATAGAAACAGGATCTAATCAAGAAAAAATAGGATTGATATAACGATATAACCAAGAAACATGCTGGAACAATTTGGTGCTTTTTCATGGGAAATCATGGAACCTTTTAGTTTTTTTTTAAACGGCATGTTGGTTGTTGGTTGTACCCTCCGGTGTCATCTAATTTTCGGCGGGGCCATTGATAAATCCCCCGGTTTCTACATCGAAGTATTTGGGGTTCTCGAGCTCGGTCTCGCTATGGAAATGATGACCGGAGGCTACGCCGGATTTTTCCCCAGTTGGGAATCGCTTCCAGTGGTGAACATAACTTAACTTTTTGATAACAAGTTGGTGTATGAAACAATACTGGTTTATTTATGATATTTATAATAACCACAATGTATGATATTTATAATTTATATAATTTATATTTATAACCATATAATAACAAGTTGGTGTATGATATGCAAATAACAATTAATTTGGATGGGGTTGTAAACCAACGTTCACATCACAACGGGGGGGCCCATCCTGTAGGCGAATCTATGATTGTAAAGGAGCCGGTTGTTCAAGTCGGGATATCAGAAGGGCAGCTCCACTTCAAGGAGCCGGTTTTTCATGCCTGACACCATTGAATCATTTTTTCATGGCCATAATGAAATATAGTGAGACCCCATCTAATCTTATCCTATAACCATTGTGATACCCATAGTGGCCATAGTGATAACCATTTCTTTCCACCTCAGTCCCGCCCTCTTGGTGTTTTCCAGCCACCCCGTCCTCAGCCCGGCTGCCTCTCAATTTCACCTCGAGAGCGCGGGATATCGCCAAGAAATTCTATCAAACTCTTGCTTTGAAACACCAAAAAAATATCAGAAAAGCATGGAGCCTGGAGCTGATTTTGTGGGATCATTTGCAACTGAGGCCTTTGATGCTTACATCAGTAGAAACCCACAACCGATGCCGGATGTGATTTCCATCGTCATATCGGACTCCAGGGAAACAATATCTATGTCGCCGTCGCCATCACGTAGCTTGGAGCGTTCAGAAGCCTCATCCCTTTCCGCGATGGAGATTCTCGGCCGAAACGGAATTTTTGGAAAAATCTCCTTCTACAGCCAACCACTTGTCAAATATTCAAAGATCCTGGATCTGGTTGGTGGTTGACCTACCCCTCTGAAAAATATTAGTCAGTTGGGATGATTATTCCCAATATATGGAAAAATAAAATTCATGTTCCAAACCACCAACCAGTGGATGATTTTTTCATGGTTAAAATTGGTGAAAAATCCTCCAAACCCGTTTTGGGACCAACCAGCCATCATTTCTGGACCGCTGGTTTCACCATGTCTTGGATGTCTTGGCGATTTCCATCAGCATCAACTGTCTCCCCATCCTTCAAAAAAAACCATCATTAATATAGTATAATATAGTTAGTTCACTGTTAAAACCCACTGTTTTCATATGTTTTCATGTTTAAATCCCACTGTTTTCATAGCCTAGTCCCCGTTTTCCAGCATTAAATCACCATTGAATTCACGTAAAAAATCCAAATTCTTCATTGTTGAATCCAGCATGTTCCTTGAAGAAATCCACATTTTTCCGTGTAAAAAAAAACATTTTTTCGCCTCCAAAGGGGTGTGTGTCTGAAAATGGGGTCTACCGAAAAAAAAATAATGGCCATTTCATGGGAAAAATGATCATCAACCATGGGATTGTTTTGGCTTTTCCCTGAAACATCTTCGAAGAAAACCACACTTAGATACGCCATGGAGTTAGTTAACTAGGTAGTAACTGGGGTTTCTTTACCCCCAAAAACCCAATGAAATAAGCCATTTACTAACTCCATGGTCATCCCATCCATAATAAGGATCCTTTTTTATGGTTATTATAAATCCCTATGAACCATTGGATGACTAGCCCCGTTTTTAATGGTTATTAACCATGAGTATTGACCATAGCTCACATCTCTCCTTCCCCGCGGCACCGCCGCGCGGTTGCGCAGAATCGCCGGCAGCTCGTTGGGCGCCACCTGCCCCGCGAAGCGTCGCCAGCGCGCCAGCAGGGCCGTGAGCTCGTCTTCGGCGTTGCTTAGGGCAGCCTGATACGAGGCGGCGCTTTGGAGGTCCGAAAGCCACAAAAAATTGGGGATTTCATGGTGATTTAACTATAAAAATGGTGATTTCATGGTGATTTACCTATAAAAATTGGCGATTTCGTGGTGATTTACCTATAAAAATGGGCGATTTTGTGGTGATTTACCTATAAAAATGGGCGATTTCATGGTGATTTACCTATAAAAATGGTGATTTCATGGTGATTTACCTATAAAAATTGGCGATTTCATGGAATCTCATGATGGTTTCATAGGGGTTAACATGGAAATATGATTTCATGGAGGATGCGATAACGAATGTGAGATGAATGTTAAGGGTGTATCTGAAAATGGGATGTCTTAATATGGAAAAATGTTTTCCGTGAGTCCCGTGGATTTCGGGGATACCCTCTGGTAAACTAACATAACTATGGAAAATCACCATGTTTAATGGGAAAATCCACTATAAATGGTGATTTTCCATAGCTATGTAACAAATTACCAGAGGGTAGATTTTTATAGTTGATTTACCTATTAAAAATGGTGGATCTTTCCGTAGTTATGTAACAGTTTACCAGAGGGTAAGCAGTGCCCACCGAGCTGCGGAGCTGACGATCCAAGGAATCCGAGGCTGCCGGAGGAAAGGAGAAGTCAACGTCTGATAAAATCTAGAGACCCTCGGCAGGGGAAAAAAAACCAATGGAGATTTAATGGGATTTAATGGGATTTAATGGGATTTAATTTAATGGGATTTAATGGGATATATGATGATATACCCTCTGGTAATGACTCACACTTTGCGAACTTGAACATGGTCATAGAAATAGTTGATTTACCCATTAATAGCATGGTGGATCTTTCCATCGTTTTTTGTAAACGTTTACCAGAGGGTATATCTAATTCATATCCTGGTTAGTAATTGGGGTTATAACTTACTCCCCCAAAAAAACAATGAAAAAATCCATTTACTAACTACTTAGATGGGCCATGGAGTTAGGGAAAACTAGTTAGTAACTGGGGTTATAAGTTATAACCCCAAAAAAATCCCCATGAAATAAGCCATGGCTACTAACTAATTTTCCCACTCACTCCATGGCCCATCCAAGTATGTTTCCCTAGCTCCATGGCCCATCTACCCTCTGGTAAACATACAAAAAACAATGGAAAATCACCATTTATAGTGGATTTTCCCAGGAAAAATGGTGATTTTCCATAGTTTTTTGTATGTTTACCAAAGGGTAGATCTCCCCCTAGCCGGTACCCATCATTGGTAGGTCCCACCTTGGAGGGGAAATCTCCAATCCGCCTCACCGAGCTTAAAGCGTTCCTCGTGCGGCACCGATAAGACATAACCCGATGGACCATGGATGGAATTTTCGCCCCAGGGTTGGAAAAACGTGGGAAAAAAATGGTGCGTTTAATCAGATTGAAGAAATGGTGCTTGGGAAAACTTAGCTAAGGTTTGATGGAAAAGATATAGGGTTTTTCTTGAGGGTTTCATCGAAAAAACATGTGATTTTCTATAGCACTATAGTATCAATGACTGGAGGCTTCCATTTAACCCACGCCTCACCACAGAAAACCGATCCAGGAAACCCCCAGAAAAATCATACCCGGCCTGGTAAACTGTTACACAACTATGGAAAATCACCATTTTTAATAGGTAAATCAACTATAAATGGCCATTTTCAATAGCTATGCTTGTTTACCAGAGGGTAAAACCATGATATTAATGGGTAAACGATTTCAACATGGCCATTTTCCAGTTCGCTTTTGTTATGTAAAAACCAGGCCGGGGTTGTCATGGGGATTTTCCCATCATGAAACCAATCCTATAACCATACTCTATTGCATCCAGTCGTACCTTCTGAAAGGAAGTGGGACTGGGCCATGGATTATTTGGATCCATAGGGATTTTTAGTGAAACCCTAATAAAAAAAAACAACCCATAAATCCATGTTTCACATATGTCCTTCATCGATTCCTCAGGCCATTTGTGGATTCAATCCAGACCATGTTCCGGGAACGGATGACCCTGACCGTACTTTCCGGATCCCATGGACGGACAAATGCCTTTTCAAAAGAAATTGCAAAGCTACCGCAAATCTACGCTTCATCCATTTATTGAATTTATTGAAGTCATTTTCCAGAGATGTGCCAGTTGATGTTTCCACTCCTCCCAATATTACATCAATCTCCCCAAGATAAAAACCCCACGAATTGATCTGGGTAAATTATAATATTTCACTAACCCGAATTAAGGCCATAAAAGGGGATGATTCCCTTTATTAACCATGATTCCCAGGGTTCGGGAGGACGATGTGAGGTCGTGATCAAATTTACCCAGATTGATGGTCACTTGATAGATCAAGCCATCAAGCCACCACTGCATCCATCTTGATAAATTCTCTTACCCTTTGGTTATGTAAGATAGCTATGGAAAATGGCCCATTTATAGATGATCTATGATCATTTACCCATTAATTCATCAGTTCGGCTGTTTTGGGGATAGTTACCCCTAATTCTAAGCATCATTCCAGGGCCGTCGCAGTGAGGTCTTGATCAATTTCATGCAGACATAATCCAAGATGTTCCATTTCATATCATTTCCCATGTGGTCACCAGCAAGCCACCATCCATCTTGATAAATTTAAATTATCGCAGTAACATTATCCCATATTACTCTATTTTAGTTGAAATAGATCCCTTATTATCCCATGATCTATTATATCTATTTCAAAGGTTCATTTTCTTGAGTTATGACCTGGTTCTTAGCCTAAAGCAAGCCCCTCAAGTGGTGGGACCATGTGGGACCCCCCATGATCCATTCGAAGTTTCTGCATCATCGCCACATCCTCCTCCGCCGGCTGCGCTTGCGCTGGCCACGCCGCACCAAGCGCTGCCGCCGGCAGCAGCCAGCGCCGGGGTACGGCCCAGGCTGCACCGGAGGCACCCAGGGCTACGAGGCTCAGCAAGCTACGGCGGCGCTTCATGGGAAACCGCCAGGGTGCCAAAATGGCGCCGAAAATTTTTGGGATTTGTTTTTCGGGGGGTGATGATTATAATTATGCCTATTTGATCCTATTTGTTTTTTTGTGAAAATATCTTAAAGTGTCATGTTTGGGAGTCTGCTCCTTGACAATGTCAATTTCTTGTCTTGAGCATAGTCTCCAGCTTCAAGCAAATAAGCTGCAGGTGCAGTCTACATAACAACGGAAAGCGAAACAGCAACCCAAAGCTCCATATCAAGACACATCGAGGAGCGAACCCGGAGTGAGCTCCATACGTTGCAAGCCCCTGACGGGTAGCCTGACAGCAGGACAACCTTTGATAGTCCGGTAGTCAAGCCATGTTCAAATGGGATTTTTCCAAAATGGAGGTTTTGTATGGCTATAACTGGCGGATTTTCCCATGTTTGATTGCCGGAGGGTATCCATTCTCGTGAATCAAGGTGGTTTCATGTTTTTACACAGCCATTGCGATGGATCGAAGCATCTGATATACCCTCTGGTAAACTGTTACATAGCTATTGAAAATCACAATTTTTAATGGGAAAACTCACTATAAATGGCCAATCACCATTTTTAATGGGAAAACTCACTATAAATGGCCAATCACCATTTTTAATGGGAAAATCCACTATAAATGGCCAATCACCATTTTTAATGGGAAAATCCACTATAAATGGCCATTTTCAATAGCTATTTTGACATAACCAGAGGGTATGATCGGTTGAATCCGCATTTTTCTCGGCGAATGAATAAACCCATCCCTAAGAGATTCAGCCCCATGCCTGGGGGAAGATTCAGCTTCAGCGGAAGCCTGGGCGTTTATCGATCGACCATCGACCCGCAACCTGAAAATGGCTCTGAAAATGGCATGTAGCCGGCAGATTGACTATTTCAATGGGAATCATTAGATATGGATAATATCAATTATATATTGCTGGGTAAATTATAATATTTTACTAACCTGAATTAAGGCCCATTTGCGGATGATTCCCCTTACTAACTATGATTCCAGTGAGGGAGGATATTCTGAGGTCGTTATAATTTACCCAGATATTGGGATCTATCATTAGATCATATATAATTGTTTATAGATATATAATGGAATGGGAGAGTATCTTTTCGGACAAAGCCATGCATGATGATCAATGGGAATCTTCATCTCTGCAACACACATTGAACATAGGTCGAAAATCATTGAAACCGCAATAGGTTCCAAGTGATGCTCCAACCTGATGCTAAGCTCATGAGAAGCTCTAAAAGATACCCTCTGGTAAACTAACATAGCTATTGAAAATCACCATTTTCAATGGGTAAATCCACTATAAATCACCATTTTCAATAGCTATGTTAGTTTACCAGATGGTAATTCATGTGGAAGTTGTGAATCATTTGGGGTCAGTCAATTTCTGTGACCTTCTGCGATCAGAGGGCATTTATTTTGGGGTCACATTGAATGCTCTGGCAGATGTTCAAGACATTTTACCCACCATAACCCCATCATTTCATCATGATTCCAATGTTATAACCCCATCCAACTGTAGTTCCAAGGGGAGTTTCCAATGGCATCTCTGTGTGCGGAAAGGTAGACCGAGATGGAAAGTTCGGTTGGGGCAGCTGTAGAAGCTCAATGCTGTGCAGTTAAAGTGACCCCTGAGTCTTGGTTGCTCGTACTCCAGCCATATGCTGCTTCAAAGTGCTTATCCCACTTCTCCTCCCATCTTTTCCTGCTGAAATCGACTTCTTCCTGGTGAAATCGACTTTTTTCCATCTTTTCTCCTAAAAATCCACGCGTTTCTTTGGGAACATCACCATTCTCCATGGTTTTTCCACCCTTTCTTTCCACGGCTGTTCCTCCAACCTGCGGACTCTCTTCGTCACTGGAGGACTCGACTTCATCCTCCTAGGGCAGTTCGTTTCAAGTTCGCGCAATTCGTTGCGATGATGTACTGGGGATATCAAGGGAACCCACATTAACAATGGGTAATACCACCAAGCAGTTGTTATATTGATAACTGAACGGGGAAAATGTTCACATGATGATTAACATCGATAACTATACCATTTTATGGAGATAACATAGGTATCTATTGGTAATAGAAGTTACTATACTTTTCTGCATCCTTGGAGGGTTGCTTAGTTGCTTGCCACGATAGTCACATTTCGGATCACGGAAAAGGCGAAAATCATCCCATTTGCAAGGGCGAAAATCAAAATATAGTTACCCTGATAAACTGTTACATAACTATGGAAAGATCCACCATTTTCAATGGGAAAATCCACTATAAATGGCCATTTTCAATAGCTTTTTGTATGTAAAAACCAGGCCGGGTATTCAATGTTGGTCGAGCCTTGGTCGCCTAGTAACATCTAGTACCCGGCCCGGTTATGACTAACAGTTTGCCATGGTTTTTCGATGGCCCATTGATTTATAGATGGCTTACCGTTCTTAATAGCAAGGTGATTTTCCATGGCGAAGTGTTAGTCATAACCAGATGGTAATTAACCGTCTCAAACAGAATAAAGTGGGATGGTACACATCGGGCATTTATTTTTAAACGACACTTAGATTAGATACAAACCACCAAAATAAGGATAGTTCGTCAATATGAAGATTCCACCATTCCACCAACAAAAGCATGGATATAAATTAGTGACTCCTCAAGAGGGCAAGAATTTATAGTGTATTTTCGTCTCAATTCTAACCCATACCGAAGAATGTTGGCATCCCCCCTTGCTTGTTGCCACTAGCGATCAGCTTTCATAAATCCTGCTACAGCAACAAAGTCCAACTCTGAAGAGAGCTCATATCCGAATATCATGTGCAGCTTCGTGGTCTAACTTATCTCTACTTCAGTTACTGGTCAAATCCCATATTATTTGTCGTTCTTTTCCATATGAAATCCCCCCAATCTTCTGAAATCACCAGTTCCAACAACCTAATGTCACACCCTCTGGCAATTTGTTACATAGCTATTGAAAATCGCCATTTATAGTGGATTTACCCATTGAAAATGGTGATTTTCCATAGTTATGTTAGTTTACCAGAGGGTAACATTGCCAATCTTAGATACCCTGCAAGAAATTAAATTCTTAACAAGTCAATAGACATTCCTATTGCAAAAGATTAAAGGATTAGCTTCTACCAATGCACTTAGTGTTGACCTAGTTATCCACTATATTCCCATTATCTGGATATTAACTATGAAATTACAAAACCATATGGTACATAATCTTTGGGAATATGTTTCTACCGTCCAGTTGGTTGAAGTCGGTGCTCTTTTTTTTGCTCCACTGGTCAAACACCTGTGGCATTGCCAGATGGGCGCTTTTCGCTCATGTTGAGATCAGCTTCGCAGCTTTCTCCGCGATCATTACCTGGAAATGTCAAGGATACGTGCAAATGCGGTTCCAGAAAACTAAGTGGATATATAAATGATATAATATATAAGTATAGTGGGGGTTGTAAACTACAGTAAGTGGACAATATATATATATATATATATATGGATATATATAACGATTCAACGATAGTTTTAGGACCTATAGGGGGTTATATACCAACTTTGAGTTGATCACCATAGCTATACCCATGTTTTTTCACCTCAGTCCTGCCTCAAGTAGCTGGTCACGACCTGACACAAACCCTCGGTGAACATCACAAGTGTGGCATTGATATTCACAGCGGTCGCTGTAAGAGATAGTAGCCGCTTTCTCTTTTTGAGGTTTCACCATCTTGGTTTCTCTGAAGTATATAGACCCTCATGTTCATAGCGATTTGGGGAAAATTCATCCCGGAACGGCCCTGGAGACTAAGATCTTTCAAAAAGGAGTAACCCAAAGATATCCGAGTAGAATCCAATCCTAAAATAGTGGTGATTTGGGGTAACACCATAAACTGAAGACTAAGATCTACAGCGGTTCCACCATGTTTCCGGGCTCAAGTTCGACCGCCAATCAGCCAATCACCAAGTGGCTGTAGGCACCTCGCAAGACGGTGAAGTGGGACAGGGTGCAGGACTGAGGCAAAAAAATGGTGTGTATATATATATATAGATATGGTTATAAACCATTTTTGTTGGGATATACAGTAACCCCCCAGCCCCTATAAGTATGGCTATTATTCCACTTAGTTCACTGGAACTGCGCTTGCATGGTCACTGGAACTGCACTTGCATGGTGATGGTGGTGATGGTGGTGATGGGGATGCAAGGCCTACTAAATTTCACACCAGATTGTGGAATCATCCAACATATTCCAAGTGATGCTTGGTGAATTTTGTGCAGGTTTTTTGAAACCATCTAAGTGATGATTGGGCTTTCTTTCCACCAAATATCAGGATTTCCAAGGTTTCAAATCAAACAACAGACCCGTGGAACTAATTCCCAGTTCAATGGGTTCAACCCCTTCACAATCATCGAGTTCCATCATGTCAACCTCGGGCCACGTTGGCAGTTCCAAGCTATGCACATAGTCGGATAGTCATCCACAAAGGTGTTGCATACCATAAAATGTGTTAAAACCCAATAATAAACCTACCATAATAAACCGGGCTTGGTTTTTTGCTACTCCTTTAGAGTATAGTGATGGCATGGGGACGGTTTATGAGTTTATGAAATTGGTTTACCACATTGCTTGAAACAAGCTACGAGTACTTGTTGTATAAGTACATATTTGATTCCGGGGATTCTGAATTAAAAAAAAAACTGTCACGAATTGAAATTTCAACGTCTTAAACTTGATTGACATGTTTGGTCAAACCGGAACAGCACAACCATTCTTTGGAAGCCACTTAAAATGCCTGAAGAGATAAAAAAAAATCGTCATCAATCCATCCATAGAATTGCCCAGATATGAGATCATTATGCCCCAGAAATGACCATTTTTTAACATCCAAATCATCTGGAAAATCATGGTGACACCATATTTTACCACGGGCTTCCCATGCTTTTCATGGCCATTTTAAGAAGGAAAACCCCTCAAGATGCCACCAACTGAGTGTGAAAATCTGTGAAATGTAGGGCTTACCTTAAACACCCAAAAACATCGGATATACCAAAAAAAACTCCCCAGTTTTAAATCATGTTCCCTAGAAAAATGATGAAAAATGGGAGTGTTCACCACCATGGCAGTTGCTAAGTTAACCCACAACTCTTCGAGTTTCAACTGCCGGGACAACTCCAGGACGAATCCCACCGCAGGATGGTCCCTGGTTGGGTTCTGAAAACATCTGTTACTTATCGGGATCATCCTGCGGAGAAAATTTTCATGAACGGTGAATGAATATATAACTGGGTGACCTCAGAAAGGCCAAGGTGAAGCATGGTTATCTAGAAATGATGTATAGATTAATATGGCTTGAAAAAATGGTTTTATAATGTTTTATATGCTTTAATATGGATAATAATGGGATAACTGGGATAACAATACTGGTTGGTGGTTGACCTACCCCTCTGAAAAATGATGGAGTTCGTCAGTTGGGATGATGAAATTCCCAACTGAATAGAAAGTCATAAAATTCCATGGTTCCAAACCACCAACCAGCATTGACTATCAAAACAAGATTACCCTCTGGTAAACATACAAAAAACTATGGAAAGATCCACCATTTTTAATGGGAAAACTCACGATTTCAATGGCCATATTTTCAATAGCAAACTGTTAAATTTGCTGGTGATCATATTACCGATGACGGATCCATGCTGCTGGTATATGGCTGCTAACATAAAGGGGGTATATTGATGGGATCCATGGCACACCATATATAGCAGCACCGTTAGGATTCGTCGAAATTTACACACAGAAAAACCATCCCGGTGGGGAGACGAAAACACCCCAGGTTTACGCGCGATCACCAGTTACAATGTGAGGCCCCCCCAGTTACAGTTATGTCAATGTTATGTCTGCCTGAGATTCACCTCAAGTTCTATCAAGTATGATCTTAAGTTCTATCCCAAAAAATATATTCAGAAATCATCAGAAATATCTCATCTCCTTAGTTCGAAACCTGGGGTAAAAATTCCACCTATCCCCCATTCAGAACTCACCATCTATGAGTTCCGAAAACCAACCGAACACCGAAAAAAACGCCACGTCGTGTGAAACTGCCGCTGAGGCGCGTGGGTGTTCCCTGAGGTGATGTTGGGCATAATGGAACAATCCACCACCCGCAGACCATCCAGGCCATGCCTCGTGACTTAAGGCGACTTTGGGGGAAGATGTTGAAACATGGGGAGATACTTAAGGCTAGGACATAGGGAGATTTTTTCCACGGAAAATGAGTGAAACAAATGATGTAGTTTACCCTTCGCTACATGTCATGACATTGCACAGTTTGCGATGTTTTTTTTAAAGCTAGAGTTTGCGGTATGATTGAATGGAACAATGGTGATATATGGATGGAAGATGGTCATCCTCCCAGTGTCCTCATGCTGGGATACCTTCGAATTCCATGCAGGGCAGGGCAGGTTATAGCTGGCAAAATCAGATGATTTTGCCAGGGTTTGGGTTTTCATATGATTTTGGTTATAGCTGGCCATGGTTGACAATCATATAAAATCATATAAATCATATTACCCCTCTTTGATTGCCCGGGGGTCAATTGGTCAATTCTGAATGATGTTATGATCAATCCCATAGGTCAAATGCCAATCCAATACCTGGAATTCCCATCAACTTTTCGCTTGAAATTCATGGATCTCGCCATCAAAACACGAAAAAAACGAATTTCTCAGCAATTTCTCACTGGTTGACCCTCCCCAAAGTGTTCCTTAAATTGGTTATGAGCCGCTCATGATCTGGCACCGGAATCAAGTGGATGGCACTTGAAAAAAGGGCATCACTGAAATACATCGGTAAATAAATATACTGAAAATGACCCAAAGGAGAAAAATACTCCCCAAAAAGATAGGTCAATTCGCCACAAAATTTCAGAATTTGACTTTACTTGTCTGTCTTCGGGGTTGCTATACTCCCAAAAATGGATTGAATATGGTTGAATCTAATCAAATAGACCATACATCAACAAAAAAGGAGAACATGAAATTTGATTCATGGAGTATAGAACATACAAAATGTCATTGGTGGCCACAATTTCAGTCAGATAAATCATTCAGAAATACCCTCTGGTAATTTCACATAGCGAACTGGAAAATCACCATTATTATCCATTTTTCATGGGTAAATCCACTATAAATGGCCCATTTTCAATAGCTATTTTGACATAACCAGAGGGTATCGCCATATCAAAGCGACACTCTCAGCCGGTCATCCACCACGGCCAAGGGATCATGGCTGGGACCCATTTTGCAGGTGCCCGCCTCGCGACAAAGGGGAAGAAATGGAAAAAAAAAATCCCTGGAAAGCAAATTGTTGGGTAAATTATAATATTTCACTAACCTGAATTAAGGGAAAGCAATTTTTTTGGAATGTCTACCCTCTGGTAAACATACATAGCTAGCTATTGAAAATGGCCATAGAAATAGTGGATTTGTCCATTAAAAATGGTGATTTTCCATAGATATGTTAAATTACCAGAGGGTACATCTTCCAATTCTTCAAGTACAAGACTTACTGGTGCGTTGAAACTAGACGCAGGGAATTTTTTTGGGAATGATCCCACATTTCATCACTGGAGGAAAATGTCATCATCCCAGCAACCCCCAGCAACCCATCCAGCAACCCTACGCAAAACGCACCAGTAAGAAAATACCCGGGAAGTTTGTTTCATGATGTTTTCTGGTTGGTGGTTTTTCGTGGGGGCTACCTACCCCTCTGAAAAATGATGGAGTTCGTGAGTTCGTCAGTTGGGATGATGACATTCCCAATATATGTAAAACTGAAAAATATGAAAGTCAGTTGGGATGATGAAATTCCCAAAATATATGGAAAGTCATAATCCATTCATGTTCCAAAGCACCAAGCAGTTGTTGTTTGGCTTGGTGAATCATGGTGAGATGTTCAAAATGATCCCAACGAGTTGACCCAACATCCACGTACTAAGCGACATAGAATGCTGGCACATGTTTTTAACGACGACAAACCTCCCAGCTCTTCGTTTAGAAATAGATGGCTTAGCTGAATACATGAACTATATACATCTATATACTATATTAACAGTACTATAAATACATCGCTGTTATATACTATATCTATAACAGCGATGTTTCTGAAAAAAAACTACTAGAAGTCCTCCGTTTGTCATCAAACGCAGGCTGCAAAATTCCACCCAACGAATCTGAAAAAAGGGGGATTTTCCAGCCGGCTGCCCAGCTTTCTCAACGAGTTTCTGGGTGATAGATGGTCTCTGCCACTCTGCGCGCATATGCGATGTCCGTCTTCTCAGGGGCATCTACCTGTCGAGGAGAGGGTGGATGGGACAGGCGAAGTTTGAAGTTTTCCGCAGATGGCTTGAGAAATCTCAAGAATTTGAAATATCACCATATCAATCTCAGTATATCCTATATCTCAATTCTCTGATGATCTCTTTTTTGGATATACCACTGTGAATTATGACATGATTTTTTGTGCCCATCAAGGGTGTTGTTTCAGCCCTTCTCAGAGTCTTTTTTATGCTGAAATTTCTTGGCGGTCGATCCCATCAATTGAAATCCCGTCAGTTGGTTTGTTTGTTGCTGATGGCGCCACGAATTTTCGGCTGGTTTCAATCTCATCATTCTCGCTCCTAAACTTGCCATAGGCTGGCGGTAAATTCACCTTTTTTGGACACACGCAGATGTCCTATTTGATGAATTTCAGATCCCATGATTATCCTCGTTATTATCTCCATTATACATCATTATACCCAGCTTATTCCCAATATATGCCAATGAAATGACATATATCTGGGCAAATTGTAACAATTCACTTATCTAAAATGGCTATTTTGGGATAGTTACCCCTACTAATCAACATTACAGGGCTCGGTCGCGACGTGAGGTCGTTATAATTTGCCCAGATCTATGCCCAGAAGTTCCTGGGCGACGCCTCCTCCGCTCCAATCTCTCGCAACAGCGGATGCTGCGACACCTGGCTGTCTTTTGGAGCTCCCTCTGTGAAACTTTCGAAGTTCGGAGGCTCAAAATGGTGATATTCAACGACGTTTCCAAGTGAGCTGGATCCAATTGCCGGAAAATCCGGGCATCTTTCCGTGGATATCTCAAAAAAGGCGGAACCTCAAGGGGAACGGAACCTGAGTTTCGGGGATGAATCATGAACCCAGAAATATGAGAAATGGCCCCAAACTTGGTTCACTTGGTCCAATATGTCGGTTCATCCTAGTCCCATTAATATGCCTCTGCGGTGGCAGTTCCTCCCTAAATCCTATAGTTTCAAGTGCAGTTTCAGAGAACTCAGTGGAATAATAACCATAGTCATTAATATGGCTTATATTCCAACTTGAGGTCTATAACCCATGGTTACATTTGTAACCTCACATCCCCAAGTAGAATCATAAGATGTTACAAGTTGGTTTTAAAAAAAACTCATGATCATTTGCTATTATCCCAACCCCAAATGCTCCATGGTGCTGGAATATGCACACCGACATTTACCCAAAAAAATCACCCAGTTTTGTAGGTAAATATACCAGCACCATGGTTCGCATATGGGTAATATTATTCCATCCAGATTCCATATGTCAAGGTCTTATTTTTGCAGTATCCAGATGTATATTTTGCTATTATTCCAACATTGTTGGCTATTGAAAATGGCTGTTTATAGTTGATTTACCCATTGTAAATAATCATTTATAATGGGTAAATATTTTTTTTAATAACTATAACTATATGATTTACCCATGATAAATGATGATTTTCCATAGTTTCACCATAGTTCCACCCAGTTTTTTCACCGCCAAAACACCGTGCCATGGCCCCCATGCCATGGCCCATTGGCCCCCGGAGGCGGCACCTCCCGCGCCAGCTCCAGAGATCGCAGCGCCAGCTGTTGATCCTTCACCGTCGCCAGGTAGTTGGGTGAGATCCGAAGCCTCGTTGGGCGTGCCGTGGGGCGCCGTGACGTTTGGGACCCGGGGATGAGCCAACAGGGGCTCGGCTCGGGAAGGGTCATCCGTGTCTTAAAAAACCCTCTGGTTATGACTAACATCACCATAGCTATTGCTGGGAAATTCATGAACAATATTTTTTTGGGATATTAATAAATTTATAGTGATTCAATTGGAGATCTTCAGGATCCTAAAATGGAGGTACGTTAGTAACATATGTTTGGCCATATTTTGTGGGGATATTCCCTGAAATTTAGGCCTTATATATGGTAGGTACCTCCAATTTAGGATCCTGGAGATCTCCCATTGAATTCAGTTAGAATATACCCTCTGGTTATGACTAACATAGCTATGGTTTTTCGATGGCCCATAGAAATATATGATAAACATGATGATTTACCTATGAACAAACTAACATAACTATGGAAAATCACCATGTTTCATGGGAAAACTCACTATAAATGGTGATTTTCCATGGTTCTGTTAAATTACCAGAGGGTAAACACTACATCTTTTGATAAGAAACATACCTCTAACTTGATTGTTTGAGAGTGAAACTACAGGGAAATCCCAAGGGAAAAATCTCGCCCAAACAAACCAAAACAGAAAAACCAAACATATATTTCCAGTATATTTCATGCTAACAATGTTCATTTTTGGTGATACCTCCCCTGTTTTTTAATAGGATATGTATGGATACTTTAGGGGAATTGGGAATCCACACAGCTCATCTTGAGGATATGGCCGAGCGATCACCCATAAAAACTCTGCCGGCGCACGAGCGATCTGGGAGAAGTTCCACCCGTCCTCGACTTTCGGGCCTGAGAAGCGAAAAAGTGTTGTTTCGGCGAGAGATTTGACATTTGGAGGATCAGAATTGGGCTTATCTGTTTGTACAGGGTGTATACATGTATATATATATATAGTCATAAATCATATGTACATATAATCATATACATATAATCATATACATACTCACATATATATATATATATATATTCTTATATATATATATATAAAGACTCACCTGGTTTCCGCCCTCTTTTGCTCTGCAAGGTCAATGTTGTCAATCAATTCAAAAAAAAATTTCTACAAGTAAAAATAACTCAAGGGGAACACCACCTTCCGGAGCACATTTCAGGATCCACATCCTTTGTATACCCCCAGGGGGTCCCGGCCAAACCCAAGGAACACCCCCAGCCAAAGTATAAGGGTTATTTCCTCCTTCATCCGGCCAAACCCAAGATAAAAGAGGGTCTAAACCCACAGGTTGCAGGCCATCTGCAAATTTTTTCAGTGCTCTTTCCGGGTGGGAGCAACGCAAGGGGGGGCCCTTAAGCCGAAACTGCAGGTGAATAGGGCTTACACCATGTTCATCTTTAGAACCGGGGCCGTAACACCAAAGACTCACCTGGTTTCCGCCCTCTTTTGCTCTGCAAGGTCAATGTTGTCAATCAATTCAAAAATAAATTTCTACAAGTAAAAATAACTCAAGGGGAACACCACCTTCCGGAGCACATTTCAGGATCCACATCCTTTGTATACCCCCAGGGGGTCCCGGCCAAACCCAAGGAACACCCCCAGCCAAAGTATAAGGGTTATTTCCTCCTTCATCCGGCCAAACCCAAGATAAAAGAGGGTCTAAACCCACAGGTTGCAGGCCATCTGCAAATTTTTTCTGTGCTCTTTCCAACGTCCCCTAACCTGTGAACGGAGTGAAACGGGCTCAAGTGAAGGCAAAGAAGTAGTAAGGCTTTTAACATATTGTTTGCGGAGATTTTTGGAAAATGGAGTCCAGGGAATTTTTAATTCAGCAAGGACCGCCAGACCCTGGTTTACATAGATACGGGAGGTTTTCTGTGATTGCCATCGGCCGGCAATAAGTAATTTGTCAAAAGACCCGTGCTGCGCAAAGGCATGGGTGGCTCCGCCTCTCCTAAGAGAATAGGGCCGAAAGTCCCATTTGTCAAAGGACAAAGCCTTCAACGTATCAGCAAATTTTTCTCCACACATGATGTGGCCCCGCCAACAAGACCTTCCTTGGTTTCTGTTGGCACCATTGGAAAAGACGGCGGCACACCTCTTCGACATGAAGGGTAATGCTTTCCGCTGCTCCTTGCCTCTTGCCAGATTTGGTGAGCCCCAGCGAAATTACCGCTGGCCCCTTGGGATCAGTAACTGTCACATGGGACCCCGCAATGGATAACAGCTCACCCGTGCGCAACAACCCATAAAAACCCGGGAGCAACGTCAGGGCAAAAGCGTGGTCACCCTTAAAAAGCGCGTGTCCCACCATTGCCTCTAACATCTCCACCGGTAATGGCGGTGCCCGATTGGGCACCTCGTGTGTGACCCAGGCCTTTAACAACCGCCAGCACTCAGGCAATTTGCCTTTGAGGTGAGGGTGTGCATCTTGCAGGCCAGCTAAAATATTAGAAGCTGCTGTTCGACCAAACCCCTGAGCCCACAGGTGCTCAAGATAATCAGCCACCATAGTATCTAACTGCGCCGTGGAATGGGGTAAAACGAGCTTTTCAGCCCGCAAATACTCAAAGAAATCATCAAGAGCTTGTTGATATCGTGCCTTGGTGACAGGTTGAACTGTCAACTGCCTCAGCGGTCCTATTTCCCTACGTTTTTTAGCCCTTGCTTCCTGCGTGGTTCCTTCAAGATGCCTTTTGGGCATTGGACCACTTGCGCTTCCTGGGACGTCGACTCGGAACGTCCGCAGGATTTTCTTTTGTGTGGGTGTAAGCCCACACGGCATGGTTGTTTGTGGCAAGAAGCAAGGCATTTATTCGTAGGAGGGACCGCCTCAATTTGCGGCTACTGGACCGGCCTCTGCTCAACGCATGGAGGCAGACTAGGGAGTCTAAAAGATGCACGAATTTGCTCTTGAGAATTTTATGCTTTTCGATGCGCCACTTCAATGACGTCAGAACAGCACGCATCTCCAACACGTTAATGTGTTCTGTACAATCATTCCACAGCCATCCGGCAATGGTTTTCCAGCGCCATAAACGGGCCGGAACACTGGCACGCAACCTTTGATACTTGACTAAATCTTCACTCGAGGATTGCAGCATCAAATCTTCACCTTTTACTCCAACCAAGGTCAGGAGTTTCCTCACTAGCTTCTCTTCATTCCCAGTTGTAGGGAGTGAACGAGCGGCTCACATCAGCGGCCGTTGCAGAAAGCTCTGAAAATCTTTACTGCAACCAGGTGAAGTTCTACTGTACACTTGCTGGACGCTGAGCAGTGGGTTCAACCCTAGGACAGCTCCCAACTGGCTAAGAATCCACGCGACTACCGTCACATTCCAAGAATTACCGATTAACCCCAAACGACAGTCAGTGTGTGCGACGCTGCCCTGGAGGTGCTTCACCATGCACATCATAGTGTAGTTGCGCGGAAACCCCATGACCACTTCGCGCTCTTCAATGCTTGGCAGCCGAAGTTCACCCCGTTTATTAACAAGACAGTGTTTTTCACAATATTGATAAGGAGGGAACCTGTACTGGTCCTGAACCCAGCGAGCTCGCTCTTCATAGGTGCACTGTTGTAAACCGGCAGGCTTGTAGCCCGGGGATGCCCTGGGCCGCGAGGTAGTGAAAGTGGGCAAGGGTTCGTTTGAGACAAGCTTCCACCCAGGCAGCAAAAAGTCCTGGGAGTTGACTTCTGCCACCAGCTGTATCTCACGCACTGGAGACTTGCCCTGTACTTTTGAAGCCCCTTCAGAGCCAAAGAGCTCCCATTCCACCCAATAAAGCCTCGGCCGCCGGGCCAGCGACACCCCTAAGGCATCGATGAGCCATGGCTCCTCTCCGAAGTCAGCTGACATGACATTGCGATCTACTTCATCCATGGAACCCACTGATTCCATCAAAGTACGCACCTGAGCCCATGGGAAGCAGCCTTTGACTAAGGCGCGAATCCTCGAAACGTGCATAAACAGACCACTTCGAGCATCACGCAAGGCACCTTTCCTCCTCGCATTCAAACCACTAACCCCTTGGCAAGGGGGGCCCGCCCCGATCAAAACCAGGGCGGCTTGAGAAAACTTTAGAGCCCATGGCCATGACTGTACCATCTTTTCGTCAATGTCCTCCACGGTGGTGACCCGGATAGTATTCGGAAAGCGGGCCTCCACTACACGAGCCGCATGGTCATCCTTCTCGACACTGATGTGCCCGACCACGTTCCATCCAAGAACATCTGCTGCTGTCCTCAGGGCTCCTATCCCATCAAAAAGCCCCACCGTGACAACCTGCGTGACCTCAGCTGGCTCTACAATGTCTCCTCGTACTCCACACTGGGCGGCCACACAGCCCGCAGGAGTAAGACTCGATGAAGCAGTTACCCCGCCACCGGTCTTTGATGCGTCACTGGCGGTTACTACTTTTGCCACTGTACAACGAAAATCCATGTAGGCTAGGGGAATTAAGCCTAAAAATCTTGCCAACTCCAGCGTCACTTCCTTTGGAAGTGGTAACTGGATGACAGGAGGATAGTGTTCAAACTGGAGAATAAACGTCCACAATGAATTCAGACAACCTAGCAAGGGTCTCCGGAACATTGCCAGGTAGACCAAACCGCCTCCCACTACTTGGGCCTGTTTTTGAGTGCATTTTCCGGCTTCCAAAATCTGCTTGGTGAGTAAGGCATACCTGAGCACCTTCTCAGGCTTTGGTACGGCAATCCCCAAGGACCCGTCCACAATGGCGCCCTGAACTTCAGCCTGGGCCTGACAAGCAACAGACTTCTTAGGGTGTCTTGGGACACCCAACATGGCATATTCTTCACGAAGACCAGAAACTAAGGGCGACACCGTTCCAGCTATCACAGAAGCCATACCTTTCGAGACCCGTCGAAGCTCATCAAAGTTGTCAAGATAAATCCTGAACAAAGGGTTTCCAGTTGAGAAGGTCCTATCCTTTCGAATCTCCAGTTCTCCGCCAAGACCTACTCTAGCCAAAGCTTTCTTCGCCACAAACCGATGGATGTGTTGTGCTAGAGCGACACTGTTCTTGAAGCCCATTGGCAGTACTGCCGAGCACGGATACCAGCGACCAGGCCTATCTCCACATAATGACGACGGCAGCGGCCGATTAAAAGCCATCAGGGGATGCCAGGTCACTGGTAAGCGGAAGATATAAAAGAAACATCTCACGTCCTCACTAGAGATTACCAAGTCCTCGTGCGGCATCAGGCACAAGGGGGTCATGCTGGCCCAGGTAGGAAGAGTAGAGATATCACCATCCAATCCCCGGCACAGCCGATTTGCCGGGATCAAATTCATGATAATTCTCATAACTTCGAAGTCCCCAGCATATTCATGCTTGGACACTCCGAACAATCCATTAAGGACCAATTTACCTTCCACCTTATAAACATCATCCTCATGAATTCTAGCAAAAACTCCTCTCTGCAGGAGCTCTCTACACAAGGTCTCCCAATGCTCAGGAGCTACCATCACCCTAGGCGGTCGGGTATAAACCTGATCAGCCGGGTCCAGCAGGAACTTTGAAAAATGTTTCACATATTCCAAGGACCCCAATTCAACCACCTGTTCTAATGGCACTCCACCCACTTCTTTAGGGAGTGCAGGAGCAACATTTTCCCATCGGATACTTTGAGCGGTTAAGACTTCCTCACCTCGGTAGTCGATTCCTTTAACTCTAAAAAACTCGTCCCAAGAAACAGGAGCAGAACGTTCGCTCCACCCCGCGATCCGCTCACAGTCAACAACCAAACCACAAAGAACCTTTGACTTGAAATCAGAAACCGGGCTCCCAGAATCCATTCCCTCACCGTTCAACGAATTAAGAGACAGAACCGAACAACGCAACAAAGCCAAAACCACAGGGGACTTGGAAGGGAACAGTTGACTCAGGGTAGTGAAGGATGAGGGTAGAGGAAAAACCTTACCCGAGGGCTTGACCCTGCAGAGCAAATCTAAGAAAACATCCATCCTACCCTGAAGCCAGGTTCCTACGTCTCCCATCCCCACCATTTCAGAATCATTCAGCCGGACCTCATTTTTTCCGTCAGCCTGGCCCAAGCCAAGGCAGTGCAAGGCGTCTTTCGTCAGGGAATTTCCCGACGCTGAGTCTGTACAAAAATTTGCAAAAGGAATGGTGGCAGCCACTCCTCCCGCTGAGTGAAACGTACCGCCCAGGAGCGCTTCCACTCCACACTTCTCACGCCCTTCTTTTGGCACCTCTTCTTTGGCATCCATAGAAGTCCCTTCAGCCTTCTTTATTTCTTTCTTTAAAAGCTCAGTTTGCAGAGAGTCTGTCTTTTCTACTCCCAAGTTTTTGCAGGAGTCACCATCTTCATCCTCCCTATCTTTTCTTTCTCTCACGAGTCTCCCCAGCTTTTTCGCCACTCCCGCCCTCAGGAGCTTTTGCGGGGCTCTTCTTTTGACTTGCCCTTCCCTTTTTCGTTTTTTCCTTTGTCTTTGTCTTTGGTCTTTCCTTTGCTTCGGCCTTTCTCCCAGGAGCTCATACCTCCACTCCTGGTTTGACTGTCCAGCTTGGACTCCTTCAGCGCCACCTGGAGTTCGGCCCTGCTGGAGATGGTCGCCTCCAAGCTCGGGGCCACTTCTACCTTTTGGGCTGTACTCCACGTTTGTCCTCCCAGGACAAGTTCCAGGCTCTTCAAACGCTGGGAAACCCCATCCAGAGCTTCCGCCGCTCGACCTTGCAAAAGAAGGTCTCCAACGAAGGCTAACGTCATCACCTCTCGAAGGATGCCTCCACTGCCCTTCGATGCCAAGTGCATGCGAGCATATTGGCTCATCACTGGCGGAAGGGAATGTTCGTCCAGGGCCCAAGTGGACCCCCCCGCCTGCAGCACAAATTGCTTCATGCTCTGGATCGCCGAGGCCGACAGAATGCCCGGCCCCAGCGTGGCAATTTTTTGGATCTTGGACCTGTCTTCCAAGATGTCCTTGTCGGCTTCTGGCAGGCTGGATGAACTGGTACTGGAACTGCTGGAGCTGCTCGAGGACCGCGACTTCCTCAGCCTTCTCCTCACCTTTCTGGTCACCTTTTTTCTGGTGACGTGGTCCGGATCCAGTCCCGTGCCCTCGAACAGCTGGGACAATGACTTCTTCGCAACTGTCCTTCCTCCAATCCTCTTGGCTTTCTTGGCCTTCTTCTCTGAGTCCTTCTTTTTGCTTTTCTTTTTCTTGTTGTGTTTCTTCTTGCCGCTGCTGGACGGCGATGAATCCACCTGTGCCTCTCGACCTTCTTGCACGCGCTCTCTCCATGCCTCTTCAACTCTCCTCAAAGGTGCGTTCTCGTCAGTGCCAACCAGGTTCACCTCCCACGTCTTTTCTGCTCCTTCTGCAAGCTTTCTAAAGGAAGAAAGGTGAACCAAATCTGGATTTACCCGCTTCTGATCACACCCTTCCTTGCACAAATGGGCCCTGATAACCGGCGGGGACAGCCCTGAAGCAAACTTCAATAAGGCCTCTGATTGAGTACCTGTTAGTTCCACTTGAAGTTCACTCTCCCCCGCCTCAATGGTCACCCTCGACACTTTTCCAGCCCACTTACACTCTTCTCCAAAGTAGGTGCTTGCCTCACTGACGATCCAATGCCCCCGGTCCAACAAAGTAGGAGGTAACTGGTGGGCTTTCACAACCTCTCCCTGAGAATACGCCTCCTCAGGGTCCACCACTCTTCTCCCTCGAACGGGAACCCTTTCTATAGCTGCGGCAGGTCGACGTCTGCCAACCCCCGCTGCTGCAGGCCTCCTGCGGTTCATCCACCTCTGGACTTTCTGTCTTGCTTGCGATCTGGGTCTAACCCGTAGTGCTGGATGTCCCAGTTCCGCTCTCTTCGCTTTACCCCTTTTGACTTCGGTGGCCAAGGTCTCCACGCAGGAAAGGGGCCTCCAAAGACACCAGGAGGTGGGCCACTAGGGGCAGCCGACCGAGGGGGTCTGGCCGGCTCGGGAGGTCGAAGGTGTCCTCCTCTCACTGGAAGCTCCTCTCTACGACTCCCACTCTCGGGAGCTTGATCCTCCCTCCTTCTTTCAGGAGTCCTCCTCCTATCTCTGGCCTCTCCTCCTGCCCTGGCTGAAGACGGCTCGTAACACTCCCTCCTCTCGGGAGTCCGTTCTCGTCTCTTTTCTCCTCGCCGACCACTAGACACCGACCGTCGACGGTCCCTCCCACTCTCAGGAGGTTCTCTGCGGCCTGCCTCCCTTCTCTCAGGAGTCCTGTACTGGCCACTTCTCCCTCTCTCAGGAGTATGTTCACGGGACCTCTGCCTTCGAGTCCTTGGGCTCCTATAAGGACTCCTCTCTCTTTTCTCTTCTGGCGACTTCCTACTAAAACTGGGGCTCCTTTTCCTTGCGCGCCTCTTCTTTTCTGGGCTTTCCTCCTCTGACCTGTCTTCCAAAGACCTTTCAGTTTCTTCACACTCCTCTGCCTTCACCACGGACTGAGCTTCGGACTTCTTGCGCCTCTTCCTCTCCCGGGATGCTTTATCTTTCTTGCTCTTTCTCTTTTTATCCTTCTTCTTTCTCTTAGGCTCCTCTTGATCCTCAACTTTTGCGGGAGCACTCACTCCCTCTTCCTCAGACTTTGCAACCAATGCCGCGGGCTTCTCCTCTTCTTTTCCTTCGCCAAGAGGTGCTTTGGGCTCCACAGTCTCACTGGGCGCAGTTCCAACCAAGGAACTTGGCGGCAAGGGCGGTGCCGCTTTGCTGCTGGCCTCTGCCAAGGCCCTTGCCTCCTCAGTCGGAGGCGCCTCCCCCTCACGGGAGGGAACGCTAGGAACTCCCTCTGCCACGGGAGCCCCAGCAGGCACACCTTCCAGGACGTCCAGAAGGTTCGAGTGCAGCTCCCGAACTTGTCTGAGAGCTTCGTGTCTAAAAACGTCCGGCCGGTTGGGACTAACCAGGAGATACCCCACCCGCCTCCACGTGTGACAAAGTACACACGCACAGGCAAGTAAAGGGTGATCTCCACCACTCATCCCTTAAGCCGAAACTGCAGGTGAATAGGGCTTACACCATGTTCATCTTTAGAACCGGGGCCGTAACACCATTCTTATATATATATATATTCTTATATATATATTCTTATATATATATATATTCTTATATATATATATTCTTATATATATATATTCTTATATATATATATACATATTCTTATATATATATATTAATGAATATATGTGAAACATATTAGGAACTTTGGAAAGTCTGATTACATAAAACCAACAATGGGTCTGTTGAGTCTGTCTCAAGATGGTGGTACTCCTTCAGACAAACCCTCATGTTTTTTTTTCGGGTCAGAATCCGGCGAGTAACACTTCGTTGCGATTTCGGAAATCATGTGAATGGGCGAACCAACAACTTACTTGTGCTTAGTAGGGAATGAGGGAATGATCCACAATAACTATCAATAATAATCCCAGCAACCCCCAGCAACCCATCCATTCCCTACGTTTAGCACCAGTAAGATTGCTAACCAGTTGCCAGCGGATTTTATTGCTGAATATCACGATTCTTGGTCTCTTACAATCCCATGTTTCTTGCGATATGAACCACGTTTGAACCACGAACCATTCCCCTCTCCAGTCCCATGAAATGAATACTGGTTGGTCAAGAACGGTATCCCGTGAATTGCTTGTTGGTTCACAAATCACCAATCAACCAGTTAGTTTGTTTGCTCATGTTTTATGACCATTATTTGGTTAGTCAACCATCATTTATCAATGATATCCCCATGTTTGTTCTAATTAACCTCCAAAAAATTGGGTAAATTCCCATGAAATCACCAACCAGGGGGATCAGATGGCAACTTTCTTACCCACCACCTCCATAATTATCTCATGATATCCATACAAATCTAGTTGGTGGGGGCTACCTACCCCTCTGAAAAATATGAGTCAGTTGGAATTGGCATTCCCAATATGATGGGAACGTCATAAAATCCCATGGTTCCAAACCACCAACCAGATATTTAAGCCATGTTTCTGGGGTATGTCCTCAATTGGGATCTATGAACATATTCCAGTAGTCAAGGGCACTTTAAACCTTCCATATCCATACCCATAGGATCCATGGTGCTGCTATATATGGCAACATGGATCCCATCTATATACCCCATTTATGTTAGCATATATACCAGCACCATGGATCCTATGGGTATATGAACATCAATGAACATCCCCAGAAAATCCCAATGACTCATTTTACCCCTTTGTTAATGGTGAATTATCACTAACAACATGGATCCTATGGGATACAAAATGGTGAGTCTGAATCCCTATTTCCAAGGCCAAAATTCCCATGATGAGGTCACCCCCTGATTTCATCACACCTGAAAAATCACCCATGGATCCACCCAAAAAAAAACCTAAAAAAATGCTCAAGGAGAAAAACTTTTTGAATGCCTATGAAGGCCAAAGTCCACCATTCAAATCCCACGAAATCACCATTCAAATCCCATCAAACCCCATCAAATCACCATTCAAATCCCACGAAATCACCATTCAAATCCCATCAAATCCCATCAAATCACCATTCAAATCCCATCAAATCCCATGAAATCACCATTCAAATCCCATCAAATCCCATGAAATCACCATTCAAATCCCATCAAATCCCACGAAATCACCATTCAAATCCCATCAAATCCCACGAAATCACCATTCAAATCCCATCAAATCCCACGAAATCACCATTCAAATCCCATCAAATCCCACGAAATCACCATTCAAATCCCATCAAATCCCACGAAATCACCATTCAAATCCCATCAAATCCCACGAAATCACCATTCAAATCCCACGAAATCACCATCAAATCCCACGAAATCACCATTCAAATCCCATGAAATCCCACGAAATCACCATTCAAATCCCATCAAATCCCACGAAATCACCATTCAAATCCCATCAAATCCCACGAAATCACCATTCAAATCCCATCAAATCCCACGAAATCACCATTCAAATCCCATCAAATCCCACGAAATCACCATTCAAATCCCATCAAATCCCACGAAATCACCATTCAAATCCCATCAAATCCCACGAAATCACCATTCAAATCCCATCAAATCCCACGAAATCACCATTCAAATCCCATCAAATCCCACGAAATCACCATTCAAATCCCATCAAATCCCACGAAATCACCATTCAAATCCCATCAAATCCCACGAAATCACCATTCAAATCCCATCAAATCCCATCAAATCACCATTCAAATCCCATCAAATCCCACGAAATCACCATTCAAATCCCATCAAATCCCACGAAATCACCATTCAAATCCCATCAAATCCCACGAAATCACCATTCAAATCCCATCAAATCCCACGAAATCACCATTCAAATCCCATCAAATCCCACGAAATCACCATTCAAATCCCATCAAATCCCACGAAATCACCATTCAAATCCCATCAAATCCCACGAAATCACCATTCAAATCCCATCAAATCCCACGAAATCACCATTCAAATCCCATCAAATCCCACGAAATCACCATTCAAATCCCATCAAATCCCACGAAATCACCATTCAAATCCCATCAAATCCCACGAAATCACCATTCAAATCCCATCAAATCCCACGAAATCACCATTCAAATCCCATCAAATCCCATGAAACCACCATTCAAATCCCATCAAATCCCACGAAATCACCATTCAAATCCCATCAAATCCCACGAAATCACCATTCAAATCCCATCAAATCCCATGAAATCACCATTCAAGTCCCATCAAATCCCACGAAATCACCATTCAAGTCCCATCAAATCCCACGAAATCACCATTCAAATCCCATCAAATCCCACGAAATCACCATTCAAATCCCATCAAATCCCACGAAATCACCATTCAAATCCCATCAAATCCCACGAAATCACCATTCAAATCCCACGAAATCACCATTCAAATCCCATCAAATCCCACGAAATCACCATTCAAATCCCATCAAATCCCACGAAATCACCATTCAAATCCCATCAAATCCCACGAAATCGCCATTCAAATCCCATCAAATCCCACGAAATCACCATCAAGTCACCATCAAAATCCTCATAATTCCACTACATCTTCACTAAATCCCAGTAAATCCTCATGAACTCCCCCCATCGTTCCCTTCGTTCCCTTCGTTCCCTTCCCGTCCTCAGGATGCAGACGGAGGCCGTGAAGGCGTCGAAGGCGTCCAAGTACACGGCGGGGGTTCCCGTGGTGCTCATCGGCTGGAAATGGAACTGCAGATCAGGGGCACCTCTCTGGGTCGGAAAACGTGGGGAAACAGCGATTTTGGGAATGATAAAATAGGTCATCTATAATGGTAATCTATGATTTATAAATGGACCCAGAAATAGATATCTACTTATTTTTTACCCCCAAAAAAAGTAGGTAAAAGGTTCAGTAGGTAGGTAAGCATTATAATCTATAGATCTATCCATTCTATTATAAAATAGGTAAGCATTATAAATAGGTAATAGGTGATAATAGGTGATACTCTATAAATGGATGAGGACTTGATGAGAACTGGGGGTACCCCTATGACTTAGGAAACGTCCATATGAATGATTTAAACTTTAAATCTGGTTGGTGGTTGACCTAGCCCTCTGAAAAATATGAGTTCGTCAGTTGGGATGATGACATTCCCAATATGATGGGAAAGTCATAAAATTCTATGCTTCCAAACCACAAACCAGATAAATAGGTAGGTGTTATGAGAATTATAAACATGATACCCTCTGGTAATTTAACATAGCTATTGAAAATGGCCATTTATAGTTGATTTTCCCATTAAAAATGGCGATTGTCCATAGTTATGTTAGTTTACCAGAGGGTAATCTATCTATAATCATGGGAATGACAATCCGGGGCACTTCCAGCTTCTGGGGATGCGGATTTAGATCATGGTCGCAGTGAGGTTGTTACAATTTACACAGATGGATACAATGTCAGGCCCCCCAGTGATGTTAGTTGGTTTAGATTCGCCCCAGTAACTAGTTAGTTATAAGTACCATAAACCATATAACTATAGTTATAAGTGCCATAAACCATAGTGACATTGGAGTTATAAACCAACTTAGATATCAAACGGGGGCCTCACATATGTAGTCGGGCCATGGGCCAGAAGAGGTGGTTTCAAACTCAATCCTCCAGCTGATCCTTCACCACTTTTAGAAGCCAATCGAAAAACTGCCATTGGAATTACATAACCTACCCTCTGGTAAACTAACATAACTATGGAAAATCACCATTTTTCATGGGAAAACTCACTATAAATGGCCATTTTCAATAGCTATGTTAGTCATTACCAGAGGGTACCACTAATACACATCTCCAACATCCCTATCCCCAACATCCCCAAGATCTCAAGCTCTACCATAAATATCCAGCAGAATGCACGTTTTTTCTTAATCCAACTTAGAGGTATTGAAGTCTTGAAGTCAACTTCCAACCTTCCCAACATCGTTCCCCCCAACATCTTCCCAACTTTCCCTCAACTTTCCCACAGGATGGTGCCCCCCAGTTATAAGTTGGTTTATAAACCCCATTAACTGTAGTTATATCTACCATAAACCATAGTTATGGGAGTTATAAACCAACTTAGCTAACTATGGGGCACCACCTTGCATGGCTAACTATGGGGCACCTTCCTCCTGGTTCATCCCAGAGTTCACGAAGGCGCAGACCTGCGACGCCGCCATGGACACCGGCCCCTTCCGCTCCGTCAAAAATTCCCAGCCGCAGCGCCAGGCGGTGGGGCTCAGCAGGGCACCCAGCCAGTGAGCTCCGCCGCGGACGGCGAACTTCACCAAGTTCCCCACTTCGGAGTTCAGGGTCGCCGCGCGCACGCGAAACTTGGGCCTGGAAAGTGGAAAGATTTAGGAAAGGGACCAGAGAGCCTATAGAGACTCTAGACTCTCTAGACACCCGGAAAAACTGCAGTTTCCAGAAAATCCAGTCCGAAAATCTCCCCATCCCATCACCCAGTCGAAAATCTCATCCAACAGGCGCAGTGCCGTGCTAGCGCGCCTCAGTTGCAGGTGGTCCTGCAGGTTCTCTCCCACTCCTGGCAGATCGTGCTGGCACCTCAGCCCCACCTCCTCCAGGCGTTGAGCTGCTCCAATGCCGCTCTTCAGCAGCAGCTGGGGCGAGCCTAGGGATCCGGCACTCAAAATCACCTCGGTGATTTTCCATGGGAAAACTACGAAAAGTGTGGTGATTTTTAGATTTCAGGGTGATTCTTAGGTGATTTGGAGGGTGACTTGATGGTGACTGCTGATTGGATGGTGATTTTCACGGTGATTTGTCTATAGACATGATGATCTAATGAATCTAATGGATTCTACTGGTGATTTCAGTGGGATTTCATGGTGACTTGACTTAATGGTGACTCAATGGTGATTTCGTGGTGGCTTGATAGTGATTTAATGGTGATTTAATGTTGATTTAAGGTTGGTGAAGTTGGAAAATGTTGGTGACAATGGGGATATAATGTCGATACTCAGGAATATTCATGGAGTTTGAATGCACATTCATAATTATTGGATTGGTTTAAGGGAAAATACAGCCATGAAACCATCGTTTGTACAATCAAACAGATGGGGTTCCTGTAAATTGTTCAAACACATCCAATGATCGTGAACAAAGTTGAGAGAATTTCGCATTTTGCATCTGCATATGCATATGTGTACATATGAACATGTGTCACGTGTCTATACGTAGTTACATATTGTATAAACACACATGGAGGGATATAGATGATATAGCCAGGTTATATCACCAGTTTTTCTGGCCACGCTTACACCAAGCCTGGACAGAAACATTTCGAACATGACTCCTGTTATGAAAAAAACAAACAGTACGGTCGAAAAAGATAGCAAAGCATATAGTATAATATTTACATATATGTTTACCCTAACTTACTATCATTGTCGATGTTCGCAATATTACAATTGCTTTCACCAATTTTCTACGAACATGTACTTTTCCACAAGACTTGGGATAGAGTTCAGTGTAATAAGTTTTCCTCTTCATGGGGGTAATATTCTGTTAAACCTCATGGTAATCGCACCTCTTCGGCCGAAACTTCTCTTCCTCCCAGAAGTTGCACTCCGGTGACACGACGCCCGGACAGCAACAACTGCTCCACCTGGTACAGTCCGATCTGTGATGTGTGGAGAGTGATGGGAAGGAGGGAAGGACCGCCGGTTGGAGGACCATATGGTTACCTGGTTGGTGGTTTCAACCTACCCCTCTGAAAAATGTGAGTTCGTCAGTTGGGATGATTTTTCATTCCCAACTGAATGGAAAGTCATAAAATTCCATGGTTCGAAACCACCAACATTTATAACCCGTCTTGGACCATAGTCATTGCCTTAAGTTATATCCATTTCTTTCACCCCAAACTGCACCCTGTAGGGCATCATTCACCAAAACAAGGCCGCTTCAGAGACTTCAAAAGCGGTCCGTGGTCCCCGTGGTGGGGTTCCCTACGCGGTGGTGAAGCCAGGAATCGTTGCTTGTTAGCCCCAGCTGGATGACTGGATGTGATGTGGGTAAAACAATGCCATAAATGCACCATCCCCCAGGAAAAGTCGCCATTTCTATCGGTGGTATTTCTATGATTCCCAGGAAAATGGGTGGTCAAAATGACATTGTTTTACCCACATCAATGGGATTTAACCAACAACCATGGGAATTGGTTGTTAGGGTTTTTGAAGCCAACATCTTATGGGATGAATCATCTGGCTGAACGACGATGATTCACCTACCCTCTGGTAAACTAACATAACTATGGAAAATCACCCTTTTTAATGGGTAAACCAACTATAAATGGCCATGTTCAATAGCTACGTTAGTTTACCAGAGGGATTATCTGGTTGGTGGTGCAATAACCATCTTGAAAAATGATGGAGTTCGCCAATGGGAAGGATGACATCCCATATAGAAAATGGACAAATAAAAGTCATGTTTGAAACCACCAGTCCCAGATATTATAGAACATCTATACCATCCATTAACCATCCATTATCCCATATATGATGGACAAAAAAATGTTTCAAACCACCAACCAGTCATCACTCCAGTGATGTCACGACGGCTTCGGTCATGATCAAATTCATCCAGATAACTTTTGTCATTGCCCCATATCCCATGACGGATCCATGGTGCTGGTATATTATATGCTAACATAAAGGGAATATATTGATGGGATCCATGTTACCATACACAGCAGCACCATGGATCCTATGGGTATTGCCCCTACCTGAATTCAGTGGGCTCTTTGTTGCACCGGACAACACGATTCCGTTGGTCGTTTCATCACCCCAGAACTTCGCCCCTTCCGCCCTTTCGCGGGCCTCCGCATGGCAGCAGATGTGCAAGTTGCTGCGAAAGCGCCGCACCTCGTGCAGAGGCAGGGCGCTCGAACAACGCAACCCGCCGGGGGTTTTGAAGTTGGAAAAGTAGGCCACGCCAGCTCCTGGATAATGCGGATAAGGGATGAAGATGACCTAGGACCAAGGTTCAAGAAAGGGCCCTGGCTTAAAAAAACAAGGGGGGGGATGGATGAATCTGGTTTGGTTTATCTGTGGTTAGTCTATGGAAAATCTATGGATAAATCTATGGTTCATTTGTAAGGGAATGGATAAATCTATATGGTAAATCTATGGTTAATCTGTGGAAAATACTGCTTTTCCATCAGATTCACCATATAGATTTACCATAGATTTACCATAGATTAATCACAGATTTATCCATTCCCTTACAAATGAACCATAGATTTACCATAGATTAACCATAGATTAACCATAGATTAACCAGATGGTACCCTCTGGTAAACTGTTACATAACCATGGAAAGATCCACCGTTTTCAATGGGAAAATCCACTATTTCTATGGTCATTTTCAATAGCTATGTTGACATAACCAGAGGGTACTCATTGTTTTTCAACATGTTTGACATTCATTCAATTGGAGGAACATCCGGCGGATCTCACCAGATGGTTTTTTTCATACAGGTAAGATATGTCCACCGATATAGTCCGGAACAATGGAAAAATATGTGGTTTTTAGGTCATGTATATAAATATCCACCTGGTACGAAAAGCTGTTTTTAGGTCATATGCTACAATGAAAAAACTCCAGGTAAGTACTTTTTTCTGCTCATGACCCGGTGTCAGATTGTTGGCTACATCCAAGTGAAGGTTCCCCATTAAATATCCCCATAGAATGGTTATATTTTACACCATGACATCTGTACGGTTGGGTACCTTAGGTTGTTGGTATCCTATCCACTGCCAATTGTTCAGTCGATTTCTGGACGAATTAGCACGGTATGGAACCTTCTTCACCAAAAATGGCAAAAAAATAGTAGCACATACTAGCACTAGATACTACTAGATCAAGTGCTGACCCAACTACAAACCTAGGAATTCATTCGTGTACTTCTCCAAATATGTCAAGTGGCTGGTCAAAACCAAAAAATCATTGGATGCTTAAGTCATTAAATATACCATCTGGTTATTTAACATAGCCATGGCATAGATGGCCCATAGAAATAGATGGTTTACCTATTAAAAATGGTGATTTTCCATGGCTATGTTAAATAACCAGATGGTATACTTTTTAGTCATCTAAAGTCTGTGGTCCAGGTCTAATTTTTTTTGACCCAAACATGTCAGTTTCTGGGATCCCGTTCCGCCCCATGTCACCTGGCACATTCAAAGGTAGCGATGGATCCACAAAGATTCACATCGAAGCATCATCCAATTCCCGCATTGCTTATGCATTGCACTTGGCACCAGTCTAACCCCACTATGAAATAAATTAGATCATCAACCACTTTGAAACAATATGTTCAACACCATAATGCCAGGATTAACCATGATTGACCATTATTATTAACACTATTAACCACCTATTAACCAATATTAACCATTGGAGTGCTAATTAACATGGTATTATTGAAGTTAATAGTGTTTTTCAATACTAGATATTAATGAAGTAACCATAGGCACCAACCTTAAATTATTAACACTATAAACCATGATTGACCAATATTGTTAGCCAATATTAACCACCTAAGTCTTAACCATTAATGTTAACCAATATTATTAACCAGCATTACTTAACCACCACTATTGACCCATATTAACCACTATTAACCACATTATTAACACTATTAACCACATTATTAACACTATTAACCACATTATTAACACTATTAACCACATTATTAACACTATTAACCACATTATTAACACTATTAACCACATTATTAACACTATTAACCACCTATTAAAGACCAATATTAACCACCTATTAAAGACCAATATTAACCACCTATTAAAGACCAATATTAACCCATATTACTGTAACCGTTAAGTGCGAACCGTGCTCCTTTGGAGTCTTCATCTGCCGCCACATCGCTCATGTCGCGAACTCGCGGCACCCCGCAAACCTGGCAAACGCAAACGCTTCAAAAAGCTGAGCTTCGCAACCAAAAATAGGCATTTGTTCACAGGAAAAATGGTGAAATAGGCATTTTCAATGGGTAATTCCACTATAAATATCTATAAATGGCAATTTTCAATAGCTACAATGTGAGGCCCCCGTTTGATATCTAAGTTGGTTTATAACTCCAATGTCACAAACTGGTTTATGGTACGCAAATAACGAAGTAGTTACTGGGGCGAATCTAAACCAACGTTCACATCACGTTTGGGGGCCTCACATTGTAGGCATTTTTTCACAGGAAAAATGGTGATTGCATCAACAAACATTGTCATTTAAGCAACAAACATGGTGTAAAGCATCAAAAACCACAGAAATCGCCAATGAACATGGAAAAAAAAATGATTCCAAAATATGTCAATAATCAAATATCAGGAATGTCATCTGCAAACATTTAATTGGTCAATTATCCCGTTGTTGGCAGTATCTTGACAGATTCAACTGATTCATCTTGGAAATTTAGTTCTTGTTGGTTATATCTGGGTTCAGAATGAATTCGTGTTGATGTCCTTCCACTTTTCAACTACTTCACAAATTATACAATTTTTGACCTGTCGTTGGTATATCTCGGCTCTACCCTACAACTTATACAATCTACCCTTATACCCAGTTTAACAATCTCAACATGGAACAGTGGGAAAAAATCCTCTTCCAGCCGCCCTTCATTGGCCGGATCCATGATGCTGTTAGCCTTCAGGGATGATCCCCGGCTGGGCATGGCATCCCATCGTCTTTCCAAGGCCCAAATAATTGAGGTGTTGTCCAAATACTATATGACTATCCGAGAAATGAATTGAACATCCTAATTCAGATATATTCAGAATGTGGTTCGCAAGAATGTGTTTGGTCAATGAGATGTCAATGATACAATGCAAAAACATGATGTTTCATCAAATCCAAAGCTACTCTTCACCAAAACCATCAACCATCGTCAGATCGCCGTCCAATTTGTTTTTTCGCCGCAAGAATGTGCATCATCATGTTTCAGCACGGATCAAACTGCTGAACTCTAGAGATACCCGGCCTGGTTATGACATTCACAGTTTGCCATGGTTAAGCCATGGCCCTAATCGAAATAGATGGTTTACCTATTCATTTGGTTATTTAACATAGCCATGGAAAATCCCTTAAAAATGGAGGGTTTAATGGGAAAATCATCTATTTCTGTGGGGATCTTTCCATGGCTAGCCCTGTGAGTTAGTCATTTCACCAGCCAGGCCGGTAACTAACCATCTCCTGTAGACACCGACACCACGGTGGACGACTTGGAATCTGCCTTTCCTGGAGATTCCAAAAATATGTTTTTTTGTGGATGGATTGGATGTCCCACATACAAACGTACATACTTAAACCTTGCCAACCTTGCCCTACAAACGTTTGGCCAAACACAGCTTGCTGGTTCAATCCCAAGGCAGGATGAAAAAAGATTCTGCTGGTTGAGTGCCGCGATTTCCCCCCCATTTCCCAACTGTTTTCTCATTGGTTAAATCACTGTGAAAAATCTCACGTGATGATTAGATCGATGTTATTGTTATGTTTTAGTTTCTGTACCAGTAGCTGCTGAAACTATCCATTTTTCACGATGTTCCTCCTCTTTGTTGCTGAAACCCACAATTTTCCAACCCACTTCAATTCCAATTGGTGAAAAAATCGTCAAAATCTTCAAAAATCGCGGCCGTTGATTTTCGATGTTGATTTTGGCCATTGATTTTCCTGGGATTTTCCTGGATTTTCATTGATGAATCCCCCAAGGAAAATGGGGAAACCACCCAGCGAAACCAGGTCCACCTCGGCACAGGCGCTGGACCAGCGTTCAGCCAGCTCGGTGACGTAGCTGCCATCCGACACGGACATGGGACCAGCACGACCCCTGCCAGGGATGGACCTATATTGGTGGACCTGGTTTGACTGTTTTGACCATGATGGGAGATTCGGAGGACATCATGGGACTCTTTTTGGGGATCCGAAAATTGATGGAAGCCTAAAACCATTATTAACCATGATTAACCATGATTTAGTTATCTATGGGAAGATATCTATGAACCATGATATGTATCAACCAAAACGATGATTAACCATGATTAACCATGATTAACCATGATTTACCATGATATGAACCATTATCTATCAACCATTGTTTCAATGGGACTTTCAGGATCCTCAAATGGAGGTACGTAAACGTACCATATGTTTGGCCATATGATTTGTGGGGGATATTCCCTGAAATTTAGCCCTGAAAAATACAGTAGGCCTTTTTTCTATGGTAGGTACCTCCAATTCCTAAAATGGCCATTGATCCTCCTCAATACTTCAACATGTTTCCCCAAAATGACTGTGACAACAATTGAACACATGCCAGCCATACTTCACATATTATCTCCCCTAACATCGATAGAACATGATAGAACTATGTTCCTTCCCCATGCAAAACAAATCCACCCAAAATTGGTTGGTGGGGGCTATCTACCCCTCTGAAAAATGATGGAGTGAAAGTCAGTTGGGAAGATGAAATTCCCATATATGAAATGGAAAATAACACATCTTTGAAACCACCAACCAGTCATCATTCCAGTCATCATGTATGGTATATATGCTAACATTTGGGGTATATAGCAGCACCGTTACAGGATGGTGCCCCCCAGTTATAAGTTGGTTTATAAAACCCCAATAACTAGTTCGTTATATCTACCATAAACCATAGTGACATTGGAGTTATGTTCACCAACTTAGCTAACGAACTGGGGCACCACCTTGTAGGATCCGTCATGGGACATAAATCCACCCTTTTCATCACTGGCCATTTCAGGTTCCTCCATAAATCTTCCATAAATCCTCCATAAATCCAAAATCCATAGAACTATGGTTCCATATATAAAGTCTATTTTTTAGGCCTAAATTTCAGGGAATATCCCCCACAATTCATATGGCCAAACATGTTTGAAACCACCATTTTCTCCAACCAAAATCCACCCAGAAAAATCCACCTGTGTTCCTCGTCATACGGCGCATCCTCGCAGCTCCGGAAGAACGGCAGCAGCTCTCGGTAGCTCCAGCCTTCGTTGCCCGCGGCGGCCCAGGTGTCGTAGTCGCGCTGCAAGCCACGCACGTAGAGCAGGCCGTTAAGGGAACTGGAACCCCCCAGGACCTGGAAACAACGAAGCGAAGGTGGAGCAATTTTTTTGAAAACTTCGAATTTGAAAAATTGGGATGTAACATCAGTAGAATATCAATGAGAATATCAGTAAAATCCATGCCATGATGCCATCCCTATGGATCCAAGCACCTTCTTAGGAAGTGTTTGGGGTATCATTTACTATAATTTGGAGGGTTAAGTACCTTCTCAGACAGTGGCCATGGATCCATAGGGACATGGATGTAGCATGTGAAGTCTGAAAACAGTTTTAACTTTCTCTTCAAAACCCGTCCCAACCATGGCCCTGAATGGTATCATATGGACATATGGGTGTCTGAAAAAAAAGGCGCCCCCAAACTCCATGATTGGTCAGAAGCTCATCAGGGAAACAACCATTTTGGAGAAAGACCACATGTTCAAACGCGCCCATATCCCTGTAAAGGCATCCGCATTCTGAAGGAAAAAGACAAACCTCCGCTACGCTGTCCCATCGCCGGCTGAAAAAATCAGCAGAACTATGCAGGCAGGGCCAAGTATATGTTGGTTTATAGCTTCATCTAACGATAGATATAGGTAAACAATGTTAAACAATGTTAAACATCCGGTTTAGAGTATAGCTTCATCTAACTAAAGATATGTCTACATTGATCCAATCATTGGCCTCGGTACAAACAAACCTTCCTGTTGGGATTGACTGGTGCCGTGCCCGGTGTGCCCCCGGTTCCCCCTGCCTTTCCCCGGGGCCAGGCTAAACTGCGTCCATCCAAGCCGGAAGTAGGCCCATGGGTTTTGAACATCCAGTCGAAGTGAGGGTTGCCAATGGATTTGAAGTAGAACCTCAGATACTGGGCCACACTTATCCATACTAAATGTGCTTCGATGATGACGATTTACGATTTGCATCGATTTACGATCTTCAATTTCGATGGGTCAGTCCGTGTCTCAACAATTGCACCGTTTGAGCATCATTTTTTCCCCATCGAATTGCAATTGGTTGGGAATTTCCATACCGATCTAAGTCAGACCGATCTGAGACCATGCCGAAAGCTGTCCTGAAATTGGCCTCATAGGGCCTCCATGTGGAAGGTTCCATATTGGAAAATCCCAGCTATACCGGTGCTCAACGTAGGGAATGGATGGGTTGCTGGGGATTGCTGGGATAATTCTTGATAGTTAGCCAGTGGATCATTCCCGAAAATTCCCTACTAATTAAGCACAAGTAAGTATAAAATAGTATAAATGGATGAGTTGTTTTTTGGGTACCCCCATGGATTGGAAACCTTGGAAAGCCATAAAAATGTCAATTAGTTGCTTCCTTTCCCCTCAATATCTTGATCTCTCAAGGCCCCAATGCTACTTGGTCGACCGATGAGGCCAGGATTTTTCAGTCAATGCTGAAGACGTTTTTGGAGTCCAACATACCCGGCCTGGTAAACTTGTTCATGGTTACCCTCTGGTTATGTCAAAATAGCTATTGAAAATGGTGATTTATAGTGGATTTTCCCATGAAAAATGGTGATTAACTTACATAACTATGGAAAGATCCACCATTTTTTATGGGAAAATCCACTATAAATGAACCATTCTCCATAGCAAACTGTTAGTTTACCAGGCCGGGTATTCATCTTGGAGATATTCACTTTCGCCCAAGTTGGATGCTTCAGTTTAAACATTGTTTTCATTCTTCAAGAGATATTTTTTCCGGATTTTTGGAGAAATGCTCTGATTCCATCCGCTTGATTCAGCTGTCCAAAATTGTACAAGACGAGTCCTGGGGTTTACCAACAGATTTCAAAAAATAACCTGAGGTTTGAAATATGGGGATATGATTGGATATATCACCAAGAATCATTGGGATTACCCTCTGGTAAACTGTTGCATAACTATGGAAAGATCCACCATATTTTCAATGGGTAAATCAACTATTTCGACTGGGCCATGTTCAAGTTCGCAAACTGTTGTTTTCCTGAGGGTACTGGGTAAATATTATGGTGATTTTACATGTGATTGTTTCAATTGTTTCTTTTAAAAAAAACTGTTGGGCTATGTTGGGCTGCTTGCCCTGAAAATGGCCATCATTAAGCTCGGCGTGGAGGGCGTCTTGGATTGTTTCTTACTAGTTCTCCATCCCACTCTGCTATGTTTTTTGGATGTTAAACATGGATGTTAAACATGGATGTTACAAAATGATGTTTCTGTGTTACCCTCTGGTAAACTAACATAGCTATTGAAAATTGCCATTTATAGTGGATTTACCATGAAAAATGGTGGATCTTTCCATAGCTATGTTAGTTTACCAGAGGGTACTCACTTAAAATGATGTTTCTGCCGTACGTTTTCGAGCTTCCAATTCTACTTCATCCAACTGGACCCCACAGCCACGACTCTGCCCAGAAGCACTGGCAGGTGCACCCAGATGGCATTGTCCTTGATCAAAAACGGTTGTTTTCCCAGCGACTTTTGGGAAGAGGATCAACCAACAGGTTTTATATGGTTTAATATGGATAATAATGGGATAATAATGGGATAACAATACCGGTTGCTGGTTGACCTACCCAAAACCCCTCTAAAAAATGGAGTGAAAGTCAGTTGGGGTTATGAAATGCCCAACTGAATGGCAAGTCAGAATCCATTCCATGGTTCCAGTCACCACCAACCAGATAATGGGCTGTCCTATGGACTCAATGATGTGGGTAGCCAGGAATCTCAGGAATTGCGTGATTCGATTACCCATGGCATGGCTTGCCTCGTCTCGCTGATCTTCCGCTTAAAATCATCTTGAATTCGAAGCAAGCCACACCAAGAAAGCACACCATGTCTAGCATTCTTGCCGATTTCAGTGGCCTCATGCCTATTAAATAACCATGTCCCCGCAAAGTGAGGACTTAAATACTTAAATGTGTATCTATAATATGTATAATTATGTATATATATATGTGTATATATATGTATATATATATGTGTATATATATATATGTATATATATGTGTATAATCGATCAATGGAATCCAACCATAACCGTGATGCAATCCAAACATAAAGTTCATAGAATCGATGGCATGTCTTCCACCATAAACTTCCAACAACCAGTCCCCATCTTCCCTAGTCTAATAACATTCTTGACCCTGTTTTTCATCCTTCAGTCCATACATATATATATATATATACATTATATATATATATATACCAATATATCCCAATCATATATAGTTGCTATGAAATCCCAATAACGATCCATTGGATCCTACAAAAAATGAATCTCCGATCTTATTGGTGTTAAAAATCCCCAAAATGGGTACTGTTTGGTTGAATCCCGGAGTAACTCATTGGGTACATCCCCGGCCGCCGGTTTTTACAAAAAGCGAACGAACGGAAGCCATGGCCCATTTTGAAAGAAATCGTGAGTTTTCCCATGAATTCATAGCATTTTCTGGATCTTTCCAGTTCGTTTTCTGTGAAAGTTTACCAGGCCGGGTTTTTTCCTAAACCTTTCACGCGCTTCCAGGTGAATCATGAAACATTCTCAAGTTGATTTCACCGAAATGTCCCATGAAATATCCATCACAGTGATGTCTGTCATGTGATGTCATGAAATTCCTACCCTGGCAACATTTAGACATCACCAAGGAACTATGAAATATGCATGATCTATTCCTATCCATGTTGATGAAATCCTCGAATGGCCCTTGTGGATACCAAAAATGCCCCATCCCTGATCACCAACTCCCAATTTAGTCCTCAACACACATACAAAGTGGGGCCCCCAAACGATATCTAAGTTGGTGAACATAACTCCGATGTCACTATGGTTTATGGTACTTATAACGAACTAGTTATTGGGGCTTTTGTTAACCAATTAACATCACTAGGGGGCCCCACATTGTAGGCACCAATAGATCCACTACTCATCCATACTCATTCATATTCGTGAAAAAAATATCCCAACAGATCCACATATGGTGAAATCCCAATGAATCGTCGTTCCACCAAGGCACGCTTGCTGGGTCATTATTCATGATCTATTCCCAATAGATCCATTCAGAACATTTTCCTCATCCTAATTCCGAGCCGACGTCATAGCATTTTTTCATGGATTCATCCTCATTTTCCTATCATATTCCTAGATTTTCGTTGGTTCATCATGATATTTTCTCATTCATCACCATATTTTCTCATGAATTCCCATGAATGTCTCACCATCTTGGGGGCATCACCATGGCTGGTGTCCAATTCATAGGATTTTCCATTGGAAATTTTTCACCATCCAGCCATGATACCCCCACGACGTCATGGAAATAGATATGGGGGGGGGTCCTAAAATATGGCTACTATAGATATGTCATCATCCATGTATCATTTATAGAATTTTATAGATGGTGTTTCCATGAAATAAGCCAACCAACTATGGAACTATGGAAACCCCCGTATAACTAAATATCTCCAATGAATTATATTAAACTAAATCTATGATGATGTACTATCTATAGTGGATAGGAAAAAAAGTTGACAGTGAATCAGATTCCACCCAGATGCTCCATGGTGCTGGAATATGCACACCTACATTTACCCCAAAAATGGCACAGTTTTGTACAAAGTGGGGCCCCCTAGATAGCTAAGTTGGTTTATAACTCCGATAACTATGGTTTATGGTACTTATAACTATATAGTTATTGGGGCTTACAAACCAACTTATAACTAGGGGGCCCCACATTGTAGGCACCAATAGATCCACTACTCATCCATACTGATTCATATTCGTGAAAAAAATATCCCATAACAGATCCACATATGGTGAAATCCCAATTTCCTCGACATCAAGGCATGCAGGCATGCTTGCTGGGTCATTATTCATGATCTATTCCAGATCCATTCAGAAAATTTTCCTCATCCAATTTTTTGAGCCGACGTCATAGCATTTTTTCATGGATTCATCTTCATTTTCCCATCATACAATGTGGGGCCCCAAGGATATCTAAGTTGGTTAACAAAAGCCCCAATAACTAGTTCGTTATAAGTACCATAAACCATAGTAACATTGGAGTTATGTGAACCCCAACTTAGCTATCGTAAACGGGGGCCCCACTTTTGTATTCCTAGGATTTCGTAGGTTCATCACGATATTTTCTCATTCATCACCATATTTTCGCATGAATTCCCATGAATGTCTCACCATCTTGGGGGCATCACCATGGCTGGTGTCCAATTCATAGGATTTTCCATTGGAAATTTTTCACCATCCAGCCATGATACCCCCATGACGTCATGGAAATAGATATGGGGGGGTCCTAAAATATGGCTACTATAGATATGTCATCATCCATGTATCATTTATAGAATTTTATAGATGGTGTTTCCATGAAATAAACCAACCAACTATGGAACTATGGAAACCCCCGTATAACTATATATCTCCAATGAATTATATTAAACTAAATCTATGATGATGTACTATCTATAGTGGATAGGAAAAAAGTTGACAGTGAATCACCCAGACGCTCCATGGTGCTGGAATATTTACCTATATTTACCCCAAAAATGGCACAGGTTTGTAGGTGTGCATATTCCACAATGTGGGGGCCCTTAGATAGCTAAGTTCGTTAACAAAAGCCCCAATAACTAGTTCGTTATAAGTACCATAAACCATAGTGACATTGGAGTTATGTTCACCAACTTAGCTATCGTTTGGGGGCCTCACTTTGTAGGTGTGCATATTCCAGCACCATGTCACCATGGTGAGCTAATCTGGGCCATGGAAACCTCGAAAAAAATCCACCAAGGCACCTGACGACCGGCCTCCAGCAGCAGCACCTGTCTGTTGCAGTCCTCGCTCAAGCGATACGCCAGGTGCGCCCCTGCGGAGCCGCCACCCACGATGACCACGTCGTAGGAGGGCGCCAGGTGAGTGGGACGCAACGGCAGGGGGAGGAAGGCCTTGAGGCTGGAACTTAACCTGGCAACATGGTGGAGCTGGGAGATGTTTCTGGATTTACTGGTGCGTGCTAAACGCAGGGAATTTTCGGGAATGATCCCACATTTCATCACTGGAGGAAAATGTCATCATCCCAGCAACCCCCAGCAACCCATCCAGCAACCCTACGTTTAGCACCGCACCAGTAAGTTATTTAAAAACAACCATTATTTTTACTATTGGTTATCTATTGTTATTGTTATTATTTAACCATTAACCAACTATAATAATTGTTTGAGATATGGCATTTGAAGATGAGATGGAGATGGATTTTTTCAGATTTTTCGATGGCATCTTTGTTTGATGAGCCCTTCGGGATCCACCACTTTTAGAACCCCCCCGCAACGGGGAAGGCCCCTTTTTAAGTGAAAGGTGCTGGGTGATGGATTTTATATCGTTGGATATCTTGATGAATTTTAATGTACCAAAAAAAAAGGACCTGAAAATCTCTGTTTGGCGGTGATTGGATGAGGGATGGTTCCAAGACTGGAAATTGAAGTGGCTTTGGTGTCTACCCTCTGGTAAACTAACATAGCTATTGAAAACGGCAATTTTTAATGGGAAAATCAACTATAAATGGCCATTTTCAATAGCTATGTTAAATTACCAGAGGGTATTTAGTCTGTCTATTTCCTGCAGCGGACTTGTTTTTAAAGGATCTTTTGGTGAGTTTTCACTTGGGAAAAAGTGATTTCTATGTAAATCGAAATTTATCTCTGGTTGGTGGTGCAATAACCATCTTAACTATCCATCAACTATCCATTCACCATCAGTAACTATCCATCAGATGGTTTAACAATAAAAAACTGGTTGGTGGTGCAATGTGCCCATCTTGAAAAATGATGGAGTTCGTCAATGGGTTTCGGATGACATCCCATATATGAAATGGAAAATAATCCAGTCATGTTTGAAACCACCAAGCAGTTATAGTTGTTCATCATGATTTTCATGGCTTTTCCCATGGATTTCTATGGATTTCCATAGATTTCCCAGGGATTTCTGTGGATTTTCCTTTATTTATATCATGGTTGGATATTTGTTGTGGTGAACTAACTACGATGATAGGAGATGATCGAAGGAGATCTGAACTTGGATATTTTTTTACACTTGGAGAAGTCAAGGGCTGCTGACGTTTATTTCACCGAGTTTTTGTGATGTTGCAAATACCTGTGTATATTATATATATAATTAATATAGGTATAAATACATATGTACATAGAATGCAGTGGGTGATTTAAAATGATAGGCTGGAGCCAGGAAAATTGGTGTTTTTTAAAAAACCTTTCTTGATGAACCATCACAAATTTTGGGGCGACATTTTTCTTGGTGAATTCTGTCCTAAATCCATCAAGATGTGAAGCCCACGTGACGACACCTCGAAGATCGAGACATGAATCTTCATGGCATCGTGGATCCATGGCCACTGTCTGAGAAGGTACGGCTAAGCCTCCAAATTATAGTAAATTATACCCCAGTCCCACTTCCTTTCAGAAGGTACGACTGGATCCATAGGGATGGCATCATGGCATGGATTTTTCAGCATCGATGGACTTTTTTTTTCGAATGTGACTCACTCAGCTGACCTGGCAAGTTTTTTATTGAAAAAAAATGTTTCGGAGCAATCATTAACCATCATTAACCATCAATAACCATCAATAACCATCATTAACCATCAATAACCATCAATAACCATCAATAACCATCATTAAAAACCATTAACCATCATTAAAAACCATTAACCATCATTAATCATACCTTTCCGAAGTGCACTTTGGCCATGGACCTTGGCACCTTGGTGACAGAAGTGACCCCAAACATAACGATGGTCTTCGACCCACCAGAATTGTTCTGAGTCCCCCGGGATGGTGATTGGCCCATTTTTGGGGGGCAGCAGGTGGTACTAAAAACCATCCCCATTAAAAATGGCCATTAATGGTGTTTTAATGGGATATATGATGGTGATTCAATGGGATTTCATGGCATTTAATGGGATTCAATGGTGTTTTAATGGGATTCAATGGTGATTCAATGGGATTTAATGGGATATATGATGGTATACCCTCTGGTAAACATACAAAAAGCGAACTGGAAGCCATGGCCCATTTTGAAATAGTGACTTTTCCCATTTTCATAGCATGGTGGATCTTTCCAGTTCGTTATGTGAAAGTTTACCAGAGGGTATGTGTTTTTTGGGTTTCAACTGGGTTGATACCCTCTGGTTATGACTAACAGTTTGCCATGGTTTTTCGATGGTCCATAGAAATAGATTGTTTACCGTTCTTAATAGCATGGTGGATCTTTCCATGGCGAACTGTTAGTCATAACCAGATGGTAAATGGGAAAGTGTTGATGACTTTTTCATAAAGTCGAACTGTTCACATTTGCCATATTCCTCTTTCATCGAAGTCAACTCTTCATCCTTTGGACTCCTGATATTGTTTTGCTTCTTCTTGGGCTTGTACTTTGGCTCGAGCCCAAAAAATGGCTACGCCCACCCCCGAGTGGCACGGGTTCATGTCAGACTGGGAATCCTTACAATGTGTATGCATATGATTACATATATAACTACATATATATATATACATATGTTGATAGATCTATGAATCTGAAAACAAGTGAACAGTGCTCGGCTTCTATGGCTCAATAAGGAATCAATCTTCAGAACTGCACATTTAGAGGTCGAAAACTCCCCTGCTTAATGTCTTCAAAAGCGGAGCCCCGAATCCACATTGCCATTTCGGGTGGTCTCCCCTAGTTTTAGACCAATGCTGTCCAACCACCATTTTTCATAGTTAAATCACCATGTTTCATAGTTCAAACATGTTTAAACCACCATTTTTCATAGTCAAAACATGTTTAAACGACCATTTTTCATAGTTGAACCGATTTAAACCACCATTTTTCATAGTTAAACCGATTTAAACCACCATTCTTCAGGGTAAAATCCACCTTTTCCATGGTGACAAAACGGTGACAAAACGCTCAGCTCTCCTGAAATCTTTGGACTTGAGGTCCGCCCTCGCTTTTCGAGACATGTGCTGCCTCTCTTGCTGCCTCAGCTTGTTGCTCCAAGATAGCTTGCTGCTCCCTCCGTGACTCCTGGGCTGGGAAAATCGTTTGGAACATGTTGATATGTTTAGAGTTTTCGCCCCCCCAAAAAAAAAGAAAAGTGAGTGACTTACCGCTATTTTCCATAGTATGTGTTTTTGTCTTTTTGGGAGGTGCTATATTAGATGCCGATGCCGAATATGATGACGGGTGATGTTCAAGAAATTGCTTACCCGAGGGCTGGCAATTCCGGTTTCAATTCTTTAGCCTCAATGAGCATATTGAGTAATCAAAATAGTTCATTGAAAATAAACAGTCAGGTTGGAAAAACGTAAAGATTGGAAGACCAAAAGGCGGTAAGCAATCCCAGAAAGTAGTCATCAAACGTGAGGATTTGGAATCTACTAGGCCTAATATCATGAAATATCCCAATGAGCAGTGTTCTCCCAATCCCTGTTGGCTAATGGTTAAATGAAATTTAATGTGATATATGAATATATATATATATATGATATATGAACCAAAATCATACCAACCAATATCATCACCACCATAATCCATAAATCTGCAGAATCTGCAGAAAAAAAAAACCTAGAAACCACCAATATCAACAACCAGCTTTAGGTCACAACGAACTCTTCCAATATCGGCGGCCCAAAAAAAGGACCACCTGATCACCTGGTGAAATCCGCATAAATCGTGTTGATAAAATCCCATTTCTCGGTGAGAAATAACCCACCATTTGTTGTTTGTAGATGTTCATGGGGTGTCACCAGATCTTTGTTGACATCGGTGAAATCTATGCGTATTTGTTGATTTTGCACGACCCTACCACTATATCATATATATATTTATATTATATTATATATACATATATTACAGTAGTATATTAATGTATATATATATATACATGTTCATTTTTGTTTTTGCCTCATTCCCCCACCCCCACCCCCACCGGGCCCCGGGCTCCTCCTCTTTTCGTCTCCGCTCCTCTTCTCTCTGCCGCTCCACGACGCTGCTGTCTTGCTGAACCGCTTGGCTCCGATGCTGCAGTTCCTGCTCGAGTTGCCGCATCCTGGCACTCAGATTCGTGAAAGATGGGGGGGCAATGGAAATGGGCAAATGAATTAAACATCATAATGAGAATGAAATTATTCATCATTAAAAATGGTGATTTTCCATAGTTATGTTAGTTTACCAGAGGGTAATTCACAAGATAATAATCTGGTTGGTGGGGGCTACCTACCCCTCTGAAAAATGATGGAGTGAAAGTCAGTTGGGATGATTATTCCATTCCATTCCCAAGTGTTTCTGGAAAGTCATAAAAAAAATCTTCCAGTCACCAACCAGAACTCAATCTTTCTTTGCCAAAAAATCCCCCACGTTTCAACACACCCCATTTTCTGGTCAAGGTGCACCTCAACAGTGATCCCATGTTGCACAGCGCTTGGTGCTTCAGCCCACTGCAGATGGTAACTGGTTGATCTACGAAGAATCCGTTGCTGGGGTGAACCCATCGTGCCAAAAAGGTGTCCCAATTAGTGGTGAAAACCTGGTGAAAAGTTCACGAAAAACTGGGGTCCTCTGCTCTTGTTGCTGCTTCTGTTCTTCCAAACGCTGTTCTTCCTGCAACTTCAGCCGCTCATTCCAGCGATCTTCTTGCGCATTCACCTCGGCCGAGATGCGAACGAGAAAAAACCAAACTCGTGGTGTCCTAAAATGTGGTATCCTTTAATTGGAACACAACCAGCGTCCAATGTATCATCCAATCTACTAACCAACATTATCACCATCCATTAACTATGGGCCCTAAAATTGAAGCGTCAAATGGGAAGTGTCAAAATGTACGATCCGATCTAGTCACAACTTCAACTACTGGCTTTGTCCAAAAAATCGTCACAACTATACCCGAAAAAATGCGGGAAAAACACATGGTTAAACATGAAACATAAGCTTCAAATCGCAATTTCTGCTGGTTGTTTTCCATCTTTTCAGACGAACCCAAGTGGTCAACCCCCATACACCATCAAAATACCCTCTGGTAATTTGTTACATAGTTATTGAAGCCATGGCCATAGAAATAGTGGATTTTCCCATGAAAAATGGTGGATCTTTCCATAGGTTTTTGTATGTTTACCAGAGGGTAACACCCTAGCCTTGCGCTGGCTTGCAAACTCTTCACCTTCCTCTGAGCCCTCGCGTTCCTCAAACGGCGCAGGTCTGATGGAACCAACCAGCAGGGCACAAAAATTCTGGCCCAACCATTGAGTGGTACGCTCTGGTAAACTAACATAGCGAACTGGAAAGATCCACAATTTTTAATGGGAAAATCCACTATAAATGGATATTTCTATGGCCATTTTCAATAGCTATGTTAGTTTACCAGAGGGTAATGGAATGATTCATGGGAGAATGATGGGATGTATCATCAACATAATGATATGGGTTTCAGAAAATCCGGGACATGCAAATCACCTTCTTCAATTCCTGGTCCAAAAATGGTAGATAAAAAAATTGAGTCATGACAGGACTATGTATGCTGTTATTGCCCTGCATCCCATGAAATCCAGATTGGTTGAGAGGTATCCCAGATGCGTGATTTGAAACTGGTTTCTTGAGACGTAATATATACTGCAGATGATTTTCGTGCATGTCCTAACAGGCGGAACTAACTCGCGTAGCAGATATCGCGTTGGAGGAAAAGAACTAGAAAATCAAGTGGTGTTTCGCCCACTAATGTCAACCCTGGATTAGTAAACCCCTAGGTTGTTTAATTGGGGGGGATATCATTTAAGTATCATATCGTGACTATTTGGAGGGTACCCCCACAATTCATAAACCATGGTGAGACGTCTCATCCGGAGTTGGCATTACCAACCAACAAGGATAGCACAATGATCATCCCAGGACAGTCTGCAGGAGTCCAGGAGTCCTCAGTGAGTTCATAAGGTGCAGCTGCCTCCTCACCCTGGGCCAGATCCAATGAAAATACCTGAACACCATCCACTTTCTTAATGCTGGGGGGATATTTGACGGAAGTAAATGTCCATATTTACTTCCGTCACACTCAAAAATCATAAATTTTAAACTTGGAATAAGTCATAAATATGGCAAAGTTGTACCATTCTTGCACCATTTTGTCATAAGTTTATGTCATCGGACATCGGAAAATTCATCAAAACGACCAACCGATGAGCACAGCCTTTCTACAGGGCCCGACCCGACAGTGGAGATTTTTAGCCCGACTGTGGAGATGGTTTGCCCAGTGGAGGATCATCCAATCGTGGTTATCCGGCCTGGTAAACATACAGGCCAAACGATGGAAAATGGTGATTTATAGTGGATTTTCCCATGAAAAATGGTGATTAACATACAAAAAACGATGGAAAGATCCACCATGCTATGAAAATGGGTAAATCCACGAACTTTCGACTGGGCCATGGCTGGGCGATGTCGCTAACTGTTTGTTGACCAGCGGTTAACCCTTCGGTTTCATGAAACATGGGAAATTCTCGAACGAGCCATGGTGGATTTGCCCTTAAAAAAGCCATCTTTGATGACACCCTGGTGATCTTCGTCCTCGATTCCTAGGGTTGTCCCAAATTATGATCCGGTTGCTCGTGCAGTACCAGCCACACCTAGCCATTTCTTGCCAGCTACACTGGATGGTAGCCATGAGTATACTAGTACATAGTATGACATCTCTGCGAGATACTCATTTCAATGGTTTTGTTGATACTTACCCGGCCTGGTAATTTGTTACAGTTTGCTATTGAAAATGGCCATTTATAGTTGATTTTCCCATTAAAATGGTGATTTTCCATAGTTTTTTGTATGTTGACCAGAGGGTAAATGGTTGGAAGTGGGTGAAACATGGTGGTTTCACCACTCTGATCAACCGAAACTGCTTGGAACTGGGAACTTGAGGTTTTTCGGGGGGAACCCCTCTGGTAAACAAACAGTTTGCTATTGAAAATGGCCCAGTCGAAATAGTTGATTTTCCCATGAGAAATGGTGGATCTTTCCAGTTCGTTATGTGAAAGTTTACCAGGCCGGGTAATCCCCATGATTCTTGGTGATATAATGTGATAGATCCAATCATATCCCCTTGAATCAAGCATAGAATACCCGCTGGGTGATCATGTCATTCATTTCTCCACTTGGAAACTAGAAACCCATCGGGCCCATCGGGCCCAGTTCGTTCACCAAGTCGTGAACTCTGCGTCAACTTAGCTGGATCATAAATCAGCCATAGATCCTATGAAATCATATCAAATCCTCATTTTTGTTGCTTAAACAGCAACTTTCCTATGATTTATCTATTTGGGCAAATTATAATATTTCACTAACCTGAATTGTTGGGCCATAAAAGGGGATGATTTCCCTTACTAACCATGATTTCCAGTGAGGTCGTTATAATTTACCCAGATCTATGAAACCAGCCATAAATTTCTCATTTTCCAATGGGATTTCCTTTCTGGGCCCAACCTCGACCTCACCAAACATCCCTCTTTTCTCTCGCCTCGCCCGGGACAAAGTCCAAGGGAACGTCGCTCTGGCCGGAGGCGGGTCCAACAACGGGCAAAGTCTGGAAGAAAAACCATCCAAAAAAAAAAACGGGGATTACCCTCTGGTCATTTAACATAGCCATGGAAAATCACAATTTTTAATAGGTAAACCATCTATAGATGGGCCATTTTCCATGGCTATGTTAAATTACCAGATGGTATATACCATCCCATTTTTTGAGGTGAAAACCATGCAACAACGGTTTTCTGTTTTTTCTTGAGGTGAAAAAAATTATGACTCCCGCTTTTGGACAATCCTCGAACTAATGTGGATGATGTAAAGTGGTTTTAAAACACATGTTTGATCACCGAAACTTAAATGATCAATACCCTATGGTTATTTAACATAGCCATGGAAAATGGCCCAGTTATAGATGGTTTACCTGGGTTTACCTATTAAAAAATGTGATTTTCCATGGCTATGTTAAATAACCAGATGGTAATACCAAAGAAGTATCAAGTGATACTTATGTCACGAGCTGCGGGATCATGATTGCATTTGTTGGGTTTTTTTCATCAAACATGTTCAAACCACGAGTCTTGCTTTGATATTGACATCTTCTTGCATCAGATTGACTATTATCTGGTAAACAAACATAGCTATTGAAAATGGCCTTAGGTGATGTACCCATTAAAAATGCTGGAACTTTCCATAGTTATGCAACAGTTTACCAGGCCGGGTATCTTCTTGGGAGGGAAAAAAAAACTGCACAGAATGGGGACTCCCACAGCCACATGATGTGAAGATCCCCTGGTCCTGGTTTGGGTTATTTTCTGCTGGATTTCCCATTAGGAAAGTAAACACAAATACTGACTCAGCAAATGGTCCTATATTATGGCTTTGTCTAAAACTAAATATCATATAATATCATATTGTTGGTTCTAGTTATGTTATCTGTATCCCATTATATATATATGCTATAATATACGTTATCTGTATCCCATTACATATATATATATATATATATAATATATATCCTATAATATACGTTATCTGTATCCCAGTATATATATATATAATAGATCCTATAATATTCCCATTTCAGGGTTCTACATGTTCCTTCTAAATGCGTTTTTATTCATTTCGCTTCCAAGTGTCTATGATACCTTCATCCATTCTATGTTGCTTCTTGTTGCTTCTTCATCCCACGATTATCCCATGATATGTCCTCTTGGGTCGACAAGAAATCCCCATTTGGTGAGTCAAAACCCTGTTTTAATGGGATTCAATGGTGATTCAATGGCATTTAATGGGATTTAATGGGATATATGATGACAAACCCTCTGGTAAACATACAAAAAGCTATTGAAGCCATGGCCCAGTCGAAATAGTGGATTTACCCATTTGAAATGGTGGATCGTTCCATAGTTTTTTGTATGTTTACCAAAGGGTAATGATCAACCGATCAACCGGCCATCAACCAGGCTTTAGCCATCAAATAGTTGGTTAATGGATGGTTCTTCCCCAAAATATGGGTCAAATTCCGAGGTGCTGTCTCCCATTTCATGAATTGAAAACATCCACCCATAAACCCAAGTTGCTTCGGAACCAACAGGGCGGCCAGCTCCGGCAGGGCGGGAGGCAGTTTGTTTTTGTCGATGTCGAGGCAGTTTGCAAGGCAGCATCTGTTCGGTCCTGCACAAGCCTCGCTACTATACACCGCCCACAGAAACTGGCTCCATGTGAAAACACTCAAAACTTAGGATGTGTTTTTCGTTCAATATTCTAGATTCTAGTTATCAAATGTTATAGTTATCAACAAAAACGACAATGTTATCAAGTGTCTTGGGGATGAAAATTAAGATTTCTAGATTTTCCGAACCATGGATCCAGGAAATAAGTACAAAGCATACAAATCAGCCTGGCCTGCTTAGCGCTACATACGACAAATGATGCTTCTGGCCAAGCATGGCCTCACTGGTACAGGCCCCACGGGCGCGGGGGTCACTGGCCCATGGTGCCAACTTCAGCAAAAGGTCGATCAATCAGCGCATATCACTCAGCACGTAGCAGCTTGTTTACAGCTCACGATCTCTGAATGATGGGAATGATTCGGAATGATGGGACGAGTCTGACTACAAATCTCTAGTTTTACCATCAGAGATCGCTCAATCCATGGCTTGCAATCCCCCTCCCGCAGCTACTGTTGGTGGAGCCGGTGGCGCGGACGCTGTCGGCATCGCCGCAGGCGCTGGCGCTGGCGCTGGCGCTGTCTGGCCAGTCAACACCTGGCCAGTCAATACGGAGCGCTTCTGTTTGACTGGATGATTTTTTGGGGAAAATGGCTAAATGCCAATTGATGTGCCTTATGTCAGTCACCATTTTTTGTAGGTTGGGGAAAAATCGAAACTGGAAATCATGGAAAATTCCCCAAATAGAAACGGTTCCTGTAAAATTGTCCTGAAACCATGAAACCAATCCAATGACTGGAAGCAAAATTTCATCATACCAGGCTGCTTCCAGGTCCGGCGGTTTTAAGGGATGCCCTATGGTTCCGAACCCATCATTCCGACGTCGCGACCTGAGGTCAATATCATTGTTCTAGATACTTGGATTGGTTCGTAAGTCCCTACCCTCTGGTAAACAATACTTTACGAACTTGAAAATGGCCCAGTCGAAATAGTGAGTTTACCCATTGATAGCATGGTGGATCTTTCCAGTTCGTTATGTTAATTTACCAGGCCGGGTAATTCTGATGTTGGTTAACTCCTTATGATATTCAATCGGTCAATCCCCACAGCCCCAGAGGCAAGGGTGAAACCCTATTTGAGTATGTTGTTCTTTTTGTTGGTGAAATCACCCTTTTTTGGGGGGACAAATCCCCCATTCTACCACCATGTTGTCCACTTCTGATGGTTAACGGTTAACATCCCCAATCGTACCACCATTGTTCCCGTTTTTGATGGTTAACATCCTCATGTTGTTTGTTTAAATCGCCCCTTTTTGTTGGCGAACATTCCATGGATACAGTTCATTGTCTGGTTGAATCATAACAACTCACGTGCCCAAAAATAGTTACCCTCTGGAAAACTAACATAACTATTGAAAATGGCCATAGAAATAGTGGATTTTCCCATGAAAAATGGTGGATATTTCCATAGCTATGTTAGTCATTACCAGAGGGTATTCTCCAGCGGCCAGCGGCCAGGGGATGATACACAAAATATCCAAATCATCATTCCAGTGACGGAAAACGACGGCTTCGGTCATGATCAAATCTATCCAGATTTATATGTTTTCCACTGTTATTAATATATTGATATCCATCATTTCTTAATAGTTACCCTCTGGTAAACTGTTACATAGCGAACTGGAAAATCACAATTTTTCATGGGAAAACTCACTATTTCTATGGCCATGTTCAACAGCAAACTGTTAGTTTACCAGAGGGTAATCTGCATGTTTAATGATGTTCCATGAGTTGATGGTGAAATCACCATGCGTTTTCTTGGTGAAATTGGCGAAATCACCACGATTTTTTGTTGTTTTTTTCTTTGTTGTTATCCCCATGATATCCTATGACTTATCATCATCCTACTAAATCCCGATTTAACCCACCAAAAAGTCTGATGAAATCACAATGTGTCGAAAAGGTTTTTGAGGGTACAGCCGGTGGTTCATCCCAGTGGCTTATAATCCGTATGGATCATACATCAAAAATCTCACCAAGTTATCATTAATATATATATATGTAAAAAAAACAGGAATGATTATAAACCATATCTTAGATAAACCATCCAACCATAAACCATAACCACGGTTTATATTCCATATATGTATTCATAGTATTAACATGAAAACCAGGAATATAAACCATATCATAGATTCAGATAAATCAAAAACCATAAACCATAAACATGATCATGGTTATACATCATAAACCATAATGTCAACCCCGGATTAATAAACCATGGTTTATTAATTAGGGGGTACTCCTCCAATAGTCATTTCATCCAATACTTAAATGGTACCCCCCAATTAACCGGCCGTAAACGGGGTTTATTAATCCAGGGTTGACATTACCCATATGGGGATCATAAACATCATAAACCATAACCATAACTATATTGTCGGAAGTTTGACTTCTAAACTTCCTTCGATAAACCATATCATAGATAAATCATAAACCATAAACCATAAACATGATCATGCTTATACATCATAAACCATATCCATATGGGGATCATAAACATCATAAACCATAACCATAACCATATTGTTGGAAGTTTGACTTCAAAACTTCCTTCGATAAACCATATCATAGATAAATCATAGACCATAAACCATAAACATGATCATGCTTATACATCATAAACCATATCCATATGGGGATCATAAACATCATAAACCATAACCATAACCATATTGTCGGAAGTTTGACTTCAAAACTTCCTTCGATAAACCATATCATAGATAAATCATAAACCATAAACCATAAACATGATCACGCTTATACATCATAAACCATATCCATATGGGGATCATAAACATCATAAACCATAACCATAACTATAGTTATAAGTACCATAAACCATAGTGACATTGGAGTTATAAACCAACTTAGCTATCTTTATAACCATAACCATACCCTTATTTCATCCTCACGGCGAATTCATCGGAGATCCACCTGCTGCAGCAACACCGCCTGAGGATCTCCCGTCCGCGCTGCCGCTGCCGCCGTCTGCGCCATAACCTGAGTCATCGCCGCCTGGCGCGCCTGAGCGACCTGGGAACGGGACCAATGGCGTCAAAAACGGTGGGAAATCAATGGTTTATCACGGTTTATCTGTGGTTAACGTGTATAGATAAGTTACTTATATGGTTTTAGATCTGGTTTTAGATATGGTTTTAGATATGGTTTTAGATATGGTTTTAGATATGGTTTTAGATATGGCTCAATGTGGTCTCGGGTATGGTTTTTAAATATGGTTGAACATACTGATGATACATATATATATATAGTTGTGCTTATTCATTCGAAACGTTGGGCTTTTCATCGGGGACCCAAAGAATTTTCTGATAATAACAGAGTGACAAAGATGATGAAACAATAACAATAACAATGATAGGGTTGAGATATGGTATGATATGGTTCATCATTGTGACTGGGCAAAACATGTTTGGAAATGTTCTCTGATGTTCTACCATCAGAGAACACTCAACATGAACCCAAAAAAAGGATCAGAGTGGTTACAAAACTCCAACCAAGCTCCCCAAACTTCGAAACTAGCCAACAAAACAAACATCTCTCCATATTTCTCACCAAAAAAAAAAAGGTACCCTCCGGTAAACTAACATAGCTATTGAAAATTGCCCATTTATAGTTGATTTACCCATTAAAAATGGTGGATCTTTCCATAGCTATGTTAGTCATTACCAGAGGGTAATCCCCAAAAAAAAGCCAAGTGATACCCACAAAAAAAGCCATCAACCCCTCGCCTGCTGCAGTGCCGCAGCTCGATCTCCCTGCGCCTGTGCCGTCACCAGCCCCTGCAGCAGCGCCGCGCGCGGATCCGTCGGCGCCACCGGTGGCGGCGTCGCTGCGGTCGCCGCGGCGGCGAAGGCCTGGGCCACAGCGGCCTGCTGCGCTTGGGCCGCCTGCTGCGCCTGCACTTGGGCCTGGAAGATGGGGATGGCCTGAAAAATATGATGAATGATGACTAGAACAAATTATAAGTTACTATGTAAGGCCTATGTAAAGGAAGATCCCCACAAAATATGGCCTTATATGGTACAGTACCTCCATTTTAGGATCCTGAAATTCCCATTGACTATGGCTATGAACTGTGGCTAAACATATTATGGCTATGAATTAATATATCTGAATCTTACTTGGAATCAACATATGAACTGTGGCCTATGGCCTATGGCTATGAACTGTGGCTAAACTAGAACTATGACTAGACTATGGCTATGAAACATATATGAAAACAATATGGTTAGGATACATGATCTGGCCATGATATGGCCAAGCAATTGGCGAAATGGATGTAGTTTATGATATGGCCAAACAATTTCATGTTAGGATGAATGATGACTAAACTATGGCTCTAATGATTAAAAAAAATGCTTCGAACATCATGAAAAACGAATGCGAAGATCACCCCACGAATGCCCTTCGTGCACGGTGTGTGTACGATTAGTTCAGCCACAAATGGGATAACTCACGGAGATTTTAATGAAGTGAGGATGTTAACCACTCAGTGGGATGATCATTCAGGTATTTGGAGGTTGTGGCGCAAAATGAGTTGTGTTGTGTGCAACTTCCAAGTTTGACTGGGAAAATATGGGAAAAAACCATTGGATGCTTTTAAGCCATCGGATGATGATAAATGCGGTAATTTAGCAGTTGGGTTTGCACAACCATTGTATAATCATGCTTACAATCCCCAAAAGTGGAGGTTTCCCTTGTTCAAACATCAAATGGAGGTGTTTTCCTATGAAAATATGTGAAAATCATCCAAACATGGAGACTTTGTTTCTTGAGAAATTCCCCTTTTTCAATGGAGGTAGCTTCCCATGGTTAAAAACATCGATCAACCTGTCCGTCATGTCCCATGACGTCCTGCAGAGCTTGCGCCATGAAGTCTTGTACCGTGGTAGATGCCGGGGGCGGCACTTCCCGCAAGATTCGTTCCACCTCTGAAGGGGGCCCATGTTTTGAAAGACAGGAACAACAAGGGGAACAACGGTCGGACGGCCTGTTCACGCGCGGCCGACTTGGTTTGTCATCTTTGCTGAGTCAGAAGTTTGGCTAGTTGGACAAGAAGTCAGCTAACATCCCCCCACCCCAGCGTGGCGTAGCATCAACAACGTGAGCAAGTTACATGGTACGCTAACATCCCCCCCACCTGTACCATCAGTTACATCAGTTGTTCCTGCCCCCCCCTCTCCCCCCAGGGCAGCATTGTAGAGAAGCAGAAAACGCTGTAAAAAAACAGTACAAAATGCACATTCAGCAGTGTGTGTGTGTGCGCGTGAACACCCCGTCGGAGGGAACAACAAGGGGATCCCCGTGGTGTCATGAAATGTTGAGAAATCAACGATTTCTTGAACACATCTGAAGAATTATGATCAATACCATTTGGCTATTTAACATAGCCATGGCAAATCCCTTATAAATGGGGGGTTTTAATGGGAAAATCATCTATAAATGGATTATTTTCCATGGCTATGTTAAATAACCAGAGGGTAATACATATGACATGTCTGGAAACAAAAAAACACAAATCCTTGGACACAACGAAATCAGGATTCAACACCTTTCAGGTGCTACCTTGATGCTACTATCCCATCTGAGTAGACAAAAAATAATTCACGTGAAAACACTATTTTGAGATAGTTACCCTAGGGTAAACGGTTACGAGTACATAGATGTGGAAAAACACTGGCGAAACGCTATGAAAATCATCTACAAATCGTGGATTTTCCACATCTATGTTAGTTTATTGGAGGGTACCCTTTCAAATACCCCAATCCAAATACGGTACCATCATTTCCGTTGTGACTTTCAACGGCCCCATCGACATACAAGTGATGCCCCTTTTCGGAATCGCTAAGTTGGTAAACATAACTCCAAGAAGTAGGTGGTCTTCATGGGGTAACATAAACCAACAAACATCACTGCCGGGAACACCTTCTCTGGAAGTTTTTTGATTCAGAGAACTGTTTGTGGATAGATTTCACCATAGTTATAGGGGGGTCATATCCCAACAAGATTTGGCTTTAATCTAATAATCCCATCACCCTAATATTCAACACCCCAAAAAAGCATGGTCCCAATTATGTGGAAATTCCCTGCTAAACCATGATTTCTAAGGGGGTGTTTAATATTGGGGGAAAGGGATGAGTCATAGCAATAGAAGTAACCTCAACTGTACCACTACGGGGGGAACCTCACCTTGTCATCCCCATGTCATTCCCGTTATGATTACATGATGATCCCACTATAAACGTATATGATACACCCCATGATATGCCCATTATCTGATGGTTATATCATGCTATGTCATCGCATTCCACCATTAATATCATCCCATCAATCAAATTATGGGTCATATAATATCAACATCCTTAAACCTATCATTGGGGTCCCCAAGTTATAAGTTGGCCCAAAAAAACATTAACTATACATGTATTCCCCATAAACCCAAACGTTAACCCAGTCATAAGTCAACTTAGCTATCCTAAATCAGCTAGAAATCCAATTAAAACCCCTGTTTTTTTAGTTAAATCCCCATGTTCCATCATTTTCCTATATGCCCAAGTATGCCCATAGATACCCTCTGGTAATTTAACATAGCTATTGAGAAAATGGCCATAGAAATAGTGGATTTTCCATTAAAAATGGTGGATCTTTCCATAGTTATGTAACAGTTTACCAGAGGGTAATACTAATAGTATTGGTTATCCCATAAACTAATATATTTATAAGCCATGAATAGTAATAATCACCCTGAAATCACCATGAAATCACCCAGAAATCTACCATTTTTCCCGGTGAAATCCCGTTTTTTCGGATCCAACAGGTCACCTCCTGCGTGCTGAGCACTTGCGCCGGTGCCGCCCGGTGGTTCACGGCCACATTCACCCGTCCCATCAACGCGGTACCCACGATGCGGATCGTTACAGCGGCCGGAGAGGCCGGAGCGGTGGTACCCAGGGTGTTGCTGTTGGTCCAAAGTCCTGGAGATGGATTATAATAGGAAACCTCCATATATATATATATATATTATGTAGGTTTTCTGAAACAGGGGTACCCCAAATCATTCAAGTCATTGGCCCATTTAGTATTGAAACCTATGGTGACTTGGGGGACCCCCACTTTAGGAAACCTCCATATATATAATATAATGATTGATGTAACAAATGTATCCAACCATCTACAACTAGCATCACCAACATTTTGATGTGGATCATCAACCATTGGTAGACGGATATGGATGGGTGGAATGTCCTTCTCGGCTAAACCTAGAGGTGGAAAACCCATCTGGTTGGTGGTACACCTACCTACCCCTCTGAAAAATGATGGAGTGAGTTCGTCAGTTGGGATGGATGGAAATTCTCAACTAAATGGAAAGTCATAAAATTCCATGGTTCCAAACCACCAACCAGCCATGGTTTATACTTTCCCATTCGGAAACTCGTGTACAGGGATTTGACAAAGTCATGCCTAAGTCACTCCTTTCGCTTTCCCCGCTTGTAGACGCAACATCAAGAAGTCATGCCTAAGTCATGCCTTTTGGTCTTCCCCCATTGTGAACGCAAGCGTCAAAATAGCCCTTTCCAAATTGGAACCTTTCACTTTCGCTTCTTTTTTTCCTCCCTGCCCTTGCGATTCAATATTTCTTATTTGCCCACTTTCTTCCCCAAACAGGTTTATCTGTATGGGGTTCTCAATAAGAATTCTGTAAATAGATACTGGGTAGCTATGGCCCTCTCACACAGAAAGAGGCCAATGCAGTTTGTAAGTTCTTACTCCTTTGAAAAGGTTGCAGTCCTGGGTCGCATTATTTTGCTTCTGCCTCCGGGCTTGCATTCCTGGCATGCTCTCCGACTACGGTCTGGTTGCTCTGGGCCGCCTGGCTATACAATGTTATACACTTGTCTCCCACTTGTCTCCACTTGTCTCCACTTGTGTCCCACTTGTCTCCTACTCACCTGCATGTCGCGTGATGTGCCTGATGTGCCTCAACAGTTTGCTTGCGTTTTCCAAAAAGGCACGACTTCCAGGGAAAGCTTCGACGCAACTAAATATAGACATTTCTTAAAAAAAGGAGCGACTTTCTCGATTGCCTGTACCAGCTGGGAAACCCGCTTGGAAAATCGTCGACCCGGAGAATCATCATGAAATCTTGATGTTTTTCGGGGGGAACATCGGTGAACCGGAAACCTTGGGTTTCGACCCAGCAATTTTAGAGGGGTCCTGTGGATTTTCCTTGGTTTACCCCAGGAGGCCAGAGGGTAAACTGCTCCGAAAAGAGGTTCGGAAAACCCATGCAAAAGTCCCGTTCGGAAAATCGTCTACCAATGGTTGATGATCCACACCAACATGTTGGTGATGCTAGTTGTAGATGGTTGGATACATCTGTTATATCAATCATTATATTATATATATGGAGGTTTCCTAAAGTGGGGATCCCCCAAGTCACCATAGGTTTCAATACTAAATGGGCTAATGACTTGGATGATTTGGGGTACCCCTGTTTCAGGAAACCTGCATAATATATATATATACATATGCATATGATATTATTAGCTATAGAAGACATCTGAAAACAATGATCAACCACGAGCACCACTTGTCAGCATAATCATTATAATATATATGTTATATATATATTAAATATAATATATATATATATACATTCATATCTTAAATATAGTGTATATATATATATTATATATATGGGCAAATTATATTAATTCACTAACCTGAATAGTTCGGCCATAAAAGGGGATGATTCCCCTATACATTCACCATGATTCCAGGCTTCGGGAGAACAGGCTTCGGTCGCGATGAAATTTGCCCACGGGTTAAAACCATCTACTGAGAGGATCCTCATACTTAGTCACGGGCCACTAAACCTGGTGAATAAGTTCCTGAAGTCAGAGATCTTATTTAAATAATTTGGGTTGCTTATATTAATCACTAATCCATCTGTAATATAAAGAATATCCTAAGTTGGCTAACCACTTACTAGGTGGGTGTGCTGGATGGCATACCCCCAAGTGTCCAATAGTATAGCATGGAATCGGGAAATATGTGGAAATATGATGAGTCACCAACGGTTTTGGGTTTCTTCCCCACAATTTTCAGACAAACCCATTTATACGGGTGTGGTGATTTTCTGAAATTCCAACTGCCAAATGTTTCAGAACTACTAAACAATCAGAATCTCAGTCAGATTTCACTATTCATAGATGATTTTCCCATGAAAATCCAAGTTTCCTCACTAGAACCTCATTCTCATCATGATATTTCCATGATATTTCCCACGTTTTCATGGTTGGAATAGCATGTTGAAGTCCAAAAAAAGCGGTTTCTGGTCCAACCTTTCCCCCTGTTCCCACGGCATTTTCGGCATCATCCCCAACTCCTCCGGTGTCTCCAAAGCCTCCCATGATGGCGGCGCCATCTTGTTCCACCGCCACGTTGGGCGGGACGATGACCGTGACGCTGCCCCAGAAGGCGGTGGAACGGATGGTGATGACCTTGGGATATCGTGGGATGGGATGGAGGTGATTTTTGGGACCCAAAAATTAGCCTCTGGTAAACGTTTACATAGCTATGGAAAGATCCACCATTTTCAATGGGAAAATCCACTATTTCTATGGTCATGTTCAATAGCTATGTTAAATTAGCAGAGGGTATGGATTTTGATGAAGATGATGGTGATTTTGGGGAATCCCAACTGGTTGGTGGTTGACCTACCCCTCTGAAAATCCCATGAAAAAAAAACACATCAAATCACTCAGAAATCCCATGAAAAACCAGCATTTTTCATCGATAATTCACCATGAAGCCACCATTGAACCCACCTGGTTGGTGGTTTTAACCTCTGGTAAACTGCTACATAACTATGGAAAGATCCACCATTTTTAATGGGAAAATCCACTATTTCTATGGCCATTTTCAATAGCTATTTTAGTTTACCAGAGGGGGGTCAGTTGGGATGATGACATTCCCAATCTATGGAAAAATAAGATTCATGTTCCAAACCACCAACCAGGATGGGATGGGGGTCGAAAAAAATGTGATCTTGGGACAAATTATGGATTTTGATGAAAATGATGGTGATTTTGATGAAAATCCATTTTATAGAAAATACATATGGTTTGGGACATGTTATGATTTTTTCTGGGGGTTGATGTATGTTTTTGGGTTTTTCCATGGATTTTTTTGAGATTTGATGGGATTTTTGTTGAGTGGATGAGTGGTATTATGGATGTGTTTATGGTCGCTTAGATGTGATTTGATGATTTTGATGGGTTGTCTTGTGAAATGTTCAAGGAGCTGCTACGAGTAGTGTTTGTCTTGTATAACTTTGGAATTTGTGTTTCCACTTTGCAGCTTGGAATTTGGAGCTAAAAAATCGCCACCGGCAATTCCTCGTGAATACCCTCTGCTGATGACTCACATAGCTATTGAAAATTGCAATTTATAGTTGATTCACCTGTTAAAAATGCTGGTGTTCCATAGTTGTTTGTATGTTTAAGTATGTTTACCAGAGGGTATCCATTTGCTGACTTTGCCATCAAACATTGGAAAAAACCATCGAACCGGCACATACTCCAGGAACAGGGAGACTCATGTACCATGGCAGTTCACCCATTTGGAATAGCCATATTTGACATCCTTCCTTTGCGGGAGTCTATCTGCATCTTTAGGTTGGTGAAACATCCCAAATTTATGAATAAGCATGAATAAGCTATAACAGGGTTTTACGTAAGCTGAATCAAGATTGATGTTCATGTGATGTTGTTCTTCAATGTTCTTCCAACTCCAATCCCCCAAGAACATCCAAGAACCAATTTCTCCAGCTATCATTTCGAAAACCAAAAAAAGCACAAAGTAGCTCCAACTCACTCCAACCATGGGTGACCTAGATCTATGCTCCACCAACCTCCGACCAAGGCACCGGATATTTGAAGAGCGCCTGGCTGAAGTCCACCGTGGATCCGCCCAGATAGGCCGAGGCCGTGATTTCCTGCTCCGGCACCCAACGGCCGTACTGATCAGCGCCCGAGAGGAATGCCACGAAACTGGACATCGTCGCCGCCCCGGTTGATGGGGAAAAATTTCGATCTACGGCTGCGGAAAACCTTCCGGCTTGGCGTTTTTTGGTTGACGACTTCGATGTTGAGATGTTGACAAGTGGTGATCATGGTTGATCACAGTGTTCAGATTTCTTCTATAGCTAATAATATCATATATGTATTTACATATATAGTTATATGTGAAAAAATCCTAAGATGGGTGTACCCAAAATCATCCCAAATTGAACTATTTTGGTACTGAAACCCATGGTGACTTGGGGATCCTCCATTTTAGGAACCCCCCATATGCATTGATATATGGTCATCACAAGTGTTCATCATTGTTCTACGGATTTCAAAAAAGCAGTTGGTTCTTCCCGAGCAGAGCTCGCTTCATCCTCCCTGCAGTGGGGTTTGTGAAACCCTCATTCGGCACATCAGAGCGCCTGGCTATCTTCTCGAAGACGCGAGGTCAGCTTAGACTCCTGGACTTTGCACAACTAAAAATCCGATTCTGATCGCTCAAGATGGGGAATCCCAACTGGTTGGTGGGGGCTACCAAAACCCCTCTGGAAAATGATGGAAAACTCGTCAGTTGGGATGATTATTCTATTCCCAACTGAATGGAAAGTCATAATCCATTCATGTTCCAGTCACCACCAACCAGCCAATAATTTGTCCCAGCCCATTATCATCCCCTAGGAGGAATTTTATGAGCCCATGGTTCTGGTGCAAAAGGATCCTCTGAAATGGACAATGGACTTGAGCAAGAAATGATCAGTCTCGGTCCAAACAGCTATCCCAATTCTGACCCAAAAAAAACATCTCGAAAACGGGGGGAGGTGGCACTCTTCGTATAGAAAAGGATCAACATCCAGCATTTTAGGGGATGTTTAAGCTGTCCCAAATTCATGGAACCCCCCCATTTTAAATCTAGAGGGATGGTTCCAATATCTACAGGAAAGCCCCTATCTTAAAAGGTTGCAGCAGCTTGCAGCCATCTAGCTATACTAGTATATAGATATCTATAGTTATACATATATATATGTGCTATGCTATAGTTGTATATAGTTCTATAATGAGTTATATAATGAGTTTTATATATTCACCAGGTCAACCCATTCGATAAGCTGTGGTGTTTTCAACCCAACTTAGCGAACAAACTGGGGCAGCGTGGCAAAATCCAGCCCAGAGCCTCGCTACGAACTGGTGTGGTTGTTTGGGAAGTGAAGGTCCCATCTTATTATCACAATGTGAGGCCCCCAAGATATCTAAGTTGGTGAACATAACTCCAATAACTATGGTTTATGGTACTTATAACTAGCTACTGGGGCTTATAAACCAACTAACATCACTGGGGGGCCTCACATTGCAGGTTTCCCCTTAATCAACAAGCATAACAAGCGATTGCTTCCAGATCTGAGGTTCAAATTTTGCCATCTTGCCGGATCCCTGACCGAGTTTTAAATGGGCACCTAAACAAAGCCCGGTACTTCGAAGAGACCACATGTCATACATTCCAATATTACAATTAACAAAACCTTGATTTAGTAGATGATCATCAGAAATAGTAGGAAAACACATCTTCAGCCGTGATTTCCCGAGATGTTGAAATCTTGTTTTTTTCCCGGAAAAAGGGCACCTCTGGTGGCATGGGTCAAGGAGTTTTTTCTCGGCAAGTTGCGGTCAGGCTGGCCTCCACAACTATCTCCGGCAACGGACCTGCTTCGATCTCATTTCTGGTGCCCCAAAATCCCAGCATCGTCCTTTTTTTCCATGTCAAGTGCCTTGAAAAAACCTTGGGGTATACATTGTACCAATGTAGTACGCCATTTCTGGAAGACACCAATCGATAGATATATCTGATATCCCAAAAAAACTGGACTGTTTAGATCCGCAGATGCACCAGGAACCGAAAACAGTAGAGCTAAGTCTCCAGCGTATTGCAGGCGGCTCCTTCCTAAGTCGCACTCAAAAAATGGGCGAGGGTGGGTTATAACTCGTGTGTTCCACGGAAAAAAACCATGGAAAGGGAAACTCAAAACCATGGGAAATGGATGGAAATGGTGGCCCAATACATGGCAATCCCAAGTCGCCACACTTTCCCTTTCAGCGGCGTGGGTCGTCTCATGCGAAGCGTGGTGAATATTAGACATTATTAGGCTAGGCGAAAAATCTACAGGAAACCCTTGGTTTCTGCCATCAATTCTAGATAGCTAAGTTGGGGTTCACATAACTCCTATGTCACGAACTGGTTTATGGTACCTATAACTATAGTATTCATGGGGTGAATCTAAACCATCTAACATCACTGGGGGGCCCCCACCTTGTAGGCATGTCCAGTTTTGGTTCCCTTAATCCATTGACTCATCCCATCGCTCGGAATGGGCCAACTGTGCGACTGATCTGACAGGAAACCAATGCTTTTTACCGAGCCTCATCCCATTGGAGACTGGTGTCCCTATGGAAAAATGTCAGCTGGGTGTAAATCCACCTCAGGGACCTCAAGATCGATGATGTATTTCATGGAAAATCCCATTAAAATCCATCCATAAATGGATGATAACTTTGTTGGGGTACCCCCATATTTTAGGAAACCTTCACATGTTCAGAGTACAAAATCTCTTCTCAGTCAGCGCCCGCTTTTTCGTCTCCCTCATGTCTGCCGGGCTGTACAAACCGGCATGGCAGGGCGGATCCTGCTTGTCCCAAAAGAGTTTCCCGACCGAGTCTTGGATAAATGTGATACATATGGGATTTTACCATCAAGAATGGTGGATTAAACACGAACCATTGGGATATTTGGTTTGTAAATGGATGGATCTCAGGAAATCGAAAACGGAAACACCCGGAAAGCCTGTTTTTTTCCTGAGCATGTTCTCAACAATCCAATGATTCTGGCCCTCAAACCATCTCATCTTTCAAAAACTGAGTGGCTTACAGAAATGCTCCCTGCTGACAGTTCCGAAGCACTTTCAAGTTGAGATGGATGTGTCTGAAAATGGGATATACCTCCAGCATCCTCCAACCGATCATGTGTATTATGTCAGGAAAAATTATGATACCCTCTGGTAAACTAACATAACTATGGAAAATCAACATTTTTCATGGGAAAACTCACGATAAATGGTCATTTTTCAATAGCTATGTTAAATTACCAGAGGGTAGACCATGACTGGTTGGTGGTTGACCTACCCATCTGAAAAATGATGGAGTGAAAGTCAGATTGGATCATCATCCCAACGAAAATGGGGAAAATAAAATTCATGTTCCAGTCACCACCAACCGGATGATAAAATTCTGGGTTTCCCCCACTTTTCAGAGCCCAGATGTTCATCTCATTTCTGCCACTTCTGCCCCACGAAATCCCCATGGATCTGGCCCCACCGACCAAAATCGCCCTAAATCGGCCGCGCCCCTCTCATTTCGGGTTCAAGACCTGATGGCGCAAGGGTCTCCCCATTTTCCATAGGGAGATCATGAATCCCTACATAGTTAGCTAAGTTGGTGAACATAACTATATATCGATGATATTTATAATCACCACAATGTATGAGATTTATAATTTATAACCATATAATAACAATCATGTATGATATTTAATTTATAACCATATATAATAACAATCATGTATGATATTTACAACGATATTTAGATGGCCTTGTAAACCAACTTACATCACTGGGGGGCCCCATCCGCTCCAAATCGCTTCGTTGAGGATGGGATCGTTTTTTCCAAGTGATTTCCGATTCGACGGTGCCAACGCGATTTGGGGCCATGCCCGGGTCAGACAGGAAAGCCTCATGAAGTGCATTTATGATGGTTGGTTTATAACTATAATAACAATGATGTATTCTAGCTCGGATGAGCCATGCCCGGCTTGTCAGACAGGGCTTAGCCCATCAGAGATGGAACAAAAAATCAAAAAAAAATCAGGATTGAAAGCCCATTTTTCATGGCCAGTTCATATAGAAAATATGCCCAAACATATAGTACAGTCAGTACCTCCATCATTTTTGAATCCTGAAGATCTCCCATTGGCCCATGGGAGTTTCACAGTTGGAGCGCCTTGGGATCGATCTTTGCCGCCTCACAGGCAGCCTCAAAGTCTTCTCCATACCTTCAGCCGATGGGGTGCCGGGGATTTACGAGGAACAAAAACGATTGGGATTTTTTTTCCGTTGATTTATGATAGCTAAGTTGGTTTATGATTTTTTTCCGTTGAAATTTATGATAGCTAAGTTGGTTTATAAGTAGGCTAACGTTGTTGATTTTTTTTGTAGATCTATAAACGTCACTGCGTCTCTCCACCCGAGACAAGGTGACTGAGAACTTCGCCCACCCAAAATCAAGATATTCGCCAACATTCATGGCTACAACTAAGGTATAAGTGGTAATAACCTCCATAAGTTGTTTTTAGAATCCCTACAACTCTGGTGAGCTTTAAGCCACAAAATTTATGCTTCCACTACACCCCCAAGTATTGACCATCAACGAGAATTTAGAACGATTTCCCACATGACTTGTAAGGCCATTCTTGGGAAATAATTCCCCTAACGAATTTGGACCGCCATCCAATTCAGGAATGGAAAAAGAAGTTCGTTGAAACTACAAACCAGATATTGTAGGGGCTGATAGCACCTCTTTTCCTTCGACAAAGAGCATCAAAAAGCTCTGATTGTTTCGCAGATGCTTTGAGGATCCGACAATCCTTTCCAGCAGCGTAGCACCTGTGCCAAGCATGCGACAGCCTTTGAGGAACATTGCAGAAAATCGCACAGTCGAGCTACCCTCTGGTAAACTAACAAACCATGGAAAATCACAATTTTTCAACTGATCATGTGTATTATGTAAGGAAAAATTATGATACCCTCTGGTAAACTAACATAACTATGGAAAGATCCACCATTTTTCATGGGTAAATCAACTATTTCTATGGCCATGTTCAATAGCTTTTTGTTTATTTACCAGGCCGGGTACCCCATCCCATCCCAGGAAATTCTGGATCATATTCCATCAGGGTTAGTTCATTTCATCCCCATGAAAAACCAGGTAGGTTCATGAGCCACAATCCCCCCCAATGTCATAACCAATCAACAGTGATATGTTTGCATACAAAAATTGGCTGAATTAGCGGCTGGACATTGTGGTGGCACAGCAGGGTCATCACCAAATTTGGCTGAAGGATTTTGGCTCTTCGCTCGGTGCTATCGGGAGAATATGAAAATATATGAAACAACGCATCACTCATGCAAGTTGGTTGCTTCGAAACGAGCGAACTTCAGAACAAGCACTCATCCAGATTCTCTCTGCACCTTTGCCGAACCATACAATTCCTGGTACCCTCTGGTAAACTAACATAACTATGGAAAATCACCATTTTTAATGGAAAAATCCACTATTTCTATGGCCATTTTCAATAGCTTTTTGTTTATTTACCAGGCCGGGTACCATCTCCCGTAAAATTGGACGAACCATCTTCCTGGTACCCTCCAGCAATCGATGGAAATGGGATTGGAACATCATCGAAATGCCAATAACTTATTGTGGATCAACCAGTTTGGCCACAAAACAAATGCTTTAGTTTAATCTTCTGAAAACGACTAGTCCGCCATTTTGAGCCACAAAAATGTAATAACCCTCCAAACGAATTCGAATCTTTAGTGGTCATGATATCCGAGCTGACGAGTGAGATCCGATTCATGGAGCTGTAAGTGTTCCTCAAATCCCGAAAAAAACAACCCATGGTGGTATATAAAAACCTACATGACTGGGTGATTTTCTGGCAAATGTTGCTGTGAACTCCATGGGTTTGACATCCGATCCTCAAGAGCTTCCTGCTTCAGAGCACTGTGAGCCGCCTGGCGATCGAAAAACCGTTGATGCTGGATAGAAGTTTTTTCTAGCTGGAAAAATCTCCCCTGAATTCACCAAGTTATTCACCAAGTTATCGCTTAAATGGAGATCTCATCTCGTAGAAATAGCAGCTTAACTCGGCTTCATGGTAGGGATGCAGATCAATTCCAGCTGGATAAACATGTTTTTTCCAGGAGAAGTATCCTATGCAAGGTGGTTTACCCCTGCTTAAGGGTTATAATTACAACCGACTCAGCTGAGGACCACAATGTGTCGGGGTGTCTTAGTGGCGCAGTGGGCTAAGTTAACTGTTGGGTTTATGGTAGAAATATCGAACTAGTTAACTTGGTTTACAAACCGAAAAAACTAACTGGGGCCACCACGTTGTGATGATCAAATCTAATATCAAAACTTACATGGAGCGTTTGTCATTAATCTAGGTGAATTATAATCATTCACCAACCTGAAAAATGTTTTAAACAACTTCAATAAGGGAGGAATTCCCTTACTACCCATCATTCCAGTGACGTCACGACGTGAAGTAATGATCAAATTCATCCAGATTAGATTTATATAATATACATGTGTATGTATATATACATTAGGGGCTGCATCAGCCTGTTTGTCTGTTGTATGACAAACATGGCCCAGAAGCCGCTCCCAGCTACTCCCAAAAATGTGGAAACTATTTGCAAAATGAAAACAGAAAACTCACAGAAAATACCTCTAAGAAGGACAATCAAGAACACTATATATGTGAAAGAAGAAAATGAAGACACAACTGTGGACAAAAGAAAGTGCGAACATATGAATGAAAGAAACCTTGACTCAAATGATCATCATCTTGAACAACACGTATCCATACATGTCACTGAGTGTGAAAGGAGGATGGATACAGTATGTACGCACCTTTCTTGGAGTTTCACATGGTGAAATCTGTATATAGGTTCTTTTGCAAGGTAGCAGCTGTTGTCATATATTCATATAACATGTTGCATGACAGACTAAATTGAAAATATCGCTACAAGTTAGAACATAGCAAATCACCAAAATAATGCTGCATCATAATCTTATGATATGCGACATATTACGCCGTTAGCAACTAGCTGCGGGAGCCGGTTCCCAGCTAGTTGCACATAGTAACAGATTTGGAAGCGGCTGGGAGTGGCTGGGAGCGGCTGGGAACAATTCGGCTTAAGTTGGAGATTAGGGTTTGTGACTGCTGGGGAAGTACAGGGTCACCCCGAAGCTCCACACGTCTGCCACAAGGCCGTAGCCTGGTAATCCCTCCACCTGCCGATTGACTGTCATGATCTCAGGGGCCAAGTAATGGGCCGTGGACTTCTTGCAGGAGGTTAATGGTGCTTTGACCACCTCAGCCATGCCAAAAATTTACTACCTTTAAGCAACTGGATTGGTCGACCATGACCAGGCGTAGAACTGAAGTTCACCAGCGTAATTGTCAAATGATTGCGAAAAGAGTAACGTCTCGAGGTCCCTGCCAACGATCAACTCTGCCACGAGGAAATATGTGTCACCGCTCAGAATGCAGGCATGCATCTTCAAGATGTGTCGGTGCTGGTGCCTCCGTAAGTTGGACAGAATCTTAATGCATGGGAAGCACTTTCACAGCCACCTCCATGTCCTTGAAACGCCAGCTCTTCTGCATCCTCTGGCACGCTGAGACCCACTTGCTGTAAGTTTTCCACCTGCTGAACGCATGGGGGCTTGCGCAGCTGCCGCTTGTGCGATGACCATGTTGTTGGCAGAGACCATCGCGGCTGCTTCTGGTTCTTAAGTTCAAGCTTTCGGTCTTTACGAACCATCTTCGGTGTACGAGTCTCAGAAGGCAGGTCAGGGGATTGAACGATTTCCAGCAACGTCCACGAGATTGCCGCCAAACCAAGGGCTGAAGCCACAGCAACAGATGCGGGAAACCAGAGCGCACACGTGGGAGCTGCAACTGTTGCGGCAGCTGTCGCAGTGGCAACCGCTTTTGCCACCGCACTGCCGCCTGCACCATGGGCTGCAAGTTGGAGGACAACTCCAAGGCTGAAAGGATCCATGGCTTGGACTTTCTCAGATTCAGGCGGAGAGGCGTCTCAAACCCTCAAACTCCCATGTACACTGTGATGCCCGTGGAAGGGTAATGCCTGCCGTTACAACAGGTATAGTACCAACATGATCCAAAATGTGCTCAAACGTGCTTGTACAGGTTCTTCATTGACCTCGTGTAAGTTGCAGTGAGAGCTTTGATTGTGGGTGCAAGCTTGAACTGGCTGCACTGCACCAAGAGACAACACCCAATGCCAGAGCCGTCCCTCAAATGCCCTTCTTGTGCCTACCAGCCTTGTACTGACTCTGTCTGATAGTTTGGATGTACAATAATTGCGTTGAAGGGTGCATGATCAAAATTCAAGGCGCGCAGTAAAAAACATGGCCGCAATGGTACCGCAAGTCAAAATGATGCGTATATCAACTGCGCGGTGCACACCAAGAAAGGGTATAAGGAGCAAATGGGAAGAGAAGAGAAGAGAAAAGAGAACAGAAGCCAAAGGAGAAGGAAGAGAAAAAGGAAAAAAAGAAAAGATACACTGAAAGAGAACAGAGAAAAAGGAAGAAAAGCGAAACGGGAATAGAACCGATAAAAGAGGGCATCGTCAAAATGTTGGGCTAAGGCCACGCAATCTGGAAAAATGGCCACCTGCATGCCAATGCGTTTTGATGGAAACTTGAAAATTGGAAAAATATTCATTGGTACATTGGCAACATGTTCAGCCAATGGCACACTGCCGATGCATTGGAATGCACAATTGAGGAATTAGAAAAATGGGTATGGATCAATACCTATTAATACCATTTTTAGGGGGATGAACATCCATTTGCCAGCTATTTTGATGTTCACCAGGGGTACAAGGTTTTGACACATTGCCAAATCATTCAATGTGCAACTACTGCGAATGATGCACCGACCTGAGACAACTTGGGCACCTACTCAGCACATACCATTGGAATCCATTGGGTCTTCTTATGCCGGAAATAAAAACCGCAATTGACGACTCAGTGTTGGCAAGTCCACAAGAGTTTATCGGACAATCACCCTTATTGGTTTCCTTGCAAGGGATTCCTTGATTTCATTGATTTCCCCTGAAACCATACGAATGCGTTGCCTGATTTCCCATTAAAATTTGCAAGTTTAAGTCTCTTGGGTTTTGCAAATGGTTCTTGATTTTTAGGAAATAGTCCCAAATAGTTTCTGGATAGTTTTTGCATGTTTTTGCGGGGTTTTGCAAATAGTTCCTAAATCTTAGGAAATAGTTTCTGGATTTAACAGACGCCCCCCAACAAACAGGCTAATGCAGGTCCTAATATATATACATGTGTGTGTGTGCATGTGTTCCATTGTAAATATATCAATATCATGTTTGATGGTTAAATCCCATATTGAATATATTGATGGTTAAATACCATTTGTTGATGGTTTCATAGCCACTACAGCACTAATCATAATTGTTCTGATGGCAACGTCATGGCAATATCATGGGTAAAGACCTCCCTCACGTGGCGCTTTGTGGCTTACGGGTTACGCCCCCAAGAAAATGTTGCCCCCGCAAGAGATTGACTCACTAAAAAGCACATCGTCTGAATCTGGTTGGTGCTTAAAAAACCATCTTGAAAAATGATGGAGTGAAAGTCAATGGGTTTCGGATGACATCCCTTTTTTATGATGGAAAATAAAAGCATATAATCCAGTCATGTTTGAAACCACCAAACCAGGTGGCTAGCGCTGGGTCAGAAATGGGGTGCTGGATCCACAGAAATCCATCTTTTTCTATGAAACCATCGAGAACGGAGATGGAGATTCAGCGTGATTTTACAGTAAAACTCCACCCCAAGAGATACCGAAGAGTTAGACCTTAGGGAGTTACTGGCCACAGGTTTGCTCCCACCCCAGATACGTTTGGGGTGGAAACTAGGTAGATAAAGAGGTAAAACTATAGTCAAATGACTCATGACGAGTTTTTTCCCCCAATAGTGGCTATCATTTACCAATCCATTGTAGCTCCAATCCTGTGCAATAGTGGCTATCATTTGCCTATAATGGATTGGAGCAATCATGGATTTATAGTAGGATTGCTACTATTATTATTATTACTATTATTATTATTTATAGGTAAATCATAGTAAATATAGTAAATAAATAGGTAAATGATAGTAAATATAGTAAATAAATAGGTAAATAATAGTAAATTTCTTTATTATAAGTCATGATTTTCATGGGTAAATGTTCCAGTCCATGACTGTCCTGCTGGGCGCAGGTGGCAGTCGTCTTCAGCAACTGCGGCATGTGGGGCAGCAGATCCTTTCCCAGCGCCTGGAACGACGGTGGTTCCGCAGCCCAACGTGACATTTTACCAATGAAAATTTTGATGTTACCCGCCAAATGTCATGGTTGATATGGTTGTACCGGCCAAAAATGTAATTTCATCTAAATCGAGATCTTTGTTGGACTGTTCCCACAATGAAATCACAATGAAATCTTGTCTTGGCCTTCAATGAATTCGTTTTGCTACTAAAACTTGGCAAATTTTAGTGGGGTGCGATTATGTGGTAAACTAATCTACCCCAAAAAAAAGAACTCACAAAATCCAAGTGGCTAGAATCCATGCAGAAATCAGTCCATGTTTAGGAATCAAAAAAGGTCTGAGATTTCAGCTGGTTGAATTTTTAAAAAAAGGAAGCCGTTCGGCCTTAGAAAGCTCAGGAAGCCGTTCGCAAACGCGTTGCTTCAGCAGATGATGATGACCTGGCGTCAAAGTAAGGACTTTGAAGAAAGATAAACGCAAAAAAAAAACTGTGAACCGAATGGGTAATTGTGTTATACTTCAAGTATGATAGTAACCATCATAGTTCACCAAGCTTTCCATTCAAACAGTCTCCATGCAGCCATACATAACTACCATTGACTGGGCTGGCTTCGGATCTCAACAGACTCTGAGGTCCCTGCGATATTGTGAGCACGCATAGGCCTGGTGGAGGTGGTGTGAAATGGTTGGCAGAAAATAGAGATATGGGGATGGGTCAAAACCCTATCCCCCTGTAGTTCACATCAAAATAGCTGGTAAATGGATGTTCATCCCCTAAAAATGGTATGTATAGGTATTGATCCATAGCCATATAAATGATATAAATCTACCATAGTCACCTAGTCTTTCATGGGGTTTCATGGGCTTTCCATAGTCATGGGGGTACCCCAAGCGAGCATTGGATTCATTGGATGCTTTGTTTCATGGAAAAATCGAAAATAAAATGGATGATTTCTTGGGCTACCCGGTAGACCCCCATTTTGGGAAACCTCCATTATAGAATCTCATAAGCCAACTGAGCTAGGGAGCACCATTGTCTAGTTGATCATGCAGGTGTGTTCTTGCACCTGGTTGAACGTTGGAGGCCCAGAATGATGGGCATGGAGCATGGAGCACAACCATGGACCACCACCCAATTCAATCTCATGCCGTGACCAAAACCCTTCCGAAAAGTCTTCAATGGCTGGTTCAACAGGGTCCGCAACAAACGAAGACTATTTGTACGTGTCATCAAAAAAAATAACGGTCAAAACTCAAAACACGAAATTTATGGCTTTCCCATGATCCCACATGTGATCACCAGTGTGTTGCTTAAATACATGTTGCTGATTTGCTAGCGACTCTTGCGGAATCACTATTCGTTTCTCTATTTATTTCCCATTTCAGTTGGTCAAATCCCATTCTTGCGGCTCAAATCTGTCCTGTTACAGTTTAAATCCTCCCTTTCAAACTCATATCAAAAAATCCCAACAAAAATGTCTCATCCGACCATAAATCTCCATCTTGTTATCTTGTTCGCCGAAATTTTCCCCATGTCCCTTTCAAGTCCCTTAAAACCACCGCGGGCTCGTGGGCTTTGGCCTCCCCCAGCGTGGGCATCAGCTGATCGATGGGCAGACGACTGGGATCTAAGAGTATCAGCTCGGTCAAGAGATGGACCATGCCCTCAGAGGCCTCAACGGGGGGTGGGAAAGGTGAGCAAAGGTTGAGTTGAAGGATGTAATCTGTAATTTATAGATGTTTATAGTTAACTATAGTTGTATAATCTAGTTTATAAACCTAGTTGCTTGGTATATGATGATTATGTTTGATGCAGTTTATGCTTATAGTTAACTATAGTTGTAGAATGTAGTTTGTAAACCAACTTAGTTGCTTGGTATACTACAGTTATGTGTTATGTAGTTTATAAACCAACTTCGTTGCGTGGCGTCATGGGATTATCCTCTGGTAAATTAACATAACTATGGAAAGATCCACCATGCTATTAATTAATGGGAAAATCCACTATTTCGACTGGGCCATGGCTTCAAGTTCGCAAACTGTAAACGTTTACCAGGCCGGGTATGTCATAAATTGAGAATTCTGATGGGGTTCAAAAAAAGAACTTTGATGGGGATGTGGCTATGGATCAATACCTATTAATAATTATGAAAATACCATTTTTAGTGGGATATTCACATTCAATCAATACCTATGAAAATACCATTTTTAGTGGGATGAACATCCAATCAATACCCATGAAAATACCATTTTTAGTGGGATGAACATCCAATCAATACCTATGAAAATACCATTTTTAGTGGGATGAACATCCAATCAATACCTATGAAAATACCATTTTTAGTGGGATGAACATCCAATCAATACCTATGAAAATACCATTTTTAGTGGGATGAACATCCAATCAATACCTATGAAAATACCATTTTTAGTGGGATGAACATCCAATCAATACCTATGAAAATACAATTTTTAGTGGGATGAACATCCATTTTATCCCAGCTATTTTGATGTGAACTACAGGGGTACAATTGGTTTTGTTACCCACACTGCCAATGTCTAAAGCAACTTGACTCACCACCATTAGCGCCCCAAAGCCCTGCGAGTCCACGGCCGGGTGAGTTGACTGTTACAGTTCGCCCATGGGTAAAAAGATGGCCCAAAAAAAATCGAAATTTAGATGGTTTATGGGCCATAAAAACCTATGAAACATTTAAGGGGGGCCATAAAAACCTATGAAAAAAAATAAGGGGTCGAATTCTAGATGGTTTATGGTGATAAAAACCTATGAAAAAATTTAAGGGGAACCACAAGACATCGAGGAATGCCTACTCGGAAGTGGAGGCGGCTGCTCGCCAGAAAAATAGCATGGGTCATTGATGTGTTGCTTGGTGATAAAAGGGGTTCAAGGACAAACCTAAATTATTACGGATTATGATAACCCATAATTCACTGGATAGCTATTGACCAACCAGTATTGTCGTTGAGGGACTGTCCCATATTATGGGCCGAATTGTGGGTATATTATATCTCCTTACACTTTACATAGACCTTACATATGGTAGGTACCTTGATCAAATGATCACCAGGATTACCCTCTGGTAATTTAAGGTACCCCCTGGTTATTTAACATAGCCATGGAAAATCACCATGCTATTAATAGGTAAACCATCTATTTCTATGGGCCATATATACCATGGCTATGTTAGTCATAACCAGATGGTAACTATGGAAAATCACCGTTTCTTATAGGTAAACTCCTTGAACCAACTCACTTTTTACGATAAATTGGCCATGGCTCCCACCCACATCTACAGCAAAAATGACAGATAACCAGCTTGGTAAATCCTATGAAATATCCCCGTTTTTTTATCCCATGAAATCACCGTTTTCTAGCTGGTCAAATCCAACTCTATCAGATTATCAGTTAAAAACGACCATAGTAAATCACCATATATCACCATACATATATATATATACATATATATATATATATACATATATATATATACATATATATATATATATTATGTAAATCGTATATCATGCCTATATATCCCATGGTAAATTCTACATTACCCCATCATTAATCACCACCTTTCCTGGTTCCCATTCTTTGCCGCCGATCCCGGCCATTTTCGCCTCCCAGAGCTGGTGGGGTGCTTCCACGTTGCAATTCATACAGCCGCTGTCTCGGGCCCTGGCGGACATCCAGGAGATGGTTTCGGGGTGAAACTGGTGGAAAACATATGGTCAATGGCCATGCAACAGGAACCGATTGAGGACGGAGGTACCTACCATAGAGAAAAGGCCTATTTTTCTGGCCTAAATTTCAGGGAATATCCCCAGAAAATATGGCCTGAAATATGGTACTAACGTACCTCCATAAATTGGATCCTGAAATTCCCATTGATATGGAGAAAAAAAAACGGAACGTGATGAGATTGGTCGTTTTCTTTGGGACCAAAACATCTGATGGAAAAGCCACGGAAAAGCCAGAAACGTCTTGGGAGATCCGATTTTTTGTGGCGGATGGTACAATCTCAACAACAGTCTATGAAAGGTGTCCCCAAAAACTATTTGGAGTTTGAAACCCTCCGAGATCAAAGAGACACGCGCTTGGTTTGTGTCTTGCCAAGCAGTTTTCAGAGCCGTCTTAGGTCAAGGCAACTGTTGCTGGTTGCATTTTTTTAACTAAACATTGATTGGTTGCTTTCAGCCCAGAGCATTTTGATTGCACACCCCAACATATCTTTAAACCCACAATCTGAGGCCCCCAAGATATCTAAGTTGGTGAACATAGCTCCAATGTCACTATGGTTTATGGTACTTATAACCATAGTTACTGGGGCTTATAAACCAACTTAGATATCTTGGGGGCCTCACATTGCACCCATTGTTGATTACGAGTCGGTTCCCAGATGTTGATAGCCGTCGTTTAGTTTGGCTTACATTTAATTGCTAAAAACCAAGGTTGTCCATCATTTTCCCTGCACAAAACAAGGGCCTCGTTGCCAATGGCAGGTTCATATCTTTTCATTTACTTCATTTTTGCTTGGCCATACACTCCAAATCCACGACCCATCCCAAATAATTGTCGATACCATCTGGTTATTTGTTACACAGCCATGGTATAGATGGCCCTAATCGAAATAGATGGTTTACCTTTTTTACAAAATGGTGGATCTTTCCAGTTCGCAAACTGTTAGTTAGTCATAACCAGAGGGTAAACCTCCATTTTCCTATGGTTTTCCTATGGTTTTCCTATGGTTTGGGGCGGTTTCCCATTCAGAGCCCTGGGATGAGCTCGCGCCACCCATCCTTTTTTCAACCGCCAGCAGCCGCGGTCCGTTTTTTTTCGTGGGCCGGGGTCCACCGAGCCAAGGTTGGCAGGGCCAGTGTTTTCTTCATTGAGAATTGACTGGCTATCTACTTATATATAAATATATATATATGTATGTGTATATATATATATTATATTATCAAAGGAAGTTTAGGGGGAGAAACTTCCGTGTTACGTACTTTTAGAATGTCAGGGAAAGAGTTAGTCAAAGAAAGAGTTAGTCAAAGAAACAGTTAGTCAGGGAAAGAGTTAGTCAAAGAAAGAGTTAGTGAGGGAAAGAGTTAGTCAAAGAAAGAGTTAGTCAAAGAAAGAGTTAGTCAGGTTAGCAAAGAAGAGTTAGTCAAAAGAAAGAGAGTTAGTGAGGGAAAGAGTTAGTCAAAGAAAGAGTTAGTTAGTCAGGGAAAGAGTTAGTCAAAGAAAGAGTTAGTCAAAGAAAGAAAGAGTTAGTCAAAGAAAGAGTTAGTCAAAGAAAGAGTTAGTCAGGGAAAGAGTAGTCAAGAAAGAGTTCAGTGGAAAGAGTTAGTTAGGTTAGTCAACGAAAGGAGTTAGTCAAAGAAGAGTAGTCAGGGACAAGAGGTTAGTCAAAGAAAGAGTTAGTCAGGAAAGAGTTAGTCAAAGAAAGAGTTAGTGAGGGAAAGCCAGTAGTCCGGGGAAAGAGTTAGTCAAAGAAAGAGTTAGTGAGGGAAAGAGTTAGTCAAAGAAAGAGTTAGTCAAAGAAGAGTTAGTCAAAGAAAGAGTTAGTAAAGAAGAGTTAGTATAAGAAAGAGTTAGTGAGGGAAACAGTTAGTCAGGGAAAGAGTTAGTCAAAGAAAGAGTTAGTGAGGGAAAGAGTTAGTCAAAGAAAGAGTTAGTCAAAGAAGAGTTAGTCAAGAAAGAGTTCGTCAGGGAAAGAGTTAGTAGGAGAGTAGTCAACGAAAAAAGGTTAGTCCAAGAAGAGTATGAGGGAAAGAGTTAGTCATCAAAGAAAAGAGGTTAGTCACGTAAGGAGGTAGCAAAGAAAGAGTTAGTGAGGGAAAGAGTTAGTCAAAGAAAGAAAGAGTTATAGTCAAAGAAAAAGTCGTCAAGAAAGAGTTAGTCAAAGAAAAGTTAGATCAAGAAAAGTTAGTGAGGGAAAGAGTTAGTCAAAGAAAGAGTTAGTGAGGGAAAGAGTTAGTCAAAGAAAGAGTTAGTGAGGGAAAGAGTTAGTCAAAGAAAGAGTTAGTCAAAGAAAGAGTTAGCAAAGAAAGAGTTAGTCAAAGAAAGAGTTAGTCAAAGAAAGAGTTAGTCAAAGAAAGAGTTAGTCAAAGAAAGAGTTAGTCAAAGAAAGAGTTGCCGATGGAGTTTCGAAGGAGTTGCCGATGGAGTTTTGGAGGAAGTCTCGCACGAAATGCGTTTTTGAGAGATAGCAGATGCACGAAACCCTGTGTTTTTCCAGACAAAGTGCGTCCCCGAACCTCGATGATCTACCTCTGCGGTGCGACGGGTGCGAGACGGTCTGGTGTGTGGTCGGATCATGGTCGGATATGCTCGGATCATGGTCGGATCGGTTCCGCATTGTAAATGGGGTTTCAACTGTTTTTCGTGCATGTGTGGTCGACAGAATTCCATTGTGATTTGTAATTGTAGGATCGTTCATGCATTGTAAATGGGGTTGCCAGTGGTGCTGGTGGATGAGTTGCTGATGGAATTCCATTGTGAGTTGCAACTCTAGGATCGTTCCCTCACTGTAAATGGGATTGCAAGTGGTGCTGGTGGAGGAGTTGCCGATGGAGTTTTGAAGGAAGTCTCGCACGAAATGCGTTTGTGAGAGATAGCAGATGCACGAAAGCCTATGTTTTTCCATGCAAGGTCCGTCCCCGAACCTCGATGATCTACCTCTGCGGTGCGACGGTTGCGAGACGGTCTCGTGTGTGGTCGGATCATTCTCGGATCATGGTCGGATCGGTTCCGCATTGTAAATGGGGTTTCAACTGTTTTTCGTGCACGTGTGGTCGACAGAATTCCATTGTGATTTGCAACTGTAGGATCGTTCCCGCATTGTAAATGGGGCTGCAAGTGGTGCTGGTGGATGAGTTGCGATGGTGGAATTCCATTGTGGATTTGCAACTCGAGGATCGTTCCCTCACTGTAAATGGCGATTGCAAGTGGTGCTGGTGGAGGAGTGGCCGATGGAGTTTTGCAGAAAAGTCTCGCACGAAAGGCGTTTTTGGAGATAGCCAGAGCCACGAACCCTATGTTTTTCATACAAAGTCCGTCCCGAAACTCGATGATCTAACCTCTTGCGGTGCCGAACGGTTGCGAGACGGTTCTCGGTCTGTGTGGTCGGATCATCTGGATTTGGTCTCGGATCGGTGCGACATGTAAATGGGGTTTCCAATGTTTTTGGCCATTGTGTGGTTCGACAGAATTCCATTGTTGATTTGCAACGTAGGATCGTCCCGACATTGTAATGTAAATGGGGTTGCAAAGTGGTGCTGGTGGGATGACGGTTGCCGATTGGAATTCCATTGTGATTTCGACTATAGGATCGTTTTTCCTTTGTTCTTTGTCCCGCATTGCGTAAAATGGGATTGCAAGTGGTGCTGGTGGAGGAGTTGCCGATGGAGTTTTGGAGAAAGTCTCGCACGAAATGCGTTTTTGAGAGATAGCAGATGCACGAAAGCCTATGTTTTTCCATACAAAGTCCGTCCCCGAACCTCGATGATCTACCTCTGCGGTGCGACGGTTGCGAGACGGTCTCGTGTGTGGTCGGATCATCCTCGGATTGGTCTCGGATCGGTTCCGCATTGTAAATGGGGTTTCAACTGTTTTTCGTTCATGTGTGGTCGACAGAATTCCATTGTGATTTGCAACTGTAGGATCGTTCCCGCATTGTAAATGGGCTTGCAAGTGGTGCTGGTGGATGAGTTGCCGATGGAATTCCATTGTGATTTGCAACTCTAGGATCGTTCCCTCACTGTAAATGGGATTGCAAGTGGTGCTGGTGGAGGCGTTGCCGATGGAGTTTTGCAGAAAGTCTCGCACGAAATGCGTTTTTGAGAGATAGCAGATGCACGAAAGCCTATGTTTTTCCATACAAAGTGCGTCCCCGAACGTCGATGATCTACCTCTGCTGTGCGACGGGTGCGAGACGGTCTCGTGTGTGGTCGGATCATCCTCGGATCATCCTCGGATCATCCTCGGATCATGCTCGGATCGGTTCCGCATTGTAAATGGGGTGTCAACTGTTTTTCGTGCATGTGTGGTCGACAGAATTCCATTGTGATTTGCAACTGTAGGATCGTTCCCGCATTGTAAATGGGGTTGCAAGTGGTGCTGGTGGATGAGTTGCCGATGCAATTCCATTGTGATTTGCAACTCTAGGATCGTTCCCTCACTGTAAATGGGATTGCAAGTAGTGCTGGTGGAGGAGTTGCCGATGGAGTTTTGGAGGAAGTCTTGCACGAAATGCGTTTTTGAGAGATAGCAGATGCACGAAACCCTATGTTTTTCCATACAAAGTCCGTCCCCGAACCTCGATGATCTACCTCTGCGGTGCGACGGTTGCGAGAGGTTGTGTTGTGTGGTCGGATCATCCTCGGATTGGTTAGGGAGTCGGTTCCGCATTGTAAATGGGTTCAATGTTTTTCGTCGCATGGTGTGTCGACCGGAATTCCATTGTGATTTGCAACTGTAGGATCGTTCCCGCCATTGGAAATGGGGTGCGGTGCAAGTGGGCTTTGGGCGGTATGAGTTGCCGATGGCAATTCCATTGTGATTTGCGATCTAGGATCGTTCCCTAATGTAAATGGGATTGCAAGTAGTGCTGGTGGAGGAGTTGACGATGGAGTTTTGCAGAAAGAAAGTCTCGACACGAAAGCCGTTTTTTGATTTTTGAGAGATAGCAGATGCACGAAACCCTATGTTTTTCCATACAATTGCCGTCTCCGAACCTCGATGACCTACCTCTGCGGTGCGACGGGTGCGAGACGGTCTCGTGTGTGGTCGGATCATGCTCGGATCATGGTCGGATCGGTTCCGCATTGTAAATGGGATTTCAACTGTTTTTCGTGCATGTGCGGTCGACAGAATTCCATTGTGATTTGCAACTGTAGGATCGTTCCCGCATTGTAAATGGGGTTGCAAGTGGTGCTGGTGGATGAGTTGCCGATGGAATTCCATTGTGATTTGCAACTCTAGGATCGTTCCCTCACTGTAAATGGGAGTGCAAGTGGTGATGGTGAGGCGTTGAATATGGAGTTGCAGAACAGTATCGCACGAAATTGGCGATGTTTGAGAGATAGCAGATGCAGGAAACCCTATGTTTTTCCATACAAAGTCTGTCCCCGAACCTCGATGATCTACCTCTGCGGTGCGACGGGTGCGAGACGGTCTCGTGTGTGGTCGGATCATCCTCGGATTGGTCTCGGATCGGTTCCGCATTGTAAATGGGGTTTCAACTGTTTTTCGTGCATGTGTGGTCGACAGAATTCCATTGTGATTTGCAACTGTAGGATCGTTCCCGCAATGTAAATGGGATTGCAAGTGGTGCTGGTGGATCAGTTGCCGATGGAATTCCATTGTGCTTTGCAACTGTAGGATCGTTCCCGCAGTGTAAATGGTTGCGTCAAGGTTGCTTCGTGCCGTGGCTGCATTGGTAATACTATTGTCTTTTGCAGCTGAAGATTGTAAATTGTATTGGAGTGGCTGCATGAAGGCTGCCACAGTGATTTGTCAGCAGATTTTCTTCATTTTGGCGCTAGTGAATTTCCTTCTAAAAATCTTTTTAAAAAGTGCTTCAAAATCGTCTTTTTTTTCGCTCTGGCGTCGAGATCCGGTTTTGGAGCTACAATTTCCGACGCCGTGGTGCGTAGTTCTATTGTGTTTTGCAACTCAGTCTCTGCAGATCGCATTGTAATGGCTGCGTCAAGGTTGCTTCGTGCTGTGGCTGCATTGGTAATACTATTGTCTTTTGCAGCTGGATCTCGTAAATCCTATTGGAGTGGCTGCATGAAGGCTGCGACAGTGATTTGTTAGCAGATTTTCTCCATTTTGGCGCCCGTGATTTTTTCTAAAAATCCATTTTGGCGCCAGTGATTTTCCATTCGTTCCTTCTAAAAATCACTGTCATTTGACCTTGCGAACCGCAGAATGCCTCTGTCACTTGGTTTTGGTTTCTGTGTGCGTTGTTACGAACCGGCCAAACTCTTGTGTCAGTCTTGCACGTCGTGTCACCAGCTGGTTTACTCCGAGGCTTCACAGAAGCCACCATAGCAACGTCAATTCCTCCCGGAACTGGACGTGCGAAGTTGTGTTCCGCGTCCAGCATGGTCGAGACGGCGCTGGAGAGTCAGACAAGCACGGCGGCAAGTGTGCAGCCACCTGTGGTGAATGACTAGAACGCCAAAAGTTCAGATTGGGGCCATTGGAGAAAGCCGAAGTCTCTGGTACGCTTTGCGTCGCCACAGAACCGAAGCTCAGTGCGCAGAATGGCTCAACATCTTGCACAGCAACAGTACGTGGTATTGCCGCAGAGGGATCAATTCTCGTTTGACTGCCGAGGGCTGGGTGTGCGTTGTTGTGAACCGCATCCGAGTCTGAATTGCTGTGCTTCAGTAGCTTCGCCTTTCATTTCGAGTTGCAGACGGCAGAATGCCTGTGTCACTTCATTTTCGTTTCTGTGTGCGTTGTTACGAACCACACAAGAAACCATGATCGTATTGCGTACATGTGACAAAAAAAAAATCTTTCAGATTTTGGTTGCTTTCATTTTCTATTTCACATCAACTTTTTCTGCTCTGGCGTTGAAGTGTGAAGGAAGCAGTGGAAAGTGTGAAGTGTGAAGTGTGAAGGAAGCAGTGGGAAGTGAAAAGTGTGAAGTGTGGAGTGTGAAATTTCAGTTTGGAGTGCGAAGAGCGCAGTGTGAAGTGTAAAGCGTGAGGTTTGGAGTGTGAAGGAAGCAGTGAGAAGTGAGAAGTGTGAAGTGTGGACTGTGAAGTGTGAAGTGTGAAGTGTGAGGTTTGGAGTGTGAAGGAAGCAGTGAGAAGTGAGAAGTGTGAAGTGTGGACTGTGAAGTGTGAAGTGTGGAGTGTGAAGTTTCAGTTTGGAGTGCGAAGAGCGCAGTGTGAAGTGTGAAGTGTGAGGTTTGGAGTGTGAAGTGAGAAGTGAGAAATGAGAAGTGTGAAGTGTGAAGTGTGAGTGAAGTGTGAAGTGTGAAGTGTGAAGTGTGAGGTTTGGAGTGTGAAGGAAGCAGTGAGAAGTGAGAAGTGTGAAGTGTGGATTGTGAAGTGTGAAGTGTGGAGTGTGAAGTTTCAGTTTGGAGTGCGAAGAGCGCAGTGTGAAGTGTGAAGTGTGAGGTTTGGAGTGTGAAGGGAGAAGTGAGAAATGAGAAGTGTGAAGTGTGAAGTGTGAGTGAAGTGAGAAGTGTGAAGTGTGAAGTGTGAGTGAAGTGCGAAGTGAGAAGTGTGAAGTGTGAAGTTTGGAGTGAGAAGTGTTAAGTTTGGAGTGTGAAGGAAGCAGTGAGAAGTGTGGACTGTGAAGTGTGCAGTGTGAAGTGTGAAGTGTGAAGTGTGAGGTTTGGAGTGTGAAGGAAGCAGTGAGAAGTGAGAAGTTTGGAGTGCGAAGAGTGCAGTGTGCAGTGTGAGGTGTGGAGTGTCGAGGGAAGGACACGGTCGGGACAGGGTGTCTTTGAACTATAGGTCATTTATGTTTGGGAAACTTCCGCCGCCGGCTTGCCCGGGTCTATGTTATATTATATATATATATACATATATATATACTCGAATTATCATACTGTGGAAGAAATCCAACCCCTATGTCCCTACGTGTTCATTGTGGTTTATCGTGAAATTGCAACTACTCCCAACCTTCTCTTTGCTGGTGAAAGACCATGCGACTATCATGGCTGGCCCGTTTTAGTAAGGTCTGAGTCACTTTGAGGAAGAAATGCCACCATTTATACATGGATGTAGAGGGAAATGATACCCTCTGGTAAACTAACATAGCTATTGAAAATGGCCCTTTATAGTGAGTTTTCCCATTAAAAATGGTGATTTTCCATAGTTATGTGAAAGTTTACCAGAGGGTAGATGGTCCTCCAGCAATAGTTGTGAAATCAGGGAGTTCAGTGCCTTCGCAATGCAAGAGAAGCATAATTTCTAGGAAGCTCAAAATCTCAATGTTTGATACTCAAATCCACCGTATATTTTTCATGCTTGAATCGGTCTTTATTAAATCACCACAGGATAATCTTCACGGTTTTCAGAATTTGGAATAGTGGAATCACTGTTAATTCATAGTCTAGAACTATAATCCATTATGATGTGGTGATTTTTTGTTCGATTGGGAAATCATTAAAATATTTGTGTGATCATTCTTGGAGGTCTCACAGATCGATCCAAAAACTGTCGAGGAAAACACCACAGGCAGATGACCCCACTGGCAGTGTTTCAATGGGATAACCCCACAAAGGTAGACTTGTGGACAGCGCTGTCAACCACTGACAGGATGATCTTCCAATGATTGCGCTGGAAAAAGATCGAATCAATGGATGATATGGATGGGGAAAACTGATGAATTTTCTCCCCATTTCTGGCAAATCAAAGAACTGGAAATCTGACGAGTCGGTTTTCAGGCGACTTTTTAAGTGAGTAGAGTCTGAGTCAATAATTCATCTTCCCCGCAGCCAACTACACTGTTTTCAATGGATATTGGTTTTGTTGGGAAAATGTTCACCGGAAAGCCCCATGATCGTCATGGGAAAATCGACAGAACTCGACTGCCAAACACCAAGAGAAAGGCCAACACTGCTGGTTTTAGCGCGAACATCGGCACCGCTGTGGTGAAGCCCTAGGCACAACATGGCACAACGGTGTTTGGAGCCTCAATGGCTGCAGAAACGGCACTGGATCTATTGCCCTTCCCGTATGAATTGGAATTTGAATGGAAAGATCAGTTTTAAATGGTGGAGTTCATGGACGGTCCATTGTCATGTTTGATTCCCGGATGATTTTTTCGCATGGACCTGCGAGTGGGCTACCCCTGAAGTTTCGGAAGGAGCCAAGCTCTTTCTCTCTCTCTTCAGCAACAAAAAGCGGATCTCCGAAACGTCTCGTGGAAAAACTGCCAAAGCAAGGGCTGTGAATACCCCAAAAGCCAGCAAAACACCTGTTCTGCCACACCAAAAGGCCTGTAGTGGGGTATCATGAGCATATCCCAAAGTAGCTCCACCTCCATCTCAGAATTTGTTCCCATCCCCAACTAACATGACCCTGCCATTTTTGGATGCTTGGAAGATGTGTTAAACCGCTATATACATTATATATATATACAATGTTCAGGGTCTATGTTAATTTTGGGGCAGGGTCACTTAAATTTCACACTCAACCCCTCCCACTCAGAGGGGCCTTCTCTGCTTGAAGGTCTTCGGGGCTGAAGAGCCACAACTGTACATGACCTTATCAGTAAATGCCTCAGTCGGCGATCAACTTGGAAGGTTTCCCTAGGACAATGATGTCATGGTATTTAAAATCTATTGGGAACAAAAAACAACAATACATGGTATTGTGCAATATATTGAGAAAGAAAAGGTGATAGAAAATGGATATACTACCAATAATAATTACACGATGGGTGTACCCTCTGGTAAACTAACGTAACTATGGAAAATCACTATTATGAATGGGTAAATCCACTATAAATGGCCATTTTCAATAGCTATGTTAGTTTACCAGAGGGTAAATATGGATCATGGCACCCATGGTATGGAATCCCTTGCTGCAAAAACAAGTCTCTGGATGTTCTGGATGTTCATTTCAAAAACATGTGCGAGGAAGACCATTTCTTGATGGCGTGGGCTCTCAAACCCACTGGTCTTTGGGAGGATTTATGGGTTCCTCTACAGTAAATCGAAGTGTTTTTCCGGGCTGAACCTAATTTGTTCGGCCACATCCTGCAAAATGTGAACGGCCAAACTTCACGATTCGCAGTTGGGTAGCATATATCTCTGTCCATCGACGTGACAAAAAAAAACTCAAACTTCTCCCAGATATAGGTTAATATACACTGTGTTGATGAGTATCCCATTTATGCTATATTAACCGTATTAACCTACATATATCATATGTTTCCCTCCTGTAATCAAACATGGCTTGCTGAAAAATCCGCCATGGCTTGTTGGATGATTTTCCAGCGGCCACGTTTGATGACACCGGATGCTACCTAACCAATACCCTCTTGGAAACTAACATAGCTATTGAAAATGACCATTTATAGTGAGTTTTCCCATTAAAAATGGTGGATCTTTCCATAGTTATGTTAAATTACCAGAGGGTATTCCATGAACATATTCCACGGATGTTCCATTTCCCATGAAAGATACCATCATGATTCCACCCATTTTTCTCGATGAAATCCCAATTTCTTCTTGGTGCAACCGCCGTTGTCCATAGATTTTCCATTTAAAAAAACTGGTTGGTGGGTTAAAAAACCATGAAAAATCATGGACTTCGTCAATGAGAAAAACGGATGACATCCCTTTTTGATGAAATGGAAAAATATGGAAAGTCATAATCCAGTCATCTTTGAAACCACCAGTCCCAGATTTTGTCAAACATCTATACCATCCATTAACCATCCATTATCCCATATCTTAAATGGAAAAAAATGTTCCAGTCACCACCAGATTAATGTTCCACAGATTTTGCCGACGGACAGGATCGGATTTCTCTCCGACGGCCGTGGATTTCGACTTGGGCACCGAAAAGGGCCCCGAAGGGGTGTAGTCCTAAGGTGTTCGTTCGAAGGGAGGGTGACACAGGTTCCTCTCAGAACTTTTAGAAGGGACATTGAATGGTGAGTTGATGGTGAGTTTATGGTGAGTTTATGGTGATTTATCTATGAAAAATTGGGATTGAATGGGATTTACTGGGCTTTTACGGTGAGTTGATGGGGATTTAATGGGGGTAAGAGGGATATGGACGGATAAAAAGGTATGTATGTATGTAATGTAATGTAGCGTAATGTAATGTTATGTAATGTTATGTTATGGATGGATGGGTGGATGGATGGACTGATGATCTGATGCAACAACAACAACAACAAGAAGAAGAAGAAGAAGGAGAAAAAGAAGAAGAAGAAGAAGAAGAAGAATATATATATGGTTGTGTCTGAAAGTTGGGTATGCAACTTTCAAGAGAAAAATGATGAGAAAGCAGATGATGGAATGGGGGATCCCATCGTTTCTTGGCAATATCCGCAACGGTTGGATGTGAAAGTATAATCTGAATGACTGCAATCCCCAGCAAGAATAAACAAAATGAAGGTAACCCTCCACTTTGTCTCAATGGATTGGTTTTGCCTCATCGATTTTCCCATTGAATATGAGGCTTTCCGATTATTTTTTTCCCTTAAACCAATCCATTGAATCAAAGGAGTGAGATGTAAAATTACTGCGATCGCATTGAGATCATTGAGATTTAATCAGAAACTATAAGGAATATAAGGTATAGGCACCAACTCTCAAGTGGCTTTCATGGCCGAACCCCTTATATAACTGTGCTTTCATATGGCCGAACTGGTATAGGCATATATGAATATACCATAGATTATAAGGGCCTATACCATAGATTATACAGATAATCCATTGAAGAACCATAAGATTATACAGATTATACCATAGATTATACCATAGATATACCAAGTGGCGGGGTTATCCATTGAAGAACTGTGCTTTCATCATGCCCGACCCCATGACCCCCGTCCGTGAAAATCTCGGAATGTTCCGGCTGCATCATGACCTGGAGGTCAAGGGTCAAGCCACGTCTGGTGATCCCAGCATATGAAGAAACCATTAGTGAGGCCCCCGGCCACGATATCTAAGTTGGGGGCCACATAACTCCAATGTCACTATGGTTTATGGTACTTATAACTAACTAGTTACTGGGGCTTTTGTTAACCAACGTTCACATCACTGGGGGGCCTCATATGAAGAAAACCCGTGGCTCTGAAAACGCAGAGAAATTATACCAAGACTTCCTAGATCTCACTTGTGTGAAAAACCTATAGTTCTTTGCAATCCCTATGATTGTATCGTCAAGAGTCCGATTTTGATGCCTGAATCCTTGTTCTGTATGTTCAAATCACTCTTTTCAGTGGCTAACTCTGTGCTTTTTCATGGTCAAAATGCAATTTTCTGAGGTCTCCAAATTCTCTATTGAAAATCACCATGAACACAGTCAAAATTCCCAATTTTACAGCTAAAGTTAACCATTTTCTACAGTCCAAAATATGTCAAAGTCCCAATTGAACCTTCGCTAAATCACCAAGTCTGCGAATCGCAGTCTACAACACCCGGCCTCCGGCAGTGTTTTCTGCATGCGCGGTACCACCTGTGACCAGAGTTCCGGCCAGACCTGTGGCTCTGTGGCTTGAGGCGAAGCATGGCGAAGCATGTGGAAAAGCACCAAGTTTAGGTAAATCATTAGATAAATCATCCAACTTAATGGGCCCTTCCATAGCAAACTGTCAGTTTACTGCTTTGCTAACGGATTTATGTCACAACAAAACCGGTTGTTCGAAGCTTCGCTGTTCTCCGTGGATTTGGCCCTTTCGTGAGGACACCTTCATAGCCGAAGCCAATGCAGCTGCACCGTTCCGTCTTAGCCTTAGAGTGCCATCGAAAATGCTCCGGTGAAACTGGCTGGAGAATCACCGTGATGTGATTTTAGGTGGACTTCGGCAAGGCAAATCATTGGATGCTAACTACCGGAAGTCAGTGGATGTTACTTTATTAATGGGTATAACTATACGGTATATACGGTATAACCATGGAGCAAAATGGTGTTTTTTAGGCCCCATGTTTGTTGGGATATGGATTTCAACTGGTGATACCTTCCGGTCAAACTTGCTGAAGCCAATCCTCATATGGTTTTCCCGAGTAAAGCCGATGCGGGGGGGAAAGGTCCATTGCCATCTCTGGCCAGATGCTACACTCGTTGACACAGCAACGACCTAGAACGGATATTGATCGGGGAAGAACCTCATCGCAACGAGGCTTTTTCTGGCGAAGGGAACTATCCTTCCACTCGAGAGGGGAAGAATGATGCAGAACTGAGCCAGAACTGTGGTGCCCAATAAAAAAACACTCGAAAGAGAAATCATACGGCGTAAATTTGGGGTTAGAAATTGAACAACCCTGTTGGGTTTACTAACGCTCGGAAGAGAAATTGTGGGTGGTTGTAAACCCAACAGTAAACAACCCACAACTTAGCCAGAAATTGGTGATAGCCATCCCCATAAGCCCAAGATTCCAATGATTCCGGGAAACTCTGTGCGAATGTGTCAGCATTTCAACCCTTAAATCCGTTAAACAGGAGTTACATGTTACTACTGCGAATGGCTATGAATGGCTATCATTCATGATTCTACCCGCTGGCAATTTACCAATTTGCTACGGAAAAGATTGGAAAAACACCATGGATTTCTAATATGTGAATCATCGCACTCAATGGGCCATGACTTTCATTTTTTTTTGGGGTTACCCGTAGGGTATTCCATCTGGTGTTTATGGTAACATGGTGTTGGTGTAACCAACATAAACCATTTCATAGCTGGTGTTTATGGGTTTTATGGTTTCATCTCTCCCGATGGTACCCATTTCAGGCATCCAAGAACCAGTCATCGATTTGGTATTAAAAACTGGATTTAAGCAACATAACCAACAAGACACGATGAACAACCAACATGTAATGTGTTGCTTGTCTCACAAAAAAAGAACTAAATTAAAGCCCCACAAACCATAAACCATAGCTTTATAGGCTATCCCATATTCGATCAGAATATATTTAAAAAAAACTGTCCGGTGATTCCATCCTATGGCCTTGAACGTCAACACCTCATAGTTTACAGTGAAATGAAAGTAAAACATAGTAAAACCCCATCAACAATCCAATGGTTCAAAAGTTCATTTTCCCATCATTTTCCCATATTTTCCCATATTTTCCCACATTTTTCCCAGTTTTTTTGTAATGGTCAGTCATGGAATCTTCAGTCGACTCCCCCCTGGCTCCAGGTATGTCAGGTATGGAGAACCGGGCGATGGAATGTTGTCAGCCATTTGGTCGAACCAAAGTTCCAACCTCGCGCTCCGTCGCGCTTGGTCGGTCGGTCCAAGCAAAACAAAATCCGGGCGTTCTGAAACGAGCAAAATAAGTTGGTGGTTTTTTGAAGCAACAAAAATCTGCGGTGTTTAGCCAACAAGTAATTTGGATCTAAGATTTGTTGTTAAATAATTGAAGCCACTCAGTTGCTGGTGGTGTTTTTTCCATCCCAAAAAACAGCATCCCAACCATCCCATCGCCATCTCTATGGGTTTTTCACCATGTCGAAGATGACGAAGATTTGACACCACAGCACCCTTCGTTAAACGTGGCGCTGCTTCTTGCAGAAATTCTACGTTTTTCTCGGGACCCGAAAAACATTCGAAGACCCGAAATTCACGAGATCTGCCGAAAAAATTCACCAAAAACCCTGAGGAATTTCCATATTGCACTCATTCTCCAAGTGAAACAGACAATGGAAATGCCCTGATGGTTGATCATCAGATGCAAGTCTGAGGACAAGGCAACTCCGGCAGAATGCCTCGGCATTCCTCTGGAAACGCCTGAACCTGAGCTCGGGTCGTTGAATTCCCGTGGACTTGGGCCAACGGTTACCCTATGGGAATTGGAGGCTTTGCCATGGAACAATCATCATGTTTACCCTCTGGTAATTTAACATAGCTATGGAAAATCACCATTTTGAATGGGAAAACCCACTATTTCTATGGCCATTTTCAATAGCTATGTTAGTTTGCCAGAGGGTAGTAGCTACAACATGGTACGATCTATAGATCGGCGATTTTCCATAGACGAAATCACATCACAAAAAATGGTTCATTACTTATTGACTTGTGTTTTTTTCTCACCATGCCCAGATGATAAGTTGGATTTTCTCTGAATCATGGAGATTCAGAGGTTTAGGGCGGGGCTTCCTAAGGGTGTTACAGACGTCCGATTTGTTGAACGAGAAATCGCTGGCTGGCATTTCCCACGGGATGAAGCTTCTGTTAGTCATCCGGTTAACACATGGGTGAAACCACAGCTTTCTGTTAAGCCTACCATCTGGTTATGACATTCACAGTGAGCGAGTCATGGAAAGATCCACCAGGCTATTAAGAACGGTAAACCATCTATTTCGATTAGGGCCATCGAAAAACCATGGCAAACTGTGAATGTCATAACCACAGGGTATATAGAAATCACCAAGACCATCTTACAACAGGTGATCTTAGCCTATACAAATCACATCTCGCACCATCTATAAATGGTGGGAGTTCCACCTTCATCATCCCATTCCAAGACGGACGTCCAAAGGACGAAATGGCCCAAGGCCGTACTGGCCACGTCTCGCACCTCGAAAAAAGCAGCGACAAAAGCGTAGCGTTTTGGAAACGGGGTCATTATCGATCCATCTTAAAGCGCAAAACCATGTTAGGGACAATTATAGATGGACTATGTATATATATAATTATATATATATATATTCATAATATATATATATAAATATATTCATAATATATATATAATCATAATATATATATATAATCATTATGATATATAAACATGATATAATTATATATATGTGATATATCATGATATATCAATTATGGAGTCTTTATAACTGGAGGGTTATGAACCAGTTATCAAGAGATGCTCTGATAGATACTGGGGATTTGTCGATGGGAATTCGACCAAATGTTGGATGAATCTCGGCTGAAGTCTGACCATTCATTAAGCTGGAAATAGGTTTTTATCATACTGCCATTTGGGATGATTCCCTGTATATATATATACATATATATATATATACGATTTGAAGCATCATTCCAGTGACGGAAAACGACGTGAAGCCAAGAAATATGTCAACCACATAAAATGGTGCTTACATAACACTTTATAATCCATTACATAATTACATTATATTACATTCACATAAAATGGTGGCTACAAAACCGTGTTTATAATTACATTCACATAATCCATTATGAACTGTTTTATATAATTGACAGTAAGTATACAATTATAGATGGTAATTATAGTCACTATCATAATCCACTATTGCAATCTTAGAGGAGACCATCTTGGCTTTCAGTGATCAATGCACCATTTTTTACGATGCTTCGAGCTCCATCTTGGATGAAATGCAGCTCCAAAACCTGGTGAAATCCATGGGGACTCCTCGAGGTTAAGAATTCACTTGCATATGAGTCCACAGAGGAGTTCATTTTTCCTCGTAACCATGTGGATTAATAGTTTTTTATCGCCAAAAAAAAAAGGATTTTTTATCCGTGGTTTCCATGGTTCATCTTGGATTGTTGTCAATTCAAACGAAACGTTTTTGCCAAAATATCCCAAAATCCAGTGCTTGAAACCTCATGTTCACCATGTTTCAACGGCCATAAATCAATAAATCGCTATCCCATTTACAGGCAAAGCCGAAAACATCGGCACCTGCCTCTGTGTTCCAAGGAACTAGTGGAACTTTGCTGGTAAAGACCCCGAACGCACAAATGTCTCTTCAACCTATCCATTGATGGTCCGGTTTTTGGATGCTTTGACTTGAAACAAAACGCACAAAACATGTGGAGTTTGTATCATGAAACTCTACCTGGCATCAAAGTGCAAGGTGGATAAAATCCAGTTATTCAAAATAGTGTGTCAAGTGTGTTACATCCAACAATGCTTCTCCACTATAATGTCAACCCCGGATTAATAAACAATCAGAGGGTATCATTTTAGTAGCAAATTATCTCTGGGGTCACCCCCCGCTCCTTAGCCAGGTCAATGCGGATATGAATTGCGGTCGGTAAATCCTATTACGATCACCAGGTTTACCCCATCAAATCACCGTTTAGTTGTACTATGTTATACTACAGTATGTTGTACTTAATTCCGATTATGACAGGTGCAGCCCAGTAACTAGTCCAAGTATGTCCAAGTCATAAAATGTCATACATGATGAGGCGCCGCGGTTATGCTTCTTGGTTTACATTCATCCCATCAATACGAGTTAGTTCGCAAGAACCCCCCAAATCAACCATAGAATTCACCAAGTTATGTGCGTCAACTGAGCGATTTCGTTTTTACGGTGGCCACAGGTTGCAGAACCTAACCATCTCGGGCCAATGGTTTTTTGGTAGTCTCGATCGACCAGAGACCCACCGAAAATGATGATAAAGACTCTAGACCATGTTCATATGTCTTCAGTTTTCATCCGTGTTCCATTTTTAATACTACTAAGATGTTTAATACGACAATATTAGAGACCCTATCTTAAGATTCTTTCTGATGTTCAATACCCTCTGGTAAACCAACATAGCGAACTGGCTATTATCACCATTTTGAAGTTCGGTACATCAACGAACTAAATCACCATTTTCCACTTCGCTAACTGTAACAAATTACCAGAGGGTATAAATGGTTATATTATGTTACATGTTATATTCATATTCCATTGATGGCAGGGTCTATGTTAATTTACTGTAGAGTATATCCCATTTATATATGGTTAGATCAATAGATAATTAACCAATAATTAACCATCAAATGGGATATAAATGAAATATAAACCATTAATTAACCACTCCATTATAAACCATTGATCTCGTAAGGTAAGCGGCTTATTTTGAAGGACCTCCTTAGCCAAGATCCTAGCGGATCCCTGGGCAACCCCGGCTGGCCAAGATTCATCCCTGAAGGCATCCAGCAAGGCCTTCAACATGCGTTGCCTCAGCGTGGCTGGTGCCGCCCAGGTTTTAAGTTGATAGCCGACGATATTAGTTTCAATGTTAGTTAATGTTAGTTAATGTTAGTTGATGTTAGTTAATGTTAGTTAATGTTAGTTAATGTTAGTTAATGTTAGCTACTGTTAGTCAATGTTAGTTTATGTTAGTTCTTTTTTGGTGCCTTGTATGTTAGTTCATGTTAGTTATTTAAGCTTTAATAAGCCTTGTTAGTTCATGTCAGTTCTTTGATATATCTACGATAAATCTTAGTTGCTGGAGTTATAAAATAGACTTAGTCAACTATGGGGCACCACCGTTGTAGGTGTTTTCCCCCGATACACCAAGAATATTTCATTCGATCATCCTCAGCGTGCATTGTCGTCATCCTCACAACAAATAACAACTTGAGGCCGGGGGTGGATGACGAAAGCTAGCGGGGTAGGAGAAAGAAGGAAGGGAAGAGGTGAGTTGCGGAGGGACTGTCATCATCGTGTCGCGGCATTGTTCGTCCCAACGAGGATGCAACAATGATATATTGATATATGATATATAACAATGATATATAACAATGATATATATGGGGGAGGGGGCAGGGGGGGCCCTTTCGCGGGAAAAATCACGTGATGTCCTTGGGGAGCCCCGGAATACGTGCTAAAGCAAGAAGACTCTAGCGAGCTGACGCTAGCTATCGTGATAATGACAATAATTGCCAATAATGATAAAATGTAATTGAATAACGATGATGATGATGATGATGAATGATGAATGATGAATGATGAATGATGAATGATGAATGATGAATGATGATGATGATGATGATGATGATGATGATGATGACGAGGATGATGATGATGATGATGATGACGACGACGATGACGATGACGAGGACGATGACGAGGACGACGATGATGATGATGATGATGATGACGATGACGAGGACGAGGACGAGGACGAGGACGATGGAGAGGACGATGACGATGATGATGACGATGATGATGACGATGATGATGATGATGATGATGGTGATGGTGGTGATGGTGGTGATGGTGGTGGTGGTGGTGAGGGGGGGGGGCCCTTTCGCGTGAAAAATCACGTGATGTCCTTGAGCAGCCCCCCCAATACTTGCTAAAGCATGCTAAAGCAAGAAGACTCCAGCTAGCTGACGGTAGCTTTCGTGATAATGCTGATTGAAAAAACAAGTCATTACTCCAAATATAGGTAAATATCAGCACTATTGTTACTGACTAGTTTTGGAATAATGCTGATGATAATGACTCGTTTTTTGGAAAAACAATCAATGTATAGGAAAAAAACAAACGTATTCAAAAAAATGGTCATCATCGTCGTCGTCGTCATCAGGAAACCGTGGATCTGCTGGCCAAATACAGTGATTCCTGCCAAGTCCCTGACAACCAATTCTTGGATCTTGGACCCCAAACTTTGGATGGTTTTACTGAGCGCTTCAATACTTCAAAATGCCACCTGGGAATTGGCAAATTGGCAATTTTTGGAGCCCAAATACTTGCAACAATACCTCGTTGTTGGATATAGGACACCACATGTTGGATGAATCTGGCTGACAATAATTCATTCACCGTGAAAACAGCTGTTATCATATGGCCGGGGATGATTCCCCACGATCAAATTCAACCAGATGAATACCTCAATCAGATTGCCAACTTCTACAGATCAAGTCGTTGTTCCAACGACTTACCCTCTGGTTATGACTCACAGAAAAAGCGAACTGGAAAATGACCCATAGAAATAGTTGATTTACCTATGACAAATGGTGGATCTTTCCATCGTTTTTTGTAAACGTTTACCAGAGGGTAAAACCCCTGAGCATCCACAGTTCATGGCGTTGATGGCCCCTTCACCCCGACAAAAACCCCGGGGAACCCGACACGCGCGCAGAAGTGAAATGCTCACGGAAGGGGGTGGGCGCGGAAGGTGAACCTGGAGAACCAAGGTGTTGGTGTTTGTTGAAAATTTCTCTGTATAATTTCATCATATTTAATTGTTTTACTTAGTTGAAGATTAGAAGATGTTGTTAGCTAGTTAGCTTTAGTGTGGGTTTTAGTCAGAAAACCAAGTGTTTGTTGAAGATTTCAAAAACGGTTTTAGTTAGTTAAAGATTAAGGATGACTAAAGTGTATCTAAGATCCAGGTCTTTAGTGTTTCGTCATTTTAGGTATACACTAAACTATCTGAATATGTATGTTTGCGATGTTTCTCCAAAAAATGAGATGCTTAGACGATTGATCCGCGCTCAAAAATGCCATAGTGGTGCAAATCTTTGACCAATGAGGATCGAAACAGAAAACGGTGGACACCAATCCCAGAAAAGGCGCATACTGGGGCCAAAACCCATCTGTAAAGTTGGCACCCCAAAAAATGTGGCGACCTTTCATTTGAACTCCATCGAGAGCTGACCTTTTTGGATCTTTTTGCGCCGTAGATTTTACTGGTGGATACTGGTGGGGTTTCCAATGGATTCTGAAAAGCCAAGTTGTGGTGGTTGAAAACAAGTGGTTGATAGCCAAAGCCCACATCGTTTTTCTAATCCCGGGGAATCCAGTTGGGATTCTCGTGATTCGCATCTTCCATAGCTACAATTAGTGAGGCCCCCGGCCACGACATCTAAGTTGGGGGCCACATAACTCCAATGTCACGAACTGGTTTATGGTACGGTACTTATAACGAACTAGTTACTGGGGCGAATCTGTTAACCAACGTTCACATCACCTTTGGGGGCCTCACATTCTCATCTTCATCTTCCATAGGTAGAATTGCCTAAGCGAAGAACCACCCATCCTAGATAATCACACTTTAATATCAGATGAAGCTGGGGCAAAAATGAGATCAGCCAACAAGAATGGGGCATCCCTAAATTTACTAAATCCCGTCGTTTCTCATCTTACGAAGAAAAAAACATGGCCGTAGTATAGCGTCTCCACCATTTCTGCACCTGAAAAATCCGGCTGGATTTCAATCCTTCAGCGACCTGAAATACGCTGATTTTGGGGAGAGTCGCCCCTACTAACCATCAATGGTGACGCAGTGGTGCCGTCGACATCATATGTCTGAAGCAGGCTACCAAAAAAAATCGCTGATCATCGGTGTCTTCAGCTATTTCCCATCCAGATCATCCAGTGGATCAGGAATCCCCAACAATGGAGGATATCAGCTACAGGATGGGGCCCCCCAGTTATGTTTGTGGGTTTATAAACCATGAAATAAGCCCTATTAACTAGTTCGTTATATCTACCATAGAGCCACTGAAATAAGGCAACTGAACGCTATCGACTGGGGGCCCCATCCTGTAGAATATTGGAATCCCATCATGGATGCTGATAAATATCAAATCAACTTAAATAGCTGATAAATTTCGATATCCCATCCATGAACCCACTCCCAAATCCTTGGCGAAAATTCTCCAATGACTATCCCATCAGTATCCTAATCCCATCCCCTCATAGTGCACAGCCCTAAACGAAACCATAGTAAATCGTGGAGGATAAAACCACATAGGAACCATAGAGACCGTAGAATCTTGCTGTTTTTCTTCGGTGGTTCATCAAATTCAGACCCAGGATGACCCGCCACCTGCTACACGAGCCGCCAGTTCCGAAATGCAGTTGCTGGCCGCCTGGCGATTGAACCAAATGCCAGAGAGCTGACGCCCCAAACACACTACAATGTGGGGCCCCCTAGTTATAAGTTGGTTTATAAGCCCCAATAACTATAGTTATAAGTACCATAAACCATAGTTATTGGAGTTATAAACCAACTTAGCTATCTAGAGGGCCCCACTTTGTACTTGTTTTTTTTCCAACTGGAACAAAATGATGTTGATCATTTTATGCGACAAGAATTTTCGTTGAGCCTTTTCAAACTTTGAGAATTAGCTTATACTACTAACATCTACTAACACTTTCTGTTTGGTGGTTTATTTGACCCCCTCTAAAAATATGAAAATCCATGGCGATCATTTGCTCATTCTGATGAGCCTTATTGACCTGGAATGAGCTGGAAAAAATACCCCAAATGGGGGGTTCTTAAAATGGGGGGTGCCCCAATAACTGGATGGTTTATGATTTTAAAAAAACCATTGAATGGGTGATTTGGGGGTCCTCCCATTTATAGAAACCTCAAATATTGCAGGCTGTGTAACCCGTGTGGTCCTCCATTTCAGACTCAAAGGTTTCCATGTTTTACCTACTTTGATGCCCAGTGAATGGATCATTATCTACATTGACTCTGGAAAAAAAATCCAGTTCTACAGTTATAGGATAGAAATCAATCAATTGTAGGTCATCATCATTTGAATATATTCGAATATAGGTTACCCTCTGGTAAACTGTTACATAGCTATTGAAAGATCCACCATTTTTCATGGGAAAATCCACTATATGGCCATTTTCCATAGCTATTTTGACATAACCAGAGGGTATCATCCAGTTTTCGGAAAGCCCCCGTGGATTTTCCATCTCATTCCATGACTCTACGTCCGCATCCGCCGGGTTTTTGCTACGGCCTCGCGCACCGCGTGGTTGGGCGCACGCGCGGCATCCACATAAGCATCCAACACACCTCGGAGGTCCGGAGATGCTTCTGGTCGACTTGGCCAACCGTTCCCATTTGATGCCAAGACTTGGAGGGAACATCTGTAGAGACCATGGGTTTTTAGCATTTTTTACCATCAATCTGGGTAAAGGCCATAATATTTCACTATCACTAACCTGAACTAAGGCAACCTGAATTGTTGGGCCATGTTGGGATGATTCCCCTTACTAACCATGATTCCCAGGGTTCGGGAGGACGACGTGAGGTCGTGATCAAATTTACCCAGATCAATGGCAGCAGGGCTGGTTTTTACCCATGGGTTTTTTACCATTTTTTTTTTGGCTATCCTGCAGATGCCCAGAAAAAACCATCCATTTTTTGGATGTCCCTTCGAAAAATAGAGGGGCTGGTGGTTCATGATCCCATCGCATCAAACGCCAACGGACATTGTATCCGAGTGTATCCCATGGTATCCGGGGGTACACTCTGTGGCAACCCCAAGATGGAAAAGTAAAATCCTACAATGTGGGGCCCCCTAGTGATGTTAGTTGGTTAACAAAAGCCCCAATAACTATAGTTATAAGTACCATAAACCATAGCTATTGGAGTTATAAACCATATTTAGTACATATTTAAAAAAAAATGTATACCATCCAGTATACTAACATAGCTATTGAAAATGGCCATAGAAATAGTTGATTTACCCATTACAAATGGTGGATCTTTCCATGGTTATGTTAGCTTACCAGAGGGTAAAAATGGCAGTTCTACCTTTTTGGGGGGGTACTGTATCACATTGTATGATTATATTCATTTATCCATAAAGTACAAAATTTATCCAATAAAGTGGTTGGTGGCATCACAATGTTTCATGGGTAATATAATACGAATGATAGTAGTAACAATAATAATAATAATCATCATCATCATCATTTTGATCACGGGAGTCGCAAGTCGCCCATTTGCGCCAAGTCGCTATCAAAGTGCGCCACCAACAGCCTGCATCAGGTTGGGAAAACAATGAAGGGAAAACGATGTGATGTGTGTCTGTGTTTCGCCCAAAGATTCAAGGGATTCCCAAAGTGGCAATTTTGTCTGGGAGATGACACTTTCGACAATTAGTTGGGAAAGTCGTCCTATGCTTTTCAGACAAACCCAGGTGTGGCTGCGACCCCTTGATCTCTGGTTGCATTTCCCCTGACAATGAGGATGTCAACCTTCCCCATCTGAATCTTATAAGACATGTTCCATGCATATCCCCAATTTTAGACTTGTTCGCCCGCAAAAATCATTCATGTTTCCAGATGTTCGAGATGTTGTACCCCCTGGCAATCGAACAGTTTGCGCAGTGGAAAACCTGGTTGGTGGTTTCAACCCCTCTGAAAAATATGAAAGTCAGTTGGGATGATTATTCCCAATATATGGAAAGTCATAAAATTCCATGGTTCCAAACCACCAACCAGAAAACCCTTTTCAAGCTCGCTAAATCATCTACAAAATTCGCCCATCGAACACCCCAACCTCTGGAATTCCCCGGAGATTTCCGAAGGGTTTCTCCCATGTTTTTCCTATTTTCCAGTGGTTTTTCCCATGTGTTTCCTATTTTCCAGTGGTTTTTCCCATGTTTTTCCTATTCTCCAGTGGTTTTTCCCATGTTTTTCCTATTTTCCAGTGGTTTTTCCCATTGTTTTTTCCCATGAAAAGTCGGGATCCATCGAACCCCGGCCCCAGCCTGGCGCCCCCCAGCGGTCCGCAGACACGTCGCCAGGTGTCCTGTGAAAAGAGCCGCACGCCTTCGGCCACGTAGTGGCGGTTCAGGCCTCGGCGGTTGCGCAGCTTAGCAGCTTCGTCAGGTGATGAGAATAGGAGGGTTGAGAAAATCCGGAGAAAATGGATACCCTCTGGTAATTTGTTACATAGCTATGGAAAATCACCATTTTTAATGGGAAAACTCACTATAAATGGTCACAATGAACATCCAGAACATCCAGAGACTTGTTTTTGCAGCAAGGGATTCCATACCATGGGTGCCATGATCCATATTTACCCTCTGGTAAACATACAAAAAGCTATTGAAAATGGCCATAGAAATAGTGGATTTACCCATTAATAATGGTGATTTTCCATAGTTACGTTAGTTTACCAGAGGGTAAGATGTTTAAAAATCGATTCATGATGACAATGCGTTGTTGAAATTATTCATGATGATAATGATAATGGTAATGATACTAGTAATGATTGAAAATGATTATATAATATATAATTACCGATGATGATGATGATGATTATAGTAATCGTTAAAAATGATTATAATTACCAATGATGATGATCATGATAATCATGATAATCATGAGAATGATGATAATGATGATAATGAAAAATAATAGTTGCAATAGTAAATCGTATCATGGTTAGTCATAATGGATATACTGGAAATGTGAATAATCTTAATGGTTATAGTGGTTATATAATATTTACATTATTCATTATTCTTGAAATGGTGATTATTGGTAGTCTTAGCGGATAACAATAATTAGTTGTTTTGATTATTGTAATAATCGTGGCTATCATAATGTAATCATCATAGATTTACAATCATGGATCATAGTGGTTTGATTCTGATTGACATTATTGACCAGAATATTGATCATAATATTTTGGGAAAACATCTGTTTAAAAATTCTAATCCCACAATATTCATAGATCATTGATCGTAATATTTGATAATGGGTAACAGTGGCTGATAATAATGGTTGACAAAAATCAATAATAGCAATAATGATTGTCATATCTATGAACAATCATGAGGATAATAATTACTTAATAACAATGATAATATTCTGTAGGATAATGAACAATACAGTAGTGGTTAAATGTGGTGGCCATCATTACAATGAATCTTAGCGATAATCATGATGTTCGACAAGTCAACTGGGAAACAATGCCCCCAAGATAGGTAAATTGGTGCATAACTTGGTTTCACAGTGGTTTATTGTGGTTACAACATGTTATGACCATAGTTTATGCACCCAAAGATGGGTATAACCATAGAGTTTGTAAACTAGTAAACTGTGGTTTTAACATGTTATAACCATAGAGCTTATTATGGTATGTTTGTGTTTATAACCATAGTTTATAGGGCTAAACTAACGTATTAAAATACTTGGTGGGAAGCGTTCATAGGCTAAAAAACCCTGGTTTGTACGTGGGCTGGGTAGGGTTAGTAAGTTCGTCCGCTTACAGTTGCTTCTATAACATACTAAGTAGGATGAACCCACCAAGAAACATATTGGAAGATTAGTATGGTTGAGAATATCTGAACATGGATTCTTCCAGCTCTGGAGTTTGTAAACATTAAACATGTGAAATATGGGTTGTGCTACACTAGGCGCTGTTTTCTTATTCTTGCCAGTAGGGTTGTAGCAGGGATTGGGAAAAATTAGGCACACCCAACTATTGGGGATAATGTCCAACAAATACTTCGAAAGTCATGTTCAAAATCCTCAAAAGAGATCATTTACCAACGCATGTGTCGGATCAGTCTCCTTTTCTCGGGGGTTCTACGATCCAAAACCAGTTGAGAAATAGATCTATTATGATCTATTACTAGTCCATATTACTTGATGGATATTAATATCAAGATCCATAACAATAGATCTATTAGTAGAGTAGTACTTGGATATTACTATGGATATTACTATGGATATTACTATGGATATTACTATGGATATTACTATGGATATTAATATCAACTCCTCGAAGTACTCCATCTTAATAGATCTATTAATGATCAAAAATCTCGCACTCCACTGGCGCATCGTCCTCGCGGGATGATGGCTCGTGACTTGGAGGATCCAGGGTCGTCCATTAAAACGGTCATGAAGGGTTTCTGGGTTAGAAAGGCCAAGGTGAAGCATGGTTATCTATATGATGTATAGATATATGGCTTTAATATGCTTTTATATGGTTTAATATGGATAATAATGGTATAATAATGGGATCACAATACTGGTTGGTGGTTGACCTACCCCTCTGAAAATATGAAAGTCGGTTGGGATGATGACATTCCCAATATATGGGATTTAAAAAAAAAAACAAACCACCAACCAGATTAGTATTACAATAATTTTGTTGGTTACTCTAACCCCATATTTTTTTACAGTAATAAATTAGTAATAAAGTCAAAATTACGATAATCCCAGTAACAGTATCTACTCTGGGTCAATCATTGTTACCCTCTGGTTATGTCAAAATAGCTATTGAAGCCATGGCCATAGAAATAGTAGATTTTCCCATGAAAAATAGTGGATTTTTTCATAGTTATGTGACAGTTTACCAGAGGGTACACCCATCTGGTAATTCTTATTGCTAGTATATCCATATCACCCAAATTCTTTCTCAATAGATTGCAAAATACCATGACATCATTGTCCTAGGGAAACCTTCACATTAAATCCCATTAAATGCCATTGAATCACCATTAAATCCCATTAAAACACCATTTTCCTATGGTTTTCCTATGGTTTTCCTATGGAAAATGGTGGATCTTTAAGCCCCGAAACATTCACCAGTGCCTGGAGCGCCAGGGCTCCCAACACATTAGCCCCAGGAGCTGCGGGTAGAACTTTTCCTTCTCATCCCCCGCCTGGGAATGGTAGCCGGCCATGGGAAAACCATAGGAAAACCATAGGAAAACCATAGGAACATGGAGGTTTACCCGGCCTGGTTATGACTAACATAGCCAACATCACCATAGCTATTGGTGGGAAATTCATGGTTTTTTTGGGGATATTCATAGATTTATAGTGATTCAATGGGATATTAATTTAGGATATACCCTCTGGTTATGACTAACATAGCCATGGTATAGATGGCCCATAGAAAGTTCGATGGTTTACCGTTCTTCAAAATGGCCATGTTCGATAACTATGTTAAATTACCAGAGGGTAAGTCAAACCGACAAGGTGCCCCCGCATTTGATCCAGTTGGTCAACTTCGTATCATGATTGTTATGTTGACCATGATTGTTACAGTGTATATATATATATAATTCCAATGATTGTTAGATTTATATAACCCCAACAGTATACAACTGTTGATAACTATACATATAACTCCAATGATTGTTATCAACTTGGTATAACTATAACTGACTCGGTATCATTTGGTATAGTCTTATAGTTTTACGAATCAGTCATTTGTACCCCAAGGGGTATCATTTATACAATTTGTATAATCAGTTATGGTATCTGAATCGTATAACTTACCGTATAAGTTGGGCGTTGTTATGTTTACTACTAATTTACTCTTACCGCCATGACTTACCCATAACTTACCCACTACTTATAATATGGTACTTGGAATCATTTATACCATTGATTCCTAAGTTCACTATGTTTAACTATATGTATATCTATATATGTATTCCTAAGTTATATATATATACATATAGTTATCAGTTGTGGTACTTGTATAACTTTCCGTATAACTATCTGGTTGGTGGTTGACCTACCTCTCTGAAAAATACGAGTTCGTCAGTTGGGATTAATATTCCATTCCCAACTGAATTGGAAAGTCAGAATCCATTCCATGGTTCCAGTCACCAATCAGACTACATGTCAAATGTCAACCCCGGATTAATAAACCCTGGTTGATTAATTCTAGTGGTTCCCCCAAATAGTAATTTCAGTGGCTACTGAAATGCTACCCCCCCAATTAAACAGCCGTAAACGGGGTTTATCAATCCGGGGGTTGACATTATTCATTGGGTTGGTTTAAGGGAAAATCGTAACCGGAAACCCATGGGTGTTTACCATCAAATTGATCGGGCTTTCCGGTTAAAATTTTCCCATCATCCAATTCTATGATTTCTAGCTTCGTTCACCTCTAGGTTGGCTTTTTCAGTGGATGATCACCCAGTGATGTTAGTTTGTTTATAAACCATGGTAACTCCAAAGTCATGGGGCTCCACCGCGCCTTGTCATTGAAGGCCCTGGCCGCCACTGAGGCCGCATAACGCACCTGGCTCCAGTTGTCCTTGATGCCGTTGGCCAAGACCTTCACCTGGTACCGAAAAACTGGGCGAAAAAAAAATATGAAAAATGTGGGATTTATATGGATTTATAGGGTTTATGTGGATTTATGGGGATTTATATATGGAAATCCATGAATGGATTGATTTATGGATTTATATTTATATGGGTTTACAGGGTTTATATGAATTTAAAGTAACACCATAATTTAAAACGGGATTCATCGGTGATTGAGCCACTAGAATCACTGAAAAAAGGATAAGAAATGAAAACTTAGCCAAGAATCGGGATGTATAATGTAGGGATTCAAAAATGGATTTAGAATGATTAGAGACTTCAAACAGCACCAAGAACTGGGGTCACCATCAACACAAAGGTAAGATATGGTAAGATATGGTATGTTGGGTCAGAACCAGCTTCACTGGTGGGTTTACATGCTTCACCCACATTGAAAACGCATCCGATCACCAGGCTTCTGAAGTTGCTTTATAAACCAATCATCACCAGTGAACGGTTATCTAACATGAACATCAACTGTTGCTTATCAGACTTATTCTTATCACCATGGAATATTCGGTGTCATTAGCTCCTTTGACATATCTACTTGAAAAAAATCGGAAAAAACCCAACAGTAAGACTTACCTACTGAAGCCACCAAGCCTGCGATGGAAAAATCAGTTGACCAATAGTTGACCAACATGACCGACAAAAGTTGGAAGAAAACCATCAGGAAAAAAAAACATACCCGGCCTGGTTGACATACAAAAAGCAAACTGGAAAATGGCCCAGTCGAAATAGTGGGTTTTCCCATTAATAGCATGGTGGATCTTTCCATAGTTATGTTAGTTTACCAGAGGGTACTTTACCAGGAAAATCCAGGAAAAACCACTAGCAGTGCCATTTTGAAGATTGAAAAGAGACGTCCGAGATAGATAGAATGAGCTGAAAGAGCAAGGAACGATGGATTCATCTACATTGAATGGGCCTTGAGATTAGTGAGGTGACAGCTAACGTGACAGGTAACGGGTTTTATCATGTTTTATGACCTATGTATATATATATATATAATCCAATTATGATCCATTGGTCCATTGACTAATCAGTTGACTGGCATCATGTTTTATCATATATATATATCCTATGATCCATTGACTAATGAGTTGGCAGTCCCAACGAAGTACTGAATTGAAATCCTGGAAATGGTTCACTGACTCTGCAGGTATTAGAGAGGTGGAATCCACTTCGATACTGAATTTCAGACATCTGGCAATAAGATCTTTGTTCTAAGAAACATTGAGCCGTTTGGCCCGAAGAAGGCGCACAACTGGTTGTGGGTCGACTATAAACGGTTTATAGTTTATCGCAGCCCCAAGAAAACATAGAAAAATTAGAAAACCCAAGTCCTGCTAAAAGCGTCTAATGTGGGTAAAACAATATAAACCAGCCATGACTGGGAATGGTAAACATACCACCTATACATTCATGGTGATTTGGTTTGTTTTTGTCTTACCCACCAAAAAAAATACGGTGGATGGGCCAGCGAAATCCGATCAACCACCAATTTTGGATAGTTTTTCAACCCAAACAACTAACATCTACCAACTACCATCTACCAACCCTAAACCATCCTTTTTACCATCTACCAACTGGTTTTTAGGATTTCGCTGGCCGCCCATCCACAGTCCTGGGACCCTGGGACGGCGTGGGACCCCGGACGGTCTTTGGTGCAACCAGAGCCAAGAAGGCATCATGGTCACAGACCTCAGAGAGAAATCTCGGCAGATTTTCAAAAAAAAACATGGTTGTCTCACATAGCATTTTCATGGTTGTCTCAACATACTTTTTTTTTGTTGGGAAGATTTTCCTCAAATCATTGCTGTTCCATCAGAAAAATTACTCTACTTCGTGTGATCCCCACCATGACATGTCAGGACGTATATTTGGACATATATTTAGTATATTCTGACATCCTATCTGACATATATTCTGGCATATATTCTGGCATTCTATCTGGCATATATCCTGACATTCCACCTGGCATTCTATCTGGCAGTCTATCTGGCATTCTATCTGACATATTTTCTGACATTTCATCTGACATATATTCTGGCATTCTACCTGTCATTTATTCTGACATATATTCTGGCATTCTATCTGACATATATTCTGGCATATATTCTGGCATTCTATCTGACATTATATCTGACATATATTTGGGCATTCTATCTGACATATATTCTGGCATATATGTTGGCATTCTATCTGGCATTATATCTGACATATATTCTGACATTCTATCTGACATTCTATCTGGCAGTCTATCTGGCGGCATTCTTTCTGGCATTCTATCTGGCATTCTATCTGGCATCCTATCTGACATTCTATCTGGCATTCTATCTGGCATTCTTTCTGGCATTCTTTCTGGCATTCTATCTGGCATTCTATCTGGCATCCTATCTGACATTCTATCTGGCATTCTATCTGGCAGTCTATCTGACATTCCTACATGAGGTCCGGCAGGGAACACTGGGCGTGGCTGGTCGTGGTTGAGGTCCGGCAGGGAACACTGGGCGTGGATACTCGCAGATGAGGTCCGGCAGGGAACACTGGGCGTGGGTGGTCGTGGTTGAGGTCCGGCAGAGAACACTGTGGATCGCGGGTCGCAGTTGAGCAAGGACGACGAGGACGACGAGGACGACGAGGACGACGAGGACGACAAGGACGACAAGGATGACAAGGAGGACGAGGAGGACGAGGAGGAGAGGAGGAGGAGGAGAGGAGGACGAGGCAGGAGGAGGAGGCAACTGACATAAAATCTAACAACCCTCACCTGGCAGGTGGGGAAAAAACATCCTCATCGGACCAGATGGCCGCCGATGGCCTCTGAGAAACCCCACGTCATAGACATTCTTCAGCGCGAAGTAGGTGTATTCTCGCACGAATCGATTGGTATGCCTGTCAGCTCGCGCACCGAGTTTAATCCGTAACTAAAAGCAATGACCTGGGTATTTAAACTTTAAGTTAAACACTAAAGAAAAACCATTCTATACCCAGGCTATCTGTTCAGCAATCTTTTGATAAATCTTAGGTGTGTCTTCAGTACAAAATAAAGTCAACAACTAATGCGGAGATTCGAATGGGTGGAGTTTCTAGACGCAAGTTTTAGGTATACAGAGCCCCAAGATACAGACCCGTGGAAGATGGATCAGAATTTGGTATAGCCTATGGCGTTTTAACCATGGCTAAAATCATGGTAATTTCTAGTTATTTAACATAGCCATGGAAAATCCCTTATAAATGGAGGTTTTAATGGGAAAATCATCTATAAATGGGCCATTTTCCATGGCTATGTTAAATAACCAGAGGGTAATTTCTATGTATCTTGGAGAATTGATGGTGTTAAAAACCATGGAGATCATGGGTATTTTGCCATGGCTTTTTTTTGAAACTTCAGAGCATCCATCCCATGGTATCAAACCTCATATTCCGTAGGATGGCCAATGAAATTACATGAAATTACCTCCATTTCCCCAAGAATGGAGAGAAACCCTTCATGAAGATATTCTCTTTCTGTCCCTTCATATAGATCTTTATCTATTCCTTCCAAAAGTTCGAGAGTGATCTATATCTACAAGAACTAAGATCTGGAATATATCTATTCTTATATCTATTCCTAGATCTTTATCTTCATATAGATCTAAAAATCTATATCTTGAAGATATCTATTCCTTCATATAGATCTATAAAGATAAAGATCCTATATCTATAAAGTCAGATGTTCTAGATGTTCCAAATATATATAGATACTTATGGAACTAGATTTTTGAAGATCTTATAGATATGATCTATATATAGATACTTATCTACTAGTTCTAGCTTTCAGTAAACTAAGATATAGATCCGAAGCTTCCACCAAGTAGATCACTTTCGAACGGGACACCATGGGAGTGTCCAAATCGTCTATGTACTTCAGCATTTCTCGAAACCTCCATGAAGCCAAATCATGTTGTTGGCATCTTTCCCATAAAAACATCTATATCTATAGCTATATACATATATATATATACATATATATATATAATATAATTATATATTTATCTACTGATCTCTCCAAGCCAATTTGGCGAAAAAAATCCAGGTGCACCCCATTTTCTGCCCTGGCAAGTCGGCACACCTTGAGCATTCTTGCATCAAGTCCAACATCGCCTCATCCTCAGCGAAAACGGAAAAGAAAAACCACCGTTTCGCTTTCTCCGCCGACCGCTTCAGGGTCAAGCGATGAAAACCATCCCACTCCAATAGTTGGACTAACTATTAAAGTAAGTGCAAACTAACTCCACCAATATTTTGATAGTTATTATACCCGTAGTCCTTTTATTAAATATGGTTTACTATCAAAATACTGTACCTACAATATTGATATATTTTGATATTTTTCCAATTCCAACTACTCAAAAAAACTCCATGAAAATAGATGGAAAAAGTTCACACGGCTGCCAGGTAGTTCCATCTATTTCCAAACGGGAAAAGAGTCGCTTTGTTCCATGTTTCCAGTCCAATCTACCCTCTGGGTAAATTAACTTGTTGACCCTGAAAGATCCACCAATTTTTAATGGTTTCACTAGTCTGAACCAACCCCCTATCTGACTGCCAGGGTCGAACTGTTAATTTACCAGAGGCTATTTCCAACAGTTGGCTTCCACTGGTTGCATAAATCGCCAACTTCGGAAGGATCTACCTGGCTGGGGATGATGATTCCCCATCCCACTATCCCCAGAGTTATGGTGAAAACTCATCCATTTATGATCCCCAGTGTATATCCCCAAGATACCTCTATTTTTGTTGCTTCAACTGCCATTCTTCATGGCGAAATCACCGTTCGTACGAACCGCGTCAGATAGGTGCGAGGTGCGATGCGTGGCGTGAAGGCTTCACCACACCCCTGCATCATCGCCTCGGAGATGGGCCGCTGGGAGCGGAGCTGGGGAACACCTCTGGTGAAAGCAAACAGCAATTGATAGCCTGTGGTTATGACTAACATAGCCATGGTATAGATGGCCCATAGAAATAGATGGTTTACCTATTAAAAATGGTGATTTTGTCCATGGCTATGTTAAATAACCAGATGGTACCCTCTGGTAATTAGTGGGGATTTATGATTTAATGGGATTTAATGGGATATCTGATGATATACCCTCTGGTAATGACTAACAGTTTGCTATTGAAAATGGCCCAGTCGAAATAGTGGATTTACCCATTGATAGCATGGTGGATCTTTCCATAACAAAGTTTGTAGGTTTACCAGGCCGGGTAGATTTCATGATTTTCCCCTGATCCCCATGATGCATTTTTCGTGGTCCAATTTTTGATAGGAATTCATGGAAGTGGACATGAGACGATGATCATGGCAAGTGCGGGCGATGGAACTGAGTTGCCGGTGAGAAAAAAAATGGATAGCGAGATGCCAACTCCATGTATTGAAGATACCCTCTGGTAAACTTTCACATAACTATGGAAAGATCCACCATTTTTCATGGGAAAACTCACTATTTCAATTTTCTATGGCCATTTTCAATAGCTATTTTGACATAACCAGAGGGTAAAGAGGCTATGAATTTTCGAGATTCTCGGGATTGGTCCAAAGGTTGTTCAACGCTTTGGGTTGGCCCCAAAATCGAGTGCACCCAGATGACAAGCCGATCTGTCGCTTGTTCATCGTCCCAAAGCAGGAATTCTCCAGGCAAACAAAGAGCCGCGCTGAAAATCATGGAAATTCTTGAATTTTCCGAGAAAAAAAAACAGGGTGTTGGTAAATTATCATATTTCACTCACCTGAATAGTTCGGCCATTAATTTGGGGATGATTCCCTATATTATTAACCATGATTCCCAGGCTTCGGGAGGACGACGGGTTCGGTCGTGATCATTCATTTACCCAGACAGGGTGTCACCACAGGAAATACACCTTTATTTTGAGGGTATATCCCCTTACATAGGCCTGAAAAATAGGCCAAAAATATATGGAATCGGTACCTCCAATTTTTCTCGGTTCCTGTTGCATGGCCATTGATCTTTGGAATTTTCAACCTGTGAAAGTGTCCTGAAATCAATCCATTGGAAAGTCACGAAAAACAGTCGTGTTGGTGAAAAAACCCAAAAAATGTGCTGCAGGATGGTGCCCCCGTTCGAGCGATAGCGTTCAGTTGCCGAAAAAAAGTGACTTAACCATGGTTTATGGTAGATATAACTATGATGGTTATATAATGGGGGTATTTATACATATATATATATATATAATGGTTTACAACTGGGGGGGTTATATTTATGTAATGTGGGTTATATAATGGTTTATAGTTATATGATGGTTGTTTATAAACCAACTTATAACTGGGCGGCCCCCGTTTTGCTTCAAAATGTCCGATTGTTCCGATGGTGCGATTTCAGTTCCACACCTCCAATGCTCCCATGGACGTCTCCAAAGAGCGCCAGCCTCAGTGCACTTTCTGATGGTGTTTTTTCATGGGAAAAAAAAACGAGGTCAGAAGATATAAGATGATCATGATGATCACCGAACAATGAGCATAATTACATATGCATATGTTAATAATTACTAGATCTATTTCTTACATATAATATAATATATATATATACTAATCATGAAGATGATCATGGAACAACAGTTCAATAGGCATCTATCTGTACGGATATTCTGGTTGAATCCCACTGATGGGTCAAGAAATTCCTGGCCTTCGGTGTCATGCAGAAACACCGGTGCTGCGGCTTCTGGATAGCCTAACAACGGCTGGTGTATGGGTCATGTGAGAGACTTACCCCAAGTTGCGGTAGACCTACTATGAAAAAGCATGAAGTTTGAAACAAGTTTATCAATGGTAAGTCTTGATTTAAGGAGAAACCATGAGAAACCCATTTGCTAACAACGGAGATCTGACTCCAGTTATATAAACCATATATAGTTCAGCTACCCTATATTCCTATATATTCTTAAGGGACAAAAGCCGAGTCGGAAGCGGCATCTGAAACCCCTGAATCCAAGGCTAAACGAATGTTTATTGGTGGCAGATTGTGTCAATCGTCACAACAAATAGACACACATAAACACTGGATTCGTGCACTTATATCTGGGCTGATCTAAGCTGCAGATGAATCACCAAGTCAGAACCATTTCCTGTAAATCATCCACATGTGGACATGTCCTCTCTGGGCCCGAAAGAAACTCCGTCCGAAAAGTGGTTCCACCTGTGGCACTTCCTTGAAGCTCCTGCAGTCGCTGCTCTTTTGGCTCCTGGCTGTTTCCAGGATCTATCCATCCCACGCGGGGGTCAAGATCAGCCACAATTAATCTCTGTCTAAAGATGGCCTACCCCAAAAAATCTGATGATCATCATTTTCTTCATGGAAATTGCCATTAGAAAATGGGTATCCCATCTATGACAAATCCACAAATCCATATCTGTGCGAAAAATCATTTCATGGAGTACCAAGCGTCGCTTCGAATCGGACTTCAGAAACAATCAGAAACAATCAGAAATTTAAGGTAAATCACCATTTTTCATAGGTAAATCATCCATAAATGGGCCATCTATACCATGGCTATGTTTGTTTTTTCCAACAACGGGTAGGTGTGGCTTTGTTTCATCGCGACGTCTCCATTTATCAGGCTGCGGGCCAGCCATGCGCAAGGCGAAACATAGGCAGGAAGTATACAAAGAGCTCCGTGGAAAATCTACTCTTCAATCCTTTGCTTCTTTCGCCCAACCAAAAGCCAGGACCATTTTTTTCAGCAGTGCTATACTGCTGATAAATCATGAAAGAACCAAACAAAAGCTTGGAATTCATCCTTTTCCGCTTCTACCCTCTGGTTATGACTAACATAGCCATGGTTTTTCGATGGCCCATTGATGGATGATTTTCCCAGCGAACTAAACCTCCATTTATGGTTGGGATTTTCCATGGCTATGTTAGTCATAACCAGATGGTACCTCCCCAAAGATCTCCATCTTCCAAATGGATTTCCACCAGCAGCCCCGTGCCTCTTCTGGTCGCTTGAACTTGTCCCTGATGTCATCCAAAACGATCTTCCCCATCTTGTCATAGATCGGCAAACTGGCATCATGGAAGCTTGTGCCACAGTCAAGTTTCATACCTGATTTTCCCTTACCCTCCGGTAAACTAACAGTTTGCGAACTGGAAAATCACCATCTTTAATGGCTCCATCAATGGCCGATTGTAGCAGCTTGTGTCTTGGCCCACATACATTGCTATGAAAATCGTCCCTAAGAATCATAAAGATATATATATATATAAAGTAATTATAGTATAGTACTACTATTTACTAGGATTGTATTAGAAATATACAAGATTATACAAGGATGCTATACAGATCTATACAGTATTATCCTATCCTATCTATCGCATCCCCCATCCTATCGGTCCTATCGCTATCGCCGCCGCGCACCCGTCTCGTTGACAGCATTCCCGGAGTACTGCAGACACCGCCTCCGTCCAAAACCCAAAGGGATGAACATATGGGGAATGCATTTTGAAAATGCTGAACATGTGGAAAGCAGATACAATGATGATGTTGATGATGATGTTGATGATGATGATGATGATGCTGATGATGATGATGATGATGTTTTTTAGAAGCCCCAAACGGTATGTGGGGTGGAAAATGATGCAACGGGCGCCTGGTAATCAGACATAGGGGATATGATTCGAGGATCCTCTGCTATTCTACCCTTGCTTCCCAGAACATCCCTGGATGGCATGTCACCCATAATGGAATCATATTATTGGATATGAATGGTGGATTTACCATTGCGAGATTTCTTGCCGGGTATGATCAAGGCATGAGGATATCACTGTCCCTTTCGTTGCAAGGATGGCAGGTCTCCGGACATTTCGAAACGAAATTCGTAACGGGTCACAGGCCCGTAACGGCTTGAATGCCTGCAGTACATGATAAATGTTTGAAACCACAAACCAGTGAGTAAGAATCACAGAAACCACAGTGAGTGGTTAAGAATCATAGATCATAGTTAGTGTTAGTTACCATCTGGTTATTTAACATATCCATGGAAAATCACCATGTTTAAGTTCGGTAAACCATCTATTTCTATGGGCCATCTATACCATGGCTATGTTAGTCATAACCAGAGGGTAGTTCACCTGTTCATAGATGGGGATAAGTCACGAATATATGAAGCCAACAACCAGGAAAGAATGGGTGTAAATCACGACAAGGACTTGGCCGAGCTTGGCAAAAAGCTTAGGCTGGGAGACATTTTGAAGTGCAATTTGATTTATGACTTTCATGACTTGCATGACTCTTGTTCTTTTAATGGTTTACAGAAGTTTGCAGTATGTATCTGCATTTAAGTGGCTTTATAATGTCTGTTAAACATGTTTCACATCTATCAACAATCACAACGTCAGGGGGCTACACGGCTACGTGGCCTTTCCCCGGCACGGTCTGACCGGCCTTTCGAACCCGATACTCGGGATCCAAAAGAAGACCAGGGACCTTGCCAGAGAAGGCTGTTTATATGGCTTTAATATGGTTTTATATGGTTTAATATGGATAATAATGGGATAACTGGGATAACTGTTCTGCTTGGTGGTGCTGGCTGTGCCCATCTTGAAAAATGATGGAGTGAAAGTCAATGGGGTTGGGATGACATCCCTTTTTTATGAAATGGAAAATAAAAAAGTCATGTTTGAAACCACCAACCAGAATTTAATGACTCAACATGACTCAACATGACTCAACATGACTCAACCATCATTAGTAAGAGTCTTAACCATCAAAGATATGCTGATGTCATTGATAAATGATGGTTTATTGAATTATTGGATGATTATGTGGATGATACTGGAACTTCACTTACCCTCCAGTAATCAAACATGGCGGTGGACGTTTGATTACCAGAGGGCAAATGGTGTGGATTTCTGGGTTACCCTCCAGTAATCTAACAGGTTGCTATTGAACATTCCCCAAGTTTAGGAGGTAAATCATGGTAAACTTTCACATAACTATGGAAAATCACCATGTTTCATGGGAAAACTCACTATTTCTATGGCCATTTTCAATAGCAAACTGTTAGTTTACCAGAGTGTAAATCATGGTAAACCATCGAAATAAATTTGGTCCTTGTTCGATATGTGAAAAAAAATCCCAGCGGGTATTTTTCCAACATCCCGGGCACAAATAAGCGAACTATGGATTTGTTACATGAAAATGTGGACAGGAAACAAAGAAACATCCAGTGGATTGTCATGAAATATCCATTTCAACACCCCTTGGGCCATTGTCATTATATCCCTATACCTCAGTTAACTATAAATTGGATATTCACTATAAATCCATGATATCCATGATATTTTTTTGATATTAAATTCCATTGTATATCCCTATACCTCAGACACGCCCAAGATTCATATATTCAATGGGAGATCTTCAGGATCCAATTGATGGAGGTACGTAAACGTACCAAAACTGTTTGGCCATATGAATTCTGGGGATATCCCCTAAAAAATTTAGGCCTGATATAGAAATAGGCCTTTTTTCGATGGAATCGGTACCTCCGTCTTCAATCGGATCCTGTTGCATGGCCATTGATAGGAATCCCCATCATCCCATCATGATATCCCCAGCATATCCAACAAATGCTTCAAGACTTAGCTTCCTGTAAACTGTTACATACCCGGCCTGGTAAACTGTTACATAGCGAACTGGAAAGATCCACCATGCTATGCATGGGTAAATCAATTCTTTCTATGTCAATGTTCAATAGCTATATGTTAAAAATTAATGGTAAAATTCACTATAAATGGCAATTTTCAATAGCTAGATGTTAGTCAAATAAATGGTCATTGTTCGATAGCATTTTGTATGTTTGCCAGGCCGGGTAGATTTGGATTTGACCCACCAGGTGTAGATCAAATTTCCCAGGAAAACCACTAATTTTCCACATCGTTTTCTACGTTTACCCCAGGGTACAGCTCACCGACAAACTTCGAAGTGACAAATTTCGATTCCAACAAACTCACCAGGCCATCTATGAGATTGATCGTAAAAAAGCCGACTCAGTCTCTGATTCTTGCTCGGTTCATCTTGTTTCTATTTCCAGTTGATCAAAAAAGGACCAAAAAAAACATGGAAAGACCATCGGTTCCATCTATGTCTGTTCTTTCTATTATTTGTTGATCCATCATTTCCATTCATGTTCCCCATGTCCAAAGAAAAAAAAGGATGTTCTATTCATTGGATTGGTTTGAAATCTACAGGAAAACCTGTAAAATTTGGTGGAACAAAAAAACATGGTTTCCGGTTACGATGTTCCCTTGAACCAACCAATAGATCTATGTTCAAAAAAGAGCAACATCCACAGGATGGGGCCCCCTAGTTATAAGTGGGTTTTTAAACCATGAAATAAGCCCTATTAACTAGTTCGTTATATCTACCATAAAGCCACTGAAATAAGGCAACTGAACGCTATCTTGGGGGCCCCATCCTGCATCAATTCCCCCATTTCTTCATATTTCTTCATCCAAAAATTCCATCACAACTGGACGGCTCAAACCTTCTCGAGGACATGGGCTCTGAAATCGGGCCTTGGAGCGGCCAGTTCCAACGGGAAGACGAACGGGAAGAGGGCACCGAAAATATGGTGGAACCAATGGGATTTTCCGTTCGGAAACAGTGGTGATTTAATCATATACCCTCTGGAAAACATACAAAAAGCTATTGAAAATGGCCATTTATAGTGAGTTTTCCCATGAAACATGGTGATTTTCCATAGTTATGATAGTTTACCAAGGGTAACATCTGCTTTTTTTGTTAGGGATGTCTTTTTTCAAGCGAAAATATGATCTGTGTCATATGTGTTCTAGGTGTTTCTTCAAGTCCCTATTGGGTGCGTCTGTGGAAAAACTCCCATGGTTTCCCAGGAAGTCCACATGATCATGATCTTGACGCGTACGTGAAAAGCAGCATTTTGATGACTTACCCTCTGGTAAATTAACATAGACCCTGGCGGATAGGGGTTGGAAGATTAGTGTCCGTTAAAACTAGGCTATTTTCAGGGTCTATGTTAATTTACCAGAGGGTAAGTATCTCGATTTTTTAAGGGGTCAAATGCTAAATCAGATCGCTGAATCGCGATTTCTGTGTTGCCGTTTTTTCCCTTATCATGGAAAATCAGGTGTTTTCATCATCCTTAAAATCGCAATCTCTTGCCATTTCAATACTGGTTGGTGGTTTCAACTCCTCTGAAAAATATGAGTTCGTCAGTGATGAAATTCCCATCTGAATGGAAAGTCATAATCCATTCATGTTCCAAACCACCAAGCAGATATTGTAAACCATCCAATTTTTCCAACTATTCCAACGATTCCAACGATTCCAACGCTCCCAACTTGCCATTTCAATATCTGCTTGGTGGTGCAATAACCATCTTGAAAAATGATGAACTTCGTCAATGGGTTTCGGATGACATCGCATATGAAATGAAAAATATCTGGTTAGTTTCTACCCATCCAGTTGGTATATGTGTATCTATCCATATCTTTAGAGTCAAAATTATGATTCATCAGTGGATTTTTAGTATAGCTGGTGTCATAGCTGAAAACCAGCTGGAAAAACATCGCTGAAATATAGTATCATATGACACCAGGCTGAATGGAATTCATAGTATCCTACCTTCACAGCTGGTGCCATCCATCGCTGAAAACCAGCTGGTGTGATAGTTATATCTACCATAAACCATTGAATTCAGCCACTTATGTTCACCAACTTAGCTACAGGATGGTGCCCCATAGTGACATGGGAGTTATGTTCACCAACTTAGCTAACGAACTGGGGTACCAACTTAGCTAAGTAGATAATGTTCCAATAAACCATAAAGTTGTTCTAATATGGTACCATAAACCATATCTACCATGAAAAACCACTTATACCATCTGGTGTCTAAGAAAAAGTTCACAGCTGGTAGTGGATTTATAGATATTTATAGTGGATTTTCTCCTTAAAAAATCGTGGATCTTTCCATAGCTATGTTAGTACCCTCTGGTAAGCTATTGAAAATGGCCATTTATAGTGGATTTTCCCATCAAAAATGGTGGATCTTTCCATAGCTATGTTAGTTTTTCTCCTTAAAAAATGGTGATCTTTCCATAGCTATGTTAGTTTACCAGAGGGTAAGTACCATTCACAGCTGGAAAAAATACCCATCCCTGAGATCTTCCGACTGATCCCAAACCTTGATCGCTTCCGCGGCGGCCTGGAGGCCACCCTGCTTGGCCTGGTGGTTCCACCAAGAGCTTTGACTTTACGTGTGACGTGTTTAAGGTGTGAATGATGGGAAAAGCATGGGATAGTGATGGTTAATGGTGGTTAATGGTGGTTAATGGTGGTTAATGAAGGTTAATAGTGATGATAAATCCACGAAGAGTGATTTATAACCCATTTTTGAACGGTTGATAGATTAATGTGGGTAAAACCAGGTCATGAAAACCAGCCATTTATGGGAAAGGTTTGTTTATACCACTATTAACCACTATTAACCACTATTAACCACTATTAACCACTACTAACCACTATTAACCACTATTAACCACTATTAACCACTATTAACCACTATTAACCACTATTAACCACTAGTAACCACTATTAACCACTATTAACCACTATTAACCACTATTAACCACTATTAACCATTATTACCAAGAAGAATGGATTTCCATGCAGCAATTGACAAAAAAAAACAACTGCTTGGTGGTTGAGCATCCTATCCGAACAAATGCGGGTCAGTCACTTGCCAGCGGCCGATTTTTGAGAGGACATGATTTAGCTGCGTTTTTTCAATCCCAGCTTTGATGGCTAGGTGCATGTTCAACCCTAGGATTTGAATCTTTAGTGACTAGTGCCTATTCAGAATTCATGTTTGAAGTGTTTCCCAAAGATTTGCTGGTTGGTGGTGCAATAACCATCTTGAAAAATGATGGAGTTCGTCAATGGGTTTCGGATGACATCCCATATAATAATGAAATGGAAAATAAAAGTCATGTTTGAAACCACCAACCAGCTTGTGCCATATTCCAACTTCCATGGATCCAGGTACCCTCTGGTAAACAAACAGTTTGCTATTGAAAATGGCCCAGTCGAAATAGTTGATTTTCCCATTAATAGCATGGTGGATCTTTCCATAGTTATGAAACAGTTTACCAGAGGCTACACCCAAATTTTATAATTATTATTGTTTGTATATCCATTTTCTATCATCTTTTCTTTCTCAAAATATTGCAAAATACCATGTATCTGGGTAAATTATAATAATTCACCAACCTGAATTGTTGGGCCATAAAAGGGGATGATTCCCCTTAAATAAACCAGGATTCTAGGGTTCGGGAGAACAGGCGAAGCGGTCGTGATGAAATTTACCCAGATATATTGCAAAATACCAGACTTTTGTAACAGTTTACCCTCTGGTTATGACTAACATCGCCATGGAAAATCACCATTTATAGTAATGCTTTACCGTTCTAAAAATAGCCATGGTGTTATTTAACCTCCATTTATGGTTGGGATTTTCCATTTCGCAAACTGTGAGTCATAACCAGAGGGTAACAGCACCATCTCTGTCGGCCACTTTCTGAAAAATCCCGTCCTCCCAAGCATCGGAGTCCATGGTCTCCAGAGCAAGCTGCTGCACCTGAACTGCCATAGGACGGACCGATGGGAGTTACCTACCATATTCGAATGGTAGATTTCACATTCCCGCTCCAGCTCAAAGGTACGTGTCTCCCTCAAAAAAAATTGTTTTGCCCTAGATTTAGCATATTATATGCTTGGGATTGCATAGGTATATATATATATGATGAAGCTCAAAGCTACCTTGCTGGCTCACTGCCTCCTTGCTAGCTCAAAGCTCAAAGCTACCTTGCTGGCTCAGTGCCACGTAGCTGGCTCAATGCCACGTAGCTGGCTCAATGCCACGTAGCTGGCTCAGCGCCTCGTAGCTGGCTCAGCGCCACGTAGCTGGCTCAATTTTTTTAGCGAAAAAAAAAAACTCGCAGAAATTGAGCCGGCTACATGCCCTTGAGCCGGCTCACCAATGCGTCATGAACCCGGCCAATACATAGTTAGTATTCGTTTTGATGCTCTCACATTCGTCCGCCAGCTCAACGTGACGTAGCTGGCTCAATTTTTTTGGTGTTTTTTTTTTGTTTTCGTTTTTTTTTTCGTTGAAAAAATTGAGCCAGCTCGATGCCATTGAGCTAGCTCGATGCCCCTGAGCTAGAGCGATGTGTTTGAGCGAGCTCGATGGTGCTGAGCCAGCTCGTTGCAGTTGAGCGAGTTCGCAGGAATTTCCCAATGTGTTAAATTGCCAGGTTCAGTCCCCACTGATTACTTTAGTACTAGATATGGTACCTCTGAAAAAGCCCAAGGTGACTGTCAAAACATACCCCTGATGAAATTGAGCCAGCTACATGTTTTGAGCTAGCTCGAAAAAATGGAAGATTGTAAATTCCACCATTCAACATATGCTGCCTATAAAGAAGGACTATAAAGAAGGGAATTACTAGGGGAAATGATGCCCGAAATATGGTTTTAGAAGGTACAGTAGCTCCAATTTAGGACTATCTAGGGGAAATGATGCTCAAAATATGGTTTTAGAAGGTACAGTAGCTCCAATTTAGGGTCCTGAAATTCCCATTGATCAGAGTTTGTACTAAGTTCTTGATGAGGCATAAGGGCTTAGCAAGAGGATTTGCTTCCAAAAACTGGCAAAAAAAACTGGCACAGCACCTGCATGTTGTTGGGTCCTAAAATTCCCATATGTTGGCTACTGTAACACCTTATAATCAATCAACAGGGGGGGTTCGAACACTGCTGAATGGTTTTTTCTATCCCAAACAAAGATGAATACTTCCGCACTGACGCACTGACCAAGCGAAAGCTCCCCACCAAGCAATCCTATCATGAGATTCCCATCAAGGATTCAATGATTCCTCATCCACAAGGGCCCCATTTGTATTATGACCCCATATCAGATTCCATGAATCATCCTGTCATCCATCTTTTCGAAAACGATAAATCTCACGTCCATCACCAAGATAATTATGAAATGTGTCAACTTCTCAAAATATGTTTTTTCAACAGGAAAGAAACAAATTGCTGGATCCTGCGTAAATATGTCTCGGAAAATGCTGGATCACACAATTTTTGTCTTTCTCAAACTTGGATATATGTCCAAAAGGATAACTTTTAGCTGGCTGGGCTAGTAACGAAGTTCTACTAGTGTTGACATTAAACCACCCATCCAATCACTTTCAGGTTTCTTTTCTCACTACTTTGAGGATGATGCCCCTTGGTGAAAATCCAAAAAACATGTTGATCAACAGGTGTTCACATTTGTCTTGCTTCAATCCCCATTTTTCTTGCTTCAATCCTTATGTTCAATGATCAAATCCAAATTTTCCATAGAATAATCCCCATTTTTTGATGATCAAATCCAATTTTTCATGGATCAATCCCCATTTTTGGATCATAGAATTGGATGATGGGAAAATTTTAACCGGAAAGCCCGATCAATTTGATGGTAAAAACCCATGGGTTTCCTCTAGATTTTCCCTTAAACCAATCCAATGATTCTATCCTTTAGTTTCACATTGTTTGGATGATCAAATCCCATTTTTTGATGATCAAATCCCAATTTTCCATGGATCAACCCCTCTGGTAAATTAACATAGCTATTGAAAATGACCATTTATAGGTGATTTTCCATAGTTTTTTGTATGTTTATAGAGGGTAAATCCCCATTTTTAGATGGTTCAATTCCCACCCAGCCCGCCACATCTCCCAGGGCTTCCCCAAGCGCCCCAGGATGGATCCCACCGAGGTGCCTCCTGCGGACCGTAGCGCCCAGCCGCCATGGCCTGGATCAAGGCGCCCAGCGACCGTTCGCGCGTCAGACCTGGGCGGGAACCCCACGGGGGTGCCATGGCTGCCATGGATGCCGTGGCCTTTTAGCCATGTTTTAATGATGATTTAATGGGATTTCATGGGATATATGATGGTATACCCTCTGGTAAACTAACATAACTATTGAAAATGGCCATTTATGTCGTGAGTTTTCCCATGAAAAATGGTGGATCTTTCCATAGCTACGTTAAATTACCAGAGGGTACAAGGTGGTGCCCCCCCGAGTGATGTTAGTTTGGTTAAACCAGATATATATAACTTTGGTTAAACCATGGTTGATTTTAAACAAAAAGGTGGTTACCACCTTTTACCCCCAGTGGTGTGAGTTTGTTTATAAATCATGGTAACTATAGTTGTACTGGTTGGTGGTTGACCTAGCCCTCTGAAAAAATATATGAGTTCGTCAGTTGGGGTTACGAACTTCCCAGTATATGGACAAAGAAGAAATGTTCCAAACCACCAACCAGTATATATATATATATGTATATATATCCTCCATAAACCCTAATGACATTGGAGTGATGTTCACCAAGTTAGCTAACTCAGAGGCACCACCTTGTAGGACCATAGGATAGTATGGTTTTAAGCTTCATGAAAGACTTAGTAGCTTGATAACTCTTGCTATGGCTATAACCTTCATATTAAGAAAGGATACAAAGATGTACAAAGGGCATGTGTTGAGTCCTTGACATTTCTTAAAAACTGTCTGAATTCATTTGAAAAAATGTGAAACTAAAGGATAGAATCAATGGATTGGTTTAAGGAAAATTTTGCAGGAAAACCCCATATTTCATGGGAAAATCTATGGTGTCCTGTAAATTTTCCCTTAAACCAATCCATTGATACAAAGGGCGTGACAGGCTTGTCCCAGTTGCGTGGATCCCGGCCATGATTTGGATTTTCTCATTAGACTGGTTTCAATAGTGATCACTGGTGTGTCCCGTTAAGAAAAGTAAAATCGGGGCCGGTTTGGAATATGTTTTATTGTTCGAAAACCCTCTGGTAAACTGTTACAAAACGAACTGGAAAATCACCCACTATTTCGACTGGGCCATTTTCAATAGCTTTTTGTTTGTTTAGAGGGTACCTATTGGTTGGTTTTCATGTGGGAAAATCCTCTATTGATCAACCAGTGGGAATTTGAAACATCTACTTGAACATCTACTGTTTTCAGTGCAGGATATTTCACAGGCCGATCTCAAAAAACTCTTGCGGGCTTTTTCCCAGTTTATCCCATAGCATTTTCCGCAATAACCATCACCTCGCTCCTAAAGTGCCCATGGTTGAGGCTCCCACTCTTGAAATCCGTCAACCCGGCGAAGACCTGCCATTTTTGTGGGGCTTTCGGCTGGGGTTTTTGTTGAAAAATGACCCCAGCATGATGCCGAACATACACAATTTATACACAAAAGTCGAACATCTGGGGAAACTCTAAACCTATCATCCTGGAAACAACATGTTTGGGGTATAGTGTTCTTATAAAACTCTACTTGGCAGACTGGGTATCACCCTGCGACTCTCAACTGACTCGACAATGTCTATTAGTGGAAATTCCTGGAACTCACATGTTGTAACCCCCCAAAAAAGCTCTAGAAGTATTATACAAGGTTAATATATGTTAATATCATTATGTTTGTATAATACTATAATTGGGGGGGTTGTATAATACTATTATTGTAACCCCTAAAACCCCATAATAAAACGTTTCTAGCTTTGGGGTTTTATTATCTAGATTACCCTCCAGTAAATCAACATAGACCCTGGGAGTCATCGGGGTTGGAAGATTAGGTTCCTCTAAAAATTGGTGATTTTCAGATATTTTCAGGGTCAACAAGTTAATTTACCAGAGGGTAAATATTATAAAGTATTATAAATAAGTATTCTTGCAAGGTGGTGCCCCCAAAACCTTATGAATTGGTTTATAAACCCCATGAAAACTAGTTCGATATATCACCTATAAACCATAGTGACACTGGAGTTATGTTCACCAACCGAACGCTATCAAGTTATAAACCATAGTGACATTGGAGTTATGTTCACCCAACTTATCACCATAGTGATATAAAACATAGTTATTGGCAATAATGTCCTTTTGGTAAAAATAGAGGGGCCGGTTTGGTATACCATCTATCATCAAACAAACCTGTCGTTGAAGGGGTTTCTTCAAACCCCTCTATTAATCAACCAACCAATGGGAAAAGGACATCTATGGTTGGTTATAAGTCCAATAACCATGGTTTATAGGTGATATATCTGTATTATCTATAGTTTTCATGGGATTATAACCCATTTATCATGGATATCCCAACTGAGATTCCCCAAAATGATGGATTTATATATCTTGGGGGCACCACCTGGTAGATTTCCCACGATGTCCGGGCTCTACCTGGACCATCAACATCCATCAACCCACCAAAACCCCCGAGACGTCGCCTCCAAGACGGACTGGTTCTCTTCTCCTTGAGGCTTTTCTGAGCCATGGAGGTTAGTTGAATGGTTAGTACATGGGATATATTTTTTATATATATACATTATGTTATATATAATATATATATATATATCTAACTATTCAACTAACATGAGATAGTACTATAGATTCATTTCATATCAATATCTATCAATGAGATCATCACGAACACCATTGTTTGATGATCTCACTGCCCGGGACAAACTTGACGGCATGATGCCGCAGGGGGTTCGCCCCCCGCGCCTGCTGCTGCCAGCGTCATCGCGGATGCTTTCGACTTCGCAGCGGATGGTTTTGTTGCGGATGGTTCCCAGAAAAAGATCAGCGAAAAGTTTACCAGATGTTTCCCAGATGTGAAAAAAATCACCAGCAATGTCTTTTCAGATGTTTCAGATGTTTCCCAGACTCCGGCAATTTCTTAACCAACAGTCTGGAGTTTCGGCTGGCAGGCGAAATCGAAATCGTGAGGCGAAATCTGCTGTACTTTGGGGAGGCCGGTGTCGGGAATGGGTGCCTTGCGGTCTCCAAGACCTACATGAAAATTCACTTGACATGTACCCTCTGGTTATGTCAAAATAGCTATGGAAAATGGCCATTTATAGTGAAATTTCCCATTAAAAATGGTGATTTTCCATAGCTATGTTAGTTTACCAGAGGGTATTTGACACGTCAACATCATGAATCATTTTTGGGCCTTTTAAGAAAGCCTTGCATCAAATCATATCACTTAAGAATATGACGTTTGGAATACGTTTGGAAAATTAATCATCATTAACATGAGAAATCATCATTAACATGAATCATCATTAATCATCATTAATCATCATTATATAACATCATTAACATGAGAAATCATCATTAACATGAATCATCATTAATCATTAACATGGGAAATCATCATTAATCATCATTAATCATCATTAATCATCATTAATCATCATTCACCTGAAAAGTTCGAGCGTTTTGGGATACGTTTCCCTGTTGTTTTTTTTGCACGTCTGGAGCCAAATTCCACGGAGTTGGAGCTTCGTACTTTCGCTGTAACTTTTTCCTCAGCGTCTCAAAGCCATTGGTTGGGTTTAATGGAAATTTCACATTCTGCTTATATATATATACATACATTAGATATATTATATTATATATACATACATACATACATTATATACTATATATATATATATATCATATATATATAATTATTATTATTATAGAATATATTATACAACAATCGCTGACATCAGGTTTTACTGCGACCTCACCCCCAAATTCTGGTGAACCCCCGACGTTCTTCGCCAATTCTGGGGACCATGAGACCGAAGAATTCTCGGAAGTTGCCTCCGAGCCACCAAGAAAAACCAGTTGCCAATCCCCAGTGGGCTGGACTTCGCCCATATACACATTATACATATATGTATATACATATATGTATGTATATGTACATATATATGTATATATATAATGTATAACCAGCAAACATGTAGACAGGCCCATAATGGATTCTGAGAGTGACACAGACCGAATGCAGACGCAACCAAAAACTGGGTGGCTGAGCCAAGCATCACAGGCAAAACAAGGCCACAGAAAAAACACAGGTTCAGATGGCTAGCCAAGTGATGTGCCAGCGGTTGCGAAAGCTACGGTCTAGGACCCGAATGCCGGTGGCGGGGAACCAAGCCCTGATTGAGCCAGGCTGAATGGCCACTGGCAGCGCCTCAAAAAAAGGAAGAGGAAAAACATCTCCTTGGGAGAAGAAAAAACCTCAGTCCGGAAACTAAAAGCAGCCCCCACTCAGGTGAAGAATAAGATGCTGGCAAACCGGGAGATCAACAGCAACTTCATGGAATCATGGGTCCAAAGCCAATGTTGCACCAAGGTCCAGGGGAAGGCCGGCTCTGTCTCCCACGACAGCTTGCCGGCGACGAATGGCCCGCCCGCTGGCGCGAGCCAGCAAGACAGCAACTTGTTCACTGAACCGGCTCTTCACCACTCCGGGATCCAGCCCTTCGACCACAGCAACTGCCCCGCACAGGCGGTGGACAAAGGCCCGAGTCTCAGGCGTGCTCCCACCTTGCACCTCCCAGACCAAGGGGAGATAGCGAACCCCAGCAGCTTCACACAGGCCCGCAGTCCTGTTGTGAGCCCGCTTGCGCTGAGCATAGGCCAAGCAGGCAGCTCCAGCCGCCTGTCGGGTGGCGTCCCAATGCGTATCCCCCAAAGCATTCACGACAGCGATGTCTAATGCCAATGGAGGTGGGTTGTGGGGCTGCGCGCCGTCAGGCAAGCGAGGCACCAGACCAGTTGCGGACCGCACCAAGACGTCTGCAGGGCGTCGCTGGCCATTCAGGAGCCCGGGGGCTTCAAGCACTGGTCGGACCTGAGCCCGTTGGCAATAGTCAAACACCAGATCGCGAAGACTGTTGTGGAGGGCCACATGGTCGCCGCCAGCCATGCAGCTGAGAGCATGGCGGCCTTTGCAATCAGAAGGTTTACCGCAGAAGCGGCAAGGCCCACCGCCACACACATCGACTCCCAGGCGACCTCCTAGGATGGCAAGGAAATCGGATCTGGATAAAGTGGTGTCAAGTGTGTGTGAAGGTGTGAACCCTAGCGCAGCAGCGGAACCATCGACTGCGTAGGCATGGAGACGGCAGGCATCATCACTGCCGGCCCGGCTGTACCATCCATCCAACAGGGTTTTGCTCACAAGGCTGCTTAAATGGGTTTGCGTGAGCTTGGTGTGGTCGTCCCATTGGAAAGGTACTGGCAATACTGGAGTGCGAAGCTGATCCCAGCAGTGTTGGAGGGCAACAGACAAGTCGCTACCAAGGTTGGAATCCCATTGAAAACAAGGCCACAAAGCATTGCAACGCTCGAAAGTTGCTGCACGAGAGCCAATGTACGCCGCATCGGCAATACCGGCAGCGGGCCGCAATCCCAGGCCGCCAAGCTGCACAGGGAGGGTAGCTTGCTCCCACGCCAGGGCGTCGGGATGGAAGCCAGTCAGCTCAGTGAAAGAGGCTTGAACGCCACTGTCAAATGCAAGGAGGCCGTCGCGGCAAAGCCGTGCTGGTGTTGTACGGGCCATGTAGGTCATGCGGCCAGCGCCACAAGAGAAGCGCAGCAAGTAGTACCCAACTTGCGGATCTTCCAGTTGGCCAACACGTCGAACTATGTCGACCTGTTTGGCAGCCCGCTCCTTGCAATAAGCCACACAAAAGGAATCTGCACCGGTGGGGGAGCGCAGGACCTCATAGTTGCCATGGGCTTCGACAGTGCAGCCAAGGGTGACGAAGCCAGTGTAGTCAATGGGGGCCTGCGCAACAGCAGGGGCAACAACGGCACTGGAGAGCCGCAGCCCGAGCTGAGGCAAGACGCCCTGCCAATGGCGCAGGCAACGAAGGACCTCTGCAGAGGGCCCAGCAAGCAAGCCATCGTCAGCAAAACATGGGGCAATGTCAAGCCGGGCGGGAGGAGACAGCACAGGCAATTGAATGCTGCTGCCCTCCAGCGGCGGGACAAGACCCAGCGATTCCAGCAAAAGCCGTTGGACAACTGCATGGCAGGCCATCATGAGCGGACATCCTTGCTGCCCTCCTGCAACGGACTCGATGATCTGGTCGTGGAAGAACACCTTGGTGGCCACGTTCGTGGGGTAGATGTATTCCAGCCAGCGACCCAAACCAGGAACGACCTCACGCATGCGAGTCAAAAAACAGTGGCGGTCAACCGCATTGTGGGCATTCCCCTCGTCATAGGACAAGCAGACGCGGTCAGCGTCATGGCTGTGGCGCTGCACCCATTGTCGGTGCAAATGAACCATGGCCTCAGCCCCAGAGCTGACCCCGACTGCGAGCTGATGGGGCAAGAGGTGGGCCCTCAGCGCAGGCAGTTCGGAGCGCAGGAGCACTTTCCCGACAAGGCGTCTGAGCGCCTCCCCAGCACACAGCGGCCGCACATCGGCAGTGCCAGTCTTGGAGACCTTCTGCAAGGCAGTGCCACGACCACCTCCAACATAAGGGCGGAGCCCAGCAGGAGCCTGACCGTCAGCCAACAAATTGACCAGCTGTGTCAGCAGGTGTGCAGCCGGCCGTTCCTCAGAGCCACTCACAAGTTGCTGAAGCAGGTCAGGGCGGAGACCAGTGGGGCCAGGAGCAGCGCCGCGGGGGAAGCTGCGAATGGCCCTGACAACATCCTCAACGCCAGCTTCATTGGCAGGTGGGGCTGCTGGTCGGGAGGACGTGGCCTGGTGCGGAGGCCTCCCTGGAAATTTGCTTCTCATGGCTGCAAGTACTGCTGGGCTGGGCTCCGCAAGTGGGGCACCACTGAGCCGTTGCATGGCCTTACCAGGCAGGCCTCGGCGTGCCAATTGAATGGCAGCGTCACGTTGCCGTTGTTCTGGGTCCCGCTGCTGGTCAGAGGCGACAGGCCCCCGGCGGCGGCCGACAACCTCATCCCAAAGTGCCCGCCTTTCGCCCAAGATCCAGCGTTCCAGGCGGTTGGCGGCAAGGTTGTGGTTGCAGCGCTGCTTGGCACGCCCTCCGGGGATGACCCCGAGGCATGCCTTGGGGAACATGAAAAATTCTGTCCAGGCCAAGCGACATTGCCGGTGGGCAGCGGTGTCAGCAGCAGTGCCAGGGTGGTCCCAGGCATCCGGGCGGTTGTGCTGCAGCACCCGCGCTATGCAGCGCAAAAGCGCTCTCTCCACTAGAGGGAGAAGACCAGCACTGACAAAGTCTCTTGTGGCCACTGGCGCCGCAAAAATTTCATCAAGAGAAGGCAAGCTGCCAAGGACGAGGTCCACGCTGCCAAACTCACCTTCGGTGAGCAGGGGCCGAGCCGGTCGGCGGGTCAGCCGTGCAGCCATGCAAGTGCGGTGCACCCCTCCATTGCATCGTCTGCTAACCAGACGGGAGCACTCAGGACAAACGGTCAGATCCTTTGCTCTCAGCCAATCCACCGGCGGGGCTCCCGGGAGGGCTCCCAACTGATGTGCATCCATGTGTGCCCGCAGGGCTGCCGACGATTCCCAACCAGCATGGCCCGTGGAATCGTGGGCCGGGCAACTGGCAATGGGGCAGTGGTGACGGCCGCCGCCGGCATCAGCCATGGCAACGTCGTCGTCCACAGTGGCCATTCGAACATCACCAGAGCCCGCTGCAGGAGCGCCCCCGGCAGCCCGAGGTGGACGTTCTCCGCCCAGGGGCGTGCCCGGCGAAGGGGCCATGGCTCACATCAAGGATAATCTTGATCTTAAGGGTAGCTTATTTTCAGACAAACAAATATATATATATATATATGTATATTCTACAGTTCCGAAGAACCTCCAGAATCTCCAGAAGTCATCCCTGGATGAAAAGTACGACCCAAGGTTGGCGGCCCTTGGGCCCTTGAGGTACCCCCTGGTCCGAGCATCCCCCACTCGTGGAAGTCATGAAAATCATGAAAGCCTCTAGCGGCTCCGGCTGGCTCTGGCCAGGGCTTCCAAAAAATATCTGGTTGGTGGAGGCTACCTACTTGCTTAATGGTGATTAATGGTGGTTAATGATGGTAAATGATGATTAATTATCTGGTTGGTGCTTTCAGATATATGGCTTTAATATGGTTTTAAACGGTTTAATATGGATAATAATGGGTTTTTATCATGGGATAACTGGGATAACAATACTGGTTGGTGGGGGCTACCAAAACCCCTCTGAAAAATGATGGTTAGTGAGTGAGTAACAGTTGGGATGGATGGAAATTCCCAACTGAATGGAATGTCATAATCCATTCATGTTCCAGTCACCACCAACCAGATACCAATGTCATCATGGCCATGGCTTTCCCCTGTGAGGAGGTTTATGGCTGGCTACCCGAAATTGACTGGTTTGAAACAAAAAAGTTCCTCCCTTCTTTTTGGCCACAAAAAATTTTGGTATGTATATAAACTTGATGAAATCTCAGTGAAATCCCTCATTTTGATGCTCAAAAAATCCTGCATTTTTTCACCAGGTCTCCTCTGAGGCAGAAGCTGGCTGGACCTTGCCAAATGCCCAGCCGAAGGCTGGCTTCGGTGGCTGGACCTTGCGCAACCTGCAGCTACGAAGGTGACCCTTTTTTTCAAAAATGAATCTGCTGATATCAAATGGTCGTGTTTTTTATGTGTGTTTGAAAATGGGGTATCAAGAAAAAACATGTTAGTGAGGATAATGATGATCATCTGTTGGAATGGGGGATGCCCCTATTTTCAGACAAACCCATGTTTATACATACACTCAGAGAGACAGGAAGATCAGGAAGTGGGGAAAAAAATATATAGATACAAAAATATATACAAAAAAAAATGTCCAAAGTAAGTATGAAAGTATATACAGCAGAGGAAAACAAAAACATAGATGCAAAAAAGTACCGTAAGCAAAAAATGAAATTCATAATCCAACATCTGTGGTTGAAAATCACTATGTGCCCAAATCAAATTTACGAAAACCGATGCCAGACGCCAACGTCCCAACGTCCGCGCCCGCGCGGCCGGTGACGTCGGTCCAGCTCTCTTGGCTCGCTCGGGCGAGCCGATCTGGGCGATCAGAGAGCTGAGGCCCTGGACGTCGGGCATGGTCCGAGTCTCCGAGTCCGAAGGGCGTCCCATGGATTGACTGGGGAATGCTTACTGGTGCGTTTTACGTACAGGATGGGGCCCCCAAGATAGCTAAGTTGGTGCAAATAACTCCAATAACTATGGTTTATGGTACTTATAACTATAGTTACTGGGGCTTATAAACCAACTTATAACTGGGGGGGCCCACATTGTATCATACACTATTGTTATTATAGTTATGTTCACCAACTTAGCTAACTATGGGGCCCCACCCTGTAGGGAATGGATGAGAATCGGGGTTGCTGGCATTATTATTGATAGTTAGCCAGTGGATCATTCCCGAAAATTCCCTACGTTTAGCACCAGTAAGAATGGGTGGATTATCCCACCTGTGAACTACTTTCATGGTACCCCCATTATATTCACACGATATGGTTGGATATTAATTATTAGCCTCTGGTAAACGTTTACAGTTTGCGAACTGGAAAATCACCGTCTTCAATAGGTAAATCAACGAACTAAATGGGCCATCTATTCAAGTTCGCAAACTGTTAGTCAGTACCAGAGGGTATCCCATAGATTCACTGTCGAAACGAACCTCACAGACACGAACCTGGGTTTTTGTTCTGGATGATTCTCCAAGGATTATGAACACAGTTCACGATCCCACTTCTATTCCAGAAATGTCCCATGAAATATCACCATTCTCACCACATCATATGGGTTATCACTTCTTAAGGGATGCACCTCAAAATCCATGATTTGACAAATCTGGGTAAATTAAAATATTTCACTAACCTGAATAGTTGGGCCATAAAAGGGGACGATTTCCTTTATTTGCCATGATTCCAGTGAGGTCGCAGTGAGGTTGTTATAATTTACCCAGACAAATCTGAGTCCCAAGTAGTCACTTTCGCTTTTTGAAGTCCCATGTTAGATGCTTTTCAAAGGCCTCCAGGCTCTGATGGATACCGCTCCACTTATCCTCGAGAACGGCTTCGGCCAACAGACCTGCGAGGCCCACAAGACATCATCAAAACTGCTTCAAACACCATCAAAACTGGAGTAAAATAGAGATGTTGCCGATTTTTGCCACTGAAAATAGGGATTTATGATGTACGAAAGCCACTGTACAGTTGATGTATGGCCAAGTTGCTTGATCTCACGAAGCTAAATTGGAAGATTGGATTTGTGGAGTATCGGTGGAGTGGTGCAGAATCGAAAAATCGTTGATTTCTTAACCCACTATAGTTCCTTATAGTTCCTTATAACCACCATAAACCCAACATGTACTGTAGCCCGGCTTCATTTATACCGAGCAATTCAGCTCACTGTAGCCCCATAAAAAACATGGGGGTCGGTGAATGCCTCATAGAAATGGCCAATCAATAGTTCCTGCTGGGCTCGTGAAAAAAACAGCTCAAATCTTGTCTTTGAAATTTACTGCCATAAAGTTATGAAGCTGGGATTTTCCAACTTGTTTTTCCAGCTTGGTGGCTCATCCCACTGAAAAAAAGTGGTGATAGCCCCAGTGACAAGTGGAACCAAATATGGTTGGTCCATTTATATCTGGGGTTATAACCCACTTACCCTCTGGTAAACTAACATAACTATGGAAAATAACTATGTTTAATGGAAAAATCAACTATAAATGGCCATTTTCAATAGCTATGTTAGTTTACCAGAGGGTATTAACTGGCATGAACCACCAAGTGAATCCAGTTCCATAGTGGATTTATATAGTCGTTCCCAGACTCCCAGTGGGCTTCCAAGCGCACCTTTCTTCGCGTCTGGTGCCTACCACTCAGCTGACTCCGCAGGTTGTTTACGTCGGGGTCAGTTTGGATGTGTACGGTTTAGGTTTTGCCACGTGTCTGAAAATTAACAGATCTGTATAATTTTGATGAATGAGGATTTACCTACTAAAGGTGGTAAAACAGTCCATAGCTATGCTAAATTGCCTTTTGGGTATATATGGTATATATCTAATGTGTATGCTGGAACATGCTGGAACTAACCTGACATATTTGGGCTCTTCTTGATGCTGAGATCACGTGATCCCCATGCTCCCCAAAAATCCCATGATCTTTGAGTCCTCCAAAAATCCGGTGCATTGGATCCATACAATTGCTATCAATAGCTACATATCAAGTTGGTGATTTACCCCAGTGTTATCCCACTATGGCTGGTAATAACCCTGGCTATTATATGAGCTTTATCAACAATGGTTAAATTACGTGCCATTAAAAACGCCCTCATGAAATATTCTGGCTGGTGGAAAATCCCCGTTGTTCATATTGTTCAGGATTCAACTCCTACAGATCCATGTCATGGTGAAAAATCCTCAAGGATCGTAGACGGACTCATCGAAAGCTGGGCGTCTGGGAACTTGGGCTCATCCCTGTGATTTCTAATCCAGTCCCAATCCCACGAATCTATGTCATGGTGAATCATCCGAAAAATGCACCAAGTTTCGTGTTTCAGGATGATTCATCATTATGAATACATAAACCTACATCAATCTATGTTTTTTGAAACAAAAAAATACACAAAGTGTTTCGAACAAGTCCCGAAGTGTGCGAAGTGTGTGCTGTATCAGATCATCTCAGATCATCCCATGCTGTGATGGGCACCCGGCCTGGCCTTGGTCCTGGGAGGTGATCCTGGTGCAAGTGGTGCCTGGAAGTCAGGATTTTTGGGGGCCAAGGCATAGAAAAAGGGGGTACCATCCATGAAAAAAATGGTGAAAATATGGCGAACATATGGTGAAAATATGGTGAAAATATGAGTATCAACGGATTATTGGGGGGCAATGTTTGAGGCGAAACCCTTGGAAATATCATCCAACTACCATCCTGGTAAATATGTCGGCATCTATGAGGAGTACTACAGCTACAATCACACAACCTGACACTACTGGAATATAAGCCCTGAAATGACATGGCCACTGAGAGGAATGGTCAATTGCTGATCTATTGCCTGGCAGTCTAAAGTGACTGAAGTGACTAAAGTGACTCTTGTAGACTAAGATGGTTGCAGGTTTAAAAAAAACGTTCTTGATATGTATTCAAGATGGTCCAAGTAAATGAAAAATCGTCCCTCAATTCCCTAGGTTTCTATAGTGGATTTCCGGGAAATTGACATTTAAAATCGACTCGGCAAGACTAAGGAAATCAGCTCAGTAGATGATTCAAATCATGGAATTTTACAGTCTAATGATCAGTAAAGCAATGATTTTTATAAGCACTACTATGTTTTGATGGAACTCCAAGTTATAAAAGATCAACAAAAAAAGTGCTACAATTGGGGATAGTGGATCATGGATCTATGATGGAGTGAAAGTCAGTTGGGATTATTATTCCATTCCCAACTGAATGGAAAACGAAAATGTTCCAAACCACCAACCGGATGAATCATGGATTGGTTTTTCAATTCGTGAGCTATAGATTTGCTGCTGGCTGAAGGCTGCATCAAAATTTCTCTTCCAATTCCAGGATGGTCTTGATCCCAAGCTGCTGCTCAGTTTCCCACATGTTTTTCTCTGTGCTCTACCCTCTGGTAATTTGTTACATAGCTATTGAAAATGGCCATTTATAGTGAGTTTTCCCATTAAAAATGGTGATTTTCCATAGTTATGTTAGTTTACCAGAGGGTATTTCAACCATGGGTTGGTCATATCCCCTGCATTGCTGCTTACGTCCCTGTAATTTCTTGGTAAAACGCTGGGTTACAGTAAATACATACCGATTATCACGGGTCAACTCCACCTGCATAGCCCCATGTATATTCTGATGAGATCCCCAATCTGTACATGCTCTGTAAAAAAAGCAGAAAATATGAGTCAATGCTTGCACTTTGCCAATGAATACGCTGACGGCAATGATACCAGCAGCAGCAGCAGCACCATCATCATCATCATCATCATCAATAATCACTAATAATCATTAATAGCCATTAATAACCATTATATAACCATTATATAATAACCATTGATAACCATCATCGTCATCGTCATCATCATCCTTGTCGTCCACTTCTAGGGGCTCCAAAAAAACACACCGTTCAGACCACCCGCTATGCTCCAAGGATTTCAACCCACCCTCAACCCACCCTAGAAAAAGCGAGATTCCAACGCCCGAAATCAAAGTGGATGGCATATCAATTCTCAGACCACGACGTATTTTCTCCAAACTGGGTGAGCCCCCAAAATGGCTGGTCACCATCTTTTGCCCATCCATGTCATTGAAAAATGGCAACCAACCCACATGTCCTATTGATGGTTAGTTCCATCCCATGATGTCCTACAAAAGATCAGCTAATATCGTATTACAATGCATTATATCCCCACTGATCCATTGATAGATTCGAGTTTTCCATATTTCAAAGGGTCAAAAGCAACAAAAAACACGACGGCACAGGGGCTCCTGTCTTTCCAGCGTCACTGGCTCTATGAATTCCGCGGCTTGCCGCGGGGTCTGCCAAGCGGCCCGTCCTGTCAATTCCGACTCACCAAGTTTGGATCTAAGATTGGATCTACCCTCTGGTAAACTAACAGTTTGCTATTGAAAATGACCATTTATAGTGAGTTTTCCCATTAAAAATGGTGATTTTCCATAGCTATGTTAGTTTACCAGAGGGTAATGCGATTTCTAAGGCACCAAAGTGGGATCTTGTAAAAATCTGCTCCCTTCAAGCTGTCAAAACAAAATGGGGACAATCATGTGAAGATGTGAACCGGAAAAAATCATCGGGAGCTCAGATTTTTAGGGCGTGATCCGTTTGAGGATGAAGTGCCGGGCACGAACAGTGCAGGCGAGTCATCCTTGGGGGATGTGACATGATATAGAATTTTTTGGTGACCGGTTTTGTCCAATGCCTCAAATTCCATGGAAATTCCATGTTTTGTCCAGTGCTCCAAGGACTAAACCATGGGTCGTTAAACATCCCAACTATGGGAATACCATTCCTCATGGGGATATTCAATCCTGAAAGTGGATTGATTCTTCCTATCCTCCAAGGGCCAAGGATTAATCCCAACTTGACCACGGCATGTGATGAACTGCCTAAGCATCTCAACACCATTGGTTTCTGACCCTGTTTTTGAGGTTTCCGAAGTCACGGGGAGACTTCCAAATCATCCAGTCGTCATGGATGACCCTTTTACTGGTTGGTGGTATACCAAAACCCCTCTGAAAAATATGACTTCGTCAGTTGGGATGATTTTTCATTCCCATCTGAATGGAAAGTCATAATCCATTCATGTTCCAGTCACCACCAAGCAGATATTGTAAACCATCCAATTTTTCCAACTATTCCAAGGATATTATGGAAAGTCATAAAAGTCATGTTCCAAACCACCAACCAGTTTAGCATTGAAACCTACAGGATGGTGCCCCCCAGTTATAAGTTGGTTTATAAACCCCATTAACTATAGTTATATCTGCCATAAACCATAGTTATGGGAGTTATAAACCAACTTAGCTAACTATGGGGCACCACCTTGTACGTATGGTTTTTCCAGGGATCCCCCATGTTCAGAAGCACCCCGTGATTGCCCCAGCTGCTCTAACGCGCACCGGGCTCTCGCGTCCGTGGTGTCATGGAACGACGGGCACCCACGGGCCGCTTTGGGGCCTTGATAGGAAAAGAATCAGGTGCCGGGTCAGTTGTGTTTTTTTAACTAGCTTGAGTAGGTGAACTAAGATTTAGGGTAGATGTATTTCTAGTTCTATTCAGATGGGGTTACAAACCACCTGAGCTATCTAGCAGGCCCACCTTGTGGTGAGCTGGATTCTTATCATGGGTTTTACTCACAGACTTCCCAAAAAAAAGTATAACAATCTGAGAGTATCAGCCCACAGACTATTTTGGCCAAAAATGTTGACTGCTCGAAAATCCATCCCTCATTTCACTTGCATCTCTTTGGATGTCCCGATTAAAAAAAACTCGTTTCAGGGTTGCTCCAAACACCCCAGGGCGGTACGTTGGGGTAAATTGGGTCAATATGTTCAGGTAAAAATTAAAAATGGCATAAAATAACCAATTAGCCCAGCAAACGTGGCTATCATCTACCAATCTTTTGGAGCAACCCTGTGGTAAGGCCAAAAATATCCCATTTCAGCTGACTGCGGCCCTTGGGATGCCGTGCCGCGCGTAGGCCATGTAGGCCATGAGTTCCGCCCAGCCGTTGACCTGTTCTGGGCGCCAGGGTGATCCCGTGGGATGCGCAGCTAGCATTGAAACCTGCAGGATGGTGCCCCCCAGTGATGTTTGTTGGTTTATAAAGCCCATGAATACTATAGTTATATCATGTCATATCTGCCATAAACCATAGGTATGGGAGTTATTTGCACCAACTTAGCTAACGAACTGGGGCACCACCTTGTGGAGTTCATCAATGGCCACGATGGCACCTTTCAGAAGTTCTGGATGATGTGGCCATTGATGGTGAAACTTCGTTGTGGCCATGTGCTTAGAAAATACCTGAAAATGCCACGATGGCACCATCATTGCCATTTCCAGGGATGGTTTTTTGGCCGGGGAAATGTCAGAAAAATTAAAATTGCTTGGAACTTCGTTGGATTTTATGAAAAAAATGTGGTTAGATCCCACCGAAAAGATGTGGATTTGAGCTGGAAAAAGTGGAAAATTGCCCATGGAGATATTGAAGATAATGATAGATGATTTGCTTAAGATTGCCCCCCAAAACAGAAGAAATATGTAGAAATATTCTATTCCCAATAGATCCAATAGGTTTCCCACTTCTGGAGGATTACTCAAGAGGAACATGTTCAAATCGTCTGCAAATCCCTGGGCTCATTAACTGTTCAATGAGGTGATGGTCATCCCAAATTCCATGTGTTCCAGAATTGAAGGGAAAACAAAATGAGGCTCACTGTCTCTCCAAACTGACAGCCTCGCAAAATTCTCAGGTTTCCAATAAATCTACAAGGTGAGGCCCCCTTGTAAACAATTTCGTTAACTTGACGCACTTCTAACTTGGTTCACATTGGTGAATTCTAAGGTTGATTAAGGGCATAGAACCAAGTTCATAGGGGATTATATGGCTTATAGGTCAAAATTGGCTACCCGGCTACCCCAAAAATTGGATGGTCGATACCAAACATATACTAAAATCTGTGGTCCCATAGGGCCTGATTTTTTTTTGACCCCATCTGGGGCTTCAAAAACGGCCCTGAGAATCGCCCAAGACCCGGCGTCCTCGACGCGCGCGAAGCGGGGCGCTTCGCGGGCCTGCCGGGGATGCCGCTCGGGATCGGATGGGGGAAAAACTGGGAAAAACCCAGGGGTTTTAACATGGGATTTGTGAGGATCTTTGACCTGATCAAAGGGGGAGATGTTCATGGTGATTTTATGGGACATTCGGATGTTGAACGTCGCTTATTGATGGGGCTTTTTGAATGGCGCTTTTGGACTGGACACCATCGGGAGATTAATAAGAGACCATCTCAAAGGGGAGAGTTGCCCCCTACGAACCATTGTTCCAGTGACGGAAAGAACTGTATTCCCGGTGTTGAAATCCGATTTTTCGTTGGGCAAGTCCCCATGCTTGATGAAATCGCAGTTTTTTTGGCGGGTGAAACCGTGGCATGTTCAGTCCAACGCTGGTCCGTCTGGATCTCAACCTGCGCAAAAAATATGTGGTCTAAATCCCAGTCTTTTTTTGGCTAAACCACATTGTACAAAGTGAGGCCCCCCAGTTATAAGTTGGTTTATAAGCCCCAGTAACTGTAGTTATAAGTACCATAAACCATAGTTATTGGAGTTATAAACCAACTTAGATATCTTGGGGGCCTCACATTGTATACATTGAAAAACACATCAACCCCCGAATCTGATGGTTCATTCCTGAAAATGTGTGTGATCGATCAATTCCCCAGTTCGGCGAGCCTAACAATCAATTGACAAGCCCAAAAAGCACATGACTGTGGATTTTGTAGAAATCCACCACCAAAAGGATGGTTGAAACATGTTGAAACCACAAAATCATGGGATCTTTAGCACATCCCTCAAACTGGTGCAGGATTTCTCAACCCAACCCAGGTGCCTCCATCCAGAAGGGCTGCTTCTCCCAACTCGACCTTTCTGGGCCGGGTGAAATGGCTCTGTTTCAGCATCAGCAGTTTGGGAAATGCGTTCGTTGGATATGAAACAGAATTAAAATCATGAAAGAATCTACTTGGAAGTGCAGTTCCAGTGAACTCAGTGATGTTTCACCATACTTCTGAATTGCGGTTATAACGTTATAACCCAACTTATGGGAGTTATAATAGTTATATCCATTTGCAACCTCGACTGCACCCCCAAGTAGGAGGAAATGATCAAAATTGCCTGTTCATAGAGTACCCTCTAGTAATTCAACATAGCTAAATCGCCATTTTTAATGGGAAAATCCACTATAAATGGTCATTTTCAATAGCTATGTTAGTTTACCATAGAGTATGTCAGCAATAGAAATGGGGCTGCATTTTCAATGGAGGCCTTCGGCCTCCGTTTTGAAAAGGGCCCGACCACTTTTTCGATAGCACAATCAAACACAAGGGATGTGGTGGCGAGAAAGCAACAAAATTCCATGTCCAATCAGAAGAACATCTGCTTACTGGTGCGTTTTACGTCGGGAATTTTTGGGAATGATCCCACATTTCATCACTAATTCGTAACTTGTCATCATCCCAGCAACCCCCAGCAAGCCATCCAGCAACCCTGCGTTTAGCACGCACCGCACAACAGTAAGTCTGGAAATCTCAAGAACCGTCATGATTTCCAGATGATGTTCTTCTTCTTGTGATTTCTGAATGGTTGGATGATGGAAATCTATGGAAATCTTAAGTTTCAAGAACTGAACTCTTAGATTTCACAACAAGAATCACTGGAGCAGGATGTTGTGGGGTGCTCCAGTGATGGAGTTTACGAGAGCGTGTCCAAAACGTGACAAATTTGGATCTAAGTGTTTGGTTTGATGGGGATTCTATGGTGTATTCTAAGGGATATAATATGATATAATGGGGATAATATGATATAATGGGGATCTGGAAGGATATAAATGATATAAAGAGATATAAGACTAACTTGGATAAATTCTAAGAATTCACCAACCTGAAATCACGCCACCAAATGGACATGATTGATTTCACTCCTTCGATATCCTTCGATCCAACCCCTCCGACGCCGAAAACGACGTGGTCACACCCCTTTTTGCACGAAAGTTCACTCGAGGGCACCACATGAGCACTTCGGTGCCCGAAAATTGGGGTCTTCAAAACTCTCGGACACCGTTTGCGTCACCCCGTTTTTTCGTTGGGGACTCCGAAACACGTCGTCTCAGCTCTCAACCTGGATCGATGATGGATCGTCATCGGAGGCCTAAATAGCCCGGCAGAAAGACCAGGAAAGTGCCGAAGAGCAGAAAGCCGAACAAATAGAGCAGGATCTTGACAGATTCGCCATCGGCTTCACCTGGTGTCCCAACATCCCAACATGGCTGGACTTTTGGTGCCGGAGCTTGTCATGTTCGAAAACCGAAAACCGAGATCCAACAGAGGAGTTGTTCCTCCAAAACACCAAAAAGCATGGTTTTTTGTCGCATGCCAACCCAACCTAAGACCAAGTTGCAGCGAACAAACAATTCGGAATCCTAGAAATATATCACGCAGCGTTTTCAAAACGCGGGATGAAAGTTGAGTTCAATGAAATTTCACCAAGAAATTGCCTGCGATCCCGGAATCGAAATCACCAGGCGGCCTGCCCGCTCCTTCTCAATGGCAGCTTTTCGAGACATCGACTCTTGTTGTTCCTGCCCCATTTCTGAGTTGAACATCATGCTAGGGAAATCACGACCTGGTCATAAATGTCCATCACAAAGTGGTCCCGAACATCATGACTAGTGGAAAGCTAATGAGCTATAATGGAGCTAATGGTGATGGTTAGAGCCCATAAATAGATATAAATAGGCTTTTCTATGGCCATAAATTATCATAAATTCATGGCGAAGTTGGCAGATGCCAAAGCCATTGACATGACTTGTTTGGATGGACATGGATGGACAACTCACGTTGAGCACGTCGTGTGGTCGCCGCTCCGCGGCGTCCTTCATATCTCTCCACCACTGCACTTCCCATTCCGTCTTTCCCAGCTCCTTCCACGGACTCCGCGGAAGAAACCATGTTTGGGGACGGGAAACCAATGTGATACCCGGCCTGGTAAACATACAAAAAGCAAACTGGAAGCCATGGCCCAGTCGAAATAGTGGATTTACCCATTGAAAATGGTGATTTTCCATAGTTATGTTATATATTTTACCAGAGGGTACCTCCGCATGAAATGTTGGTTGGGTTGACAAGGCCCACAAAAACTAGCCGAGTTACGGACCAACCAAACCAACTTGACGCTTCCGAACTGGGGCACCACATTGTAAATAGCTGTGGTTAGTTGCCAGTACTAGAGTAATCAGACTAAGTGAGTATAGTACATTGAACATGGTTGATATGTAACTGATAGGGATTTGAGTATCATCCATAGATAAGGACTCTACCAATAATAGATAGTGATAGGGATATCACCATCAATAGCGGTGTAAACGATAGAGTATTTGTTTGGCCATATTTGAGTTAGATTTCACTGTTCTACCTTCATGAAATCGTGTTTTTTCTCGAATCACGCTAACCCCCAGCCATCCTAAGAATCTCCATGATATACCTATCACATTCCATCGTTGTTTTGTTTGTGACATCCCCAAAAAAAATGATGCGGGAAACAACCACCAGAAATCTCCGACAGTCAAAACACCCCATTTTTCCACGCGAAATCCCCATGATGAGCTTCAACCCCCCATTTTTCATCCGTGAAAACCGTGAAATCCCACCATTTTTCCTTGTTTTTCTCATCCCAAACCAGTGAAATCCCACCATTTTCCCTGGTTTTTCCCTGGTTTTCCCTGGTTTTCCCTGGTTTTTTCATCCCCAAATCCAGTGAAATCCCGTGAAATCCCCCTCCTCGGGGTCGATGTCAGAGCCGTCGTATTTCCGTGGCGCCACCCCGGGCTTGGACTCCAACGGACTCGGGCCGCCTGAATCATCTGCACGATTTTATGGATGGTTTGATTTTCGATCTTTTTGGCGATAACTATTTTTATGTGTATGTATATATATATATGTATATATATATGTGTGTGTGTATAATCATATATATATGTGATTTCGGCATTTAATGGATTTAGAAGTGAAAAAATACTGTCGGTGAATGATAAAGATGTGATTTAAGCATTTGTTTCGATGCTGAAGCGTTCGGCAAAACTCCAAACATGTTGTTCGATGCCCGGCAAAAATACGTGGCTGAAGTTTGTATCTCCATCCAGTCGGTGTTTCTCCAAATATACCGAAAAAGATGTTGGCTAAACCTTGCAAAGTGGGGCCCCCTAGATAGCTAAGTTGGTTTATAAGCCCCAGTAACTATATAGTTATAAGTACCATAAACCATAGCTATTGGAGTTATAAAGCAACTTAGATATCTTGGGGGCCTCACATTGTTGGCTAAAGTCCCATTTTTAAAAGAAACGTCCCTTGCCCCATTTTTTGGATCTAATCAGGACAAATGGAGACGCACATGGGTTCTATGTGTCAATCAGAAATTCATTGAACTAATAAGTACCCGGCCTGGTATTTACATACAAAAAGCAAACTGGAAAATCACCATTCAAAATAGCTAGATCAACTATAAATGGACCAATTTCCATAGTTATGTGAAAGTTTACCAGGCCGGGTAAAGGGAAGATCTTTCCATGGAAAAGCCATGACACCAGAGCCGCGAATCGCCACCGAAACCCCCACCCCGAGACCCGCGCACCGAAGAAGCTGAGCCCCGCGGAGACCCAGGCAGCGGCCACGAGGCACAGGAGGCACAGGAGGACGCGAGGCCCACTGCGGCGGTCTGCCGCGGGCGCTGGTGAAAGTTATGGTGAAAATGTGGTATACCCCACAATGTGATGCCCCCAAGATATCTAAGTTGGTGAACATAACTCCAATAACTATGGTTTATGGTACTTATAACTATATGGTGAAAATATGGGTTTGTCTGAAAATAACTATGGTATACCCCATATTTTAACCATAACTATGAAACCATAACTAGCTTTAAATTATGAAAATGTGGTATACCCCAGAAATGGTCATTTAATATGGGGCTAGCCTATTTTCAGACACCTGGCAATTGAACCAACTTCAGTTAAAGTGGAGGTTTGTAGTTACTCCCCGAGAGATCATCCAACAGAAAGGGGTCCATGGGGACCCATACGGGGAAATTTGACATCGATGATGGTTGGTTAATGATTATCTATGGTTAATGGTTAGAAAGTATCTATCTGGTTCGTGGTATACCAAAACCCCTCTGAAAAATGATGGAGTGAAAGTCAGTTGGGATGATGACGTTCCCAACTGAATGGAAAATTAAAATTCCATGGTTCCAAACCACCAACCAGTCATTGATGATGGTTGGTTTTCATGATTGAACGAAAAAAACATCTCGTACATGCTGAGCACACTTAGTTCTCCCATTGCCACTATGCAGAAGGACGAATCCGAGAAAACCTGGGTTCCTTTCCCCAGTGGCTAAGTAAGGTGAGCCTTCAAGCACTCAGGAAGGGGTTCTGAACCCACTTTTGATCTGAAAAAATATCTAAAGCAAGTCCTTGAAGCAACAGCTTTTGAATGCTGAAACAGGTCAACCATGGTCAACCCTCAACAAGATCAGGACTTTTTTGCAAACCCTCAACAAATCGAGATCCCCTAAAAATAAGACTGGTTGGTGGTTTTAACCATCTTGAAAAATATTAGTCAATGGGAAGGATTATCCCATATATTATGGAAAATATAAAATGTTTGAAACCACCAACCAGAAGATATCGGAGATAGGTGTGCTCTTGGTAAATTTGGCTGTCCAGTCGTGAAATGACTGGCTGGCTCTTCAAAATTCCCAGTTTTATCCGATGATTTTCCCGAAGAACTCAACGCTACGCTAGGCCACGGGCATTTCGCGGCCCGCCAGGTTTCATGAAACCGGAGGGTATCTGTAAATCTTTGGGAAAAACTTGAAATAAATAGACCAAATAGGATTCAAATCCTAGGTTACTGTCTGGTAATTCAACATAGCTATGGAAAATCAGCATTTTTGATGGGTAAATCCACTATTTCTATGGCCATTTTCAATAGCTATGTTAGTTTACCAGAGGGTAGTGTTGATGACACCGGTAGGTATTTCACATATCGCCAAGCTTCAATCCCTGCAAATTGCATCAAAAGTTCCCGTCCGTTTGTGCATCCGAGCAGCTTTGCATTGTGCTGTAGGCTCAACTCTCTAAACTTTGAGCCGCAGAAAATGGCTCTAGCCGCAATGGCTTATCTTCAGAAAAGAACCCCAAACTTCTGAAGAAAACATGATCTGCCGCCAAAAATGTAGAATTCGTCAACTTCTCCAAAATCGAGGTCCAACACTTCGCCAACCCATCTTAGATGGTAAGCATCGCCAAGTTGGTGAAGTCCAACTCTCGTCTTTGTGGCAGTAGTTAGATGGGTTTAATATGGTTTAATAAACCAACTTATAACTACAGTTACCATCTGGTTATGACTAACATAGCCATGGAAAATCAACATTCTTAATAGGTAAACCCAGGTAAACCATCTATTTCTATGGGCCATCTATACCATCTATGTTAAATAACCAGATGGTATATAGAAATCACAAAGACCTTCTTTGCTGGTGAACGTAGATATTCCCAGCCAGATACCAAAGACTAAAGGATTAAAGTACCCATCTAAGATTGACCTAGTATACAACCTGGAAATACTAGGATCCTAGGTTTGACCTAGTATCTAAGTACCAAATATACATATCCTTTTTAGGTACAGTATTGATCTTTTTTCCATGGCGAACTGTTAGTCATAACCAGGTTGGGTAAATGATGTTCAATGATTTATCATAGATATTCCCAGCCAGATACCAAAAGACTAGTTAGGATTAGTTTCTACCCATCTAGCCGATTGACGTAGAAATGATGTTCAATGGGCACCACATGCTACAAATGTGTTTTGTTCAGGTTCTCGGTACCCGACCAGCGATGCCGTAGGAGACTTGGAACGCGATGCCGCGGGGGTTGGGACCTTGAAACGCGTCTGGGGAATCAACGCCCCCTGGCTGGTTGAAGGTGTGGGGATATAACTGATATAACCAGGAAAAATTACAAGAAATGATACTTAATGATACTTGATGAGAAAAATGGGTTTAATATGGTTTAATAAACCAACTTATAACTACAGTTACCATCTGGTTATGACTAACAGTTCGCCATAGAAAGATCCACCATGATATTAATAGGTAAACCCAGGTAAACCATCTATTTCTATGGGCCATCTATACCATGGCTATGTTAGTCATAACCAGGTTGGGTATATCCAAAATGGGGCTTACACCCCTTCTTTCCAGCGGCTTATCATGATTTATCACATCTTTCCCCGGCGGGATCCGCTACAGCCACCGATCAAGCTCCAATTTTGGGCTTTCAAACATCACGTGACACGACACTGGTGATGCTGGGATGGTCAAAATTCGGCTTTACGACATTGCGACATTGTTCAGACCAAAAAAATAACATCGGAAGCACCAACGAAACCTAACAAAACCAACACAAAAGCTGTCAGCTGAATCCCAAACCAAAAACGAATCCAGCTCGGCGGCTCTGGAGTTCGACTCAAGAATCCGGTAACATCGGCAAAAGATGTGGTCAAAAATGGGCCACAAAAATCGGTTGCCCAACATTTTGAGGGTTTTAAAATCGTGGTTTCCCCCGTGAAAATGGCCGAAAATCTTGGTTTTGCACCTCCATTTTCAGACGCAACTGACACAATGATCACAATGACATGCCCCACAATTCGTATCCCAATATGATTCCCAGTATGATTCCCAGTATATCCACCTGGGTAAATTAATTCATAGTTCACTAATCCGAATAGTTCGGCCATGATTCAGGGGATGATTTCCCTATATCTAAACCATGATTTCCCTATATCGGTCGCACAGTGAGGTTGTTAGAAAATTTACCCAGATCCATGTATAAATGATCACTGCTATGATTTTCCCATTGAAGCTTTAAAACTCGATGGGTTTAACGGTTAAATCAACCAGCAGCTTCGAAAAAACTGAGCCAAGTTGCCAAGCAGGTCAGAAACTCCTCGATGACGTCCTGGTCAGAAAACTGGGATTTTTCACATGGATTTCACCATGCAAAAAGTTGGATCAAAGACTGGCTAAGTTATATGATTTGACCATGCAAAAGTGAAGGAACATCACCGTTTTTTTGGAACATGTGGAAACTTTTCAGCATGGAAAATCGCTGGTGATTTGCTCAAAATCCTTCAATTCCCTATGGATTGACCCATTGGAGAATTTAAAGAACAGCAAATCCCAGGTTGAATTGGTCGCAATCTGGCTCTGGAAATGGGGGATACCCAGGATACCAATTGCTATAAGTGAAAATAGGGAATATCATACCATGATAAACCAGAGGATTTGTTTGGAAAACATATTTTCAGACAAAACCAAAAAAAAACTTCCCCAGAACTCGATGCTCTATGCGGCCCCCACCTCTTGTTGGGCCTTTTCAGGAGACACCTGCAAAACGCAAAGTGGTAGGACCAATGACTCATGATGATGAAGGCTCTATTCCCAAAAATGATTACGGAAACAGCCAATATCTGTTGAACAAACAAAACACAATCACACGATCCGAAACATCATAAAAGAAAAATACCAGGTGTTCATCAATCTGATTTTCCCATCATCGTTTTAACTGGAAAACGGTTTTTCCCATCAGAACAGCACCACCATCCCTGGGAGACCTGCTGGAGAACATCATCGTTCGGTGAGTCGTCAACAACAAACGAATCATCATCCAAACCATGGTTACCTATATGATGTATAGATTTATGGCTTTAATATGGTTTTATATGGTGTAGTGTAATATGGATAATAATGGGATAACTGGGATCACAATACTGCTTGGTGGTATACCAAAACCCCTCTGAAAAATATGAGTTACTCAGTTGGGATGGTTATCCCATATATGAAATGGAAAATAAAAACATGTGTGAAACCACCAACCAGATAGAAAACAATTACTAATTATAAAAAGCCATCAGTTCACAAACTGAATCAGCTTCAGTCAGCTTCCTCTGCTGGGGAGTCACTCAAATATTTGAAAGCCGTAGAAAGCCATAGACAAACCGTAGAAAATCATAGAAAACCATCGAAAAACCATGTTGAACAGCATCAAAATCATTGGTTTGATCATAGAAAACCCCAGGAAAAAAAAAAAACTGGAATTAAAAAACCTCGAACATAAAAAAAAAAGCTTCGTCGGTGGTATCCCCAGTGCACACCGGAGCTATTTTGGGCTGACCCCATTAACTTTCGCTGTTGGGGAAAAGCTCCAGAAACCCCACTGAAACCCATCCAACATCCACACCTTCTCCGGCGCTGTCGGCGTCTTCGATGGGCTCCAGGGTGGGGTAAGCCTCGGGAAGTCCCCAAAATTGTCGGAAATGCCACCTGGAAAAGCATCGGAAAAGTAGAGAAATGTATGGAAAAAGTTTGGAAAAATATGGAAAAGTATGGAAAAACAATACAGGAACACATCAGAACATGGAAAAGTATGGGAAAATATGGAAGTTACTAAGTTACCCCATGAAAAAAAAAAAAGTGTGGTATGGTTAGAATGCCATGCTTCTCCCCATGGAAAAATCTTCCACCTGCGGCCAGCATCCCAGGCCACCCACGGGCAAGAAACAGCGAAGGTCCCTTGGTCGCCAGCACGGCGCTATGGGAGCGACCGGCGGCCACGGCAACCTGCGGAGAAATCCGCTTGGAGAAAGTGGTAACAATTCATCTACATATTTGATATATATTGGATATAAGTAACACTTATAGTAACACTTATAGTAATACTTATAGTAACACTTATAGTAACTAGTTGGTGACTGGTTTAATAACTTATAGTAACTGGTTACTGAAATCCAGTGGAAAGCCCAAGAATCAACCATGGTTGATTTCTTGATACCAACCTAAGCAATAGATTTATGTCTATATATATATAATCACTAGATATTATCAATGGCCCAATTGCTTTGATGCACACTTAAATGAATATGGTCCATAATGGTTCAATAAATAATCCTCTATAATATATATATATATGCATAGAAACCATAAAACTTACGGGATTTAACCACTAGACACAAATCAATCATCCGAAAGGGGGGTTGGTACCTGAAAAGCTAAGTTGTTATAACTCCAATAACTAGGGACTCCGGCAGATCTCTCGCGTCGTGGACCACCACCGAAACAAGGTAGCCGGAAATCATGGGAACAGCCCCAAGCCCCGTACAGTGCAATGGATCGATTAAAAGAGAGCCAGAAACCTCTTGAAATAGCCATGACTTGAGGGTACCATCTGGTAATTTGTTACATAGCTATTGAAAATGGCCATTTATAGTGAGTTTTCCCATTAAAGATTGTGATTTTCCATAGTTATGTTAGTTTACCAGGGGGTACCATCTGGTTATGACATTCACAGTTCGCGAACTGGAAAATCCCTGGCCCATCAATGGAGCTTTAGTTCGCTAAAATCATCTATTTCGTTCTATGGGCCATGGCGCCACCATGGCAAACTGTGAATGTCATTACCAGAGGGTATATCATCATATATCCCATTAAATCCCATTAAATGCTATTGAATCACCATTTTAATATATCCCATTAAAACACCATTTTTCTGAATAATCCCTACAAAAAGTTCCACCATCATATTTTCCACCATTTTCCACCCAAAGTTCCGATCACTGACTTGAGACGGTGAAGCCACCTTTTTTTTTCGGATTCCCCCCACTCCACTAGGCATTCCCTACAGCAAAGTGAGGGGACGGAGGAGAGAAGTCGATCAGCCGTGCAGGCCTCGAACGGTTTGTCACACCGGCTGATGGAAAAATCTTTGGGGATTTATGGATGTGAATATTCCACCCCTATGGGTTTTTTCATGTTTTGTCATATACCCTCTGGTAATGACATTCACAGTTTGCGAACTTGAAGCCATGGCCCAGTCGAAATAGTTGATTTTCCCATGAATAGCATGGTGGATCTTTCCAGTTCGTTTTTTGTAAACGTTTACCAGGCCGGGTAGCAAGCTTGACCCTACCCCAAATTCATAAATCTCAGCCACAGCTGTTTCGCTGGACGGTGGACATGTTGCAGGAAATCCCAATTTTTCATCCGGTGAAAGCCAAACCCTCAGTGTTCCCCAAAGCCGCAGACAGCTGATCACCGGCGCTTAGATCATTAAGGTCTTGGTTTCGATGTTGCTTTGCTCAAATTGACCCCAAAAAAAAATCTAGGAACGCTAACGTTCTCAATTCCAAGAAAAGGATAGGTAGGTAAGATACGATTTATAGATGGATAGATTATCAAGTTCACCATCATTCAAGTGATTAAGTTGATATTATAGTATAGTAATATGATATATCAACATATCCAAGGATACATTATAGTGGTTATCCATCATTCACATATCAACTTGATATCATATGTCAAGTCCAAACTCACATCTTATCAAGATGGATTCACTTAATGGGTGAACCTATATCATATATCAAGTTCATATATTATTTCCATCATTACCCTATGATAATAGTTGATTTCCACAGTCTTGTTACTTTACCAAAGGGTAAAGGGAATGTCAACCATCATTATATGTCCATCATTACAAGGGTATAGGGCCCCCACAGCGTTACACTCTCTAATAATAATGATTATAGTGATTAATTATCCATCATTCATATATCAACTTGATATTCATATATCAAGTTCATCTAAGTTCATGTATCATTATATATACTATATATATATGGGTAAATTATAATATTTCACTAACCTGAATTAAGGCCATAAAAGGGGATGATTCCTCTTATTGACCATGATTCCAGTGAGGGAGGACGACGGCTGAGGTCGTGATCAAATTTACCCAGATATATCATCCATTGATTATAGGGCTTATATCCCAACTATGGTAAACATATTCCCAACAATTGGGTTCCAAACCACCAACCAGATATATATATATATATATATGTGTGTGTGTGTGTGTTCCATCATCATTCACCATCTTTTTTAATCAACTTCCACCTCACCACGGGATTTCCATGGCGCATCCCGCCAAGCGAGCGCGAATCTCTGAGATGGCCACCATCTCTGACTCTCCGGGTTCTCAGCCTTGGCCGAAAGTTACGAAAATGAGGTGATAGATATGGAACTAGTTGGAGCGTGTGATAGATATATATATATATATATACATACATACATGTGTATATATATATGTATATATATATATGGTTTAAATCATTGTTATAACATATATATATATACATATTATTAACATAATTTCGGTGAATAACTCCTGGACATTCACAATTGCCAATCTTAGATACCCTGCAAGAAAGCAAATTCTTAGCTGGTGAACGTAGATATTCCTAATTATAGCAAAAGATTAAAGGATTAGTTTCTACCCATCCAGTTGGTTGACCTACCCTCTGGTAAACTAACATAACTATGGAAAGATCCACCATTTTTAATGGGTAAATCCACTATTTCTATGGCCATGTTCAACAGCTTTTTGTACGTTTACCGGAGGGTATATCATCATATATCCCATTAAATCCCATCAAATGCCATTGAATCACCATCATATATCCCATCAAAACACCATTATGTGGTTGGTCATCCACCCATCCAGTTGGTTGACCTAGATAAGTATTGGTGGATACACCCAACTTATCTCTATTAACCACCCACACAATGTGGGGCCCCCAAACGTTATAAGTTGGTTAACAGATTCGCCCCAGTAACTAGTTCGTTATGTGCGTACCATAAACCAGTTCGTGACATTGGAGTTATTTGCACCAACTTAGCTATCAGTCTTGGGGGCCCCACTTTGCAGAATACACCATAGAACAAAACAGGTTGGTTCACCTCGTCACTCAGGCCCATGCAACTCCTTCCAGGCGCCCACATTGCCTGGGAGCGAAGGCACTAAGGCCCCCGGGTAATGCGAAGCCATAGGAAAATATAGGGAAAAAATGTGACGTGAAGCAACAAACATGTGGATTTCATGTGGATTTCATGGGATTTATAGCTGATTTACGAAATCGCGAGATGTTGCCGCACAGTAAAAAGAAGGCGAATTCGATGGTTTTTTTCAACCTCGCAGGCCTCGTCGTGTATGGATTGCTCATGATTTTTCCATGCAAGATACCCAAAAGACATTCATCATCCATTCATAGATTATGATAGTCCCAATAGATCTAGATTATAGTTAAATATCCAGTTTCGAAAAAAAAAAAAAAAACGTCAAAAAGAGTCGATCGCTTTTGACCTGCAATTTTCCAAAAAGATCCGTGTCCAAAAGACAAAAAAACTCCCAGACTTTCCGCCGTTTCACCAGGCCGGGAGCCCAGGCCCAAAGGACGAGTTGCCCCAGGCCCAGACGGAGTTCCGATGCGCCTGGGTCCGAGGACTTCCAACGACACGCAGGGAGGGATTTGGGGCTTTGGGGTGAAAGCCAAGGCGACTTTTTGGCGAAGTCATAGCAAAATATATATAGAATTAGATCTCACAAGATAGAATTAGATTGATTTTCTGATAGAATCTATATATAGAATGGGTGTTTGTCCATCGGGCTATCAGCAACCCTTTAAAAAATATTAAAAATCACAAAAACACTAGTCCTCCTTTCCTATTGGTGGATGGGCCAGCGAATTCCTAAAAACCTGTTGATAGGTGCTAAACATTCCATTCTTTTTTTCAGCTTGAAAAACCCATCCTACATGGTGCCCCCAGTTATAAGTTGGCTTATAAACCTTGTTAACTATAGTTATAGTTATATCATGTTATATCATGTTATATCATGTTATAACATGATATAACATGTTATATCTACCATAAACCATAGAATTCATCCACTTTTTTTCGGCAACTGAACGCGAGCTCGAACGGGGGCCCCATCCTGTAACCATCCGTAGTTTCGGGGTAGCTCAGACCGAGACGGCCACCTTGGAAGTCTCGGGTTTCGTGAGGCAAATCACGTGGTTGGCACCACTCTCTATGGCTGCAATGACCTACGGGCCAAGACGCATCCCATTTTTATGTATCCCAATTTTTCGGGCAGAAGTTTCACCCATGACTTACTGGTGCGTTTTACGTAGGGAATGGATGGGTTGCTGGGTGGTTGCTGGGATGATGACATTGATAGTTAGCCAGTGGATCATTCCCGAAAATTCCCTGCGTTTATATAGCACGCACCAGTAAGATGAAGGTCAGCCCCGAAAAAAAAACCGATGTCATCCCATGAGAGGTCCAGATCTGGATCCGAAAGCTCGCCCATGAATTCGGCCATTTGAAACTGATGGGATTCCAATAAAATTCATGGCGTATATGATGTTGTCCCATTTTTTTGGGGGAAATGATGAAAATTTGGTGATTAACCATCAACTCTCTTGGGCGAAATTTTTGACCCAAAAATTTCAGGCAAACCCAGATAGTGCACAATGGATGGTTGGTAAAGAAAATGATTCATCCATGCAGCATCATCAACTATCGAATTTCCATCGCCATCCATTCACCATCAGTAACTATCCATGAAAACTATAAGATGTCCATCCATTAAACATCAATGTTAGTAAAGCAATAATAAATCCCCCTATGTGTTGATGGTTGATAGATACCCGCCATGAAAAAATGAAATTGCGGATGGTGAATCCTATTGCCGTACGAACATCAAACTCAAACCATCCATTCACCATCCATTCACCATCCATTACGTATCAGATGTCCATGGATTTCCATCAAGCTTACGTATAAATATGTGGATTGGTACAGCTCTAAAGCCATAGGATCTCCATAGGACGTTCATGAATCAACCCATGGGAAAGCCGGACATCTATGGTTGGTTATAAGTCCAATAACCATGGTTTATAGGTATTTATAGGTGATAACCCATTATAACCAACCATAAACCCATAGGTAACCTATAATGGTCTATGGTTATAGGTGATATATCGAACTAGTTTTCATGAGATTATAACCCATTTATAACATCCATTTAACATGGCTAAGCTGAAAATTTCCTCACCTTTCCCCGGTGACTTTTACACCCGGCCTCGCTGGTCGGCAGCGGCACTGGAAGCGGCACCAGTGCTGACGTGGCCTCGATACCCAGCTGCCCGTAGCTGTTGCCACCTCGGAGGAGGACTTACTGGTGGATTCTACAGGTGACTTTTATGATATAACAGTGTAATGACAAACTTTTTGGGATATTCATGGGAAATACCCTCAAATATTAGTGGGATATAGTTATTCCTGAATTTAGTGTACCCTCTGGTAAACTAACATAGCTATTGAAGACAGAATAAATACCCTATGGATCCAGTCGTACCTTCTTAGGAAGTGGGACTGGGGTATTATTTACTATAATTTGGAGGGTTAAGTACCGACTCAGACAGTGTTTGGATCCATAAGGGATATGGATGTGGGTCAAAATGGAAGACCATTCATGGGACCACAGATGTGAATGTCTAGTTTAGTATTAACTATTCAATTATTGGGGTACCTAATTTAGGCCCATACCCATATAACAGTGTAATGACAAACTTTTTGGGGGAAATATTAACTATATGTTTGGGGAAATTAAAAAGAGATTACTTCTACATCATAGTTTTCTTACTGGTGCGTTTTACGCAGGGAATTTGCGGGAATGATCCACTGGCGAACTATCAATGTCATCATCCCAGCAACCACCAGCAACCCAGCCAGAAACCCTACGTAAAACGCACCAGTAAGATGAAAATGATGCGAAAAAAAAAAAGGAAAATTTTAAGGGGAGGGTCCCAGAGATGCTGGGATTCTCTATTTTTGATGGGGATTTTGAGATTGATGCTGAGCTTTTTTGGGGTAGAAAAAAAGATGAATTATGAATGACCCACCTTGACTGGGGATTCCTGAAGGCTTCTTGAAGTATGAACTAAACCTAAACCTAACCTAAGGAATTATTGGAATCTTGAAAAAGAATCTCGTTGTTGTGGGGAAATTCCAAGATTTGTTTGGGGCAGTTGTCTGATAAACTTAGAGGAAAAAATATGAGAACATACCAAAAAACGACCCGGAAATCCATGGTTGTTTCCCTATCGGAAATGATCTACATTCTACATGTCATGTCTGGTGGAATTTCCATATCTATGTTAGTTTACTGTAGGGTAGCCATGTGAAATATCCTCGATTAGTTGATTATTATTTGGCGGGATGTATGAAAAATTCACACGACACGGTATACTCCATTTTCAGCCAGACCACATGGAGGTTTCCCAAAATTGGGGTACTTCCAAATCATCCAAGTCATGGATGACCATTTCAGTATAGAGAAAACATCACCACCATCCTGGAAACATTCAATCTTTTCAGGGGTTGCTACAATCACTGGATTGGTTTAAGGGAAATTTTACAGGAAAGCCTCTAAATTTTCATAGGGAAAAGCCATGGTTTCCTGATGTGTCCTTTTTTTCGATGTTCCACTTTAACCAATCCAGTGATATACCCTCTGGTGATTTAACATAGCTATTGAAAATGACCATATTTATAGTAGATTTACCCATAAAAAAATGGTAAATTTCCATAGTTATGTTAGTTTACCAGAGGGTAGTGAATCATGAAATAGTGGATTTACCCATTGAAAATGCATGGTGGATCTTTCCAGATCGTTTTTTGTTAGTTCGTTTACCAGGTGATATAACCATGAATCATCAACAAAAGTCAACTCACCTGCAAATCTCAGGGAAATGGATCAACCTCAACTCTGCAGCATCGCAGCATCGGGGGGAATTCCGGAGATCAACTGTGAAAGTTTTTGCGAACTGGGAAATGGCAGGAAAGTTGGCAATTTCTAGATGATTTTTCCCTGTTGAAAAATTTTCTGATTTTTAGCGGATGATGATTTATCTGAGGCTGGCTACCTTTGAGCTGGCCCCATCTCCCAACAAAAATTGGTGTTTTTTTTCAAGCCCATGGTTATCCCCCAGAAAAATGGGCTTTGCTATGTGTGACCTTGCACAGGTTCGACTGCGGTTTTTTTTTGCATGAAGCCAAGCAGACACCTGTAGTAAGCCGATTTCGGAAGGTTTTCCAGTTATCCCCAGTTCAATGGGAGATCTTCAGGATCCAATTGATGGAGGTACGTAAACGTATCATATGTTTGGCCATATTTTGCTGGGATATTCCCTGAACCATAGGCCTGAAAAATAGGCCTTATATATGGTTGGTACCTCCAATTCAGGTTCCTGTTGCATGGCCATTGACCAGTTTTTAGCCAAGTGACCACAGGCCCAAAGACATCTCCCGGCTTCGGTCACGAAAAAGCTGAAGTTGGCACCTGAAGTTGGCTTCGCCAACGACCCGATCGGCCAGGAGCGAGCTTGGGATTGGAGATACTAGTACCCACCATTTCTTTAAGGCCTATAAAGAAGGACTATGGTTTGGGGGATTGATGTGCAAAATATGGTTTGATAAGGTACAGTAGCTCCAATTTAGGGTCCTGAATTTCCCATTGATCAGAGCTTGTACTAAGTTCTTGCCATTTTGAGAGGTACAGGTTTCACTCAAATGTGCCGATGGTCCACGCAGAAGCCATCAAGAACATGAAGGGCTACGGATAGCCATACGATTCTGCGATATGATCAACAATAGCTCAGAGACGAAGGGTACCCTCCAGAAATCAAACATGGAAATGGGTAATCTCCTTGAAATGGGTTCTTTTTACTGGGAAAATCATCGAACTAAATCGAGGATTTTCCAGCAAGCCATGCTCAACGACTCTGTGGCAGGTGCCGTCGTCGTGAAATTTCTAGCATGAACGGACTTGAAGTCCAGCATTGGAGCATGAGGCTCTCAAGTTGTGGAAATTGAACAGGGAAGACTCCGATTTGTGGATGCTTTAACGGGGAAAACGATAACAACTTGCATGGCTATCTTCTTACTGGTGCTTAGCAGGGAATTTTCGGGAATGATCCATAATCACTATCAATAATCATCCCAGCAACTCCCAGCAACCCCACAGCAACCCATCCATTCCCTACGTTTAGCACCAGTAAGTCTTCATATAGCGAGAAGTTTTGGACCGGATTTCAAGGATGCCCCATGTTACCCTGCGGCTTCCAAGCAAAGTTGGACAGGTTTTTTCCGTGACAGCCCCAGAAAGATTCTACAGCCAAACGACCTTACAGTAAAACATCTTCAAACTGGTTGGTGGTTGACCTACGCCTCTGAAAAATATATAAAAATATGAGTTCATCAATGGGTTTCGGATGGACATCCCATATATGACATGGAAAATAATCCAGTCATGTTTGAAACCACCAACCAGAAAACTATGATGTAGAAGTAATCTCTTTAATTTCTCGGGGAAAAACAGGAGAAATCATGCCACTCAGCCCATTGGAGTCACCCCAACTAGAAGCTATTTACATGGGATGAGCAAGTAGGAAAACTGATCAGTTGAACCTGTTAGTAATAGTTTACTGGAGGCTATATCACTTCTTTCCCCATAAACTTCGAGTTCATAAAACATAACATATAGTATTATATATGTTAATATAGTTAATATTTCCCAAAAAAAAGTGTGTCAGTACACTGTTATATCATAAAATCACCTGTAAAATATCATGAAATCATCAGGTTGTTTCCCCATTACAAAAAACATAAAATCACCATTTTCAGGCCCGCACCGCAGGTGACTCCGCAAACCGCGGACAAGGCATCGACCTCAATTTGCGGATGTTATCCCATAGGAAAAACGAACCAGACATCATCCCATATATATATATTTAGAAAAACATCTTGTTGATATTAATGGTTGATTTCTGATATGTAAATTCATTGATTTATGACTTATGGTCGATTTTGGTAATTAACATAAACGAACTTTGTATTTATGTATTGTTGTTTTTTATATATATAGAGAGAGAGAGAGATAGAGATAGAGAAAGCCCTTCCATTTGAGTTCGGGAATTTCCATGCAGCCCATGTTTGATGACACAACCGAGGGTATCAACCAACCAGTTTTGATCTGTCGAAACCACCAACCAGTATGGCACGTGGTTCCCAGAAACCCACGAGCCCTGCAACTACCCTCCGGAAATCAAATGTGGCAATGGGAAATCCCCGAACTAGCCATGGAGGTTTTTTGCTGGAAAGAAATCAGCCATTTTTATGGGGGAAAATTCCGTTGCCATGGTTGTTTACTGGATGGTATTGGCACCATATTTTCGAGCGGAAGCGATGGCTTGTCCACTAGTAACCCACACAAATTGGGACCACATGTTTCAGCAAAAAGGTGCGTAGAAGTCGGAGCTTTCCGAAGATCAATGGGAATTCCAGGATCCTAAAATGGAGGTGCGTAAACGTACCATATGTTTGGCCATATTTTGCTGGGATAGTCCCTGAACCATAGGCCTAAAAAATCGGCCTTTTTTCTATGGTAGGTACCTCCAATCAATCGGATCCTGTTGCATGGCCATTGATTCAGTTTGCCGATTTTTAATAGCCATGGAAAATCCCTTATAAATGGAAATGGCCATCTCTGGTTTCCTAAGATGGTACCCGAAATCATGTCATTCGACTCGTTTTTTACGAGTCGTGGGGATCCCTCATGGCCTACGAAACCTCCATGGCTGGAAGGTGAAGGAATCCTCCGGCATCGGTTGATTCTATAGGCTGATCCGGAGATGAGGAAATGGTTAGTACCCTCTGGTAATGACTAACATAGCTATTGAAAATGGCCCAGTCGAAATAGTGGATTTTCCCATGAAAAATGGTGGATCTTTCCATATGTAAACGTTTACCAGAGGGGAACTGACTGAGAAAACCCCCCACTCCATGGTACAACTTCTGAAAAAGCTCCATCAAAGTCACCCAACTGCACCAAGTATGATGAGGTAGTTCAAAAGCAGGGTACTTCAACGGGCCAAAAAATCGGGCCCCTTTAGTAAACCATCAATGAACCTAGTGGAGCTGATCAATTCTATTGGCCACTCTTAATAAAAAATAACAAGTTGATTAGAGATCTCATGTGAATTTCCCATGTATACCATGAAATCCCAATGTTAATTTCCATACCAAAAAAATGTGGACGAAAATCCAGAGGAAAATCCATGGAAATCCTGCAATCCCCATGGTTAGTTTAATCATGTATTTAAAAAAAAAAAACTGGGTCTGAAAGAATAAAACCATGGTTTTAATTTATGTATGATACCATGAAAATATTGCATAGGGATTGCATTGGATACCATACCTTTTCTGGTTGGTGGTTGACCTACCCCTTTGAAAAATATGAGTGAAAGTCAGTTGGGATGATGAAATTCCCAATATTTGGAAAGTCATAATCCATTCCATGGTTCCAAACCACCAACCAGCTATATATATATATATATCCTCCATAAACCCTGATGACATTGGAGTTATGTTCACCTTAAGTTAGCTAACGAACTGGGGCACCACCTAACGTAGGACCATCGCCGTTCACGCCACGTGACTCGTTCGGGCAGGGACCGATGCTTAGCGGAGCCAAGGCCCAATCTGCGAGACGCCCACAAGGCCCACGAGGCTACAGGATGGGGCCCCAGTTCGTCAGCTAAGTTGGTGAACATAACTGGTTGGTGGTATACCTACCCCTCTGAAAAATGATGGACTTCGTCAGTTGGGATGATTATTCCCAATATATGTTCCAAACCACCAACCAGATAATTATAATAAGAATAGTGTATGATACGCAACTAATTATAGTATATTATAGTTAGATGGGGTTATAAACCAACTTATAACTGGGGCACATCCTGTAGCTAAACACTTCTATTGCTTACTTGGTGGCTCATCCCACGGATCGTAAGTGGGTCATAATCTTGGTTTTTCAATGGGCTAAGTAGGGCAATGTTCACTTCTAACTGGGGGTATAACCCACTTACTAACTTCAATTGTAGTCACACTTCAATTGTTTATACCCTCCAGTAAACTGTTTTAAACTACGTAGCCATGGAAAATGGATGAACATGGCCCATTGATTGATGATTTACATACCAAAAAAAACGGTATTTTTCCATAATGGTAATGGGTAATGACTAACAGTTTGCTATTGTATAGATGCACATTTAGTTCGTTGATTTACCGCGTTTTCAAAGGTGGTGAATTTCCCATACCAATGTTAGTTTACCAGAGGGTATATCCCCATTGCAAGATTTGTTAAAGGTCACAGTGATCATGGCATTTTGCTGGGATTGTTTTCTATCGATGGGTCATTGTAATCTGAGCCAGACCTACGAGGCTCAATTGGAGAAGACCATGTCTTTTTTGGGCCTTAAAGCTTGAAGACCATAGCCGCCATAGCCCCTACAAGTCCTTCAGATAAGTAAAAAACACCCAGAGCGCCAAGCTGGTGTGGCTGGAGGCAGATCAACTTCAACACATTGGATGAAACATCTGGGGGCTTCAAAAAAAGATGGGAAAAAACCCAGTCGTCACCGCTTGGAAACTCCCCATGATGAGATGCCAAGAAAATCGTCTTCCAATCCCCATTTGTTTGATACGTTTCCCACTCAAATCTATTGATATCTGCGCTAAATCCCAAAAAAAAATCCAGAAACTCTTCCCTGAAGATTCCCCATTTCTAGTGGCAAAAACCACATGTCGAAACGGCCCATTTCGGCCCATGTCGGCCCAACACATCAACACTTCGCCTCCCGTTCCCGCCGTGACCCCAGGCGAATGCGCTGCCTTCCCACCGAAATCAAGAGGGATTTGTCTGGTGACTTTTCGGGTGATTTCATGGTGATTTTATGGTGATTTTATGGTGATTTTATGGTGATTTCATGGTGATTTTATGGTGATTTCATTGGATTTGATGGTATATAATGAGATTTGATGGTGATTTATCTATGAAAATTGGTGATACTTCAACTCATGGAATACTTAAACGATACTTCATGGGATATCTTATGAAATATGAATTGTGATACTCCAGGGATATGTTCTAGTGATTTTCTGGTGATTTTATGGATGATATACCATTTTCAGTGGGATAGTGATGGAAAATGATCCGTCCCTCTGGGATACATACAAAAAAATGTTGGTATATGTTGGTAGACTGGGGATATCTTATGGAATATGAGTGCGTCCGATATTGATGCGATATTGGTGAAATACCGGTTTTTTCATCAAACACGGCTAGAAAATCCGGAATTGATAGTTGAGTTTCCCAGCGAACTAAACCTCCATGGCTAGGCCCAGTTTCTCGATTTTCCGCCACGGTTGCTGAAGCCGGAAGGATCACACCAAAAAAAAGGGGGGATTGGATTATTAGACCATAGGAAAACGGGTACCCTCTGGTAAACAAACATAGCTATTGAAAATGGCCATAGAAATAGTGGATTTACCCATTAAAAATGGTGGATCTTTCCATAGTTATGTTAGTTTACCAGAGGGTAAATCACCATCAAACTAAGATGAAGGGATTCAAGCTTGAAACGTGGGTGCAGTGATATTGGTGTAGTGATGGGATAGGGATGTACTGATGTACCCCTCAAGAATTGGATGGCGTTTTTTGTGCCCCCACCAACTGTACCCAACCAATATGATCTTATCAAGGAAATATGAACCACAAACCAAACCCTTCTGAGGGGCTGATTCAACCCTAATCATTATTGGGAACGAAGATGTTTAGTCAAATGGGATAAGTGATATCGTCATCGAAAGGCCGACTGATCCCTTAGATTTGCTCCAAGGGCTTCCTGATATATGGTGGATTTTTTAGTGGGCTGGTGAATGTACGATTTTTTCACATCACCCAGGAGATTTATATATTTTTACGACATATACTTGTTTTAGTGATGTTCAAGATCCTCAAAATGGTACATGTACCAACCACTGATCAACCAAGCAAATTCAGGATGAAACAGCCACCCTCAACTCCTCGCAGCACTGGTGACTGCTGATTTTCTTCAAAGATACGCATCACTGCTGTGCTGGCACTGACCCAGCCGGCCTTTCCACTGCTATTTGCTGCTTCGGTCCTAAGAATCCATATGAAACCAAGAATACCCTCTGGTAAACTAACAAAAAACTATGGAAAGATCCACCATTTTTTACAGGAAAAATCACTATAAATGGATATAAATGGCCATTTTCAATAGCTACAGTATGTTAGTCATTACCAGAGGGTAGTGGCTACGCATTCATGGTCTGTTCTCCCATTTCCTTGTGGAAAGTGCCGCTTGACACGCCACTCGAGCCACTCGAGCCACTCGAAGCGCCCCTCCCAAGCAGAGGAGGCCACGGAGTGATGCGTCAAAAGTTGGACGGCCAGGATCGGGCGCTGAAATTCAAAGCTCAGATGTGGGAAAACTGACTCCTTCCGTGTACATAATATATATATAGATATATACTATATATAGATATATATATGTATATATATATGTATATATATAATCATATGTACTGTATATACATACATATACATGTATATATATATATGTGTGTGTGTGTATGTATACATACTCAATATGTATGCTAGATGATGTGTACTGTACGTATATACTATACATGTATATACAGGGTATAATTGAGCATAAATCTCAAAACATCCAGTCTCAGAAATCCCTTTTTCACCAGATAGAAAGCCCGACCCTGGATACTAAACCACCACCTGAGTCACTTTCGCTTTCCTAGGAGCTACCGACGTGACGCCGCGGACGATGGTCTGGTTGTCCACTCCACCTGGAGCGATCCATCATGGAGGTGCCCAAATAGCTGGATGTCTTATAAAAAACCGAAAATAACATGCATTTTGGGGGGTAAGTGGTACCCCCATGACTTAGGAAACCATCATATCATATCATATCTATGTCCTTTGTGTAAAGGTGCATATATTCTGTGAGCATTTCACAAACCACCATAAACAAAGTGAGCCTTCTGGAGGCACAGAAAAGACAACCTTGCTATCATGAATCATAAATCAACTCTAAATAATGATCAATCCCGATTTTTGATGCTAAAACCCAATCTTTGGAGCTTTATCTCACTTAAACCCATCTTTTTCAGCCGTCTAAAACTCCGCCAAAGTTCCATGGGAGTAGCGCGTGACTGTCATGGCATCATGGCTAATGACCACATCCATAAAGCCATAGCCATCATCTTCTCCACTGGTCGTGGGCAAAATCTCCTGACTCTCCAAGAGAATCAGACCATTTTGGTGACTTTTTAAGGTGACTTTTCCTGGGTTTCTGCGGAAATTTCATGGTGATTTACTGGGAAATCTTCGGAAAATGATGGGAAAATGATGGTGAAAAACTGGGTCGAGCCATAGAAGGTGGTGCCCCATAATTAGCTAGTTGGTGAACAGAACTCCGATTTCACTCGGGTTTATGGTCGATATATCGATACTGACTATATGTTACTATGATTTGTAAACCAACTTATAACCAGGGGGAGCACCACCCTGTAAGTGGTGAGTCTTTCTGGGTTTCCGGCGAAATGTCATGCTGACAGAGGAATATGATGGGAAAATGATTATTGACCTTTCCTGGAAAGGTTGGAAATATGATTTAACCATCAACAATAGGGACAGAACCACCAAATAATGGATATATTGGAGAAGCTGGCCACTGTAAGGAACCTCCAAACGATCGATAACTTGCATCTTGAATTCCGTCGGAATTCATGATTTGAATCATGGTGGATGCCAAGAAATCTTCGGGGGAACCCTTCCTGCAGCTAAGAATGGAATCATACCCGAGAGAGTTCGCGCTTTAGTTCGCTCGGAAAGCCTTCACTAAATGGAGGAAATTCCAGCCACGTTTGATGACTAAATGGGTAGGGGACGGCTTAGAATATCTCACGGGTTTTTTGAGTTGGATCATAGAAATAGCAGCGTTTCTGGTTTACAAAGTGGGTCATTTTTTGAAAATCCACACATCTCCATCATCTCATGTGTTTCTTTTTCTCATGGGCTTTTTAGATCTTTTTAGATGATAGGGTTTTCTATGGGTTTTCCATGGTTTTCTATGGCTTTTCCATGCGTTTTCTATCGCTTTTTGGGTGCCTTAAACATGTCCCCCCCGTCTTTTCAAAGACGTCGCGCCGCCTCTCAGCCGCGCCAAGTGACCGAGGTAATGCCACCACCGCCTCCGGAAATCACGAAGGGCGTCCCCTCGAAACTGGAGGCGTTCTGCAGATGGGTGTGACCACTGATGTAGAAATCCACACCATAGTCTGCCTGGGGAAGATGGAACCAATTCACTTTTTGGGGGAAATCTGATCTAAGATGATTTTCTGCCTGGGGAAGAATTTCACCACCTTTTTCGGACAAAGATCCAAGAGAATTTTTGAAAAAAGATGGAACCATAATGCTTAGTATGACCCTCTGGTTATGACTAACATAACCATGGTGGCGCCATGGCCCTAATCGAAATAGATGATCTTCCCAGCGAAGTAAACCTCCATTTATGGGCCAGGGATTTTCCAGTTCGCGAACTGTGAATGTCATAACCAGATGGTACCCCGAAGTCATGGCTATTTCAAGAGGTTTCTGGCTCTCTTTTCATCAATCCGTGGCACTGTACGGGGCTGTTCCCATCATTTTCGGCTACCTTGTACGGTGGTGGTCTAGTTCGACTAGTTCGAGAGATCTGCCGGACTCCCTAGTTATTGGAGTTATAACAACTTAGATGGTATACACTGTTTAATATGACTGCGGAAAATCGTACTGTTGCTATGATAAGAAGGGCACATCATCTCATCCTCACTCCAACAGGCTCTACCCTCTGGTAATTTAACATAGCTATTGAAAATGGCCATTTATATTGAGTTGTCCCATGAAAAATGGTGATGTTCCATTGCTATGTTAGTTTACCAGAGGGTAACTGAATACCCCAGCTCGAAGCGAATGCATCCAATACATTGCAGCACGGCTTCGTCAAGGGCGTGCTAAAAAACCGTTAGGGGGGAAGGATCCATTGGTAAAGCCTATCATAGATCGATGGGGATTTACCCTCTGGTAAACTAACGTAGCTATGGAAAGATCCACCATTTTTTATGGGAAAACTCACTATAAATGGCAATTTTCAATAGCTATGTTAAATTACCAGAGGGTAACCATCGATTTTTGGGGGCTAAAAAAGAATCAGATGGGATACATCCCAATAGATGGAGAGGGCGATGGAGAGATGTACTGAATATGGTGGACCTGGGCCGATAATGAACCCACCTTTTTAGCTTCTAGAGTCTAGTTTGTTGATGCCCAAATGGTAACTCATTGGGTACGCTTTGTGGCGTTGGTTTTGCCAAATGAATTGGGTTTTTTCTTGGCGTTGCGACTTGATCTTTGCTGCCGAAAATCGTGATGAGTATCCAAAGTGAGGTACCTTCCTAGCAAAATTGCTACTCCTGGGTTAACATTACATCATTAACCGGGATACCCTGGAGTTCAACATAGCTATGTAGCCATGGCCCATTTAGTTCGTTGATCCTCTGAATTTAGAAATATACCCGGCCTGGTAAACTTTCACATAACTATAAGAAAATCACCATGTTTTATGGGAAAATCCACTATTTCTATGGTCATTTTCCATAGTTCTGTTAGTTTATCCAAGGGTATAACCCCAAGGAATTGGAGACTTGTTGGCCGATCCCACCAGTCTGCATGCATACACTTGGGAGCTCCACATCTACCTATGTGCTAGGGTCATGTATATGATAATAAACCAACAACATGGCATAACCAACAATAACGAATATATATATATATATTATATCATATATATATATTATCATATATAATATATTATATATATCATATATAATATATTATATAATATATAATATATATATATGTATATTATATTATATATTAATTATACTGGGAATATAATGGTATATAAACCAAAGCACTATGATCAATGGCTCATGGTCATCCCGTGATGGGAACGTTCTACAGACATGGGATTCCACTCATCCCTACAGGATCGGTTCTTCCCATCCCCCATTGCTACACAGTCCGACTCACTTGACCATTGCACTTCTGTTAAACACCGCCATGCCGAACTTCGCAGCTATTAAGAACTCTATACCATAGATACCCTATGTTCATGTGGTATACCATAGAAACCCTCTATACTGTTCATATTAAGAACCATACTGTTAATACCCAAAAAAAAAGGGTCCATCTGAAGAGTGTGACCCTGTCATCCCACAAACTACTGGTTTGTGAACAACGGGATTCTAGATAGCAAAAACCCCGCGCAGTCACTGCGCGTCGCCCGACATCACTTTTCTGTTTCCAAGGTTTTAGGGTTTAAAAAATTAGTGTTTTAGGGTTTTTGCCTTTGGATTTTCAGAGTTTCCCTTGCTGTTTCCATGTGTTTTATGGTTTACGGTTTGTGGTTTAGGGTTAAAGATTTTAGGGTGTTAGGTTTCAAGATGACTTGAGTAATGACGCACAGGTCCCCTACCTGAGCTTTGCAGGACCAGAATGACCCATTTTTGACCGTGCTTTGAGAGTGCCCGGGGCAATGTTCCGAGGCGTTTGGCCTTGGCCAGGCCCATCTTGCGAGTGAGATACCAGATAGCTCGTCCACGCGTCCGAGCGGCAAGGCTCAAAGTAAGGAGGGTAGTGGGTCACGATAATCCTGAATTCAATGGATTGGTTTTGTTGGGAAAATCTACAGGAAACCATAGATTTTCCCATTAAATATGGGTTTTTCCTGTAAAAATTCCCTTAAACCAATCCATTGATGAATCTCTGCAAGTGAAAGCACTCCATCACATGGGTCTGATACCATTGGATTTGGGATATTTGGGTAATATGCTGTTTGATTTGGAGAAACTCCCTGCAGCAACAAACCCTACTTAGGGATGGGTTTTGGCATTGGGCTTACCTCACTATGCGTCCCCACTCATGCTACCCCGCTCTGGCAAGACCTATCTAGTTATTGTCCAATGCGGACAAGTACGAGTTGTAACCAGCAAAAACTCCGAATAACTCAGTACCACCGTGCTACTCCCCATCCCCTTGTGTGAAGTTGGTCCGGCCTGCAGGCCGGGCATCGGCCACATGCCCAAATTCTTGGGATGAATGGATGTGTTGAGAAAATCTTCCGGAAACCATTGAAACCATGGTGCGTTTCCAGATGTTACCTGGTTTTCCGATGTTTCCATCGTCCAATTCGAACCAGGAACCACCCATGTTTCCACAGCAGAGTGGCTGCCACTCTGCTGAAGAGGATTTCAGCTGCTTCGCCAGCCAGGTTTTTTGCTCCTGAAAACATCGTCGAGCCTTTCACCCTAAGGTGCCATCAAACATGGCTGGACTATCATCCATATAACTTCCATGATTTTCCCAGCGAACTAAACCTCCATGGCTGAATGGGGATTTTTCCCAGCCATGTTTGATGAAACCAGAGGGTATAGTTGATGTATCTTGTTTCAAACATGGCAGATGTTCCTCGAATCATTGTTGTCTCAACGGATGTACCCTCTGGTAAACATACAAAAAACTATGGGAAATCACCATGTTTAATGGGTAAATCAACTATAAATGGCCATTTTCAATAGCTATTTAACAAATTACCAGAGGGTATCTTGTTTCAAATAAAATGTGCCAAAACTCACCGTTTCACCGGATGTCCAAGACACAGCTGATTGGGTTAGCCTGCTGTGAAACAAAACATCCTACGGCATCAACGACATACAAAAGGCATGCCACTTTTTTGGCGGTTACCATCGGTTACCGTAAGGCCCGTGGGAATGAGCCATTTGTTTTTTAATGTCAAGGTGTGTCTCCTCCCAGTTTCAAGGTCACTCGTATGCACATTCAGCTCCTAGCAAGGCTGATAAAGTGTCCCAGTCGACGAAAAATGTGATATTTCTGCATGTCCATGATATCCCCCTGGTGGTTGGCTACATATGGGTCTGGAAATGAAGGATGTCCCAAAACGGCCCTATTTTCGAACAAACTCATGTCTCCATTCTGAATGGGTTAAGTTAAAAATCAATGGGCTGGGTTGAGGGTATGTTTAACAGGAAAGCCCTATAGTTAATGGAAAATGTATGGTTTCCTGTAAAGTTTCCCAACAAAAACCAATCCATTGCTTAAATCAGCCCCACCTTTCCGGGCGTCAGAGCCAGTTGTCCTTCCAAAGGTCATCGAAAAACTTCCAGCAGGTGTCAGGGTTGGTGATGGACGTGCCATTACACCCAAGGGGTTGTGGAGGCTGGTTATGAGATCCTTGGAGTTGCGAATAGTCCAGAACTCTGGGGTTATACACCCGGCCTGGTAAACATACAAAAAACTATGGAAAATTGTGATTTATAGTGCATTTTCCCATAAAAAATGGTGATTAACTAACATAACTATGGAAAGATCCACCATTTTTAATGGCTAAATCAACTATTTCGACTGGGTCATTTTCCATAGCTATGTACGTTTACCAATCTACCCTCTGGAAAACTTTTAACACTTTGCAATTGAAAATTATCCATTTAGTTCGTCTGATTTACCCATGAAAAATGGTCAATTCCGTTCCACAGTTATATTGGTTTACCAGAGGGTAATGTGAATTGAAAAGAAACTCATACCCTCTGGTAAACTAACATAGCTATGGAAAATGGCCCATAGAAATAGATGGTTTACCTATTAATAGCATGGTGACTAGAACTATAGTCATGTAAACGTCTACCAGGCCGGGTATTCCCAACTAGAAAATCTCAATGTGCCGTAAATTCACGAGCTGATCATGGACGTGCCCCAAATTCGCCAAAACTGTCCAAGATTCGCCATGAACTGGGGCTATTTTTTGCTGTGACCCATTCTCAAACACATCCAAAGATCAAACTTGGTGAGATGTATCCCAAAATCATGATCGCACCGGTGAATCAGGTCTTTTTCGCAACTGTAAATCATGGTTTATGGGATACATAATACACTTTTATCAGACACAATTACACATTTCATCAAATCATAAATGATGCCTAATCCTATGAATTAAATCGGGCAAAAAAAAAAACAATAATTCACCAACCTGACTTACTGGTGCTTAGTAGGGAATTTTCGAGAATGATCCACAATCACTAGTAAGAATCATCCCAGCAACCCCCAGCAACCCATCCATTCCCTACGTAAAACGCACCAGTAAGCTGAAAATAGATATCAGCAATATTCTCAGCTATTGTGATAAAACTAGTAATTAACCACCAGTCCTATCCATTCCCTACGTTATCATATTGGGCCATGGATAATTCCCCGCAATCGTTCAGCATCCGGAATTGAGATGATCTCCAAGATCTCCATGAGGAAAGCCATGGAAAAAACCTAGTATTGAATTGGAAAAAACCCTCGTATTTTAGCTACCATGACTTAGTAAAGCCATGACTTTAGCTACCAAATTGGAAAAAACCATGACTGGTGGTATCCATGACTTCGGAAACATTGGCTTTTCATACCTCGTATTGAAAGCTCCACATGTTTGGTCTCCAATATCCTCCCATTTTCTCCAAAAAAAACAATCCCCCACATCTCGAAGTCCCAGGGAGCTGGAACAGATGTTGTGTTCCGGATCCACGTCCGGAGTTTGGTAGGTATCCACCTTGTTGGTGTCCACGAAGAAGAAATCCGCCTGGCTGAAGAGCTGAAGAGCGGCCAAAAGCTGAAGAGCTTCAGGCCGCAGTTCGTTACAGACATTTTTTGGGGGCCAATAAAAACCATAGAATCAACGTAGAAGTTATAAAAACCATAGAATCAACCATAACTCAACCATAGACTGCTATTAAAACCATAGAATTCACCAAGTTACACGAGTTAAGTTCGTTTAATAAGTTTAATAACACTCTGATCCCCTGAATCAACGATAGAAGTTATATATGTGCGTCAACTTAGCTGTTGAAAATGGGGGCCTCACCTTGTGCTACGAAAAGGATTGGTCCCTGCGAAATGCAGATGTTTTCCTACCAAGAACATCTAAACATGACCACAACTCACCTGTTTTTACGTGAAATATCTTAGATACCCTGCTAAATGCACTTGAGACTGTCATAAACTGCCATAAATCCATCATTTTGACATATTTTGACCTATCTTCACCACGTTTTATCACTTTTCACAAGTTCTACACCCGTTTTTGCCATGTTTTCCTGGCGCCGCCACGGCCAAGGCGCCGAAAAGTTCCTGAACTGTGCCCGGCGTTTCCAGAACAAGGCGGGAGTCAACCAGCGGCTTTCTGGGGAATGCCAGGTGTAGAAGATGTTCTGATCCCAGTGCACGTTGTAGTGATATCCACCTGGAGAAAAAATGGTCGGAAAACCTGGAAAATGATGGGAAGATCATGGGAACCTGAACGTCCTGGAGATGGGATAGTTTACCCAGCCTGGTAATTTGTCATTGCGAACTTGAAGCCATGGCCCAGTCGAAATAGTGGATTTACCCAGCTATAAAATTAGGTGGATCTTTCCAGTTCGTTTTTTGTGAAAGTTTACCAGGCCGGGTAGATTCCGTGATTCACATGGAAAATCATGGGAAGATTATGGAATATCATGGGAAGATCATGGGAACATGTCCTGGAAAATCATGGGAAGATCATGGGAATCTAATGCTGCACCTTACCCAGGTGACATACGCCCTGATCTGCCGATGATCTGCGAAGATCGATCGGCGACATCAACGGATTTCGAAGATCTCCAGAAAAAAGGCAAAAAGAGAGAGTTGCTGTGTTGATTCTCTTGGATTTTTCTCACAGATGGCCACAAAAACACTTACAAAAAAACAAAAAACTGATTCCCAATCATTGCCAATCAGCCAGATAGCCTGCAAAAAATGGACCAAATTCTTTGCTGGTGAATTAGTAGATATTCCCAGCCAGAGACCAAAAGACTAGTTAGGATTAGTTTCTACCCATCCAGCCGATTGACCTACCCTCTGGTAAACTAACAAAAAACTATGGAAAATCACCATGTTGAATGGGAAAACTCACTATAAATATCTATTTCTATGGCCATTTTCAATAGCAAACTGTTAGTCATTACCAGAGGGTAGCAATGGAGATTCAGATTCATGATGAGGACATCGCCCAAGGCACCATAGTCGTGGTTGCCCAGCACGCCCCACCATTCCACTGACAAGCCAGGCCCCTGGGAAGCAACGGGCCGGAAAATGTCGACTTGTGCTACCTGGTTTACCCAAAAAGAATGGAGATGAAATGGAGATGCTACGGGAAAAGCAATGTCTTGCATCCATTCAAATAGTTACCCTCTGGTTATGTCAAAATAGCTATTGAAAATGGCCCATAGAAATAGTGAATTTACCCAGCTATAAAATGGTGGATCTTTCCATAGCTATGTTAGTTTACCAGAGGGTAAGTCCTGAAGAAAACGGCTTGTTGGTGAAGATTTGGCCTCAAAAACCCAAACATGATTTCGGGGATCGCTGGCTTGGGGTGGTTGAATACCTACGGAGGCAACGGTAACAGGCGAGGCATGACAGTTTGCCCACATCGTAAGCATGGTGGTAGAGGGAAAATCATCATCCAAAAAATTGCGCTCTTCGGGTGCGTGAATTAAAGGACTTTGCCAAGATAAATGGAGTTGGAACCATGTGGGCTTGGAAAAGATCCCCATCCTGCTGCAAAATATGCCAGACCAATCCCCATTCAATTTTTCGATGAAAATCGGAACCTGTCGGTGAAGTCTCAAAATTCGGAAGCCCCATGGCCCACACGCCACTTGAAGTGCTCATGTTTCCCCACGTCTAAATGGCAAGTGTTTTTTGTCCGGGGTCCTGATCAAAAGAGAAAAAATAAACATATAACCACTAGTTCAAAAAGTAGTTATCTACTAAACTATAGTTCAAAAATATAATTACTATATGATTAACTGAACTATATGATTATTAGATAACTACTCATATAATCACTAGTTCAAAAAGTAGTTATCTAACCAAGCAAATCCTAGTTTATCACCTTTATCACTAGTAAAAACTAGCCTCCTATCATCAACCAATATACCCTCTGGTAATTTAACATAACTATGGAAAGATCCACCATTTTTGATGGCTAAATCCACTATTTCGGCCATTTTACAGTTCGTTTTTTGTATGTTTACCAGGCCGGGTATCTCTCATGGACCCGACCGAAGCCCGGGCCGTAGACGTCACAGACGTCTCGCCTTGTAGACCTTCTCAAAGATGTTGGAAAAGATGATTTCACCGGCCTCGCATGATGACCAAGTTGGGTTGATGGTAGATATGGTAGATATATCTATCTGGGTAAATTATATTTCACCAACCTGAAAGACGACCATAAAAGGGGATAATTCCCCTGTACATTCACCATTATTCCACTGAGGTCGTGATGAAATTTACCCAGATGGGGCCGAATATCGAATTGGATACGCTATGCGATGTCTTATGGGAAGACCAACCCGGTATGAAGTGGGCCTGAAAATGATGGACACATCTCAAGCACTGGGGGGTGTGCCCTATTTCCAGACAAACCCAAGGGCTACAATGTCACAACTTGTTGGCAACTGTTCATCCAACATCTGTGCAATGTGATTTGAAAAAAAACTTGGAACATCTGATACAACCATGAGACATTCATAGGGATCTCATCCTTTTTTTTACATGCACAGTGTGGCATGGGAGGGCCGATGGGGCGTTCCCAGTGAATGTGGACATCATCCAGCTGGGAAAGGATTGCCACCAAATCCTGGAGGTTTTTCTGTCATGTTTGACCCGAGAATAGAGATTTCAATCATCAAATCCTTTGGAAAATCACATGATGTTGTCATTCTAACATTTTATAACATGTTCTAATTGTCATTAATTGTCTATCATTTCTAATGTTCCCCCTTTTTTTATTTCTAACATGTTCTAAATTTTCTATGATTCTCCCAGTGTCCAAGGAAATCCGATCCAAAAAAAAACGGATGAAATCGCTCAGATCGTGGCGCAGGATCCGTTTCATCCGTCTCAGCATTGCAGGTGCCAGGGCTGCTGATGCCGCCGGGGTAGAAGTTGTCACCTCGCTGCAGCGCAGGTCCAAAAAGCGATGCAAATCCCCATGATAAAATACGATACGATAGGATGGGATGCGATACTACGATAAGATACGAATAGATAGATGAATAGATGAATAAATGAATAGATGAATAGATGGATAGATGGATCGATGGATCGATGGATAGATGGATGGATGGATGGATCGATCGATCAATCGATCGATAGATAGATAGATAGCTAGATAGATAGATAGATAGCTAGATAGGTAGATAGATAGATAGAATGAATAGAATAGAATAGAATAGAATAGAACAGAACAGAATAGAATAGAACAGAACAGAATAGAATAGAATAGATAAGATTAGATTAGATTAGATAGATTAGATAGATTAGATAGATAGGATAGGATAAGATTTAATTAGATAAGATTTGATTAGATTAGATAAGAAAAGATCAGATAAGAAAAGATAAGATAAGATAAGATAGGCAAGATAGATTAGATAGATTAGATCGATAGATTAGATAGATTAGATAGATTAGATAGATTAGATAGATTAGATAGATTAGGTAGATTAGATAGATTAGATAGATTAGATAGATTAGATAGATTAGATAGAATAGATAGATTAGATAGATTAGATAGATTAGATAGATTAGATAGATTATATAGATAGATTAGATAGATTAGATAATAGATCAGATAAGATCAGATAAGATAAGATAGATAGATAGATAGATACCTCGTGAAAATGGTGATTTTCAATATGTTCCATAACTAGAAGAAATTACTAAAGGGTAGCCACGAAAAAATGGGGGAAATGATGCTCTTAACTATGAGATGGGAATGAGACTGCCTAATTTCAGACAAAGATACCCTCTTGCTATTTAACATAGCCATGGAAAATGGCCCATAGAAATAGATGATTTCCCAGCTAGAAACCTCCATTTATGGTTGGGATTTTCCATGGCTATGTTAGTCATAACCAGATGGTAAATGGGAATGGTGAAAAAAGTCTTCTTCAAAGACCCTCGAATTGGGGCTGAAACATCCACAGGTTTAACATCCATGGCTGCAACCAACGGTACGCAGATTTGTTTCCCACAGGGCAGCCAAGGCTTTGACAAAGGCATAGCATGATGAAGCCATGGTTTGAAGATCTTCTGTTCACTCTTTGCTTTGAATATTGTGTATCAGAATTCTTGATCAACATCCCCAAATTTCGTTGAACTCGCAAGTTTTCCCAAATACGTTCACCTCATCATCAATGTCTTAATTGGATTTCTTCAAAATCGCCATATTTCATCACCACCATGAAAGCCACTATGTTTTCCCTATGAAATCCCAGATCTTCAGTTGAACTTATCCCACCATTTTTCCCCAACCCCCAATAAATGACCATCATCAGTCATATCAACTCATACCCCCAGGCTCTTTTCATGGTTCTAAGCCAGCCCCCAAAAAGGGTGGATTTTCTGAACGTCTCCTTCAAAAGCACCATATTTCCCCACAAAAAGCCGAGATTTTTAGAGTTGCCCTCTGGTAAACTAACATAGCTATTGAAAATTGCCATTTACAGTGAGTTTTCTTATTAAAAAAGGTGGATCTTTCCATAGTTTTTTGTATGTTTACCAGAGGGTGAATCGGTTGAATCCCAGCATTTTTCCCAAAAAATCTCCACCACGTCACCCACGTTGATCACGAACTTGGGTCGTTTCTCATCCGCCACCTGCGCCATCTTCCGCGCCACGTAACTCTGCGCGTGCGAATCGATGGGCTCCACCACTTGCGGCCGGTTTTTGAAGGTCAAGGGCTCACTGCCACTTAAAATGCCACCCCAATCACCTCAAAAAAAAGGCACAGAAATTTGGGATGTGAAATTTAGTCGCTTTTTTCAATCAATATACATATGTATATGTATATATATGTGTGTGTATATGTATGTATGTATGTATGTATGTATGTATGTATATATATATGTATATACAATATTTGTTGAACTGGTATATTCAGCTTAGTATTTGGTTTTAAAAATTGGGAAATCTCTGTGTTGGAAACTGCTGGACTTTGAGTGTCCTTTTACCCCAGGCCACTCGGCCGCTGAAACGTATCTTTTTTGTGTCGTGTCTAGGATTGAAACGCTACAGGTTGAAACTCTTCAAGCCATAAGTCCTTAGTAGTCCTTAGGTTTAATTTTCTTGGATTTGCAATCCAAACACTGAATCGATTACCCATTTCGATCCTGCAATTTCCCGAGAAAATGCTCAGTTTTCGTTAACATCAACAAACCACAAATCCAAGAATCTTCAATCATAATCCGATCAATATTCCGAAAAAATCCATGAATATCCCATGAACAATATTTTTTAGCAATCGTTGCTTTCTGAATATTCCATGATTTGAAGATCAAAATATCTTCACTCCAGTTCTGAACCCAGTGGCCAATGATAAAGAAACGTTGCACTTCCGTGCCATTAAAACAGGCCATGGGCCACTCCTGGCCGTTCAGCTCCAAGGCGTTCCGCGGCATCGCTGGTTTCGTCACCTCCGGGCAGCCGATGGCGCAGAGGCCGTGGCGGAAGCCCAGGGCGCCGGTCTCGTTGGTCTCGTTGAGCGGCGAAAACACGTAGGGGGCACGGCAGGCCACACAGGCGATAGGGGAAGTGCAACGAGATCCGGAGGCCTTACCTGGTTGGGAACACTGGGATTACCCGGCCTGGGAAACGTTTACATAGCGAACTGGAAAGATCCACCCATTTTTCATGGGAAAATCCACTATTTCTATGGTCATTTTCAATAGCTATGTTAAATTACCAGAGGGTATGTCACTGGAGGGTACAATGCGGGGCCCCCTAGTGATGTTAGTTGGTTTAGATTCGCCCCAATAACTATTGTTATAAGTACCATAAACCATAGTGACATTGGAGTTATGTTCACCAACTTAGCATTCTAGGGGGCCCCACTTTGCTGGGATTATGTCATGGATGGTAAACTTGATGATCATCATGGGATGCGTTTGAAGATATTATCCTCTGGTAGTGACTAACATAGCTATTGAAAATTGTCATTTATAGTTGATTTACCCATAAAAAATTGTGAATTTCCATAGTTATGTTAGTTTACCAGAGGGTAATGATCATGAATAATAATATCCCATAGCTATCTTGAGATAACAATCATGGGCATGTCATGGAATACCCCGTAAACTAACATGGATGTGGAAAAGTCATGTTTTCCACATCTACAGTGTGTTAGTTTAATAACAGGCAACAATCATGGGATTATAGGGGCAAATAATGAATATATTAATGAATATGGAGGTTTCCTAAAATGAGGGTACCCCTAAATCATGAATGTTAGATTGGGATTTTCCATTATAAACCATCCATTTTGGGGTGCCCCCATTTATGGAAAACCCCATATATTTCATGATATTCATGGTATGATTTATTGGGTATTGACGACAATGATGATAATCTCTGCCAAGTTGAAGAAACCCAGACGTCCTAGATATGTCATATGTCGACCAGCGACTCAGAATGACATCCACAAAATAAGTTGGGGCTAGTATGGTCCTTCACAATGAATAACTCATTACAATCATAATAATAGTGGCTATTGTTTCATTTTATGATTATGGTGACAATTGTTATCTAAGTGAAATAATTGACAATATAGTGAGTATTACTATTGTGTACTTGTATGACCATGTTTTAATCATATGTCACTGTTATATGAATCAAAGTGACTTATTGATTATGTACTTCTATGACAATGATGAAGTAAACATTTGATCTTAGAATCATCAAAGTCATTCACAAAAGTTTACGCAGCTCACCAGTTTGTATACTTAGCAGACATCTTCCAGAATCCTCCACAACGATTATACCAATACCAATAGTGCTAATAATACTAATACTAATAGTACCAATGATAATCATCATCATGATCATAATCACCGATAACCCGCAATCGCAAAATCCCCAGCGTCCATAAATTATCCAAAGAATTCTTCGTGATAGAAATCCGAAGAATCAATTAAGTTTTGACAGTGATTCGAACCAGCAAAGTCATTCAAATGGCAGATTAAGTTTCACTGGATATTATTTCTTCCGAGGCAGCTCAAGGTGGCCCGTCAAATATCATCCAAAGAATCTAATGGTCCACAATAATAACAATAAGAATGATAGGAATGATCATTATCCAAAAAAAACTAAAAACAATAACAAACACAAATATTAATGTTATGACATCTATTTTTGTTATAACAATTAATGCTAAGAAAAATATTATTGTTATAACGAAAACTAAAAACTGCATCCATAGCATTACTTCCCATGAATCCCCATCAAACATCATCCAAACCACAACACAAATTTAGGATGGCAACAATAATGAACGTTGATATTAAAGATAATAAGTCGGCATCATAAAAACAAATTGATCATAATCAACAACAATAATTGTTAATAATCATTGATTATAAATATGTGTTAATAATCAGTGTTAATGATCATTGTTTTCAGAATCATAATTCTCTCATCACTCCTGATCAATCCCAGAAAACGCGGCTAAATGGATTTTTTTCAGATTCGGAACCAAAAAATATTGGTCCCATATTCCCTATATTTATCGATTCCGCAGTCGTGTCGTATGAAGGATTTCCCATGGAGAAAATGGGTATGGATCAATACCTATTAATACCATTTTTAGTGGGTTATTCACATCCATAAATCCCAGCTATTTTGATGTGAACAAAAAAGGGGTACTATTGGTTTTGACACTGCCAAATCACATCAAATCGATCCGAACTCAACGCGCCAAGGCACACATACATCTGGAGCATTGGCCTCGCTGCATCGACTCGCTGCAGGGGGTCTCGATGGAACTGGAACCACCACCACCACCACAGCCCTGGAGGCTCACGCCGAGCCAAGCCAGACATGTCACAGAAACCTGTGCTGATGATGTGAGGTCTCCAGACGTGATACGTGATGTGTTGGTTGAAAAAAAAAAACTATGGTTTAACATAGCCATGGAAAATCCCCAAAATAAATGGCGGCTTCGTTCGCTGGGAAAATCATCTATTTCGATTAGGGCCATCGAAAAACCATGGCAAACTGTTAGTCATAACCAGAGGGTAATTCTTGGGTATTCTATGGGCATTGGGACTGCACCAAGGCATTTATGGGAATGAGAAAATGTCGCCGACCATCTGATTTCGGCGTGTCTGAACATGAAGGAAAAAAAACCAGTTGTGGCAACTTCAATCGAGAAAATGATGATTTACCGCTGGATGGAATGGTACGACCCAGTATACACTATTTTGTGACAGACCCCCTAATCTTAATTGGGTCATAACCATCTTAGTTTTACCCATTCAGATCAATCATAATCGAATACAGTCAGTTCTCGGTTTAATATGGCTCATATATGTACAATACAATATACGTGTATATATATATACATATATACATATACATATATACATATACATATATACATATCCAACATGTATTGGGATGCACCCAAGCAGTCTCGGCAAATCTTTGAATCATTGAAAGTGGAACCTTCCGAGTCTGATAATCCCCCGGCCGAAGCCAACAAAAACCTAGATTTGACTGGCAATCACTGCAAGATTCAACGAGGTGAGTGGGAGTCACTAGAAGAAAACACAATCAGTGATTTTTAATTCATAAGATGATAACTGGTTGGTGGTTGAGCCCTACCTTTCTGAAAAATATGAGTGAAAGTCAGTTGGGATGGATGGAAATTCCCAACTGAATGGAAAGTCATAATCCATTCATGTTCCAAACCACCAACCAGCATTGACTATCACAACTCTCTGGTAAACTAACATAACTATGGAAAATCACATTTTTTAATGGGAAAACTCACTAGAAATTGCCATTTTCAATAGCTATGTTAGTCATTACCAGAGGGTAGATTGTAGATCAAACGCGAGCGCAATGGCAGGCTCCACGGGGTTCGATGGAAGCTGTGCTCTTTTCGGAATGTCACCATTTTGGAACCTGGGAAACTGGAAAGACCTGACCACCTTAATCTGCGAGTTGTCAACAAAAATAAGAAGCTAACTCCCCACGATGTCAGAGACTTGGCGTATCGACCAAATGGCCTTTTTTTCTGGTTTTGCTGCCCGGAAAACGGTAGGATAACGCCAAATTGTTGATGGCTGAGAAAGTACGTTTTCGTATTACCCTCCTGCAAACATAGATGTGAAGGTTACCCACCATTTGCAGATGATGTTCCTCCAAAAGCACCATGGTTTTTCCACATAATGTTTACAGTGCCCCAGTGTTACCCCCAAAAAATAGGGACTTCACAAGCCCAACCAGGCAACCAGCCAAGGCAGCTCCATGGCTGTGCTGCGAAGCAGATTTTGGGCCAAGTCTATCATCATCAGACAAACCCCATTTCTGTGTTGTACATGTATATATATATGCACATATACATCATGTGCATATGTATATATGTAGATATAGAATGATCACATATTTGGTGAAGCAAGAAAAAACTAGAAACTCTAAAACCCCATCAAAATCATCTGGAATCCCAAGATATCACAAGTTGCTTTGATCGCGATCATGTTCTTGGTAGTGAAACATCCCCGTGTTTGTCCGTATCAATTGCTGGAGCCCCGGTTTTTCGGAAACAAAATCGAGGGACTCGTCTAGTATGTATCACGGGATGGGTTTAAGGGAAAGAATGTAGGAAACCGGCTGGTTTTCACGATGAAATATCCAATCTTTCCGGCAGATTTTCCTATCATTATAATACTGTATATATATATATATATATATGTATACAATATATAACATATAGATATAAATATAGATATAGATAATGATAGATAGCTAAGTGAATCATCCTATATCATCCTATATCATCCTATCCCCATGTTTTCTCCATGACACGCCCCGGTGTCACGGCGTCGTGGCGTCCGTGGCGTCGTGCCTGATGAATCCCACGCGAAAGAATGACATGCGCCCGCAGCAACACCTGGCCGTTGGAAGTCGCTAATGGCGCCTGCTACAGATTGGAGGTTATTGCATGTTTGTTAAGAAAAAGCATATATCTCTCTATCCATCTATCTATCTCTCTATCCATCTATCTATCTATCTATCTATCTAACTATCTATCTATCTATCTACCTATCTATTTATCTATCTCCCTAGCTATCTATCTATCTCCCTAGCTATCTACCTATCTATCTACCTACGGTCCTATCTATCTAACTATCTATCTATCTATCTACCTATCTATTTATCTATCTCCCTAGCTATCTATCTATCTCCCTAGCTATCTACCTATCTATCTATCTACCTATCTATCTATCTATCTATCTGTATATATATATATATATATTCTATATAATAGTATACGTATCTATCCGTGTCTTACATATATATATATATACATAATTACATCCATGCATGCATGCATGCATGCATGCGTGCGTGCGTGCGTGCGTGCGTGGGTGCGTGGGTGCGTGGGTGCGTGGGTGCGTGCGTGCGTGCGTGCGTGCGTGCGTGCGTGGGTGGGTGGGTGGGTGGGTGGGTGTGTGTGTGTGTGTGTGTGTGTGCGCGTGCGCGTGCGTGTGTGATTGTTCGTGGTTGTGTGTAAATGCGGATGCACCATGACATTCTCTTCCTACCGCGAGGCATAGCTTCGGAAATCCGCGACATCCGATCGCAAAAACAACGCCAGCACCTCAGAATCCCTCCGAAGTCTTGAGCCAGCCCCTCCCAATGAACAATGAGATCTGGGTCGAAGTGCCTAACCAAACACTGCCAATCCCAGATACCCTGGTGAAAGACTCATTCTCTTAGCTGGTTGGGACTCTACACCCCCATTTCTAGCAACAAAAAATCACGTACTAAAGTTCACTTCGGACCAAAAGCTCCCCTCACCTACTGCAAGCTGTGCAGAAGGAAGAGGCAAGGCTGCTGCTCCGCCTCAGGACATTGGTCAGATGCAGGGCAAAATGCTGGGAAAATCTCTGGAAAATGTCTGGAAAATGATGTTCCATGGATAGATTTAAGGAACTTGTTACAGGAAACCATTGGTTTTTACCTATAGATGTTTGCCTTTTTCAGGGTGTTCCTATAGATTTTCCCTTCAACCAATCTCAAGGCTTGGAAGCCCCAAAATCTCATGTTTTTTTAACATTATTACTGGCCATGGGAAAGAATCATTGCTAATTAATCATTGTTAATTCCCATCAATCCCCATCAATCCCCATCAATCCCATCCTTATTCCCACCTTACCTTTCAATGGTTTATGGCCCGTGTTTTTATATATATATATATATATATGGAAATATCCCCACTTATATGGGAGTATATGGGATTACATGGGATTATATGGGTTATATATGGATTTATAAACCACGGATCCTAAGTGGTGGGGCCCGTCCAAGCTGTATCCCCTCTCACAATGCCACGGCGCTTCCACTCCCAGCACATTGCCCAAACTCGTCATCGCCCAGGGCAAAAACGCGGCCGGCCTACGGAGAAGTGGTGTCTTATCCACCAGGGAAAGATGAGAAAGTGGCGATTTTTGAGGCTAAATCTGGGAGAATGATGAGAAAGTGAAGATTGACGAATTTGATGTTTTTAAATCATGGAGTTCGCCTGAAAAATCAGGGACTTCACCAAAAAAGCCCGTGGTTTCCAGTGAAAGTCAGGAAATGTCCCGTCGCACCTCAGTCAAGATGAGACAATGCCTCCAACCCGCAGCAACCTGCACAGCGACCGGTTGCTAGCTTGATGACATGTCCTCCGTTCAAATATCAAATACCCTCTGGTGAACTAACATAGCAATGGAAAATTGCTATTTATAGTGGATTTTCCCATGAAGAATGGTGATTTTCCATTGCTATGTTAGTTCACCAGAGGGTAGCCATGTTGAAATTTGTGCCTACCTCACGGTTTCCTAAAATAGGGGACCCCAAATCATCCAAGTCGTGGATGACCATCACTTAGTATTGTAACCCATGGTTTTGGAGATCCCCCATTTGAGGAAACGGCGATATCTGAAAATTGGAAACCCCAAAAATGGATGGTTTAAAGCCTCATTTTCTCTCTGAAAGTACCCTCCGGTCCTCAAATATGGCAATGCAAAGTCCCTCTTGAGAAACCTCCGTAGTCCGGGTGATTTTCACGCTGTGTCGCCATGTGTTACGATGAACTCCCCAAGAGATATCCAAGTTTTTTTCCCTTCATCGATTCCCCTATTTAGATATGGGGGCGTCCATTTTTATGGGGTACCCCAAATACATGATTTATTTCAGGGAAAATCCTAACATGGATGATTTGGGGGTACCCCTATGGATTGGAAACCATTTCATGGATTTCCCCCAAAAAAAAACGGAAAAATGCCCTGCCAGCCATCGGAACTCCCTGCGCACCTGCGACACTTTCGAGGCTGGACCGCCCTTTGCGGTGCCCCAGAGGTGTCGCAGTTGGTTCGTATCCTGGATCCAAGGGTGGAGGTGAGCAAACCAGCAAAATGTATTGGTTGGTGGTTGACCTACCCCTCTGAAAAATATGAGTCAGTTGGGATGATTATTCCCAAGACATGGGAAAAGAAAAAATGTTCCAAACCACCAACCAGTGTTTGGGTTGAACCGGTTTGTTCCGAACCGGCACAACTTGGGAACATCACCAAAAAACGACGAAGTGCCGCAAAAATGTGGTCTTAACTAGCAAAATTGATTGCTTTCAACCACCACAACAATACGATATGACCCAGAAATGGGACCCTTCCAAATCACGTGTTTGTTGGCGTATCCGGAGAAGGATCCCAGATTTTTTTTGGAGCCACGGGAAGCCAATAACTCGAAGCAACAGTTTTTGTTGGTCCTTCAGCCTCTCTCATCATGGGAATCTGACGGGGATTTCTACATGGGAAAACTCTGAGCAAGTCCTTGGCTCCGAAGGAGATATGAACTGTATAGTCAACTGGGATATCTAACAGAATTTCATATATGTCAAGTCGTCACAGCCCGTTACCATTCATTTCTCAGTTGGCATCAACATGCCATTTCTAGCAACGTGTTACCTATTAATCCGCCGACCCCGGCCCTGGGGCGGCGCCTGGGACCACCTTTGGTGTGGACCTTGGCTTTTCCCGATCTATGCCCCGATTGCTTCCATTGCCATAGCATTCCGCTTGCCATCCCTGCAAACGCTCCGCGGCACCACCTCCATTGTACCGCTCCGAAACTGCCGGACACACCCCGCCCTGGGCCCACCGAACGCTCCAAACGCTCCGCGGCAGCACCTCTATTTATTGTACCGCTCCGAAACTGCATCGTGGCATAGCGACAGGCGGGATTGTTGATTCAGTGGTGCATACCACATGCATGTATCCATGAATATGCATATTATATATATATTGTATATATGTATACATATATATGTACATACATGTAAATCTATTATATGTTCTAGTATATCATTTAGAACTTCATATCATTTGTATCGCCCGCATCTTCCCAACTCGCGCAGCTAGGAATGAATTAGTTTCTCATCCCTCGGGGTCACAAGGGCTAAGAGCCGGCATGTGCCTTTGCCAAAAGATTGTTCCTGCCAGGCATTCGGCGTGACCCAAAAATCCAAAGTTCAAACAGCACAGGGGTGAAACTGGCGGAACTGAGGTGGGCCACAACATTGGTATCAGATGTAGCTGAAATCTTGAAGCCGAATGCTTGAGGCCCCTGTGGTTGACAACTAGGCTTGTAAGCAATTGGATGGACAAATCCTTGCAATCACCCACAGGAAGTGACATGAAACAAAACCACCATGCAATTAGCACAAACCGTAACTCACATCAAAGTACCCAAATTTTTCACACTGCTATTATCCTTCATCTTGCGTTAATTGCCTTCACTAACCTAGCAACCGCGTATGATATATGGAACTTAGCAACAATCTCTCGTAAATCTCAGCCCATCATGGAAGAGCATGAAAGGAGTTATATACTTACAGGGAACCCAGTGCACAACAAGAGTCGGCACACATAACATGATAGCCAAATACCAGGCGGAATGCATGCCACGAAATTGCCATGAGCTCCCTCAACCACCCCCAACCGCAAGCGATTGAAAGCCGCAAAGCTTGAAGCAATGCAGCCTCATGCCTCAAACATGCGCACAGAATGTCACACATGTGTGCTTCTACCCTTTCGCACTTCTGTTCGGAGTTGTTGTTGCATTTCTGGTTGGGGCGGCAAGCAGCGGGATCTTGTTGCAAACGACGGCTACGGCGCTGCGCGGACTGAGCGTGGCGCATGTGTTCACAAGAGCCGGTGCCTGGATCAAAAGGTCACTTCGGCACTCGTCCTCTCAATCACTCAATCCACCGTCCGCCCCTTCTGAATCTGAATCTGAAAACTCACCTGGCAATCGGTAACTGACAAGGTACATGGGCAAGGCCGCCATATTTTCATAGACCATCATCTCCCGGTGCGGCACGACCTGCATGCTTCCAGCACCACCCTTGTTCGAGACAACGGAGCCGTGCAGAAGACCCTCTGGGCTTCTTGGTATCTGGGCCGGCCTTTTGATGTCCAGCCGCCCGCTGGATGTATACTGAACCCGCCCCAAAAGGACGCGAGAAACGATCAATGTTCGCGTCCCCAAGGAATCATGTATTTCAGAGTAGTCATGGGCTTTGCAGTAGGCGGCCGACCCGTAGAGACCATCACAAATCCGAGCGTCGAAGCCGAACTGTGCTATATGTGTCCGCCACCTTGCAGCTCGTGCCGTGGAGCAAGACGGTCTCGTTGAGGGAATGTGACAAATCTGGAGCCAGCGCTCCCAAGCAAGTCGGCACAGGCGGCCGGAGAGCGGGGGTCGGCACACAGTGCGCTGCATACACACTCTGCATGAAGTCGCGGGCAGCGTTGTACAACCTCTCCTGGGGCGGGTTGTGTACCTTCAGCACGTTTGTCACCGCCTGTTTAAGCAAACCACCGGCGCATTCGGAATGACAGGTACCGCGGATCATGTTTTGCATGCGGCCTCCATCTCGGGTCACATCCAGAAACTGCAGGGCTGCATCATTGATACCACCGCTGCATGATCAGTTGGCAGCATGCCTGCCTCCACATCCGCAATCCCATCATCTGAGTTCTCAGAAAGCGGCTTGCAAACAAGGCTTCTGATGAGAACTGCCGTGCTGAGCAGAAGGGCGACGAGTGAAACCCCATCACCCAAATCTTGTACAGCTCCTGTTGTTGCTGCAGCTGCTGCATTCCTTCCAACAGCTTGAGGGTTGGATCTGTGACGGGGCCGTCCCTCCAATTGATTGCGATTCCAGTTTCACCTGTATAGCGCTTCTTCACAGCTCTTGGACCATGCATCACATGCGCGGGGACCTGCCAGCAAACCACCAAAGCCAACGCTGCAGTACGGCATGGCCAGCGCCAATTTACAACCATTGCGCGGTTCTTTGCCGCTGGCACTTGTGTGCCTCCATATGCCTCGTGCTCTTCCCCGGTGTGACACTGTTGAGCTGTACAAATTTACTCAACTCGATTGCTGCACTGCACTAGCATGAGATAGCATGAGGCACCTGGTGTCCCTAGAAGATCCACCCGGGTGCTGTGGGAACATGCTGGGTCTGAACAGAGAAACCAGCCCTGCACATGAGATGACCTGCATTGAAGATGCCTCATGAAACATCAAATCATAATCCTCTTCATCGTCTGCAGGATGCTCAGTGGTTTACTCAGTGGTTTGGGCAAGGAGTAGCTGAGGCAAGGCAATGAAATCCTGATTCCTCCCGCCATCGGTGTTCTAATCTGGCTTCAAGAACAGCTTGAGGATAGCCTTACGCAGCCACCAACATCGTAAGACCCAACCCCCATATCAGGGGGTCGGCGGCACCCGGGCGTTAGCCCATTCTATTCATTCCCCAGTTGGCTTGGATTATCATCAAAAATAAGACCGCAGAAGTTTCCCTTATGTCTTGTAGCAGCCATCCAATTAACCTATTTAATTGGTGGTTGGTTTCTACCCCTCTGAAAAATATGAAAGTCAGTTGGGATTATTATTCCCAATCTATGGAAAGTCATAAAATTCATGTTCCAAACCACCATCCAACTGACCATTTTGGATGAATTCCACAACTTCGACACATCCCCGGAGCAGTTTCCATCCTAGGAATGTTACAAAATGAGAGTGACATTCCTAACATTAGCTTCTTTTTTCAGCCTTTTTTTATTCAAGCAGATGGAATTGACATTGACATAACTAGATGTTCGCAGTTCATCACGCTGTTTAACGCTTGTTGCCTTACAGATCTTGGATTTGCAGATCCAGAAAATCCAAAAAAACATTCGCCCGCAGCTGAGGATGCCAACCCCGCCGGGTGGCCAGAGACCACCAAAGAGCAAGACTTCACCCTCCGTGGAAAGCCTCAGGCGCGGTGCGTGGGGCGGCGAACTCGTTTTTTTCCAAGTCGAAACAGTCGAAATTGAAAACTTCTGAGACCCTCTGGTAAACATACAATAAAACTATGAAAGATCCACCATTTTTCATGGGAAAATCCACTATAAATGGTGATGTTCCATAGTTTTTTGTATGCTTACCAGAGGGTATGAGCAGCATTCCCTGGATTGTTATATTCCCCAATTCAAAAAGGATCATCTTCACCCAGCTGCCTCCAGTCAGCCAGTCCTATTCCCCTGAGACTCCACGCACGAAGGAGTTTGAACCTCATCTGTGACCACAACGGGATGCCAAGGAAAAAAAGGGGAATCAGCCGGGAAAAAAGATCTGCCCGGTGTCAGATCCTGGATTTTTTCCACCAAGGAACCATCCACCAGCGGCTGGTGAAAATGTTACGCCAAAAAGTGTCAACCACTGGTCATTCGTTGGTCGCACGAAAGCGACTGAGGGATCTACCACCGCAGGTGATCGCAGCAACGCCTGCGCGAATGTTTCATGATTGCCAGGTCCCAAAGCCATGTTCCAAGCTCAGGGAGACCTAGGAACCACTTCCTGTTGGAGTTTTAACATCAAGGCAGCGTCCCGGATGAATTTTATGATGACCCTATAATTGTGGAAGTTCGTCCTAGCATTGTTGGTTGTGTCTACCCATTCTTGTTGGCTAAAACCGCATATTTCTTGTTCTCTTAGCCTTTCTGGTGGGAACATCATTTTTTATTGGTTCTATCCCTATGGTGTTGTAGGTAAATCCTGGTTCTGCCTCCATTTTTGTTGCTTCCGTCACCATTTTAGTGGATAAATCTGGGTTCACAATTTGTGGTCTGTACATCAAAATTCTTGTTGGTTCTATCCTTTCTCTGCAAGCTCAAATCCATGTTTGATGATTGAAATCCTATCTTCATGCTCAAAATCCACCCTTTGGGTCCAAAAAACATTGCTAAATTTCAATTGACTTTTGAACAGATCGCACTTTCTACTATATGGCTGTGAGTCAAAACCCTACCCAGACAGTACCCTATAATAGCTACTGGATGTTTATTCCCCCAGTCCATGGTAAATTCATAGGTAACTTGACCTATCCTCACATGCTTCAGCTGAAATTCCACGTTTCAATAGGGATAGTCATGATTGATCAATGGACTTATGGGTACAATGTGGCTCCCCCCAGTGATGTTTGATGGTTTATAAACTTAATAAACCCCATGAATGCTATAGTTATGTGCGTATCATACACCATGGTTGTTCATGAATACTATCAACAGTAGTTCGCTATGTGCGTATCATAATTATCATAAACCATAGTGAAATTGGAGTTTTCACCAGCTGAACGCGTTCAACTGGGGCCCCCAATGTGGGGCCCCTTTCAGACCCCGACCTCTCCAACCCCTCCGACCTCTTCTCTGCCGGCTACCACTCCTTCGGGGGCTCGGGGATCGCCTTCCCTGTCCCAGGCGGCAAAAGGTGGAACTGTGGAACTCTGTGGTGGTTTCTACACCACCAAGGCTTGAAAAAAATGATAAAATACCACCAAGGCTTGAAACAATGGTTGAAAAAATGGAAAAAACATGTTTTTTTTTGCAAAAAAAATTAAAAACACTGAAATTCGCATTTACAAAGCAGCACGCTCCCACAAAATTGTGCTTGAAAATCCTTTTCTCATGGGGGAATATGACAATCAAGGGGATTTTCCTACTCCATTTTTGAACCACCCCTGGTCAAATTTGGCAATTTGGATGTCTCAAGCCAGGCGAGGCTGCCCTCCAGTGTCAAAGGGAAATCCCCCTATGAATGAAGGGGCCCCCATTCGAGCTCGCGTTCAGTGGGTGCGTTCACATCTGGTGAAAATCAGCTGTCAAAATAGCTAATCCAAAAGCTTCAGAAACATACAGAAACAACTAAGTAACAGCTAAAAAATAAATTTGATCCTCTCTCAGTGTTTCCCACGTTTCCAAGTCTTAAGATTAAATCCCTCTGGGAATGACCCAATTTTTTTTAGCGAATTCTAGGCATCATTGGAAAGGGTCACCTGGCTTGGGGCGTTGCTTGTTGCGGGGTTGGGTCAAAATCAACTTATCACACGCAAAAATTGGACATCTTTGGTGATGCTATTTTAGTTTATGTGATGTCATGTTGTCTTATGCTATTTTGTCTTGTATGTGTCTTATTTAGTGTTATTTCATGCTAACTAATGTCACTTTGATGTTATTATACCTGCGATTTACAGCATTGTTTCAGGGGAGATGTTTAGATGAAACTTTGGCATGCCCCCAATTTAAGAATGTTCAGCATGGAATATGATTCAGCCTGATACCCTTGCAAAATGTCATAACCGCTTGTCATAGATGCTCAGCAAAAAAAAGAGCCATCCCCAAATAGGTTCGTCTGAAAATAAGGTACCGAAAAATCTCATGGTTGCGAAAATCACTTCCCATATCTAAATTGACATCACTTTCTTGTCATCATTCCGTTGGCTGTTTGTATCATCTCTCATTCCCAGCCCAAAACAACAGCTGGTGTTTCAGTCCATGTTTTTGCGGCTAAATCCCACGCTATCCCACTTATTGCACACCCATGGTTCCATCTACAACCCTAACTTTGATGGTAGACTCATCATTTTTTAGGGCAATCCACAAAAACTTGAGTTCCCTTCTCTATCTCCTATGGTGCAATTCCACTTCTTGGTTTACGTCCCTCGGACGTTGCTTATGTTGCTTCACTTCTCCACTTCTTCTTCAAAGCCCTATCTTTACATCCAAAAATACACCCATTGTTGATGCTGAAACATGCTGAAATCTGTTCGTTTCATGCTGAAATCTTCATGCTTCATGCTGGAAATCCAGCTTCATAGTTTTAAATCATCCTTCAATCCCAATCAGTTCACCCTTCAATCAGTTCAATCCCAATGGTTCATAGTTCTACAATGTGAGGCCCCCCAGTTCTAAGTTGGTTTATAAGCCCCAGTAACTATAGTTATAAATGCCATAAACCTGTTCGTGACATTGGAGTTATGTGGCCCCCAACTTAGCTATCGAACTGGGGCCTCACATTGTATAAATCATCTGAAATCACCATAGTTTTTCCCCATTTCACGGTGAACCACCAAGGCTTCTCCAAAAATTGTCCCCCAGCTGCGCCTGCGGAGACGCGGGAGACGCGCTCCGGGCCCGGAGGTCGGCCAACAACCGAGGCGCGGGCACCACCTGCAGCGTTTTTCAAGGTCAAAATGGGCCAAAAGACATGGGAAAACCATGGGAAAACCTATGAAAAGTGCTCCATGTCATATAAAAATCACCATGAAAAATGCTGATTTCGCATGATTTCAACATGAAAAATGGACCTTTAATATATATATATATATATCAATGTTATTATTAATATTAATCTTATTATTAATATTAATATCATGTTAATCAAGAAAAATTGGGATTTCAGCAAGAAAACTCATGAAATCATGGGCATACTTCATGGTGTCATCATTGCCATGGCGGGCTGGGAAATCCCCGAACTAGCCATGGCCATGGCTGAACAGGAGAATTATGGAGAATCATCGAACTCCGTGGGCAAATTCCAGCCATGTTTGATCATGTTTGATTCCCACAGGGGATTTTGTGAAATGGTGCCAAAAAAAAAATCGACACATTCGAAAACCTCGAAAAACCTTTTCGGGATGTTCATGGAGAACAACGAAGCTAAGAATTGACCCAAATCTAGATTTGACCAAGAAAAACTTCAGATTCCAATGATGCCAACCATCAAATTAGGGACTTTGTAAGTTGCCTTATTTCAGTAGGCTAACGATCGGGTTTATAACTAGTTTCATGGGGTGATTAACCAACTCATAATCTATACACTCAACTAAAACTAGATAACTCAGAATCATTTTGTGTTCGCAACAGGCAGGTGCAGGGCTTAACGAATGATGGGGGGTGCTATAACAGAAGTTACACCAGAAAATTAAGGAGAAACTAGTTTCCGTTCAAGTAACCCTCACAAAGACGCAGAAAAGTAAAATCCAATTCTAAAATGGTGTTTTCTGATGTTTTGGGGGTTACTACAATGTTCAAAAGTGATGATGAAATTATTCGCTAGATCCAAGAATGATTGGTTTTGGTTGTGCACAGAAAAATTGCTCGAAAATGATGCAAATGATGATTTGTTCTCCCCAAATGTCCATAGATTGCGATACAATAAACATGTGCCAGGCCAAAATTGACCACAAATGTTGACAAACGATGATTTCTTCACCAAAACTCGGCGCAAAAATCTGCAACTTCAGCTGGTGTGGGCCCACCTCGGGCGTGTTCTTCTCGTTCTCACTGGCCTCACAATTCCGTACCGAAGCATCGGGATGTTGGCCGTGCGCAAGTGGACGTAGTGTGACATAAATCCCCCGAACTAAATGGAGGTGTTATCCTCTGGTTATGTCAAAATAGCTATTGAAAATGGCCATTTATAGTGGATTTTCCCATTGAACATGGTGATTTTCCATAGTTATGTTAGTTTACCAGAGGGTAATGGCAAAATATGGCAAAATCACCGAACTAAATGGGGGAGTGTCCATTGGTTTATCATAATTGTCCACTAAATATTGGCTATTTGAAGGATATAGACCATTTCCAGACACACCCATAACTATCATATCAAGTTGGTTCTCCCATTGATATCCCATGAAATCAGCCTTGTTCCATGTAAAATCCCATGGTTTATCACAATTGTCAGACACACTCAAAAACTATAATATCAAGTTGATTATCCCATTCGTTTCCTGTGAAATCACCATGTCTCCATTTATAAAATCACTATGTGATCTATATGTTCCCATCTTTTCCTATACCCTCTGGTTAACTGTTACATAACTGTGGAAAGATCCACCATGTTTCATGGGAAAATCCACTATTTCTATGGTGGATCTTTCCATACTTATGGTGATCCACTATAAATGGTGATTTTCCACTATAAATGGTGATTTTCTATGGTAATTTTCCATCGTTTTTTGTATGTTTACCAGGCAGAGGGTCACTTTCCAAGGCCAAAGTCCATCGGAGACTGAGCTACCAGTCCCATCGCCCATGACCGCGCCAGGAGCGTGGTACAGCATGAGCGCCTGGCCATGAGTTATGGCTACCCTCTGGTAAACTAACATAGCAATGGAAAGATCCACCATTTTTAATGGGAAAATCCACTATTTCTATGGCCATTTTCAATAGCTTTTTGTATGTTTACCAGAGGGTATTTTGGTAAGGGAAAAATCACCAAGACGTTGCCAATCAGCCAGATACCCTGCAATAAATGACCAATTCTTCCCATGATTTCCCATTCTGAATCCTATTTTGGTGAGTTCGATCCCCATTTCTCTTAGGCGTTCATCCACAAAGCCTGGTGAATAGAATTTGTATTTCCCAAGTCATGGATTCTGGCAATCCCCTGGCTAACATTGGATAGTATAACATAGTATAACCATGTATAACCCCATATGTGCCATGTTCAAATGGTATGGTTTATGGTCATCCAAGTCATCCATCCCATTTCATGGGACCACTCAGCCAGATACCCTGCAAGAAATGACAAATTCTTAGCTGGTGAGTAGGTAGATATTCCTATACATTTATTGCAAAATATTATGGTTGACCTATACATATATATATATATGAAATATCCCCACTTATATATTGGCAATGGTTTTATAATCCATAAGCCATATAAACCCATATTGGCAAGTGGGGTTATTCCATTAGGTTAGTAGGATTAGAAACTCTACCCATCATGGGACGCCAATGGGCTGCACGTCCGCAGCAGTATACCCTTAGCGTGCCTATCTCACCTTAGGGAACAAGAACGTCCTACGGGATGTAATTGGGAGTATAATGGGAAGTAATGGAAGTATTCCAATCAATATCTATAAATATATATATATATATTTGCCAATAAATATAATTGACACTAATATATTCTGATACTAATATATTCCAATTTAATGGGATGATATTATATTTATTATGGGAGTATTATACTGATACTAATATGATTGATGGAATGAATACTCCCATTACTTCCCATTAGATACTATATACCATATATTAGGATTACCATATATATATATATATTCCATAGGATTATTCCAATAAATATAGGAATTCCACTGGAATGTCGTGGAATCTAAATATCAAGTGGAATTTTCCTGGGAATGTAATATGAATCCGATTAGGTACGAGTTACGCATTGTGTCATCACGTTTTGAACATGTGTAGATCTATGAATCTTATGACCAATCTCTGCCAGAGAAGGGGACGTTTTACCAGAGAAATCATGTGGGAAATCCCATTCAGAAGTGGGAAAACCCATGGTTTCCCACATGATTTCTCTGGTAAAACCCATGGTTTCCCACACCTATAATTGCTCTTGGAAAACATCTGGGAAAACCTATGGTTTTCCTCGCTTCGCCAGAGACTCTCCTTTTTTTCGACCAGGTCTCCAAAAGTCAATCCGGAAAAAAATACATCCCAGGCACATCGATAGAAAAGCCCAAGTACTTCGATAGATCTACCATGAATATCCATAAATATCCATAAATATCCATAAATATCCATATATATATTTTTTTTGCTCGGCCTTTTGGGACTGTACGCGTCTCGTGGCGAACATGCAACGGACAGCTCAGAGGTTTTCTGGCTGAAAATCCGGCCTCATTTCAAATATATGTATATGTATATATATATATACATATATAAATAAATATCCATAAATCCTGAAAATTGGACTTCTCTTCACCAACTTAGCTATTGAAATCCACCATAAATATCCATAAATCCCATGCTTCGCGTGGAGCGCCCGCTTCGTGCGCTCCACAAGCCATGCCGGGAAGGCCGTACAATCCCCATCTGTAGACCTTGCCCCCCACCAACGCCAACCTCACACAGAGTCTGACGGAACGGATCTGACGAATCCCTGGACATCTCTGCTGGTTGGTGGTTGAACCTAACCCCTCTGAAAAAATGATGGAGTGAAAGTCAGTTGGGATGATGACCCATAGAAATACTTGGTTTACCCATTTAAAATGGTGGATCTTCCATTAGTCAGTTGGGATGATTTTTCATTCCCAACTGAATGTAAAGTCATAAAATTCCATGGTTCCAAACCACCAACCAGTCTGTATCTGAGATGTTCTTAGTTCAACACACCATACTTGGATGATACTTCATAGAGTCACCGGAGGGGTGTTCTCAAAGGTGGCTGGAAAATCCCCAAAGTGGGCGACACCTCAAGCCAAGCCCCCAGGCGAATGGTCCGTCCCCAGCGCAACTGCCTCCAGAAATGCCCTTCAGCACTAAGAAAAAAGCTGATTTCCATAGGATTTAACCCATTTAACCAGGAAAAATGCTGATTTCATGGGAGAAGCAACTTGATATGATAGTTATGGGTGTGTCTGGAAATGGTCTCCATCAACCGAACGGGATTGGGAAAAATGGGGCATATCGGGAGCATCCAAGAAATGCAGCAACGGCACATCCGCACACATTTATTCAGAAGCACCCAACCAAGTCCGAACTTCCCAAAAAACAACGGATCAAAAAAAACTGTACATCCAAAGTTCCACATTCCAAAGTTATTTTCCAATGGCCAATTTCGCCTACCCAATTTGCGCCTCCACCAGCGCTTCTCCGTTGAGCTGCGGGGCGCTGGGGAAGGGCACAGCCACTGCCTGGAGTCGGAAAAAAATGCTGCTGTTCAGCTGGAAAAATTCTAATGTGGGTAAAACAATAATAAATATCCATGGATAGGTAAGAAATATCCTTATAAAATCGATTGTTCATAAAGATCATGTGGGTAAAACAATGCCATAAAACATCCCCCAAATCACAATAGATAGGTGGTATAAACTTATAAACCATTCCCAAATGGCTTGTTTATGACGTTGTTTTACCCACATTACTCCAGAAATGAAAATGCGACGAAAATCCGACAAAACCTGGAAAAAAACATGTGAACAGGGGCTCTACTGACTCTACTGGATCGACATGAAACCATTCGAAATCAGTGAAAAACAGCAGCAATTATGGTTATAGTATGATTAGCACGGAGAATCAACCCAACATGATCTTCGGGTGAAGGATCGGAATTCGGAAAAAAAAATGGCCATGACTCAAAGTGGGTTTCCCCCAAAAGCAAACGGTGTCACACAAATATATATATATATATATTGTGAACGGGTAATCCTTTTTTGACCCGGGCCCATTTCTTCCAAAAAAGATCAAAAAAGGCTGCGCTTTGGTCAAACACAATCAACATTTACGGTTCAATGGCTTTGCCTGAGGGGATGCACCCGATCCATTTCTGGACCAAAGCTCTCAGAGTGGGCTCTTCGTACCCACCATCTACCCAGAAAACTTTGCATGTCTTGCTGGGTGTTCCATCATGTGTCCATCCAAGCCGTTAAAAAACTAAACCTCTACCCTCTGGCAACTTAACGTAGCTATGGAAAATCACAACTGTTTATGGGTAAATCCACGAACTAAATGGCAATTTGAAAAATAGCTATGTAACAGTCATTACCAGGCCGGGTATATCATCATATGTCCCATTAAATGCCATTAAATGCCATTGAATCACCATAGGAATTCATCCATAAACGTTTACCAGGCCGGGTACCAATGATGGGTCAATCTGGAGCCAATGGAACCAACCTCTGGGTGCTGGTGGCAGCTGTCCTGTCGTGCCTGAGCTCAACAAAACCCATGGGGAAAATCAGGGATTCATCAGATTCATCCACTCAAAATGGGCGATAAAAATCACCGGAGTCTTGCTTTTTCATTGGCAAAACAGTGGAAAAACCCGCTGAAAATTGGGTTAACTCCATTGTATGCGGAGGGAGGAACTCTGTGTCCGAAATCAATTGCCGCCCATCTAAACCGATTTGCCAACAGCTTTTCTTCCGAAATCTTTCGCCAAGCTGGGAGGTCTTGGAAAAAAAGATGGAAGACATGCTATCCCCCAATTTCTTTGGTCATAGTCCATACATGTCCATACCAAATCGGAAGGCCGGAAGGGATTCAACATGACAAAAAACCAGCAAAAACTCAACCGGTAAAGTCTCCAAGTTTGCGAACTGGAAAATCACCATGTCCAAGTGCGGTGAAATCAACAGCTAAAACACAGAAACACAGGCCGAGCTGCTTGGCCCAACTCACCATAGGGTCCGGAACCGAAGGTGAAGAGTGTCTTGGGCATCGCGACAAGCGCGACAAGCGCATCGCGCAGCGCATCCCATGGCACTCAAGCTGCACTCAAGGTGCGGTGGTGCAAGCCATATGCTTGGCTAAGATTGATTTTAAAGATGAGAAATCATGAACACTAATGATGAATGATGGTGAGAAGAAAAGGCCGCCCAAACATGAGGTAAGTAGGTAGGTAAGTTGCTTTGTTTAAGTAGGTTTACGACTACGGTTTCTAAGGATTTATGGTGAATGTATGCTAATTGGATGGGTGAAGCTAGACCAACAAACATTTCACTGGGGCCGATTGGGGGTCTGGACAGCTTCCGAATGGATCTTGGGATGGCACCCCAGCTGTAGACATTAGCTGTTTCTACCTGGGGTATTGGTTGATCCACTGTCATCAATCGGGCTTTCCCCAGTCCGAACCTTTCTTGGGAGGACACAAAACTTCTTTGGGGGCCCCACCAACAGCGTCTCCTGCGTATGTCTCAACATGGCATGGAAAATCCCCATTCCGCGTGCCATTCCGCGTGCACAGCTAAAAAAAAAACAGCAACGAAGGCAGCACTTTCCATCTCTGGGTCTTCGGTGCTTGGAGACTTCAGTTTCACCCATGTGGAATCATTTGTCAGGTACTTCCACCTTTTTGTGTTGCAGATGTTCCCTTCAACGCCGGTGATTCAACAATGTCCTTCGCTCCGCGAAAACGTGAAGACAAACTACAAAGAAATCCAACTATCAATAATAACACCAAGAATAACAAAAACAATAATCATCTGGTTGGTGGTTTCAACCCCTCTGAAAAATATTAGTCAATGGGAAGGATTATCCCATATATTCTGGAAAAATAGAAGTCATGGTCCAAACCACCAACCAGCATTGACTATCAAAACTAGATTACCCTCTAGTAAATTAAACTATGGAAAGATCCACCATTTTTAATGGGAAAATACACTATTTCAGTTTGACTCCCTTGTCTTTGAAATTGAAACAATCCAAGCATCAAATTCAAGCAGTTTCATCCCCACAAAACCCAGTTTTCGCGCTGATTTTTTCTCACCATAAAAAGACGGTCCTATCCTTTTTCGCCAAGTCTCCTTTTAGAAGATGGCGCCGCAGAGTTTGATCTCGACTTCTTTCCAAGGATTCGAGGATCTGAGAAACCCTTAAAAAACTGGAGTTCATCATGGAGATTTACCCGGCCTGGTTATGACTCACATTTATTGGGATTTAATGGTGATTTATGGGGATTTAATGGTGATTTATGGGGATTTATAGGGGATATAATGAGATTTACCCTCTGGTTATGACATGTTATGACTAACATAGCCATGGTTTTTCGATGGCCCATAGAAATAGATGATTTTCCCAGCTAGAAACCTCCGTTTATGGTTGGGATTTTGGTATAGATGGCCCATAGAAAGTTCGATGGTTTACCGTTCTTAAAAATGGTGGATCTTTCCATGGCTATGTTAAATAACCAGATGGTAACAATTATTTAACCATCCAAAATTGAGATTCAATCATAACAAACCTGACCCAAAAATCATTGTTGTGTGAGGTTTTGGTGAGGTTTAAGGATCCTCCAGTCTCTTTGCACCAAGGTTTGCTTAGGAATGGACCCCAACAGTACAAAATACCAGAAAAAAAACATGGTCGCAAACCTTCAAACTGCAATTTCAAGAATCTGCAAGTTCAAGACTTGTCCGTTCTTCAAGTCACCAGAAAAAAACACCACCCATTGAAGTCTCTAACGTCTAGCTTCAAGAATCACGTTGCACCTGGAGAAAAATCGAGTCGTGTCTTCCCGAGAAGACTTGCCACAGCTCTTTCACACCTCCCCAATTGGAGGTCCCCAAAATGGGTGGCGTGGAAGACCACGGCCAGAAAACGACGGCTGGTCATTTTTCGCCGTGAACGGCGCTCGTCCTTTTTCAAAATGTAGCTATCAGGTGTAGCTCTATGCAATTTCCGCCGATCTGAGATCAGGTGGATGTTTTGACTTCACATGGAGATCTATAGAAAATCACTGTTGTATGGGTCCAAACTGGGGACCCTCCAATAAGATCTGTGATATTTTGAACTGCATCTCCGAAATCAGGATGTTTAACAGTTTTAAAAAAAACTGTAGAAAATGTGAACTCGCGTCTTTATATAAGTTATATATAGTCATCTCCCAAAAAAATAGAAAAGTAAATCCCCATCAAAATAGTGAGGATTCACTGGTCTATCTTTTTGGGATTACTATAGTCATTTTATATTTGGGTATGAGTCAAAATTGGGTACCCCAATACCTAGATGCTTCATACCATGACAAGGCCGTCTGTGGTCCCCTGGATCTTAAATCTTGACCCCTTCCCATGGAGGTTTCTTAAAGTACGGCTACCCCCAAATCATTCAACATTGGACCACTTTTGATATTAAAAGCCATTGTTTTGGGGATCCCCATTTTAAGAACCCCATATATACATACATATATCAGATATATGTGTGTATATATGTATATATCATATATATGACATTATATTATATATTATATTATATTATACTATATTATATTATATTATATTATATTATATTATAGTATATTATATTATATTATATTATATTATATTATATTATATATATACCATATACCATGAGTATCATAAATATCATCCATCCACAGCTTCAGATCTTCCAACTCAGATCCAGTGACTGAGGTGACCCAAAAAAAAGAACAAAGGAACCGCGCAGTGAAGTGAGGAGCTCTCAAATTCCTGACGGTTCGAGGCTGGGGATCCAGGAGCCGAAAAATTGGAGCTTTGACTCGGACAAATTACCATGAAAATGACATGAAAATCACCAATTTTCGGCAAAAGTGGAGTTTTCTATCTTTCGAAACAGCCGGATGGAGCTATTTCGTTTTTTTGGGAAGGGGAAGATCATCCCATTCAACTGCAGCTAAGGGGCTTCCCACGTCCAAGAACCAGAAGGGTCGGTTCCACTTCCAAAGTCTTCCTTCACAGTCACTGTCTTACCACCATCGCCATCGCCATCGCCAGCATCGCCAGCATCGCCATCAGTGTCACCAGCGTCACCAGCGTCACCACTATCGCCATCGTTGTCACCACTGCCGTCGTCGCCATCGTTGTCACCACTGCCGTCATCGCCATCGTTGTCTCCACTCCCGTCATTGTTGCCATCGCCGTCAGCGGAGCCATCACCGTCACCACCATCTCCGCTGAACGCGGAGATGGTGCGCGTGGTGGTTGCTGTGGAGGTAATTACGCTGCTGCTACTGGTGTCTGTCACGCTGGTGAGTGTCCTGGAGGTTTCTGTGCTGGACTTCGTTGATGAGATCGAACTAGTCCTCAGAACATGTTGCCAGCATCCAATCCCTGCACATCTAATATGAGCTTGTCCTGAAATAGAGTATACCCAAAATCGAACGCTTGATCATTTTTTCCTCCCGGAATTGCTGCTCCAATCCCCGATTTCTGGAAAAACTCACATAACATGGTACGAGTACACCTATCCCATGAAATCCCTTAAACTAGCCTCGTAAAATGGTGTGGTCCAATTAATTAATGTAATTTCTTTGGGGTTATATGCGGACAAACCCATCTCACATGCTTGGCTCAAAATCTCCCACTATGTCCCCCAGAAAATAATCGGTTTCATCCCCATCCTTCATTTGGTTGATACATCAAATACCGAAGCTGGGAAAAAACCCTCTCAAAAACCCATATATTCGCCATAAAAATACACAGGAAACCAAAAAATCTTGAATAGAAAGCCCTCTTTTTCCTTTCAATTCCCCATATGTTTGGGCCCAAAACCCAAAAAAATCCGCCAGAATGAAGGTGAATCCGCCCCAAATCCCCAAGCGTTCCCCGTTTGTTCGGAGACGTCCAGCGCTTCCCGTCGGATTCCCGGCGGATTTTTCGGCACGGCCAAGGGGCGAGGTGTCAGATGTGCTGGTCCTTGAAGTACTTGTCATTGACGTGCTGGTCTCTGAGGTGGAGGTTTCAGTCCTGATCTGCGAACATCAAAAAAATAGATGGAAAGATGGATGGATAGATAGGATAAATAGACTAGATGAGATTCAATTCGATTAGATTTTGATTAGATTAGAGTAGATAAAAGATAAGATAGGATAAGACAAGATTAGATTAGACAAGACAAACTTAGATAGATAAATAAGATAAGATAAGATAAGATAAGACAAGACAAGACAAGACAAGACAAAACAAGATTAAATTAGATTAGATTAGATAGATACGATAAGATAAGATAAGATAAGATAAAATAAGATAAGATAAAATAAGATAAGATAAGATAATATAGAAATAGAAATAGAAATAGAAAATAGAAATAGAAATAGATAGGCATAGATAGGAATAGATAGGAATAGGTAGGAATAGGTGGGTAGGTAGATAGGTAGATAGATAGATAGGTAGATAGATAGATAAGAATAGATAAGAATAGATAAGAATAAATAAGAATAGATAAGAATAGATAGAATAGATAGGATAGAAAGGATAGATAGCATAGATAGGTTAGATAGGTAGATACATAGTAGATAGGAATAGATAGGAATAGATAGCAAGAGATAGGAATAGATAGCAAGAGATAGGAATAGATAGGTAGATAGATAGATAGATAGGGAGATAGATATACAGTTGCAATGTGTATGGGGTCAAAATTGAGCCCAATGATTGGAGGCCCGGTGGCTCCGATTAAGCCAGGGATATTTCACCTACCTACGCCCATCTCCCATCTCTCGTTTTTCCAAGAAATGTCGATCATCTCACTTAAACATGTTAGATCAGATATTAACCATGTTCATTAACCATGTTCATTGACCATGTTCATTAACCATGTTCATTAACCGTGTTAATTGACGAATTTACCATATATAATATATATATATTGACCATAAACAATATACATTCTCCATAGTGCTTCTTCCATCTTCTAGCTCCGGTCAAAGCGTCTTGGTGGTCTTGGTCGTAAGTGTCACCGTTGAAGTGGTCAACGTGACCGACGAGGAGGTACTCGTTGTTCGGGTCACGCTGGAGGAGGTACCTGACGACACGTCGACACGTCGGTCACAATAGGGGAAACTGACCGACCACAAAAAGGAGCTATGGAAAACTAGAAAAAATAGAAAAAGTACATGAGTAGTTAATGAAAGTAGCCATTATATAATTATATCTATGTACTTTTTCTATTTGATAATGTACTTTTTCTATCTTTTTTACCATGGCGATCACTATTTGCTGGAAAGTAAACTTGGAAATATACACTGATCTTCTTCATGGTATAAAAGTGACCGTAACTTTTGTGGTTTATCTACCCCAATACATGGTTTAGCAACAGCAATGATACGTATTGCCAGAGTTGCTCCCAACACCGTAGATACATTGGGGGGACACTAGTTAGATAAAGAGATAAAATTGCCCATGTTCCCACCAAACGTGGCTATAATTTACCTATAATGGGCTGGAGCAACCCTGATTGCTGGCTTTATGGTGATGAAATAACTACATCTAGGTAATAAACCGACTTGTAACTATGAAGTACCAAATGTTGTACAGATTTGGAAGATTCTGTTTTGCACTGTGGTTTTTACATTGCCTTAATATGGATTACTATGGTGTAATATGGCTTAATCATACAAAAAACTGGACAAATGTTGAATCAACGGATTAAAAGAATGGTTTTAACCCAGAACAAACGGTAGAAGTAGGATAAATGCCAACCATGACTGGGTAGAATGGGAATAGAACGGGATATATGATATATCATCAATAAAGCACACATGCTCAATGTCGTATACATTGCTTTCAAAAATGTGAATCGTTATTGTTATTTGCTATAGAATTGTTCCAATATGTCAAGAGTGAGGTCGCACCATGTCGCATCATGTTGCACCTGTTTTGGGACTACTTTTTGCCCTTCAGTAGATTGACAGAAAAGATATGGAAAACCCATGGTGAGCCCCAAGGAAAACAAGATACTTTCCTGGTGTTCCGTATCTATGTTGATTTACTGGAGGCTCAATGGGTTTTCTAAAGCAATAAAAATTGGGATTGTTCATCTTTAGTCTACAAAAATGACTGTTTTGGCTGGTTGTGGAACACCGTTTTTTTCATCAGCTGTGCTGAAACCTGTGGTGTTACAATGCAAAGGTCTTCTCTGAATGTTTCACCAATGGGAATGGACCCAGCTGCTGGTCATCTTCAGAATGCCATTTCCCACTGAAACTTCAGACGGACTGGTTCATGACTGGACCAAAAGAAGAAAAGAAACAAGGACTAACCTTTGGTGTCATCATTTCTGGAAAATCTGCCATTGAGTTCGATAAAATGTTCCCAAACTGAACCTGGCTCGACTTTCTGGACCCTTTAAATCCAAAGCACTGGTGGTTGCAGTGAGTGATGTCGAGCTACTTGTGAGGCCTCTGCTTTTTTTTTCCGGAGACTGAATCAATTTGGAGGACCTTTTCATCAAAACATGCGCTTGAAGCTTTATGATATGGTTGATATGTTTAGAGACTTTGGATGTGCTTAAGATAGTTCTTCATGGTATCTATAAACATCTATAAACATCTATAAACTCTAGGCTATTCATATCATATTAAAAAACGGGTCATGTTAAAGGTCCCTATAGAGGAATCCAGAAATCGGTCATGGTCATCCCTCATAGGAATCCAGAAATCGGATGGGACCGTGGTGGATGTAGGGATTTTCCACATTGGGAATTAGATTGTATCCTTAGGAAAATGGTATCATTAGATTATTATCCACCTAATATTTTCCACATCTGATATTTAGGTGGTCTTTAATATGAACGGGGGATTGGATTATATCATTCCTTTTTCGAAAATGGGTGCATATATATATATATATATATCCCTACGAAATATCATCTACGAAAATGGGTATATAAATCCCTGCGAAATTCATCATATTGAATCCGTTCGCGAATGGGTCTAGAAATCCCTACGAGTTCATGAATTGACGAGCATCTACAAACGAGCATCTCTCAAGATATGATGTTCAGCTGTCATTCAGGTCATGAAAATCCGCCAAGGATACCCGGCCTGGTAAACAAACAAAAAGCAAACTGGAAGCCATGGCCCAGTCGAAATAGTTGATTTACCCATTAAAAATGATGATGTTCCATCGTTTTTTGTATGTTTACCAGAGGATATGTCAATTTTGTCCGCCCTAAAATTGAAAATTTTGGCAGCAACTTTGGGGATTTTCTCAACCCCAAGATCCGCTGGAACCCGCCCTTAAATGGGATCTTAACCCACTGCAATGAGGATGCCAACATGATGAGAATGAACAGAAACGGACACATCTCTCGAAAGATCTTGAAGTAAAAACAGTGTTTCTAACCATGTGTGTCGTATCCCGGAGAACACAACCTTTTTAAAAGAAGTGTTGCATGTCATATAACATATATATATATATATATGTATGTATATATGGGTAAATTATAATATTTCACTAACCTGAATTAAGGCCCATTTGGGGATGATTTCCCTTATTGACTATGATTCCAGTGAGGGAGAACAGTGAGGTCGTTATAATTTACCCAGACTGTGGGGAAGCTTTTGATCCCAACGATGTTGTTCCGTAGCTGACTCTCAAGGGATTTTTTGTTCAGGAAAGGCCCCTATTTTCTGTGGTAAAAAAAAAAACGCGATTTCCCATAGATGTGTCCGATTTTGGCTGGAAAAAAAATCTTTATATAACCTATGTTTGGTCCTAAAAGAACTTGGTCTTTCCCATTGGGTTTCCCTATTTCCGATGGTAAAAACCCTGAGTTTTCCCATGGATTTTCCGGCCAACAATCGCCCGCCCAAGGTGCTGGTGACGGTCTCGGTGATCGACGTCATGGAGGTGGTGGAGGTGACGCTACTACTGGAGGTGATGCTGCTGCTCCTAGGTCGAGATATGATGGTTACCCTCTGGTTATTTAACATAGCCATGGAAAATGGCCCATTTATAGATGGTTTACCATGGTTTACCTGTAAAAAGTGGTGCTTTTCTATGGCTATGTTAGTTTAAGAGAGGGTAATTGAAGGTGATATGGTAAACCATATACCATGTAACGGTTAAAAATTAAGTTATGTTAAATAATTAAGATAATTAACTTAAGACCATAACTACATGTAATTAATAATTGATACCATTCATAATTAAGTTATGGTTAATAATTAAGATATGGCTAGTAACGGCTAGTATGTTTTTATAGCAATGATGTTTGGTGTCAAATAACTATACATGGTAAATACTATTCATGAAGATAGACCAGTATTATAAATAAAGTTCATTGTTAACATAAGAATTATAGACATGCATCCTTGTAATTTGATTAGATAATATGAATCATACGGCTCCTATAATTCTAGTATTGGTTATATAATTCCAGTTTCGACATGGGCTAATCCAACAACTTATAAGGCGAGGCCCCCGGTAAAAGCGAAATCGCGAGATGTTTTTCCGCAGAGAACTCATTTGGTGAAATTGATTTTTTGGGGGGGGGAGTACAATGAGCTATACTATTCATGGAGTTTATACAGCAACAAACATCACTGGCTTGGCCTCACCTTGTAATAATGATTAGTATAACCTGTGGTTGGTGGAACAGTTATTATAAATCTTGGTATAAATTGTGGTGTTAGTATAAATGGATAATACAAATGGCTAGTATAAACATGTATAAACAGTGGTTAGTAGAAACGTTATAATTCTGGTGTTGACAAAATTACGACAGATAATCTGATAAGTATAAATGGTGTGACTAGTATAAATGGTTAGTATAAATATGGATAACCAGTGTCTATAATTACTAGTGAGTATAAATGGTTAGTATAAATATGGATAACCAGCGTCTTTAATCGTATAACCATTGACGTTCTGTATGTAAAAACCAAAAGGTTAGAAAAATACGGTCCATGGTTAGTACAAACGGTGCGTATTATACTTATCGTAATTCTGATTAATATGATGAATGATGAATAAAGTATTGATTAGCGAATGAAGAATGTGTAAACATAAATAGAAATGATAATAGTTAATGTTGATTCATGATTGTTAATAAAAATTGTCTCATATATGAATTAAATAATGGCCAATCTTACGACTAATGCATGATAAATAACAAAATGCCCAACAAATGGGACCCAAATTCATGAATAGATGCAATATTAATCAGGGGCCGTACGGGCCTTTTGGGGGCCTTTTGGGGAGATACATCTTGGAGGATCTTCGTGATCAGCAACCGGAGGATTTTTCCACCAAAGTAACGGAGTAGGTCACAAGGTGGAACGACCCTAAAAACCATTCGGTTTTGAAAAATGTTTTTTTCTAGTAGGGTTCCAATTGTTGATGATACATCTCATTATTTTTTTTCGAATCCCCATGGTTTTTTTCCGACGATATTTCCATATGTTTTCCGGCATGTTCCCATGTCCCTTTTCACTGAGCGCGGTAAATTTCCCCCTCCAATGACCTTTCCCTGGTCCACTGGTGCATCCAGTTTCGTTCATCCAAATATCCCAGAAGCTGTGTATATTTACACATGAGTATATACATACATTTCTCCATATGGGGATGGATGGTTTATTTCATGGAAAATCCTACTAAAATTGATGATTTGGGAGTACCCCAATTTTAGGAAACCCCCATATATCTATTATGTGTATGAAACCTACCCTGTATATAGTAACCGCCAAATAGATCGACAGGTAATTTGTCATTATTTCAGGATTGGTTTTACAACTTTCGGCATCTAACTTTGGGGTTGCTGTGAGTGTAGGCCTATGTTTACGCTCTGGTGATTTGACATAGCTATGGAAAATGGCCCAGTTAGCGTGGTGATTACCTATTAAAAATGCGTGCTTTCCATAGTTATGTTAAAATAATCGGAGGGTTATCAGAATTTGTGCTGATCCTCAGACAGTTCTTACTATATGTCTATATTGGGGTTTCCCAAAATAGGGGTGCCCCAAAATCATCCATGTATAGATGGGTTTTCCCTTCTGAGCCATCCAGCTATTGAGGGTACCTCTATGTCAGGAAACCTCCAGATGAACTCCTATAACTTACGAGCGGTTATTTCACCATAGTTTTACCCATGTCAACTCAACTGTTCTGGCAACCTCTTACTATATGTCTACAAAATATATATCTATATATATATATATTCCCCCAAACAGTGTGTCCACACTGACGGGTTCTTACGGTAGCTGTAAAAGCCGGTGCTCTGGGCCTCGGCATTTTTCCCGTAAATTTCCGTATAAAGTTGC